CCTTGCCTAAACCTGCTTCCTTTTCCTCAGCTCTCTGTGGGTATTCACATCCGAAGAAAAGAAACGCACCTACTGACATTTTCGCAGTTGCCTTTTGGCTTAGATCAAGTGTAGTATCTGTTCTTTTCAGTTTAATCTCTGAAACGAGTCTACGGACTCATTTATTGATTATACTTATTTTTGCAACGCGGAAGACGGCCTCTGCGCTTGCGTATGTCGCCTTCCACCGTGTCGCCGGTATTGCACTGCCTCCGGCTGACGCGAAAGCACCTTTCTCATCTCGTCTTCCGCCTTGCGCGGGAGCCTGAAGAAGAAGCCGTGAAGCTGATGGTTGAAACACATGTTACTTTGCAGATGATTTGAATGGCGCCACGAAAAGTCCCAATTCAAGATGAAGACCTTCATTCTCCCCCCCGCATGCAGTGATGTGTTGGCCAGTCGAATGTGGTCTTGTGTGGTGGCCTCGCTTCTCCATCTGAGCAGCGTGCTGCAAACGAAAGCTCCCCAACACCACGGCGAGTCCTTCGTGAGAGGCACCAAGGTGAAGCTTCCAGCATGGGTCTCGAAATCATCTTCCACACAGTCTTCAGAGCAGAGCAAAAATCCACTTTCACCGGCTCTGCAGTTCCTTGGTTGGCGCTCCGAAGCGAGAAGGTGACAAACCCACCTCTTCATGGCCTCCACTTCACTTTGTCCCCTTCTTAAAAAGCGTCCTCCGCCCTCAGCAATATCAGAGCATTGATACGATCATCGGCGCCACCACCAAGGCGCATCCCGAGGTCCGCCGCTTGCATCAGCCTTACGCGGCCCACCTGACGATCACGCAGCCCAACCACCAGAAACCGGAGCCAGAACCTTGCTGGCCACCTGCCGCCGACCAGCCTTAGATCTACTACCTCCCACTGCAGTCACTCCCTTCTCTCGAGAGAAGCATCGGCATCATGGCGGAACGGGTACTCATGAACGAGTACAAGCAGCTGTCCAAGGAGCCATGGACCAACATAGAGGTGAAGCTCATCGCGCATATGAACCCTGCCCAGTAGATCCTCGCACTAACAGAGTCGTAGCTTGTCGACAACAACATATTCGAATGGAGCGTCGCCCTCATCGTCCTCAACCCTGACTCCGACTACTACGGCGGCTACTTCAAGGCACGGATGTCCTTCCCCAAGGACTATCCCTACCGTCCGCCTGGTGAGCAACCGATTCGCCCCTTGCTACCCGCTCCGAGACCGCGAACTAACAGACGCCAGAGTTCAAGTTCCTCCGCCCCCTCTACCACCCCAACATCTACCCCGACGGCCGCCTCTGCATCAGCATCCTCCACGCGCCCGGCGACGACGAGATGTCCGGCGAGAGCGCCGCGGAGCGCTGGTCACCCGCCCAGCGCGTCGAATCCGTGCTCCTCTCCATCCTCTCCCTCCTCGATGACGCGGAAGTGAACTCGCCCGCCAACGTCGACGCGGGCGTCATGCTGCGCAAGCAACCGGAGAAGTACAAAGCCATGGTGAAGAAGGATCTCGAGGCGTCCAAGCAGGATATCCCCGCCGGGTACAGCATGCCGAAACATGAGGATGCGTTCAGGACTGTCAGGGACGATGAGTACAACATGGAGTGGGCCGATTCGGACGCTGAAGACGACTTTGGTGGTAGCGAGTCGTCGGACGCGGAGATGGATGACGATGAGGATGATGATGAGGATATGGAGAATGAATCCGAGGATGACGAGGAAGAGGAGCAGGGCGACGACGATGACAACTGAGGAGTGAGCGGCGCGGCTCTCCACACCGCGGCGGTTTTCCACATTGGCTGTATTCTGCTCGGGCCATCGTGCATTGCAACGACGCTACCTGGCGTCACACCTCCCTCATCCTACAAGCTGGGAACCTTCTCATTAGCCCTCTATTTCCTCACGGTACGAATCTCACGATCCCATCTGCTTCCAGCGCGGCGTCCCGGCCTCGTTGTCTCGGGGCATAGTATCTAGGCGAGGCGGGAGTTCAGTCGGGCATTTCCTGGCGTTTCGGGCTTTGCGCTTTCATGCACCTCTTAGTCACCCTGTTTGCGTTCGAGCTGCACCTTGGTAGCTAGCGCGCGCACACAAATACAAAGATCAAACCAAAGCATCTCCTCGTGCCGTGGAAGCGTGCAGTTGCATTTTGAAAAGGATAATGGTGATACATAGCCCGCCTCCTTGTCCCCCAACCTTCCATCCTTTGCCTCTTAGCAAGCCTGAGTAGTGCAGTCGGCGCATGGAAATCCGTAGTTTCAATGATCCTTCTGGAACATGGGAGCTCGAGACCGTTACCATTCTAGTCCTCCATGAAATATGAATCAAAATCGCCTTATCCGCAAATACATTACCATTTTTTGAGCCAACTCCATTTAGCGAGAGATCATAACAGATATCACAACCTACAAATTCATTCGTGCAAGGGGAGCTCACAGATATTCAGATTTCTTTGATCAATCTTCCCAGACTACAGATCTCAAGCTGCCACAGCGCCGGGATGATGCTTGTGCCCCAGTACACTCCGTGTGAACCCGTACGCCCTCAGCATCTGCGCCGAAGAATCCCAAAAAAATCAAGTAATGCCTGGTAAGTTCTACCGATGAGTTTGTTTGAATTACCCACCAAGCCAACGACGCCATTTGCATCTTCTCATCCCCATCGTGCCATCAGTCAAGAATGCCATCCGCCGATTTTAGCGTCCCCTCCAGTCATTACACCACCCAGTGGTTGCTTGCGACGCCGACCATCACCCTGCCAACACCATCAGCTCCCAGTCCAAGCAGGCACATCAAGGAGGTCGAGACTTACGGTTCGACCCCGACGCCAACGGCGTCCCCACACTACTAACCGGCGCCGTACTCCTGCCATCGGCACCACTCGACGCGCCCTCAAAGTCTGCCATCTCTGGAAACGCCTCCGTCTCCTCCCTCAGCTTCCTCAGCGCCGTCTCCTCAATCATATTCGCATCCTGCCACAGCCAGCTCCCATCCTCATTGTACGTGCGGCAGTTGTTAGCCAAGAGGCCGATATCAGCCCTGAACTGGCGCAGGCTGGTGTACTCCTTCTTGTTGATCTTCTTCTTGACCATGTTCATGGAGATCGGGGAGCGGATCAGCTGGTAGTAGTCCGGGTAGTCGTTTTTGTCGGGGAGGTCGATGAAGGGGTCGATGATGCCGCGGGGAGGGAGTTCGGGCTTGTCGGCCGAGGTCTCTTCCAGGTCCAGCAGGTATTCGTAGACGTTGTTGAGGATCTTTTGGAGCGTGCTGCGCTCTTCGGTGGAGAGCGGGTCGGTTACCTTGGCTTGCCGGCCGCGTTTCTTTGGCGGCGCGATGTCGCCGTCTAGAGACGCGTCGTCGGCTTTGCGCTTCTCGGCTTTAGGCTTGCGGCCCCGCTTTTTAGGGAGCTGGGGCTCTTCGGAGCTGTCGCGCGAGGCGGGGGGTGAGTTGCCTAGGTCGTACTCGCCGCGGATCTTCTTCTCTTTGTTGGCGGCGCGCCGGGCGACTTTAGCGTCTCGACGTGCTATGGCGGCTTCGACTGTGTCCTCGTCGTTGTCGACGGCTTCGAGCCACTGCTCCTCCGTAAGACCGTCATCGTACTTGACTCGCGTGCGTTCGCGGGCGCCTCGACCGTAATTCTCCTCGATCTCCTCGACGACGGGGTTGTCTTCGTTCATGTAAATGTCCGGCAGCTCGGCCTCGCATAGCAGGCGCGGCAACTTCCTGTTAGGTCCATACTTGGACGTCCTCTCACGCTCCGCATCCATTCGCTGGAAGATCTCGAGTTCTTCTTCGGACCGCATCATGATTACGTTGAGGTCCTCGTCGTCCTGCTCGTCCTGCTCCATGTTCTCCGCAGCCTCGGCGGACTCAAGCATAACCCTTAGCATGGCGTCACGTTCCTCGTTCGTGGATTTGTTGTCGAATTTACCGGCTTGAATGACTTTGCCGTCCATGTCGAGCTTGAAGTTCGCCCGCTCTAGGATCTTTTCTTCTACGGAGTTGGAGCTGATGAGTCGCAGAATCCGCACCTCGTTCTTCTGGCCAATACGATGCGCGCGGTCCTGAGCTTGCAGATCCTGATGAGGATTCCAGTCAGAGTCATAGATGATCACCGTGTCAGCAGTCTGTAGATTGAGACCCAAGCCACCAGCACGCGTCGACAGCAGGAAGCAGAAGTATGGCGAACCGGGGGCGTTGAACAGTCTCAGCAGCTCTGAACGGTCGTCGGCCTTTGTAGACCCGTCAAGGCGAAGGTACTTTATACCCCTCAAGCGGAGGAAATCCTCCATGATGTTCATAATCTGAGTCATCTGGAAGAACATCAGGATACGATGGCCCGTCACCTGAAACTTCGGTAATATGCGGTCAAGAAGCTCGAATTTGCCGGCCGTTCGCCAGATCAGATCGTTTGTGCCTTTACCGGGGTTCATCTGCTCCTCGACTTCCTCGAACACGAAAGGATGGTTGCATAGCTTGCGCAGCTGCATAAGCATATTGCTCAGGCCGCGCATGCCGGTCTTGCCGCCCTTGCCGTCGCTGACCATGAGCCTGTTGTGGTTGACCAGTTGCTTGTACAACTTGGCCTGTAGAGCGGAGAAGTTGCACTTGATGACGCGCTCCTGCTTGTCTGGCAAGTCCTTCTCGACATCTTTCTTCAGACGGCGGAGCAAGAATGGCCGAAGGACCTTGTGCAGGCGACGAATGACAAGCAGCTGCTCTTCCTCTGTAAGCTCCATCTTGTCTTGACCACCAGTGTTTGCGAATGGTGTATTGAACCACTCGTCAAATGACTTGACGGACTTGAAGATGGTAGGAAGAACGAAGTTGAGCAGCGCCCACAGCTCAGGCAGGTTATTCTGAAGCGGCGTGCCGGTGAGGATAAGGCGGTACCGAGTGGTGTAGTATTGTGTGATGGTACTGCTGAGTTTGGAGTTGGCGTTCTTCATACGATGACCTTCGTCGACAATCATGTGGAGCCACTTGACCTTGCTGAGGATAGGGCGATCCTTGATGATAAACTCATATGTCGTCAGCAACACCTGGAACTGGCCGTAGCGAATTTGTTGCGCCTGCAGCTTGCGAGCATTCGGCGGACCTTTGTATACGATCATGTTCACGCTGGGTGCCCACTTCTCGAACTCGTTCTTCCAGTTTGTCAGGGTGCTGAGCGGCACGACGACAAGAAAGGGTCCAGGTTGGTGTTTCTTTTCGATCAGATAACATATCAGACTGATGGTCTGAATGGTCTTGCCCAGACCCATCTCGTCGGCCAACAGTCCGTTGAGATTGTTGTTGTACAGCGAGATCATCCACTGCAAGCCCTTGATTTGGTATTCCTTCAGTGTTCCTCCAACAAGGTTGCTGGATTGCACCTTGACTTCTTCTTTGATACGATGGGCGACTTCGTAGTAGTCCACCTTCTTTCCACCGCGCTCATCGCCTTCCTCAGCCTCGCTTTCGTCCGACGACTCCTCAATTGCGTCGCGATCACCATATCGATTGACGGCGCCACGCTGTTGTGCTTTGACGGACGCAGCGAGCTGATTCAAGAACCCGTCTGTCTGCTTGAGCAGATGCGAGATGCGACTGTCTTTTGCTTGACCGAGCAGTTTCAGGTACGTTTCCTCGTCGTTCGCTTTCAGAGCTTGCAAACGCTGCTTCGCCGTCCGCTCGACCCGTTTCTGTTCCTCCTTTTCTATGCTCTGATGCGTCACCACCATGAGCTGTCCAAGCCGCTGTACCCGCCTCTTCTGTTCTTGGGCCGATTTCCGCATCTCCTCTGCATGCCTGACGATCGAATTAACGTAATCGCTGTGCTTCTTCTTCTCTTTCGTCTCGCGAGCGTCGCGTTGCTGTTTCTCCAGCTTCTCGGTAATCCTGGCTTCGCGAAGAGACTGCTTCTTCACACGGCGGTACATGGCACGATTGGCAGTCGTAGCCAGGTTATCCGAATGAACCATCTCACGGCTGATCTGCTGGCGAAGCGCGCGCTGCTTCGGCAGTAGACACAGCATCTTGTACTCTATCAGAGCCTTCAGCTTCAGAGAACCGTCCTCGGTCGGCGCATCCGTTTTGCTGGTATCCCATACTCCGATATTCGCAGGTAGCTTCTCTAGTTCTGCCTTCCGTGAGACGATACGGTTATACACGATATTCTCCCGCTCTTCCCGGACTCGATCGACGTCTACTCCAACAGGCATGATGCTTGGTAGCACTGTCCGTCGCTCTCGGATACTATGATCCCTATAGCTGATAGGGGCTCCAAGCATGGTGTATGGGTTTGTAAAGGTCTCATAAGTCTTGCGAGGGGTCTGTTCTGCCGCTTGCTCTACACTGGTATCGGGAGCGGTTGCACTGGTACGGCGAGTGGTTTTCTCAAGGACTTGACCAGCGACGGCCACAGCTTCTGCGGGAGTGGGTGCCCTTCTCCCTTGTTGTGAAGGAAAGAGCTGTTGCTGCAGGTGGAGCGGGATTGGAAGGCTCTTGGAAAGCAGTTTGAATGCATTAACCTGGGTGCGCAGAGTCGCCATTTGGTCCTGCGTAAATGCGGTGCCAGCATAAGCGCCTATAGAAGGGGCGGGTTTGTCCGAGGCAGCAGGTTGTGAGTTCTGTGTGCCATTTTGAGGAGCCGGTGCTGCTGTGAGATCAACAGCGGGCGCGGAGGACTTCCCATCGGCCATCGTAATAGCTGACGGCTTTGCGCCGTTCGTGACTGCCACTTGCGAAGCACCGTTCTGCTGCTGCTGTTGTTGCTGCATTTGCTGCATCTGTTGCTGCCGCTGCCACGCTTGCCTCTGCTTGGCCAGGTTCGTCTGTTGTTGCACAGCTTGAAGCAGGTTGCGGGCTTTGAGGAACTCCGGATCGTCCTCCCTGGTGCCTTGGGCTTTCATCTGTTGGTATTTCTATTGACAAAAGTCAGTACAGGCCGTTGTAAAACTTCTGTGGATCGCAGGGGATGTGAACCACGGCTCGGAGACAAACTCACCTGGTATGCCTGCTGGACAAGCTCCCGCGTCAAGTTGGCCGGTAACGGCATTATCCCAGCAGCCTGGGGAGGATAAGGCCCCGGAGGCTGTACCGACGCCATGTTGAATGCGCTCCCACCCCTCTACTCGCGCGAGAGTGTTTGATTATTATATCCCAAGATACAGCGAATAGGAAATGGCAGCCTTGCGAAGTGGCGGTAGGCTGGGTCAAAGCTGCGTAAATGCGCTGTGCCGTGGAGCGCGTACCATCAGCGAACGGTGGATTTGTTGATGTCTGCCAAGCGCGTGGGTTGGTACTCTGATGGAGGGTGGACGGGAGTGCGAGGGTACAGTCGCAGTCGCGGCAGGGTGAGGTGAATCGTAAGGGCGCAGTCGAAATGAGCGTGGGTTGGTCGGGTGCGAAAGCGCAGCGCGCGGCGGTGGTAAATGTAGCTACGCGTCGAGGTGAACGTGTTGCAGGGCGGGGAGACGTTCAGGACCACGAAAGTCGATGTTCGTGATGGCCAGTGTCATCTGCTTTGGAACGTGAGAGCGAGCGGCTGAGAGCCAGATCGAGTGGCCGGCAAGGCACGTATCACGTGATTGCCCCCTTAGTCACCACCCTGACCCTGAGGAACCATCACCAGCTTCAGCCCTACCGTGTCCACTTGCATCAAACGGCAGATGCTGGGCATGCTATGTTGCTCTAAATGAGCCCGGGAGCAGCAACCCAAGCCCGGCATTGCACAAATCTAACTGTACGATCACGAGGGGCACGAATGAAGTTGGCATTGTCCTTCCATTGCTACACCATGCGTGCCCGAAGGCTGCAAACATCCCTTGGGCAGAGACCCAGCTATCCTGTCGTCCGCAACTAAACGCCTGAGCCCCTTGCAAGCACTCGTCTGCGGGTATGGCCAAAGACATCCTGCTACACAAATGGGCCCGGTGAAGGTCCCGTGATCTGGCATGATAATAGGTATTTCCCCAGGCCCAGTCATTTCCGCCATGGATTCCGGCAGCTGATGCTGTTTGATAGTAATCGACAACCGTGTCCATGTCCAGGCTACGGTAAATAAGGTATGGGGTATCTTAGTTGGAACGTGGTGCCCACATCAACCGGACTCCATCAATCGCTATCGTCGTCGCTGCCGTAGCCGACCAGTGCCGTGCCCGATCCGGAAGCAGCCGGTTTTGCCGTGGTGAAAGTAACGCCAGTCCCTCCACCATATCCCTTCAGCGCCGCAAGCGCCGAGCTCGACAGTATCCCGCCATTTTGCTCCTCCTTCGTCTCCTTTTCTTGCCGATCCGCATCCTCCAGCAATAGTTTCTCTTCCGATATTTCCAACATTCCACCATTCCGACTTGCCTCTAAAGCCGCCTTCTCTTTCGCGTACCACACATCATCCGGCGCATCATAGCCTTGCAATCCAAAGCTGCCCTCAATCTTTCGCCTCTTTTTCGCGTCGGGATCCCGCCCTTCGATCTCGGCCACGAAGTCTGCCGGTAACGCGCGCCGGACGGCCTCTGCTGCTTGCTCCTCTATTCGGTGTGCTTCTCGTTTCTGGGCTGCGGGGTTCGGGTCTGCGGTCGCCCACCGCACGTTCAGCACCTCGTTGTGATCTAGTGCCTGATGCGCCATTGCCTATTAACGTCTTGCGTTAGCCTTCCTGCTTCCTCGACTGGAGATTACGACAAAAGCGGATACGACTTACCTCTTTTGCAAACTGCGCATTCGCTTCATTTGTGTATGTGACGAAGGCAACTCCTCTCTGCGTCAAGCATCGTGTACGATCGATCTGACCCCATTCCTGGAAGTGCCTCGCTACTACCTCCTCGATGTCGTCCGTTACGTGTATCCTTCCCACGTAGAGCGTTCGATTCTGCCGCATGAAGGACCCCACACCTCCCATATCATCCCTGTAGTCGCTGTGCTTGTCTCGCCCGAAGCAGTCGATGTTCGGGTTGAAGATGTCGTGTAAGCCGGGCAGTCGGTGCAGATACTGACAGTTCTGCCCGTTCGGACACAGCCCCCGTGCGAAGAATAGGCAAAAGTACGACCCGGGAACGGAGTCTGCGCGCGTGTATCCGGAGTCCTTGGCGATGTTGCAGCGGGAAGGCGCGGCATGCTTGGAGAGGTACTTGTCTTCGCGGTCGCCGCCGCTCCATTTGTTGTACCAGATGTTGAAGATAGTTCCGGTCTGCGGCGGCGGTTCGAGCTTGAATTCCGCGGGATCAACCTGCGGACGCGCTGGCCGCCGCTTCTTCTTGCGCACTATCTTCCTCACTTTTTTCCCTTCCTCATTTGTGGATACGAGAGCGGTAGAGGTGTCTTCTGCGGGTAGTATTGAAGCGTTGGTGGTGCTTAATAGAGTTGTTGTGTCGGCGGAGGGATCTGGGGGAGGGCTGGGAGAGACGGCGGCGTCTATCGTAACCGCTGACATGGTAGGCGGTAGAGGCGACTGTACTTCTGTCATTGTGGAGAGAGTATGGGGATGCAGCGCCGTCGGGAGGTTGTCAAGCGAAACTGAGGCGGATGCCAAGCTTCCGTGTACGAAGCAGTGACACGATGGATAGTCACGTGATATGGCAAGCCCGACTGAGCCACAGACACCAAAGCATAAGATATTGTTCAAGGCACAACAGGAAGATGCAACAAATCCTCCGTATTACTTCAAAGTCGCCGAGGAGAGCCGTGGGGTCGTATCCGTACTACCAGGGGGATGTACACCGAGATTGATGAATATGAATCACCTCCGCAACCTTGAGCGATTCGCCAACTATTCGGCCGGGAACGCCTCCTCGTACGAGGGCGTCCGAACCAAGAGCGGTTTTCTGGGCGTTTGTGGGTGACTCCTTTGGCAGGCAACAGCATTATCTACATTCCCATTGCATGGCAGCTTCATCATGCCCGGCACTCCCGAAGGCTTACCGTTCCACCTAAGACTGACGGTGCCAAAAATGGTTAAAAGCGTCGAGTAACGAGCGGTCGGCATGTCGGTGACAGGATGCCCCAACACTACTTACATCACCCAAATTTCACGATGGCCTTTGAATTGCCGGTTTGGGGCGTGTATGCAACGGCCGTAACTCCTGTATTGGAGTGTAGCTTGCCCAGGTGCCCTACAAGGGCTCTCCCGCTGACCTCACTGTCTCGGACGGTGAACTGCAATGGTTGACTCACAGGTGCGTGCGAAGACAAGATGCAGCACTCGTACGAGTTCGGAGAGAATGAAGAGCCCGGATACGTATGTTAGTTAGGGCTGCAGCTGCGAAGTTGCGAATGACTCGGCAAGCGACATGCGAGTCTGGGGCAAGCGCGGCGGCCAATCCTCAGCCCGGCGACTTTTCTCGAGCAGCGCAGCCGAGGGATGGACGTCTTTGTGCAGCACACGCATCCCTGTACATCATGCTCGGATGTGGACGATACCGTGATGCCGTGCACAAGTCGCCGCCATTGACTGACTGTCTTATGGCAGCCAGGCGCCCTCTTTACGAGGCCACACCCTTCCAGCTGTGGCCTCTCGACTTCTTAAACCGTCTTCTATCTCTCCTTTGGCCTGAGCGCCTACTTCTCAACTTTCACAACTCCATCCTCCGCTCCTCATACCGCCATCAGTGGCCGTCCCTTCCCACGCCACGCTCCGCACCACACCCTCCACCAGTAGCCTCTTATTCTTGACGGCCACCGTAACTGCGCTGAATTGAGACACTCCCTTCGCAGCGTCTGTAGACCAAGGCGGTATTTTCCTGTTTGGTGCACCCAGTGGAACGTCCACCCCGCGGCGAATCTCGCTAGCGCAATCATCTCCATTACCTTCCAGGTCGAGCAAAGGACCATAGCAACATCACACGATGAGGGGAGTCAACGAGAAGGCTTCAAACAGCTCGGGCAGTGAGGGCGCCTCCATCGACGAGATCACTCAAGACCGCGAGAAGGCTCTAACCGGCCAAGCGCCAGTCCCCGTGGATCCTGGCGTGTTGGAGAAGCTAGACTCCCGCGTAGTGAAGGTAGAAGAGGGCGACGATGATCCTCTTGGGCACCTTCCGGAGCATGAAAGGCAAATTCTTAAGCGACAGTTGGATGTCCCGCCGGTCAAGGTTACCTATATCACCCTCTACCGTTATGCCACTACGTGGGACAAAGTCATTATTGCCATTTCCGCCATCTGTGCTTTTGCGGGAGGTGCTATCCTGCCGCTGATGACGGTAAGTTATGTTTCGAGCAGTTGCAAAAGGGCAGTACTAACATTGGCAGATCATATTTGGACAACTTGCAGGGACTTTCCAGGGACTCTTCCTCGGAACTCTTGCCGAGGGTCAATTCGCCAGCGACTTGGCGAAGTTCACGTTGTACTTTGTCTATCTTGGCATTGGCGAGTTTGTAACAATCTACATCACCACAGTGGGCTTCCTCTATACCGGTGAACACATCTCGAGCAAGATGAGAGAGGAGTACCTTCAGGCTATCTTAAGGCAGAACATAGGTTTCTTCGACAAGCTCGGTGCCGGCGAAATCACCACTAGGATCACATCCGACTCGAACTTAGTTCAGGACGGCATATCTGAGAAGGTCGGGCTTGTTCTGACTTCTCTGGCCAGCTTCATCACAGCTTTCGTGATTGGATTTGTCGTTTATTGGAAGCTTACACTGATCCTCACTTCAACAATCTTCGCCATCACGTTCACCATGGGCGGCGGCTCTAACTTCATGATGAAGTACAACAAGAAGTCACTGGAGTCGTACGCACTCGGAGGGACTGTAGCAGAAGAGGTTCTGAGCTCCATTCGGAATGCCACTGCCTTCAATACCCAGGACAAATTGGCTCGCCAGTACGACGTACATCTGAAAGAGGCCGAGAAGTGGGGCCTCAAGATGAAGATCATTCTGGCGGTGATGATTGGGGGAATGATGGGCATAATCTACCTGAACTATGGTCTGGCCTTCTGGATGGGCTCGCGGTATCTTGTTGCCGGTGAGACGGAGCTGTCAGACATCATTACCATCCTATTGGCGGTCATCTTTGGTGCTTTCTCGCTCGGCCACATTGGACCGTGGATTTCGGCATTTACCACTGGAACAGCCGCAGCGGCCAAGATATACAGCACCATCGACAGGGTTTCACCATTGGATCCAATGACGAGTGCCGGGAAGACATTGGATGTTGTCGAAGGAACCGTTGAGCTCCGCAATGTCAAGCATATCTATCCCTCTCGGCCAGAGGTGGTAGTGATGGAAGACGTTAATCTTGTTGTACCGGCTGGGAAGACTACTGCGCTTGTTGGAGCTTCAGGCTCAGGAAAGAGTACCATCGTCGGCCTTGTGGAGAGATTCTACGACCCTGTTGGGGGCACTGTGCTGCTCGACGGTCACAATATCCAGGATCTAAACCTTCACTGGCTCCGTCGGCAAATTTCTCTGGTGCAACAAGAGCCCGTACTCTTTGCGGTTAGCATTTTCAGCAACATACGACACGGGTTGATTGGTACGAGCTATGAGCATTTGGGTGAGGAAAAGATCAAAGAGATGGTAATAAACGCTGCAAAGATGTCCAACGCCCATGATTTCATCACCGCCCTACCCGAAGGCTATGAGACCAACGTTGGCGAGCGTGGCTTCCTAATGTCGGGTGGACAGAAGCAGAGAATTGCCATTGCCCGTGCAATCGTTAGTGACCCTAAGATCCTTCTGTTGGATGAGGCAACCTCCGCCTTGGACACGAAGAGCGAAGGCGTGGTGCAAGCCGCGCTTGACAAAGCAGCTCAGGGCCGCACCACCATCGTCATTGCCCACCGTCTGTCGACCATCAAGGGCGCCGACAACATTGTTGTCATGACCAAGGGGAGAATTGTTGAACAGGGTACCCATGACGGATTGCTCGAAAGGAAGGGAGCCTACTACAACCTGGTCGAAGCACAACGCATCTCAGCTGCCAATCAGGGCAAGGACGAAGATGAGGTTGCCATTCTCGACGAACGAGATGATCAGCTGTGCAGTCCGGCCACTGAGAAGGGCAATGCCTTTGACTCCGACCCCGACGATGTAGATCCCGCCAACAGGCTGAATCGAACTCAGACTGGCAAGTCGGCATCGAGCATTGAACTGCAGAAGAGGAAGGCAGAGACAAAGGGAGAATACTCACTTTGGACGCTCATAAAGCTCGTCGGCAGCTTCAATAAGAAGGAATGGCACTTCATGCTCATTGGGCTCTTCTGGTCCATCATCGCTGGTGGCGGTAATCCTGTACAGGCTATCTTCTTTGCCAAGTGTATCGTCGCCTTATCCCGGCCTCCAAACGAATATGCGCAGCTCCGCAGCGAAGCGAACTTCTGGAGCGCGATGTACCTCATGCTCGGCATCACTCAATTCATTTCGTTCTGGGGTCAGGGCATTGCGTTTGCTTTCTGCTCCGAACGACTTGTCCACCGCATCCGAGACCGAGCATTCAGGACGATGCTCAGGCAAGATATCGCCTTCTTCGACAAGGAAGAGAACAACGCTGGCGCGCTCACCTCGTTCCTGTCGACCGAGACAACCAAGATTGAGGGCCTTAGTGGAGTCACTCTCGGCACGCTTCTCATCGTCACCACTACCCTTGTCGCCGCCATCGCGATCTCCCTCGCCATCGGATGGAAGCTTGCTCTCGTCTGCATAGCGACGATACCGGTCCTTCTAGCATGCGGTTTCTTCCGCTTCTGGATGCTCGCAAGATTTGAGACGCGCTCAAAGAAAGCGTATGCCAACTCTGCCAGCTACGCTTGCGAAGCCACTTCGGCCATCCGCACCGTTGCCTCCCTCACGCGCGAAGATGACGTCTACCAGCAGTACCACGCAAAGCTTGTCGCACAACGCCAGAAGAGTCTCCGATCCATCCTCAGATCATCGATACTGTATGCGGCATCTCAGTCTCTTATGTTCCTCTGCATGGCTCTCGGCTTCTGGTATGGTGGCACCCTACTGGCAAGCGGCGAGTACACCATGCTTCAATTCTTCATCTGCTTTACCGCCGTTACTTTCAGCGCCCAGTCCGCCGGCACGATCTTCTCCTTCGCACCGGACATGGGCAAGGCCAAGCACGCCGCCGCGGGTCTCAAGGACCTCTTCGACCGCAAGCCCGAGATCGACTCGTGGTCTGAGGTCGGGCAGAGACTGAGCGGCATGGAAGGCTCCATCGAATTCAGGGACGTACACTTCCGCTACCCGACGAGGCCTGAGCAGCCCGTACTACGTGGGCTGAATCTCACGGTCAAGCCGGGCCAGTACGTTGCGCTTGTTGGCGCTAGCGGGTGTGGCAAGAGTACTACTATCGCTCTTCTGGAACGTTTCTATGACCCTTTGGTCGGCGGTGTCTACGTCGACGGCCGCGAGATCTCGAGCCTCAACATCACTGATTACAGGAGCTACCTCGCGCTTGTTAGCCAGGAGCCGACACTGTACCAGGGCACTATACGGGAGAACATCTTGCTTGGCGCCGACAACGACGATGTCTCTGAGGAGTTGATCGTTCAGGCTTGCAAGGACGCCAATATCTATGAGTTTATTCTGTCGCTGCCGTAAGTTCCTAATCCAACAACCATCGTGTGATCACCACTGACTTGAACCCACAGCGACGGCTTCAACACCATCTGCGGCAGCAAAGGCACGCTCCTCTCCGGCGGCCAAAAGCAGCGCATAGCCATTGCACGCGCCCTGCTCCGCGACCCGAAGATCTTGCTCCTCGACGAAGCGACCTCGGCTCTAGACTCGGAGTCAGAGAAGGTCGTCCAAGCAGCCTTGGACGCCGCGGCGAAGGGTCGCACGACGATTGCTGTGGCACACAGACTGAGCACGATCCAGAAGGCTGATATCATCTACGTGTTTGATGGTGGGAGGGTCGTCGAGAGGGGGACGCACAGCGAGCTGATCACGAAAGGCGGCAGGTACTTCGAACTCGTGTCTTTGCAGAGTTTGGGGAAGGCGCATTAAGGTAGTGCTGTTTGCCATTAAGGTTAAAGGTTTTGGCCGTGTATTGAGCATTGCGGCGGCGTTGGGCGATATACCACTCTCGTTCCACGAGATGCATGTCTGGTCGGCTTGGTTCGCCGTAACATTCGTCCTTTTATTCAAGTTGTAGACGTAGTACCTCAGCTCTTCAGCTGCAGCATATGTCACGAAAATTCGCAAGCTACTTCCGCACTGATCGCTTCTTTCGTTCCACCTAGCCATGCCACGCGATTGCAGGATAGCGATGGGTTGCTCCGTTCTCGTTCTGGTGTAAGAGCTGCCTGCAAGAAAAATCACGTCAGCCGTATCGCTCAACTCCTACGCAATATGTGCTACCCACCCCAGAAGCTACACAACACCCTCGCCATTTCTTCCCTTCCCACAACAATAACACCCTCCGTCCTTGCCCCTGCGCACCTCTCAGCCACGCAACTCGCATTCCGTCCTCCGCCCACGTAGCGTAAGTCATGATCCGTTTTCGTTTTGGGAGTCATACTCGAGTACTGCGTCAATCCTTGGCCTCGATCCCGAACTCCTCCTGCACGTCCTTGATTCTGACACCCCGCGCATCGGCAATCAGCCCCATGAGGCCGAGCCCGACATCCCGGATCTCGTTGTAGTCGTGCAGCAGCGTGATATGGCGCTTTATTACCGCTTTTGCTGCTGCGAGGACTGCGGCGTCGGAATGGATGGGGTCGGATACCTGGCTGGAAGGGGGAGACGATGAGTGGTTGGAAGGGAAAGGGGAGGCTGGAACGTGGGGGAGGCCCTCCCCTGTGATGCTTCCGTTTAGGTACTCCAGAGTGGGTGAGATTGATGGCAGAGCGGAGAGTTGCTCCGAGAGACTGTCGCGGGTGGCTGTGAGGTGGGCTAGCGTGGCTTCGAGCGAGGTCTTGCGGGCCTCGAGGGCGGCCTGACGGGTGTCAGGAGGGCCCTATCGTCACGAGACTGTGCACGGGACTTACTATACGCTTGTCTTTGGGCGGCTCTGTGAGTTTGGGAGTAGGACTTAAGGATTGCTGTGCGATATCGAGCTGGGAGCTAGAATGAGGGTCAATCTGAGATTCGGATTCTGAGGTGTCCTGAATGGGCTCGCCATATCCGCTCTGTCCTTTAGTTTGTTCTTCCTGCGCGTCCTCAGTGACTGCTGGGAGGTTAGCTGAGTGATGCCCTGAGGTGTGTCCGGCATTGCTAGTCATGTCGCGCTCCTCGTATGACGAGCTTAACAGAGACACCTGACTTGAGTCCGGTATTTCCATAGTTACATCAGCGGAACAAGCAGTCTCTGCCAGAGCTGGCTCGTCTGATGGCGATACAATATCTGATTCCTCGATCAGTGAACCTGATGGGTTTCCAACAGAGTCGATCTCCATCGCGTTGTGGATGGTTTGAGACGGAGCCACCTTTGGCCGAGCGTCTGATAGACCGAGGCGTGACTCTGTTTGCCGGTGATACGTGTTGCTATCACAGACGTCCCCATGCTCAGAGATGCCGCGGTTCTGGACAGCATTTTGCTCATCTTTGGATGGTGGCTTCGCGGTATTCGTTATTGATTCATCCGTCATCTCTGCGTGCGATTCCGAGCCGTGCGGCTCATCAGCAGCGTCCATCCTCCAAGCTCCTCACGAGGTTCTCTACCATGCCGATGATAGTTTGGGGTTGTCGGCAGTAGGTATCATGGTACTGGGACGTGATGGAAGACACCTAGGTAGAGACTGCAGCCCTACCTTATCCGTCAGCCTTATCGGTGATGCCTCGGCGTTCGCTAAGGCAGCCTCTCTCCTGATCCCTGGGTTTCCCGTGCATGTCCGCAAGCAAAGACACGGCTGACACGCCCAACTACCCACCACTTCTGCCATGCGCCTATACAGCTACTGATCTGGAAAGTAGTAGGAAGACATACGCAACCGGTTCCGGATCACAACACTCCTTTACCGCCCCTCTTGTCCCCCCATTAGCAACATGTTCGCCTCCGGGCACGGCGGCGCAAGCGTTTCCAAGGCTATTACGGCCTTGGCCATAGCAACCTTTCTGTTCGTCGTGCGGGTACAGGGGCACGAGCACCATGCGGACAAGATACCGGAGGGAGAAGCTGTCTCGGTAGACCCAATTGTAAACCACGCGGAACAGTGAACCCATCTTGCGCCGGTGCTGACACAACACTCAGGACTCCATATTATGGGTGCACATTCTCGTACAGTCGGCAGCCTGGGGGGTGCTCTTCCCCACAGGCATGGTGTTGGGGGTATGTGTCTGCCTTTCTTGCCTTTTGTCGGTCCTATACTCACCACTCCTCGCTCCTCCAGATCATCCGCTCCCGCTGGCACGTCCCCGTCCAATCCGTCGCGGCCTCCCTAGCAATCCTAGGCTACATACTGGGCCACAAGCACAAAGGCCGGCAATTCAGATCCAACATCCACGCCGCCTTCGCGCCCTCCCTCATGCTCATGCTCACCCTCCAAGTCGTCCTAGGCATCTTCCTAAAACTCCACATTGAGCGCGGGATCCTGGGCCGCATACGGAAGCCCATCGTCACCTGCCACGGTGTCATTGGGAAGCTGCTGCCAGTCGCGGCTTGGATCCAGATGCTCTTTGGCGGCATAACGGCGCTCGGATTCTGCCGCGGCGACCATCTGGGGCAGTGTCTGGCGCACTTTATTATGGGCAGCGCGTTCATTGGATACGGCATCGTTCTTACAATACTTCTCCTGGTCGGCCAGCTGTGGCTGCGGAGGACCGGGCGGAGCCAGGAGTTCTTCGATTCTCTGGTCATTGCGGCGTGGGGCTGTGTCAACACGTTCACGGAGCATAGGTGGGGCGGGCCGTGGGTGCACAACGACTTGCAGCACACGGCCATGGGAATTATCTGGTGGGCCGCGGGATTGGTGGGTATCTGGCTCAGCAAGAAGCGTGACGGACAGCCGAAAAGAAACATCATACCCGGCATGGTCATTCTGCTTACGGGTTACGCGATGTCGAGCCATCCGCAAAACCTGCCGCTCAGCACGATGGTGCATACCGTGTTCGGATACACGCTCATGGGCGCGGGGCTAACAAGAATCATCGAGATTGCGTTTGTGCTAAGGGACAAGAACGCGACGACAGAGGATGGGAGCGATCCGAACAGCTTCCAGTATTTGCCGGTTTTTGTACGTATATTCGGCCTCAAGGTTACCGTTAATGGCAGCGGCACCAAAGGCTAACTGTACCCGCAGCTTCTCTACGCCTCCGGCTTCCTCTTCATGGGCGCCACAGAAGAGCAAATGGCGCTGCTCTCCGCCGCCGGGGTGACTCACGTTGCATACGTCCTCATTCTTTACAGCATCGCCTTCCTCCTCTTCCTATGTGAGTCTCCCCTATACCCTCTCCCGTGGTCCAAGACACTACTTCGTTTCCTAACGCATCAAGCCAGTCGTCAACATGCTCCTCCACCTCTACGCAACACATGCCTGGCCCGCGCCCACAAAGCCAGACGTCGAGTCGCCACCGCAGCATCGGCGATCCAGTTCAATGCCAAACGGGCAGCCCCATAGGCCGAACGGGCATGTGGAGAGACAAATCCGGGATGCGGAGGAGTTTGAGCTTGAGGGGCTTATGACTGATGATGATGAGCCGGACGCGGCCGCTGCGAAAAGAAACGGGACTGCGGTAAGAGCGCGGTAGTAGAGGTTGGCGAGGTGTGTGTGGCATTGGGCGGCGTTTCCGGGCCCGTTTGGACGCGGGGCAATCTTGTGGATAGGATGTGGATGTGTAAATATCGTCTATATACCATTTTGTCAAATGCCTTCAAGTGGCAGCGATCCCTTTTTGTGGCGTCGATACAGTCGATCAGTGCTTATTGCTTCGCCGCAACACATGACAACCTTGGAACCTTGGAACCTTGGAACTGCGTACGCACGGAAATCATTAGTGGTACTGCTTCAATGACGAGCATGTGACCACGGGAAAGCGCGACGGCTTGCTTGCACTTCCATCTTCAACATCAAACCCGCGACTGCCGCCCCAAGATGAGTCCGCTTGTCTAGCAAAGGAAAACCACGGGCAAATACTGAAGCTGTGCTGTTAACTTATATTCAATCCCCCACACCGAAGCACCCGCTCCACCATCATCAAGCTCGCAATCAACAGTTGCAGCATGGCTTCACGGCCGTCAGACGCCAACATCGCGGAATTCTGCGCTATCACCAATGCAAGTTACGCGCAGGCTATACAGCGGCTTCAAGTTCGTATCACTTGATAACAATCTTCACTTTCTTGAGCACCACCTTGCTGACGTTTCGATGCAGCAAGCCAACAATGACCTTCAATTAGCAATTAACAACTACTTCGGCGATGATGCAACCACAGAGGTCCGTACTAGCTCTCGTAAGATCTATTCGCGGACTCTTACCTCGTGTGGCTCTTAGGCAAACACTCAAGACTGGGTAGGCCCCCAAACGCATCAGCAGTGGGAGGAGAGTCAGTTCTCGGGTGCTCGAGACGGCCAAAATTCAGGAAATGATATTCCATGTAAGCGGCTCAACCGGCAGAAGACTGGACTCATGGCTCGGCGAGAATTTTGAGTCAATCTCAGCGAGCATAGCAAAGCAATCCGGCATTGAATTCAACGCCAACTGATGCATATTAGCCTTTCAAATCGAATCCTACGACGGCAATTCCTCTCGCGCCATCAGTACCGCACCCACCCGACCTCCATCAAGAGCCAGCCAACGTTCTACGCAGATGACTGACGCGAACATGCCAGGTACGGTCCCCACAGAGGCACCCGGAAAGAAACCTCTCAAAGTCAAATTCAAGCTACCATCAGGTACGCAATCATGCAAGAACATATAGATAACGTATTTTTATCCACAGGGCAAGCCACGCAGCAAGAGACTGGTGTCACCGGCACCTCGTCGACCACCTTCGGGCCGGCAAGGCTGGCCTATTATCCTGCTGACGCGTGGGCCATGACCGTAGCACCCAGCAATGAGGTTAGCGATAGCACAGAGCCAGCGTCTATGCGCAAACGCAGCCTGGAACCGGCATTTCTATCTTCGAATGAATACTCAAACGAACTACCCGCTCTGATCACAATCTTGCATGCCATTCCGGAGGTCCGTAACGCGTTTCTGTGCAGCGATTTCGCCCTGCCAGACTACAGTAGAGACGCGGACTGGTGGAAGGGATCTTCAGCCACTGAAGGTCGCATCACGGATTCTACGAGCACACAGGACCAAGATACCGCAAGCCAAGATACTTTTATGGCCGAGCTTCAACGCCTCATGGCCTTTCTTGATAGCACCGAACGCAAGTCCGGTAGTGCTCAATTGCTAATGCAAATTCCTGCTTTCGAAGAATTCATGAAAGAGGACTCCGTATCCACGTTCCTCAAAGTATGGTACGGCATATCACGTTCAAGAGGATTCGCAGGGCAGCAGCTATTCTGTTACAATCGTACCAAAGTAGAACCTAATTCCATCCGCCGGAAGGTCCTGGAACATGGCTTGGCCATTGCTGTGAGCATCGAAGATGTCGACGCGAGCTTCGAAGATATTCTTGAGAAGGAAGTGTATCCTCCAGACGAGAAAGCTGCAGAGCTCGGCTTCGAAGAATTCCCAGAAGTCTTCGTCGTTCGACTTACGAATGCTGTACGGGTCAGCATACCGGCCTTGCTCAATGTCGCTCCGTACTTGACACGAAATACGGGTGTAATCACATCCTTGCGGGAAAGCGAGGCAGAATCAGAGGCCGAGCTCGCTCGTATTGATCGCAAGATGGACAAGGTCGGGAAGATCACGTACAAAGGCGTAACCGGAGAGGCGCTGGTATTTATCCAAAGAGTGATGACCGCATTTGAGGATCCGGTTCAACCGACTGCTGAGGGCAACCATATATCTACAATCTCTATGCCGAAACATGATGAGAAGGTCGAGCCAAACGGATTGGAGGTATGTGTTGTTGATTTCTTTGCCTTTGGTTTGCCATGCGAAAAGTTCCACATTACATCCACGCGTTACTAGGGGCAAGGAAGTGCTTGTTGTGACGAGCTCCAAGTGCTGTCTAGCGCATAACTAACACCGGCCTCACCAGCGGCCTTCGGACACCGAGAAAGCCAACGCACTAGCTCTCCGCCAACTTCAAGCAGTCTACGAACGCGTCAAAGCCGAGCTCGATGGTGCGATCCCCATTCCCCTTTCAGCTGCCCTCCCACTAACCTGCTCTCAGCACTCGAGAAACAGAAAACCGAAATACGTGAATCCATCGCACGTCAACGCGCCGAACTCCGGGATCCCACTCCCCAAGGCGACAACCAAGCCCCTCCCTGGACCCTCCGTGGCATTTCTCTCAACGGTCGCGTGACTTATGTACTACAGCCGCCCCCAAACCCTACTACAGCCGACACCGACGGGACCGTTTTCGCATTTCAAGACCCCACATGGTGGAGGCTGGAGGAGAGGGTCGCAGCCGTGGCCCTCGAAGAAGCAGAAGTCCTGGAGCAAGTAACGCGGGATAGCAACGGCGAAGTCATGCTCGTGTACGCCAGCCCTTCCACGCTCAAGCCAGCAGCCAAGGGTCTGTCAAAGGAGCTCGCGGCGTTCGTGAAGCAAGATAATGAGTTCTTCTATGAGGAGCTCGCTCAGGAGACGCAGCAGGAAGAGCAGCGGAACGCGGGTGGGACCGAGGAGGACGACGTGAGTAAGGGTTGGGACTCAGGAGGCCCTCCGCCTTACAACTCGTGGGAGGAAGACAACAACGTGGAAGAGATTCCGCTGGATGACTTTCCGCATGCCGTACCTGAGGCTGATAGGGCGAGTTCAGTGACCCTGTCGGATGGGGCACAGACGACAGCGCCAGCGATGGAGATGACGGAGAAGAACCGGAACTCTGGCTTGATGGCCCAGTTAAGTTCCGCGAGGTCCGGTGGTAGTGGCGGTGCGGAGACGGTTATGGGGGATGGTGGGGAGATGGAAGTGGGTGTTGAGCGGAGGGGGAATGCTGAGCATAGAGAGTTTGCTTAGGTGGAAGCGAACTTGCGTGCGGCGTACGGCGAGCTGTCAATCCTAGCTCAGAGTATGGTGGGTTGACGGATGAATGAAAGGCTGTAGCATTACTCAGAGCTTCTCATAGCTGTATTGTTCTCATGAGATCTCTCAACCGGGAATAAACTCCCAAGTGGTGGCTAGCTTAATGCATTGGATGTTCTACATATAACTCTACGACAATGACCCAAAACAGATACAGTATAGTCTTAAAATGGTAGCCATAGTCCGCTTGCTGCTTTCCTCCATAAGTTGAGCGCCTACCGATACTCAGATAACAGGAAGCCCTTCTCGGATCTTCCCCGGATCTTCGTAGGGCTGTCGGTATGTTCCACGCCATGTCAATGCTGTCATTGGCCCAAGCTGAATGCATTTCTACCTAGGCTGCCCGGCATTCTCACGTTGACCCTTGTATCGACTCCCAGCACCTCAGCCTCGACTATCCGGATAGACTACTCCTCCAGCAGCCTGGGGAGTAAGCGTGTCATCCCGAGTCCTTCACCCAATGCACGCCGGCACCGGTTCGCAGGCTCCGCAGACGCCGTTCACGTTTCCATACGCCTACGGATACCTCGGGGCTACGGCACGCAGGATTCAGCCGCTATGTGGTAACGCTGAAGGATGGGGCCCACTGAGCCCGGTCAGATACGACTTCACGCCCTGCTTCCTTGATGTCTGGATATCGGCTGTGGCAGTCGGAGGGATTGTCTGCGGGGCGGGGGCCGTGTGGTATTTGCTCGGGAAAGGCAGCCCGGAGCCGGTGAAGAAGAATTGGCATTTCTATGCTAAGCTTGTAAGAGGACACATGGCATGATGCGTACGGTGGCTGACAGAGAGGTATCTCCCAGGCTGTCGTCGCGGGCCTCATCATCACCTTCGCGCTGCAGGCAGCACTCCAAGTCGAATACTACAAAGATGTGTGGGCTGGAGACTTCAGGTTCTGGACGAACATCATCACTATACTCTCGCTGTGTGTAATAGGTTACATCCAATACATCGAGCACTGGAGATCACGAAATCCAAATGGCGTGGTCCTGTTCTACTGGCTGTTCCTTCTCATCGCCTTTGCCGTCAAGCTCCGCTCGCTCATAGCCCAGGGTATCCACCGGCAACACCTTGCATACTTCGTGGTCTTCTGTGTCAGTGTCGGCTTGGCTGCGGTCGAGCTGGCTCTAGAATGGCTCGTGCCAAAGCGGGTGGGTGCGTACGATGCGCTTGGAGACGAATACGAGTGTCCCTACGAGTATGCGAACATCTTTTCGGTATTGACATTCAGCTGGATGACGCCATTGATGAAATACGGGTACAAGCACTTCTTGACCCAAGAAGATTTATGGAACCTGCGGAAACGGGACGCTACCAGGACGACAGCGGAGATATTCGAAAAGACTTGGAAAAGTCAGCTCAAGAAGAAGAACCCGTCATTGTGGCTTGCCCTGTTTCGCGGATTTGGAGGGCCATATTTCCGAGGCGCATTGATCAAGACTGTTAGTGACACGCTGTCATTCGTGCAGCCGCAGCTGTTGAGGCTTCTCATAACTTTTGTGGACTCGTACCGAGGGGATAATCCTCAGCCTGTTGTACGCGGAGCAGCGATTGCACTGGCAATGTTTGCCGTATCGGTGTCGCAGACGGCATGTCTACACCAATATTTCCAGAGAGCCTTTGAAACGGGCATGCGCATCAAATCAGCATTGACAGCAGCGATATACTCCAAGGCTATGCGTTTGTCGAACGAAGGCCGTGCTGCCAAGTCAACGGGCGACATCGTCAATTACATGGCCGTGGATACTCAACGTCTTCAAGACCTGGCTCAATATGGACAGCAGCTGTGGTCTGCGCCCTTTCAAATTGTGCTGTGCATGCTCTCGCTCTACCAGCTCGTAGGCCTCAGCATGCTCGCGGGTGTTGGCGCTATGCTAATCATGATTCCGATCAACGGCCTCATTGCGAGGATCATGAAGACACTTCAGAAGCGGCAGATGAAGAACAAAGACGCAAGAACTAGACTAATGACGGAGATCCTGAACAACATGAAGTCTATCAAGCTTTATGCTTGGACGACAGCGTTTATCAACAAACTCAACTACATCCGTAACGAACAAGAGCTTAAGACTCTGCGTAAGATTGGCGCTTCCCAAGCATTCGCAAACTTTACGTGGTCCACTACCCCTTTCCTAGTGTCCTGTTCGACCTTTGCGGTCTTCGTCATGACCCAGGACAGACCACTCACCACGGACATTGTGTTTCCAGCCTTGACCCTATTCAATTTGCTGACCTTTCCGCTCTCTGTTCTTCCAATGGTCATCACAGCCATCATCGAGGCCAGTGTCGCGGTGGGCCGGCTGACGAGTTACCTCACGGCTGAGGAGCTGCAAGAAGATGCGGTCATTCGAGAACCAACGGTCCAGGAGAACGGCGAGGAATCTGTGCGCATCCGCGACGCGACGTTTACCTGGAATAAGGAAGAGCCTCGCAATGCCCTTGAGGACATCAACTTCTCCGCGCACAAGGGCGAACTCTCTTGCGTTGTTGGCCGTGTCGGCGCTGGAAAGTCCTCCTTCTTGCAGTCAATGCTTGGTGATCTTTGGAAGATTAAGGGCGAAGTTATCTTACGGGGAACATCAGCATACGTTGCCCAGTCACCATGGGTCATGAATGCTTCAGTCAAAGAGAACATCGTATTCGGATATAGATGGGACCCGCACTTCTACGATCGAACTGTGAAAGCTTGCGCTCTCCTTGAGGATTTCGCATCGCTGCCGGATGGCGATCAGACAGAAGTCGGCGAGCGAGGAATATCATTGTCGGGTGGTCAGAAAGCTCGTTTGACACTAGCAAGAGCTGTTTACGCTCGAGCCGACATTTACCTGCTCGACGATGTTCTGTCCGCCGTAGATCAGCATGTTGGAAGGCACATAATCGACAACGTTCTCGGGTCCAAAGGTCTGCTGGCTGGCAAGACTAGGATTCTTGCGACGAATTCAATTCCGGTACTGATGGAAGCAAGTTTCATCGCGCTGCTGCGGGACGGCAAGATTCTTGAGAAGGGCACGTACGAGCAGCTGATGGCAATGAAAGGAGAGATTTCTAGTCTCATTCGGACCGCACAAAACGAAGAGAGTCAAAGTGAAGATGAAAGCAGGGAGTCGGAGAGCGCTGGCAGCGACGAGACTGTCTATGGCGAAGGTCTTAACTCCGACGAAGATGAGCTCGCGATCGAGGAGCACCAGGAAGGTCTCTCAGAGCTGGCTCCCATCAAGCCAGGCGGCGGAGCGGCTCGCAAGTCGAGCTCGTTGTCTCTCCGCCGCGCGAGCACTGCCAGCTTCCGTGGTCCTCGTGGCAAGCTTACAGATGAAGAGGGCGCCGGTCTCAAGACTAAGCAAACCAAGGAGTTCTCGGAGCAAGGCAAAGTCAAGTGGAGCGTCTACGGCGAATACGCAAAAACAAGTAACCTCGTCGCTGTTGCAATCTATTTGCTCACGCTCATCGGCGCTCAAACAGCGCAGATCGGTAAGCAGCCGCTGTTCCGTTGAGAGCTCTTGCCATAACAGACCTGTCATATACTTGGCGTTCTGCATATCATAGCGCTAACTTGAGCCAGGGGGCAGCGTGTGGCTAAAACAATGGGCCGAAAGAAACGGCGAGGAAGGAGGTAATCCACAGGTGGGCAAATACATCGGTATTTACTTTGCCTTTGGCATCGGATCGGCCGCGCTCGTCGTTGTCCAAACATTGATTCTTTGGATTTTCTGCTCGATCGAGGTAAGTTTAGTGTGGGATTGCTTCTGTTGTGCCGTGACTAATGGGTGCACCCGCTAAACCCGTCTTCCACCCATAGGCCTCCCGCAAGCTGCATGAGCGTATGGCGTTCGCCATCTTTAGATCGCCAATGAGTTTCTTTGAAACGACACCGGCAGGCCGTATCCTTAACCGATTCTCCAGGTAAGACACTGCATCTCGCTTATGCACTTTGTTCAACCAAGAAAAAGGAAGTGGGAGAGGGAAACGTCTCCCAGCCACGACATGGGACTGGGGTCGAGCGGGGTACTCTGAGAGGGTGACACGTATGAGCTGCGTCAGCCACTGCCCCGACGACCTGGCTCGAAAGACGGGATGAAGGATGCATGGCGGGCACTAACAATGTTGCAGTGATATTTACCGTGTAGATGAGGTTTTGGCGTAAGTCGCTTCCCGACGTCACTGTTTGTGGCGCCCTGCTGACCTTGTCATAGGCGGACTTTCAACATGTTGTTCGTCAACACGGCAAGAGGTGAGTCCATTCAGACCCTGAACTTCCACCAGACTGAACTTCTTGCAGCTGCTTTCACCCTCGTCGTCATCTCAGCATCTACGCCAGTCTTCGCCGCGCTGATCTTACCACTGGGAGCGCTCTATCTTTACATTCAGAGATACTACCTGCGCACGTCACGGGAGCTTAAGCGTCTTGACAGCATTAGCCGAAGCCCCATCTACGCCCATTTCCAGGAATCCCTTAGCGGCATCAGCACCATCCGCGCCTATCGACAGCAGAAACGGTTCTCGCTGGAGAACGAGTGGCGCGTCGATGCGAACCTGAGAGCCTACTTCCCCTCTATCAATGCGAATAGATGGCTTGCAGTTCGGCTGGAGTTCATAGGATCAGTCATTATTCTGGCAGCGGCAAACTTCGCCATCATCTCCGTCTCCACGGGGAGCGGCTTGTCAGCTGGCCTGGTAGGTCTTGCTATGTCTTATGCCTTGCAGATCACCCAGTCCCTTAATTGGATAGTCCGCCAGACCGTGGAGGTCGAGACAAATATCGTCTCGGTTGAGAGAGTGCTGGAGTACGCTAGATTGCCCAGCGAGGCGCCTGAAGTCATTTCGAAGAACCGACCCCCAATCAGCTGGCCGTCAAAGGGAGCAGTCTCGTTCGTTAACTACAGTACGAGATATCGGCCTGGGCTTGACCTGGTGCTAAAGGGTGTCAACCTTGATATTAAGGCGCATGAGAAGATTGGTGTAGTTGGCCGCACCGGCGCTGGAAAGAGCTCACTTACACTAGCACTCTTCCGTATCATAGAGCCTGCTGAAGGTAACGTTAGCATCGATAATTTGAACACCAGTACAATTGGTCTGCTGGACCTTCGGCGGAGGTTGGCCATCATACCTCAGGATGCGGCTCTGTTTGAGGGCACAGTCCGAGACAACTTGGACCCTGGACATGTTCACGATGACACAGAGCTATGGAGTGTTCTGGGTAGATACATGACGCGCTCCATAGACACGGCTCGCTGGGTGCTGACTGGCTTTTAGAGCATGCCCGACTGAAGGAGCACGTCTCAAGCATGCCAGGAAGACTAGAAGCGCGAATCCACGAAGGGGGCAAGTGGCCCGCTATTGTTTACCTCTAAATCATGTCTCAGAAGTGTTGACTGTGTTGCAGGGTCAAACCTTTCCCAGGGCCAGAGACAGCTAGTTTCGTTAGCACGTGCCTTGCTCGCTCCAAGCAACATCCTGGTGCTCGATGAAGCAACGGTAAGTCTGCCCCAAGCCCGACGCAGGACGACTCGCCGTCACCAGTGACACAAAGCTGAACGTCGTGCAGGCTGCCGTTGACGTTGAAACCGATGCTCTGCTGCAGGCTACTTTGAGAAGCAGCATCTTCAAGGACCGGACGATAATCACGATTGCGCATCGTATTAACACGATCCTTGACTCCGACCGCATTGTCGTTCTAGACCATGGTACGGTCGCAGAGTTCGACACGCCGGCGGCGCTGGTGCGGAAAAGAGGGCTGTTCTACGATCTGGTCAAGGAAGCCAATCTGTTGGGCGCTTTGGACGCGGTTTCACAGCAGGAGGGTCGCGGTGGCTTGGGGGCTTGATCCAGCTCGGAGCGCTATTGCTGCACACAGCGGCCTGCAGAATTCACGAGAGCCTTTCGGCCTTTGTATTTGGAACGAAGTTTGACTTAGAAGTCCGCCGGCTGAAGAAAGAGATGTGCAGAATGTTTGCTTTATCTAAGTCGAACAACCCTGAAGGATAATGAGCTAATTGCAAGCGGCCGTGAGGGTGTGGCTGCTTTATGGAGTGGAAATCCAGCTACGGCTGGCTGGGCTGCTAACTTTAGGTAAACTGAGACGCGGCTTGCCGAAGCGTGAGGTGCCTAGGAAATGCAAGTGCGCTCGTCATCCCACCTGCGGCGCCGAATGCACTTGCGATGCTGGAGTGCCTTTATTCGGCACCCCGTGCCTGTTGGAGGGGGGGTGGGGGGAAATACTAGACCGTGCTTTTGAGGCTTTTGAGCTTGAACCGGGGAACTCGGGATCGACGCGCACAGGCTGCGATGGAACTTGTACAACGCGCTGCGGCGAGAGCTCCGCCGGCCAGGCGCATTCAGGTACGCGCCATCTCGGCGGGCCGCAACTCGAAGACGGAAAAGAAGGAGGCGATAAACTCTGACAGCCGCGGGTTCGCAGTGCCTAGCAAACTCTAACCACCACTGGGCGCCTGTCAGTCGCGTGGCAGGCGAGCAAGGCGGCTGAGAACTCTGATCGCCCGCTTGCACGGCACCACTGACATTTGAAGTCTATCAGCATCCACAACTGCCGCCGGCGCACGATGGTACGGCTGTCGGTCCAGCACCAAGATCGAAATGGAAAGACGCGCATCCGGTAGCCGACTTGATCGGCTGCGAAAAACGACATACAGATCTTGGTCCGCTTTGCACCGCAACGCGCAACGCGCAACGCGCAACCGGGCTCTCGGGCAGCGGAAGCTGGTCGGGGACTGTCGTCTGATGTGTGCGTCTGTCTGCTGTAGGCCAATCCGAGTCTTCTACGATGGGCAGAGCGAGCCGTGCCAGAATGTTGTGTAGCATCACTATTCTACATAGATCGACTGCAGCTGGCCGCCTGCCATCCACAGGTCGGCATGTCCTGCCTTCAAGGCCTTGGCGGATCATGCACCCCCAAGTGCCTCTGGCCAGTTCAGACAACCGGCATTGCGCTTGGGGAAGCAGGCAGCGTCTTCCGTGGTCCTTTGGCAGCACACCTGCGCGTCTAGGCGCCTATCAAACCGCTCTCCAGCTACCCAAGTCCATGACGGCAGCATGAGCGGCTGACGCACAGAATATTTTGGAGCCCTGGTCCTTACGCAATCCGCGGCGTGCTAGGTTGTTCAGGAGGAATATGCACTTCGCACCGAACACCCTGGGAATAGATGCTGCTAGCTACCGAGGTGATGTCCAGAGCAAGCCGTGCAAGGGCTCTTCAGCACCGCCTAAGCCTAGTTTATCTTCCGATTTGTGTCACATTCTGAGCAGCGTTCATTGGGAAATCTCTGCCTGTTGTTTCACGAGTCCGCACTGTTGCAGCGCAACCGCTTGGCCCACTAATCGGTGCTGCTTCTTAAGAATCACCGTGCCTGAACAATGGTCGACGAGTCTGACTATCGACCTCCCGTTCTTACTCGAAACTGTACAGATTCTCGCCGTTTTGGGACATCTGCCGTACTTCTATCTTCTCTTTGAGCTCCGTTGTTCTTTCCTGAATATTGCCACGGGACCGTCGACCGGGCACCGTCAGTCTATTACTTCGGGCCAGAGATCCTGGTCTCTTTAACGCTCTCTACGTCTGGAGTTGATCAGATGCGCAGTTCCGTTTAAGTTGCACAGAACATCTTGTGTTCAACTCCGCACCTGTTTTCGTATCCGCAGCCCCGCCGGAGTCGAGCACCACCTCAGCCTTGAGTTGCATGGCGATAAGGCTATCACTGTCTCCGGCCCCTATATTGCGCCGGTCAAGAACTCGACGTCAGCAGTACGAAAGAACCTTCGAAGGAAGCGGAATATTGATTACGGCTGCGAGGCCGTCGTTGAGCTTGTGCAAGGTTTTTTTATGCGAGGAACGTTGTCTTAACCAGGTATGCCCTGCCGGTCCACTTCATCCTTCAACTCTCAGCCGTCGGTTTGCACGTCACCAGCAATATCTCCCGTTTACTCGCATCCCGTTTTTGTTAGCAATCCTCAGGCTAACTTGATGCTGTCCCAAGTTCTGGCCTGGCGTCTGTCACTCGCATGCCCCCTGGGCGACCGAACCATCCGTTCACAACCCCACTGTTGCTTGGACTCGGACTTACTCCCGCTTGGCTCCTGCTTTCCCGCCGCTAGCTGGAGCGCAACCACGCCATCGCGAGGATGGTCCAAAACCACACCACCTTCGAAGTATCGACGTCTGGCCGCGCCATCTCGTCGAATGGCTCCAGCAAAGCGAAGCTACGCGCCGGTTGTGCCACTACGACTGCTATGCCCCCTATCACGGTGCGCCAAGAGCGAGTTCGAGAAACATCCGTGCGTTTCCCTTCTAGACTTGGGCGTTGGGAACCCCGCACCCGCGCCGTTCCTCGCAACCCCAGACTCTTGCCCCTCCAACGTCTTGGCGACCGCAAGCTAACCATGGTTATCAGACTATCCCCGTCGCCATTGACAAAACGTTGAGAGCCGAAAGCGTCGATGCAAAGGCATGGGCGCTCTCAGTCCTCGACGGGCACGGCCAAATCGACGTCTATCTCTCGAACAACGTCGGAAAATGGAGGAGCCGAATCATGCAGCAGGCTCGTCTCATGCTAGACCCCATCAAACAGGAGCACGAGCGGGACGAGTCTGACATCTTCTTGGATCAACCTGGTAAGCATGACTTGTCTGTACCGCTCTAGTCGGTTCGGCTGGCTTACGCGAACCTATAGCAAAGGACGAGTATGCCGGGGCAGAGCATGCCGTCCTCTTAGAAAAGCCCTCTTCATGCAACAGTCGCTCGGGTGTAACGTCCCCACGTGCAAAGCCAGGTCGATCGTCGCGTAGAAGCAAGGGCCGCAAAAGGCCCGATGGCCGAGCAGCCGAGCAACTTGGTGCAGGCAAGCGTGCTCGATCTAGCTCCCCGACAGTAAGCCAGGCCGATGAAGACGAAGACGACGATGCCGAGCAATCCGACAAGGACCGCCCAAAGTCTTTCCATTTCTTCATCGCCGATACTGACAAGTTTGCCATGGCCTACACGCTCCGCTTGGAACAATTACAACAGCTGATTTGTAAGATGATGCTGAAGTCCTGGATCAAAGTCGTCGAACCAAAGAAACAGGCAAAGTACCCATACAACACGCAGAAGATTAAGCGATCCCAGAAACAAGCGCGCACCAGCAATGCAGAGCCCGAGATGCCGCAAAAAATCCCTCCATGGTGGCCGATAGACGGGGTACGACACATAGAGCCTGATCATCTCTTGAAAGAAGGTTAGTACGCGGACAACTGCATCACTACCAGTCATTACGCTAATACCTCTGTAGAGCGGCTGAAGCTTGGTGTTCATCTGCTGCGGATAGGACATCCTGGTCAGATGTTTGACCCCGGCGATGCAGCACCCTACTGGACCGATAAGCTCGAGGATTCAACTCGAGACTGCAACCTCCAGACAGAGGAAGGTGAGCGGGGGGTGGAGAAAGGAGCAGTTCGAGGGTCGCTATTAAAGACACTGTACGACTTCGCCCGTATGGAGGAGTCGTATCTTCGCGGCGAAATGGGTCAGTCTCATACCCTCTCACTCCGACAACACTGACTTGCTGACTATTACAGATGCCGATACCCTCGTAAGTGTTACGGATCTAAAGAAGAACCCTTATCAAGCACAGCGTGCCCGTACATCGGCGGGCGCCAAGGACAGCCCCGTGAAGAGGCAAGCTTCACTGTCTCCGACCGAGCCAGACGAGGACCCGGAATTGTTGTTTAGCACCGCTCAGTTAGGCTTGCGCGACAATGGCGCGGCCCTGGAATTTGAGCAAGAGACCAACGGTATATGCTTTGGCAACCTACGGACATTCGATCCGCCGGAATCTCTTCGTGGTGGTGCAGAGCCTGAGGTTGGCCTGGTTCGCTCATTCGACTCTTCCGCAGCGTATGACAACCCATATGCCGGAGGACAATCCCTATCGGTTTCGCGAGCCTACGATGATCCGTTGCCTGCAAGGGCCATGGCACAACAAATGTACGGATACGATGTTAAAGGCGGTCACCAGCCATGCGGGCTACCTTCCCCGTACTACGCAGTGGAGAGGCAGCCGACCTATTCCGGCCAACCATCTCCAAATCCTTACGGCGCCTGGCAAGTTCCAGCCCAACCCTCTCTTAACGTTGCCCCTACCTCGGCAGCACCGTTTGCGGCTATGCAGGAGAGCGGCTATGGACAATCATCGCTTGCCGTTACCTGTCCATTTCCTGGCCAGATAGAATATTCGTATACACCGGTGCAGATGTTGTCACCGAATGACAATTACCCGTTCGATGCGATGTCGAACCTAGGCATATCTTCATCAACCACATGCGCTCCGCGCGGGTTGGCTTACCCTGGCATGGTGGACCTGATGGGTGTGAAAGGCCAGTCACTCGCCCCTACAGGCCACATGGATTCGCCGTTCCGAACAGGCTCCCTCAGTCGTCCGAGCGACTCTCAAACTCCTCATGGTCTTCCGGATCCAGTTTTGCGTCCGCCCTTCTAAGTACTATTAAATTCTTCTTTTGGAGTCCGTTCTGGCGTTGGCGTCCTCCTACGCAACCGTTCCTTTGGATCCTTCAGTCATTTCGCTAGGCGTAGGGAGTATATTGGGGATCCCGACATACACGACCATGACGCCGTGAATGGCCTTGCCGATGAGCCTCTTCACTGTATCAACGTTACGAAAACACGACTGGAGCGGCAGGATCCTATTACCATCGCGTTCGTGCGTGCTTCCTCGATACTTACACGCGTGGGTTGGAACTTGTGAGTATTCCGCGTGCTGTACATGCTGGTCCGTCCAAATTCAAAAGTCCTTTTCACAGTGGATATTTGTATGGCGTTCGTAGGTGTCGCTCCTGGAGGTTCTATCCAGCCGGGAGGGACTCTGTGGGGGCGCTTTTGTTCGCATAATGGGTTTCGCTTCTATGTTTTCATTCGGGCCTGCTTCGCGCTGCGCACGGGCACTTTTGTTTGGAGGATTGGTCTGTGTAAGCTTCGTAACAGGTGTGCAGTTGGTTGCGTGCCAAGGGCTCGAAAGGGGAGCTTTTGGCTGCTGCAAGAGCAGCTAAAGGTGGTGAGAGAAGACTGGTTGTCTCGGTTGCAAGATATCGAACATACTTATCCACCTACGTGCCTTTCGTCTTGATATTCCAGCAACAAGTGATGCACTGAAGTTGCCGTCGTTGTCTGTGTCCACACGGCTGCTCTGATGTGGCTTCGAGTGCCCGTAACTGTCAAATGCCTCACACGTCTTGAGCCAGTTCAGAATCCTGGACAATCCGGGTGGTGAAGGGCGACAGCGCGCAGCGCGGCGGACGCACGGGCCATGGTGTTTCGGCGTCGAAGTTCTTGGAGCTCTCCAACGTCAAGCTCCAACACAGCGCAACAATGCGACAAAGAAGGCCGAGTAGCCCCAATCCGGCACCGCCAGCTCTCGGTTCGCATTTTGTGCAGCTATAGAGAGCCATCTGATTCAGGTAAGACGCGATGTATCGTTCTGCACAGGCGACCACTAACATCATGTATCCGCCGCACCTCGACCACGTCCTCACGCCAACCTCACGAGCTCCACGCGTATGCTAAGTCCAACGAACACCAATCCGCGGTCCTCAAACCGCTCCTTCGCACGCTCCCACCCCCACCATGTCTCAGACGTCAACCGCGACGTCAGCGCGCCGGGGCAGAGGAAGGGGACGAGGACGCGGCGGTCCACCAAGACCAGCGCAAAGGCCCAACGGTGTTCAGCGGACCGCGCGATCAGCATCACCAAGCACGAGAACGATCCCCACCGGACCGGCGGATGTCTGGGAGAGATATCAGGCGCTCAAAAAGCATCGAGAGAAGGAACGCGCCGAGGCGATTGCGAATGGCTTCCTCGCAGATCCAGACAGGCCCAGGACACTGGCGGAGGCTATCACACCCGTGGGAACATGTCAGGACATGTGCCCGGAGTACGAGAGGGTGGAGCGCATCGTGCAGAAAGATGTGTGGGAAGCCGAGCTGGACCCGGACAGCCTGGCCGAAGGCGCCTCGAAACGCGTGCCGGCAGAGAGTCGTATGGTCAAAAAGTTCCGACGGGCCGCAGCGGGCATTGATGAACAACTTCCATCCGATTTGCGCCCGCCTACGGTTCTACAATGGACAGTGAACTACCTCTTCAACGATCTCGTCAGTGAGGCAGACTCGATCGCGTCGGTACACCATTTCATATGGGACAGAACGCGCGCCATTCGGAACGACTTCTCGATACAGCAAGTCACAAAGCTTAACGACATCCGGATCGCAATCGAGAGTTACGAGCGCATAGCGCGATTCCATATCCTCACGTTACACCAGCTGGCCCAACCGCAGAAGCCCCATGAGAAGTACGACTGGTATCAAGATCGCGAACAGCTAGACCGCACCCTCCTATCACTGATGCAATACTACGACGACTCGAGGAACCACTTCCGCTCGCCAAACGAGGCCGAGTTCAGAGCCTACTGCATCATCTTTCAGATCCAGGATCCCACGCCAGACTTGGAGGACAGGATACAAAGCTGGCCGACGGAGATCGTTCAGGACTCACGTGTGCAGACAGCACTGAAGCTGTACGCAGCAGCCGGCAACGTCGCCGATGCGCAAGGGCCGCTAAAGCCGCGAACGCAGCACCCAATCGCCCAAGCCAACTGGCAACGCTTCTGGAAACTGGTCAAATCGAATGCAGTCTCTTACCTCATGGCTTGCGTGGCGGAGATATACTTCAACTTAGTGCGCCGCATTGCGCTGAATTCGCTTCTGGTGGGATACCGACAGGGTGGCAACACGCGGAACGAGGACTGGAGCATCAAGGAGATGGTGGACGTGCTTGGCTTCGACAACGAGGAACAGGTTAGAAACTTCGTGGGACACTATGGGTTTGGTGTGGGGCGGAGACAAGATGACACCCAGTTTCTGGATTTCAGCACGGTGCAAGTAAGACAGCTGGGAGAACCGTCCGCGGGCTTGCAGCCTCAGTTGTTTTCACGCAGATTGGTGGAGTTTAAGAGATGCGGGAGGACGCTATCTGCGGTTATCAACGGGCTTACTGTCAGCGCGGCGAGGAAGGCCGGTTTGATTGAGGAGTCGGAAGAGATGGAGGATGCGCTGGAGGAAAACGGCGAAAGCGACTCGTTGTTCGTCCGGCAGGATGAGGGGGAGAAGCAGGAGCCACCGAAGCCAATTACGAATGGAATATTCGGCCTGTTCAGTGGAAGTCCTGCGGTGAACGGGGCTGCGGCTGGAGGCTTCTTCGGAAAGCCAAGTATGCCGCTACAACCGCCGGCTGCGGAGGATACCAGTCCCGAAGTGGATGAGGAGCAGGTTCAGCAACAAGCGGAGGATATGCGAAAGCAGGCGGAAGAGAAAGCAGCAAGGGAACGACTAGAAAGGCAGCAGGAGGAAAGGAGGCAAGAGCAGCTTAGACAAGAGGCGGCAAGGCTAGAAGCACAAAAGCAGGAGGCGGCGAGGAGAGAAGCAGAAAGGCGAGAGGCAGAGAGGTTGGAGGCGCAGCGAAGGGAGGCGCAAAGGCAAGAAGCTCAGAGGCAAGAAGCAATGCGATTAGAGGCGCAGCGGCAAGAAGCGCTGAGACGAGAGGAGCAGAGGCGGCAACAGCTAAGGGAAGAAGCGCAGAGGCAAGCCGCACTGGCCCAAGAAGCACGTCAGAGGAAAGAAGCAGGGCTCCTGGATGGTGTCGCTGAAGACCTCTTTCTCAACCCAATCGGTATCCTCAAGCAGTTCGTAGAGTATACCGCCGGTCCTATCATCGAAGCCTCCTTGCTGGAGTTCGAGGCTGATGAGTTTCGCCGGAAAACGCTTTATTACCGCTATGGCTTGGACTGGAGGGACATCGCAACTCGTCTTCGTCTGCGACGGCAGGGACGGGAGAAAAGGCGGCGCATGCAGGTGCGGAGGGCGGCGGCGGCGGCGGCGAACGAGAAAACGAACCCGCCTCCATTCGAACCTGGTTCATCTGTCTTTACTCCGGCTGTACAGGACGAACTCGACCGGCTCAATCCCTTTCGTCACAGGAGCGTCGGAACAACTCAACATCTCGACACCAGCCGCAGTGCATTCGAGGAGCACTATTCAGGGCCACCCAAACCGGAGCCACCCCAGCCAGCGGGGTCCGCTCCCGCACAAACTATCCTTTCCAAGGGCATCAACCCCAGCGCCAACCACCACCGCCGCACTCCTTCCACTCGTCGACGTCCCTCAACAACATCAACCCGGCCAACTTCCACCACCACAGCAACCCCCACCGCCAGCACCACTCAGCTTGCCAACCCCAGTGCATCTACATCAAAAACATCACCCACTACCGTTCCGTTCCTCTCAGGCCAATCCGTTCTGGGCGCAAATCCAGATCCCCACCACCCGGCTCGCCTCAGTACGACGCGTACAAACTACTTCCGCCTAAAAGCCATGGGAATTGACCCTTCAGAACCGTGGAAATCGCCAGCCGGGAATTCTTCGCTCCACACCAAGCCCTTGCCGCGAAACTCGCCGCCGACCAGAATATTGCCGCGGGATTCGCCGCCCATGGCCCCTCCTGCGCCGCCACTACTGCCACTGCTGCGGGAGCGGGAGCGCAAACGAGGGCGCGACGAGATGGATGAAGGGGACGCCGCGGGTGCAGACGAGGCTCTATTCGCACGAGTGCGGAGGGTGCAGCGGGGTTTAGACGAAAGCATGACGTGGTATAGAGAGGACAGAGAACGGGAGGCGTTGAGAAGATCGGCAGGTTCGGCGGGTTCGGGGAAGTAGTGGGCGGGTGGTAAAGGGATGCCATTGCAGGTGTCCAAGACTATGGGACGGTTGATAGGCTTTCGAACGGCGTTACTGGCTTGTACTGTTGCATAGCGACGGAGTTTTTCTGGGCTGCCTGAGACCCTGAGATCGAGGTTCTGGTGTCGGAGTTGCTGGGTGGGGCTGCTGGCTGGAGCATCTTGTGTCGAATATACAGCGTAAGAGCCTTGTTAATAGGCATTGCACGCACCGATGCGGAAGCTAGGTGCTGGTGCATTTATTCATCGGTTGCTACTTAGTCTCACGATTTGTTACTACATGAGTTCGTTTATCTGAGTCCGACGGAGCGAAAAGCGCGTTTGACCACAATCCATCGGTATCGTGTTGAGCAGCAGTCTCGACAGATGGAACCACAAGAGACAGGCTGAGTGATTCTTGCTTTCACAGATTGGTAAGTCCTTAAGGCACGTAGTTGTGCACAGGGAGGTGAAAGAATCTATGACTGAAGCTTTGGGAGAGACCGATGGTCATGACTTTTATGCATGCTCAAATATCACGAGCATTTGAGATAAACACAAAGCCAGGTCCATGAATGGTCCAGGGGGACTGTTTTACCGTGAGCGGCTGCTATACAAGCACATCATGCGTTCAACATAATAAGTTGTAACCGAACCGGCATTGTCAACAGCGGTGTTCCAATTGTTAGTGTTTCCCTTCCTGCAGCTGGCGATGTGATGGTGGTTTGTAACTGCGTGATTATGAGATTGGTATTTGCACGCGGTGTTTAGTAACGGCATAACTACGGCTCCAGCTACGTGTGGACAACGTTACTGGCTTCGAATTACTCACCATAACTGAGCACCGTTCTGTTGTGAATACTATCAGGTTAGAAGACGTGGCGCTTTAAGCAGAAGAATGCATATCAAAATGATCTCGGTTGAAGCCAAGCCGTTGCTATCGATACCGCATGCCTCCTTCACGAATAGGGCGGGCAATCACAACGCCGGAGTGAGCCAAAACGCAGTTCCCGCTAACTCCCGACCTCCGACCGAACCTCACCAGCAACAACAGCTCCGCGACCGGCGAAGACGAGATCATCGAGAAGTCCACCACAGCCATCGTAAAACTCTTCAAACCTCGATAGCGAATAGATGCTCGCCTGATCTTTCGTTACATGCGACTTTTGTGCATTTTCGGCATTGTTGAAGCGATTTTCCCATCGCTCGAACGGCCGACAGGCCAGGGTGGCCCCTCGAGTTTGTTACGACCGGGCACCCTCAGCGCCAAGACGCGCCCGCATCACCGTTACCTCTGCACCACGACATGACGCAGCGGACTACAGGGCAGCGATTCCGGCAGCGCAAACTATCGACACGGCAGAACCTACCTGTACTGCGCGAGCATGAAGTCGAGAAGATCTCTGATGATGACGCCGCTCGGCACATGCCAAAAGTCGAGTCCGGCGTCGACAAAGGCGAGGAGGCTGTGAGTTGCCTGGCCCCTATTCGCAGTTGCCTGTTTGGGAGGTGTCATCATCCGCGTCACGTGACTGCATCACGAATGATCATCCTACCCGAAATCTGAATATACGATGACTGACATAGGAAATAACAGGAACATCACTTGCAAGCCGTCATCTCCGCATCGCATGCAGCAGCCGTCGGCGGAAAGATCGCACAGCTCTACATTCCGACGCCTGAGACAATACAGAGCACACTGGAATATGAGCGACTCTACCCACGGCAGTTCAAGCAGCCGTCGACTTACATTCGCTTCTCGTCAACCGTCGAAGACTGCATAGGATGTCCATACTGCATGACTGCCGACGACGAGGTGTTCCTCAAGTCGATGAACCAGAAGAAGCCGGAATCGCAGCGATGCTCAGAAGACCAGTTCGAGGAAGTGATGTATTTCTTTGAGGAGACTTCGGCAGCCAAGCAGCCGTTCGCCGCTGTTGACAACCCGCCAGTGGTCTCTTACGAGGAGATGGAGAGCTCTTTCGATGAGACCATCAGTGACAGCTGTAGAAGGTTTGCGCTAGAGATATACGAGCACTGGAAGAACCAACGGGTTCTGAAAGGGAACCGCGCGCTGATGCCAGCTCTGAAGTTTGAGACCAATGTAGAGACCGACGATAATGACCCATACGTGTGCTTCCGCCGGCGAGAGGTGCGGCAGACCCGCAAGACTCGCGGTCGAGACGCCCAGGTCATAGAGAAGCTGAAAAAAATGCGGAGAGATTTGGAGGACGCACGACAGATACTGCACGTCTGCAAGCAGAGGGAGTATTTGGGACGGGAGAATTTGGCCAACAACCGGAAACTCTTTGAGCAGCGAATATTGCTCAGAGACGCCAGAAGAGAGAACGGTATTAAGGAGGACGACGACCTCCTTGTTGATCAGAAGGTAAGAGTACCCTTTCACATCACAATCCTGCTACAACAACTTACTGATGATACCATACCAGCCGGCCCCCAAGCCGAAGACCAAACCCGACCAAACCAACTTGCAACGCCAGATGTCCGGCACAGCAAAGGCACAGGTCGCGCGCATGGATGGCCGCCCTCCGGACTCGGATCTTGTCTCGCTGGAAGAAGTCACCGAGAAAAAGCAGGAGGATATCCACAAGTTCATGGAGGACCTTGCATCCAAGCACAGGAACTGGAACAAAGACTGGAGAGACGAGACTTGGAGGCCACTCACCCCGCCGCCGCAGGAACAAGCTCCCCGATCCAGCTTCCGTGCCGCTACCACTTATACTTTGCCTACTCCTCCACCGTCAATAGCATCGGAAGGCTCCGGCGAGCCGATGGATGTTGACGAGCCGACGCCAAAGATTCTTAACAAAGGGTCAGTCACGGCTCAATACGCGTCGCCGCCCTTGGAGGCACCTGTGGAGTCTCAACGATCGTATCGGCGGCGTATAGCTCGAGGCGGGCGCCTCGTGATTGATCGCCGAGACATGAAACGGCCATTCCAGGAAGACGCCGATGAGCGTGTCCTCGATCGGTACAAATACGATCGAGAAAGTTCGGAAGACGACGAGGTGTACCCGTACGATCCCTATGACAATGCGCACATAAGATTCCGCGTCTTGTCCGGATCGCCCGATCAGAGTCGGAGCGCGCAACAACAGGCGCAGATGCGTAGGGGCGTCGCAGAAGCGTCGATGGCGAATGGAGCTCTGCATCCAAACCATGCGAGGATGCAAGGTTCGCCGCCGCAGCAGTCCTCCCAGTAGAGTGATTTGAGTTAAAGATACCCTGTTTTGGTCTTTGTATTGTTTGTAAACCTACTTTACTTTGGTATGTGATAGAACAGCTCTTTTGGCCAGCTTCTCTTCCACTTTAGCGGGAGATATACGTTCGGGTGCTCGAATTGTGTGCACTAGAACTCCTTCACGGACAACGATGTCCGGGAAGCAGGTTGTGTGCACTGAGCTGGCCGAAGCAGTACTGGGTGGACATGGTTAGTCTAGACGATGTGTGTTAGCAGATGGTCGACCGCGCTGCCATGAAAGATGAAAGAATCAGTTAAACGGTGAACCCTTACTTAACAGTATAGATCGTCGACTTGCTGTGATGTGCATTTCCGTTGGCGTCCAATGCTGCGCTTAACGCTAGCTAGGCTTGTACAATCTCAGGCGACCTTCCTCTTCTTGCTTGGCCGCTCTTCATCCATCCGAGCCTTGTTCGCCGCGGCTTCAGTGCGGTTATTTGATCGCAGGTATTCGCCGAGCAACTCCTCAGCCTTCTGCAGGACCTTCTTCTCGCCCAGCCGCACTTGCACAGCCATGGCCTTCCGTCTCAAGAAGCGATTGCGCAGCGTCTGCAGCAGCTCCTCGTGGGAAAGGCCAATATCTGTTCCTTCGTCTTCGACGACGGTAGTTGGATACTCTGCTGCGCGTCTCTTGACAACCTCCATCAACACGTTGGCGATCTCAGGGTTCAGTTTCTCGGTCTTGGGCAGCTTCTCCTTCTTCTTCAGCCGCGCAAACTCGGTATCATCCAGAAGGAGCGTGGCGACCAGTGCGACAAGCTCATCCGAGAAGCCTTCGCGGGCGTCTGGGGTGGTCCAATTAATGATATCGTAGCCTTCTTCGAGGATGTCGTGGTCGTCGAGGTAGGAAAGCTGCATGGGTCAGTCATCGCGGATAGCTGCGCTCCCGAGCCCGTAACCTACCCTTTCCTCGATAGCCGCGTCATCAAGTTTGTTCGCCATCCTGGCGACGTCGACGACCATACCCCGCGGTACTTCCACAACATCCCACTGCGCATACCGCTCACTCACATACCCATACCTCCTTAACAAATCACTCCTCGGCAACGGGCCGTAATCATTGAAAATCTCCTCACCAGCCTTGATCGCCTTGATCGCCTTCATCTCCACAACATCAGTCCCGTAATACAACTTCGCATTGTTCCTATCCGCATCCGCATTCAGCATATCCGCCAACGGCACCATCCCTTTCGGCAGCGCCTCATCGTCCTCCTCGCTCGCATACCCCTCCTCATCGAGCTCTTTGCCAGTATCACCGCCTTCAGGCTCCATATCAAACGCGTACGCCATGATGGTGCTGCCCATACGATGCGCCAGCGCCAGAATCTCCGCATCCGGCAGCTCCGGCGCTCCCGTCGTGGGACCAAAGAAGACGTCCTTGTGCTGCCGCACGGCTGGAAGAATGTGCTCCCGGAACGCGGCATCTGCGGCCTCTTTCCCGATCTTGTGCCGCACGGCGCTGGCTTGGAGTTCGGCGAGCTCGTCGTCGCTCCAGAACATCAGCGTGTCGAAGTCGGTGGGGAGGATGGCGAGGTAAGGCGCCCAGCGCGAGGAGGTGCCGAGGAGGTGCTCGTGGAGCATGGCGAGGATGAGGGCGAGCCAGGGGTCGGGGAGGGCGGAGAGCAGGGACGGGTGAGTGCGGGCGAGCGAGGAGGTGGCGGACGTTAGGATGGCGGAGCGGGGGATTGCAAAGAGGGGTTCGTCTTCTGCGATGTCTTGGAGGGCGACTATAGGGGATTTAGCTAGTGATACCACAAGGGACTAAGTGGCAAACGAGTTTGCGAGGCTTGGTGCATAGGTAATTGCGAGAGCGCTTCCCAGACGATATTTTGCCCATGGCTACCACTTTGCAAAATCCAAGGGGAGCGAGTATGGTCTAGGGAGATAGGCGAGAAGACACAGGAGCTCAAGACATCAGAGCATTTGAAGAGCTGTTATGGAAACAGGCGCAGAGGTTCGAATACAAGAGATACGCACTTACCCACACCACGTCCAGCATGCTGAGTCCGGAGGTCTGCCAGCTGAATCTTTCCACTGATTTCTGCGCCAGACTGCCTCAGCCAAGCCATGAATGCATCGCTCCTTGCGTCGAAATCGTCCTCCATATCTTTCAACTTGGGCGAGCACGGAGTGTATTTCTCCAGAATAAGGTAGTTTGGGAAAACAGCGCGGTGTCAATGGCTGGTATCAGCGGGCCGATTTATGCCCGGAGCGCTATGGCAGAATCTTAGCATCAATTTTCGACAAACGGTCAGAAACCCAGATGTTGGTGTCTCTGTAGACTTCACGAGGAGAGGACAAGGGGCTGTAGAGGCGTCCTAAGGAGTTACCGCAGGATGTTCGATGAATACCAAACGAAGCCATTGATCTGCGCTGATCTTCGTGGGTGTGGGAGAACAGTTCAGCCTCATCCGGCTATCGATAACCCTCGTGGAATTTCCGTCATCCCGCCAAGCCTCCCCTTCGTTCCATACCGCAGTTTATCACCCATACCATCCATCAGAGCAAGCCCAAAGGCCTCGAGCGCCGTGGCATCGGGTCACCGCCCAAGATCTTCGCCATCAGCTACCCCGATCCTCCCTACCGCCGGACTATCACCCACCACCACTCCCCTCCCCTCCCCTCCACCATGATCGCCCTCGGCCTCGAAGGCTCCGCCAACAAGCTCGGCGTAGGCCTAATCTCGCACCCACACCCCTCCAAACCGCCCGTAATCCTCGCGAACCTCCGGCACACCTTCGTATCTCCTCCCGGCGAGGGCTTCCTTCCCAAGGACACCGCGAAGCACCACCGGGCGTGGGTGGTGCGGCTGGTGAAGCAAGCGATGCGGCAGGCCGGGGTCGGGATCGCGGACGTGGACTGTATATGCTACACCAAGGGACCGGGGATGGGCGCGCCGCTGCAGAGCGTGGCGCTGGCGGCGCGGACGCTGGCGATGCTGTGGGGGAAGGAGCTGGTCGGGGTGAACCATTGCGTTGGACGTGCGTTTTCTCTGTTCCTATGCTGCCTGCATACACTGCTGCCCTGGTCCCGCATCCCACCTCCAGCCGCCGCTGACTATCCCAAAGCTCTGACCTGACACGCGCCTAGACATCGAAATGGGCCGCGCAATAACCGGCGCCACCAACCCCGTCGTCCTCTACGTGTCCGGCGGCAACACCCAAGTGATAGCCTACTCCGCGCAGCGGTACCGGATCTTCGGCGAGACGCTCGACATCGCGGTAGGAAACTGCCTCGACCGGTTCGCGCGCACGCTGCGGATCCCGAACGAGCCCGCGCCGGGCTACAACATCGAGCAGCTGGCCAAGAAGGCCGGCGGCAGCAGCAGCAGCAGCGAAGGGGAAGAGCAGGTGGAGCTGCTAGACCTGCCCTACACGGTCAAGGGCATGGACTGCTCCTTCTCCGGCATCCTCGCCTCCGCCGACATCCTGGCCGCAGAAATCATCGCCAAGCACGGCGGCACCATCCCCGAGGACCGGAAAGCGCTCCTCTGCCACTCCCTCCAAGAAACCGCCTTCAGCATGCTCGTCGAGATCACCGAGCGCGCTATGGCGCACGTAGGCGCCAGCCAGGTCCTCGTCGTCGGCGGGGTGGGGTGTAACGAGCGGCTGCAGGAGATGATGGGGCTCATGGCGCAGCAACGCGGGGGGGAGGTGTATAAGACCGATGAAAGGTTTTGTATCGACAATGGCATCATGATTGCGCATGCGGGCCTGTTGGCGTATGGGACGGGGGTTAGGACAAGGATCGAGGAGAGTACGTGCACGCAGAGGTATAGGACTGATGAGGTGTTCGTGGGGTGGAGGGATGACTGAGGGGAGAGTGTGAGGTGGATGGGAAGTAGAGTGTGAGGAAGAGAGAGGATGAGATGGGGAGCTAGTGAGGCGAAAGCGTGATGCCAGATTTGCGCACTCAGAAACCGGCAGTAGGGAGTTCTGAGGTGGTGAATGGGCTTTGGACGTTTTATACGGGTGAGCGACTGTGCTGAGAGCGCGCCACATCCGTGCTGGAGCGCTTGGTTACGTTCAATCTGGCTTTGGACCACCTGCAAGCGCCTTGCTGAAACGAAGGCAGGAGCACCGTGGATACGACACTGACGGAGAAAGGTAAGAATGGGATGAAGATGGCATTCTCTATAGGTCACGATCTTTCCTATAGCGCAGCCTGCCCTAGGACTTAGCCGCCACAAACAGTATGCGAAACATTGTAACCATTGCAGTACTCGCAACAATCTTCCGTCGAAAACAAAGTGCGATGCGCCAAGATGCCGGCGTCCACTAATTGGCTGTACACGCGGCATAAACCCCCCAGGTGAACCCACAACGCCACGCTGTAAAGATGCCAAACACACCCCAAAAGCTCTCCAGTTACCAGCTTCCACCCCTACACCTTCGTATGGTCCCGATTGAGCAGCTCCAGCTCACTTTCCGCACTACTCGTCCTCCTCCTTCTCCTAAGCCACCTGAGTCTTTGCCGCAACGGCGGGCCCCTGAGTCTCCCAGACGATAGAAACGTTCCATAGCCCCACCAGAAAACCGCAAACACGACCCCGGCAGTCGCAAACCCGGCAACAACCAGAAACACCCAATGCCTTCCCATCCAGAAGATAAACTGGACGTCCTTCTCATGCCACGAGTTCCCCAAATGATGGATAAAGAAGCTCCACGGATGATTGTTGTACTCGTCCGGGAACAACACCCGAACCCTCCCGCCATCCCTGCCGAGGCCCTCCGCATTATACCGTCTCCACACGACGCTCAAGAACAGCGGGCCCGTCGAGCCCATGACCGTGATGTACGGCAGCAGCCAGTTGCGGTCGTACTTGGGCAGCTCGTCAATAACACGCAGGAAGAACGGGTGGCGCGGCACGGCGCCCATTGCGTCGTTTGAGATGCCCGTCGGGACTGTGCGCCGTACCCAGGCTGGGTAGGCGAGGAGCGGGTCGAGGCGCCGGTTGCAGCCGTCGTCGAGGTCGATGTAGATGCCGCCGTAGTGCGCGAGCACGAAGTAGCGGATTGCGTCGGCGCGTTGGATGGGGTGGGTGTAGCCATCGAAGGTTTCGAGGAACCAGGGGTATCTGGGGGCGCGTGTTAGTTGGGGGGGGGTCTGCGGTTTGTGTTGGGGAGAGGGAGGCGGTGTGAGGGGCGCTTACTCGGCTGCCACGAACGCGCGCGCCTTCTTGTCCGTCCACATCTTGTACTCGTAGTCCGAGTGCAGGTCCATGCAGCTCTTCTGCGCCCCCTGCCATACTAGCGGTATACTGTCGTTGATGTAGGTCTGGTGGATGATCTTGGGTATCAGCTGCGGCCGGTCGCCAATCGTGTCGGAGCCGGGAGCGGGCAGCTCGGCGCGTGATATCGCATCTTCTGAGCCATCGGCGACCAGGAGCATAAGCAGCGACCAGACGCTGTGGATGAGGAGCGCGACGACGAAGAGGTTGAAGACGAGGAAGAAGAGGACGCCTTTCCTCATAGTGGCGGAGTTTACTGTCGGAGGTTCTGTGAATATTCACTCCGGCTGTGCTGAAGGCGGGAGCGGAGGATGAGGCAGTTCGTAGGGGCGGGCTGAGAGCGTTGGCGCGGCCTACCGTCCGCAAGCCATGGACCGGTGAAGGCGAAAACAACAACCGGAGCGGTTAGAAAATAAGGTTCTGCAAAAACGTAAAGAGAAGTGACAGCTATCCGGGTGGAAATGAGGTGGATGTCAAACGGAGGATTGCAGCGACACGGCGCACGGGAGCCGGGGCGGTCTTCCCTGAAAGGCCCCAGGCACAGCCACGACTTGCCCGCAATCGGCAGTGGTTGCGAAAAAGCCGTTGGCGCCTGCTGACGACAGCGACAGCAAGTCTGCCGAGTCTGGGGAAGGGCGGCCCTACCGCGGACCGCAGTCTGGATCACCCGCCAACACGCTCTCGGATTGTACAAAACGTGTGCAGTGAACTGTATCACCGCCCTTGCTGATGTTGGCAATGCAAGGACACAACCGCTAAGACTCGTACACCACTCTGCGTGGCCAGCTGCATGCGCGGCTCGCTTACCCATGAGAAGATGGCGCACGCGGCGCAACCCTCAACAACGCCTCAAGCAGCTCCGACCACGAAACCACGAAACCACTCCTGCACGGGGCATTTGCGACAGATGTTACACAGGGCATTCATGCATATGCAGGCCCCGCTGGGCGTGAGTCTCGACCAAGGGTCCTCCAGGTTGCTTGCATGAGATGTGCGTGCGCCCTGTCAATCAATACGTATCCCGGTAACGTGATATGGTGATGAGACCTCAGTAAGAGCGGCATTGGAATTCCTTAGTAGGTTGCTATGAGGGGGCCTCCGTTAGGACCCTATCTACATAGTAAACGCGCCATCTCTCCCAGATGACCAATATTCGCCTCTTTGACAGCTCCTAGTGCTCATGTCCCTCTCATCGGGAACTATGTCCATCTCCATCCTCAGTATAGTCTGCCATTCCTGGTAGCTATATTCGCTTAGGGTAGTGCCCGCAGGACGTAGCGAGGCTTGTCTCCTTAACGGAGGTGGAGCAGGTCCGCATCGTAAACCTGACTGTGTGAGACTGGTGTCCGGTGTCCTGGATGAGCCTTAGCTCAGGATGTGGTCGAGCAATGTTTCCATGACGGCTTACGAATCGCCTCATCTGCAAAGTTTGTTCTCCTGGTTGAATCTGTCAATACGAAGAGCTCGTGCCCACAGAACTTATGCTACTCAAAGTGCACAGAGTGCATGTGGAGGCGTCCCGGGATGTGCGTTGTTCGAGTGTGCTCCAGGTGACCACTCGCTCGAGATACGCTGGTTGCCGTGCCAAGCGTTGTATCCTATGACGGAGATATCGAGGAGTCTCTGACTACGCGACTTTCTGCCTCTTGAACCCTCCCTGACCCGGTCCGGCAGCTTCGCGCGCCCGCTTGCGCTCAATCTCCTCTTTCATAATGCGTTCTGCCTCGCTCATCTTCTTCGGTGGTTCCTTCACAAAGGCCTTCTTCGCCGCCAGCGGGTTCTTCTTTGCGGCAGCAAAGACGTTCTTCGGCTTGGCTGCGCCCATGTTGAGCGACATCTTGACAGCGGGCGCCGCAGAAGCAGGCGCGGTTTCTGACGTTGATTCGGGAGTCGTTCCCTCAGCAGGCGTTGCTGCTTCGGTCGGACCATTTTCGTTGGATGGCGATGCCGGCTTTGCTGCCGCAGGCTTCGCGCCAAAGTTGAGCGTGATCTTCTCCCCTTCCTCCCTCTGCAGCTGCCTAGCTTCTGCACTCGCCTCCTCTTCCGCCTTTGCCTCCTGCTGCGCTTTCTCGACCTGCTGTCTGATCAAGCGCTGCTCCCTCTCCTCATCGCCCCTGTCCTGCCGTTCTTTCGCTCTGATCGCGTCCTGTCGCCTGAGCGCCTCCGGCGAGTTATCAATCCACCCAACATGCAACCCCTTCCCTTCCACGTCCTCGACCCTACAAATCCCTTCTCTCCCTAGATACTTCGCAAACTCGGTCAAGCTGGGCCACTTGGTCGCGTTCATATGCACGTGCTCCTTGTTCGCGATATACTCCTGGTAAAAGTGGTTCAGATTCGTCAACTTCTCGCCGTGGCTCGTCCGCAGAAGCTGCAAGAAGTCCCGCTTGAAATCCTCGCTGTACCGCGCGATGTGTTTCTTCGGGTCCTCGCCGACGAGCAGCATTTGTCGCACGTGCGACTCGCTCTGCACGTGGCATTTGAAGCCGTTCTCGTCGCGCATCTGCCGCTCGCAGACTTGGCAGTACCAGCGCAGCCGCTGAAGCCCTTTTGACTTCATCTTGTTACTGAGGTGCTTGGTCGAGCCGACCTCGGCGCGAGGCATGGTGGGCGGGTGGACGGTGGGTGCTGGCTATGTGTGGGTTCGAAGGAGGCGGCGGTCGTGGGAGGCGCGCGTGAGGTGCGCTGTAGATTCTTTAAGAGGTGGTTTGCTGTGGCAGCGAAAAGTCTCTAGGGCCTCTCCGGTAGATCACTCGAAACTGCGGAAGGCTGCGGCGAAATTCGGTTGCTAGCAGGGTGGACGCTGTTGTGTGACAATTGTCATGCAAAAGTTGAGGTTGGATATGGATCTTGGCGGCAGTTAGGAAGATGTCAGCGCTCGGACTTAGTGGCGGTGCGAGATCCACGTGATTTCCATAACCGCCGAGCACCACAGTCCACAGCTGAAGGCAGAAGATTGAAGGATTCGTGTTCCATTGATTGTGATCTCTGCAACTCGGTCCTACAAGATGCTGTGCTGCTTGCTGGCTAACACTGAACAAGCTTAAACCAGGTGATCCGATACTGGCGAAGGAGAGGTGGGATAGTCACGTGTTCGTTGCCTCTATCCCAAAACCCCAACACTTTCAGTGTCCTGGGGCATCCCCACTGCCTGAATCCGATCGATGGGCCATCCCTACTCAAGCCCCTAAAAATGGGCGTCGGGGGCTGATGGGGAAATTGGATCTGCTTGCTGGGCGACGGGGAATAAAAAGCAGGAATCGGCCGATTCAGCCAGCCAAGCAAACAATCTGTCAGCCAGCAGCTCGCCGAGCGACCGAGCACTTCCGCACCTTTCAAGCCACCGCCTGTAGCTGCGACAGGTTGGAGCGACTGGGATATTCCATGTTGCTTGGGCGAGATTCCAGAGTTAAGGTTCCATCCCGTCCGGGTTGTCCCAGCCGGCTCCCTTTTGCTCGGACCACACGTCCCGACCCTGGCGACAACCACAACAACCCCCCTAGTCTCCACTCAACCTCGTAGTGGTGTCTTGAGCGTCTTCGCCCCCAGTTATCGGGATGGATTGTTTCTCATGTCTCTCAGACCGCGTGCATGCTGTGCTCCCGGCCTCGTGTACGACCTCGGGCTGTCAATGTGCCAATGTGCCAATGTCTCGGCCGGACGCAATCGATCTGGATGCAATATTTGGCATCGCGGTACGAGTAGCGTCCTGCACCGCTGCTGCTGCTAGCGGCAGGCGGGCTGAACAAGCGCAACTGCCGAATGAAGTGCAATCCTCGGAGATGATCATGGTCTCTGCTGCCCTTGTTCCCCGGAATCCTCGCCACCGCTTCCCGCAAGTGGTGGTTGGGTGGTTGGGTGGTTGGATCAGCAGCAGCCTCCAAGCGTCCAGGGTTGATGGCGAACAGGCCGCCCAAGGGGCCCTGGACACGGGAGCGATCTCCTCTGTGTTCCTGGGAGACGGGACTCGCTGCCCCCCAACCATCAGCCCAAGGCGAGGCAGCCTGCAAGCTGTGTGCTGTGCCCATGGCCGTCAAGCAGTCAATTGGGAGTTTCTCTCTGAGACCAACCACGAGCCCTGCACGGTGGTGCCCGCCATTGGCCATTCTTATGAATACAACCTGGGAGGGCGCATTTACACTTTGCAGCCGCGAACGCCGCCAACCTGCTCCAGACGTGCGATACACAAGCGTGAGGCTAGATGCAGCACGGCTGGCAGTCATGCTGTGCATGCATCCGGATCAAGTCCCGGACTGTGCCGCCATGGATTCTCATTTGGATCTGTGGCTGCGTACTCGACTCGACCTCCCTTCCCCTCTCTTGTTTCCATTTTACAAAACCGTCGTGTTGCGTCTTCGGCCACCATTGCGTTGGGTTTTCAAGGGCTTCCCTTCCTTCTCGGATAGTTCGCTCTCGACACTTCGCTTACCGTCAATGACAACAAGCCGCGGCACTGAAAACACAAGGCCAATAGCGCCCTTGGTCCTCCCACACATTAGATCGATACACCCTACCTCTGTCGCCGTTCATCCTATGACCGCATGACGGCGAATTCAACCGTCAAATACGGACTGCTCCTGGCCGCCTGGCTATGGGCGCCAGCGGGCAGTGCCGCACCATCCTCTAATCTCTACACCTGGATCTCTACCTACACGAGCGGCCTCGAGTCGCGAGACGATACAAACGTTTCCATTACACCTACCGAGAAACACGGAGCCCTCATCAACTCCACGGACCCTATGTCCGGACACTATGGCGAAGATGCGTCCTCACGAACGCCCTATACCATCGTCTCGCTTTCGTGCATGTTGCTGCTGGCGTCAATGCTCGGTGGGTAGTCTTCTGAACGAATAGACCCGACAGTTCCTTACCGCGTGCAGGGTCCCGCGCGCAGCAGCTTAAGCTCCGACATCTACGCCAGATGAACTTCATTCGACTACTCGTTGTGATGCTCTACCTGCTCTGCCTCGCGTTCGTCTTCTCCGCAGCCGTTATAGAAAGCGGTCTTGGTCTCTCAAACCTCAGCATATGTTATTCCGCCATCATCGTCTGCCTCGTCTTCTACGTGGGGAGCAAGGTCGTAATGTGAGTTCACCCACGGCGCCGACGCAATACCAATAGACTCGATTGCCGCACGAAGAGATCTCTACCAATGCCAATCTTCACCCCCATCCATCCCACGCTCACCGCCTCCAGGTACATGTTCCTCGTCGAGCGCGCCCACGCCCTCCGCGCACCCTACCTCCGCCGCACCCGCGACTGGATCTGGCTCTTCGGCATGATCATCGTCGTCACGGGCTTCGGCTCCATCGCCATCATCGCCTTCATCTTCCCCCTCGCTGAGATGTCGCCCGAAGACGGCAGATGCCGCATCGGACTCCCGCTCAAAGTCACCATCCCCTTACTCACCTTCGACATTGTCATCAACGTCGCGCTGACCTCCATCTTCGTCCACCATCTCGGCCCGCTGATCCGGTTCGAAAGCAACGTCGGCGGCATATCGGGGAACCCGTACATGCCGTCCCACATTGGGGGGAGTCTGAAGAGGCTGTTTCGGAAGTCGAAGCCCAGGATCAGCGTCTCGAGCACTTTGGACGGGGATTGGACGACAAATCTGAACCATGAGAATATGCGGGCGGTGGAAAAGCTGGTGTGGAAGAGTTTGATTGGCGCGGTGGTGGTTATGATTCCGACGGTCATCAATCTGACGCTGTTGTATCATTGGCAGGGACGGGAGCAGGGCTGGTTATGCTTTACTATTTGTACTCTGGATGGTGAGTCGTTCCGTAACCGACTGCTCTGCAAAAAAAAAACCGACAATGCTGACTCCTGACTACAGCGACATGGCAGGTCTGCGTGGTGCATTGGCTCACGGTCGACCCGATAGAGATGGACAGCAGATCGATGATGATAGGGATGAGGGACCCACGCGTGGCGGGCGACTCCGCGAGCACAAGTACGGTCGGTACGGCGATACCACTGAGGCGCTAGAGTTTTACAATAGACGGCATACAGCTTTCAGGATGGCCTGTTATGTTTTGCTTATCCTCAACCTGGCGTGTTGTTGGTTTTGGTGGCGTAGTCATGGCTGTCTTTTTGCTTGACGGCCAGATACCCTTTGTTCTCTCTCCATCGTAGCATCACCTCGTCCGAACGGGGTATGCGGTGCAGCTTGCCACGCCGATTTCGGTGAAGGAGCTGCGGAAAACGTGTTTTTTTTTTCAAAAGCTCTATCTAGAAAGCTTGCCCCCACACAATCTCTCCAGAACACTGGCCACTACCACTCAACATCATCCTCCTCTTCATATTCCGCGACCTCGAGAATCGGTTGCTCAAGCACCCCTCCTCCGCCCTGTCGTCCTCGCTCACTCTCCGTCCCCGTCCTCGGTCCGCCATACCCGTACGCCAAGATCGGATCCGCCAGCTCCTTCTTCTTCCTCTGCCGCGCCTCCCGATACTCCTTCGCGGTCCGCGCTGCGGGGCGTGGGTCTTGTGCCTCGCTCGGGGCGTCGAGCTGAAACAGACGGACGAAGAGGCCGTAGGAGAGCGCGAGGACGAGGCCGGCGGCGAGGCCCAGGATGGAGGCGATGCCGAGGTAGATGTAGAGAGTCTGGCGTAGTGATGTTAGTATGCTTGTATATACCCCACAACGCGCAATGCCTGGGAGCCCACCTCGAAGTTGGGGATCAGGCCGAAGGGATACAGCAGCGCGCGGATGAGGGAGTGGGCTAGCGTCGTGAGCGGCAGGAGGAGGAAGCCGAGCGCGTTGGATATGGGGGTTAGGACTGCGAGGAGGCCGTGGTAGAGCTGGAGGAGGGGCCAGACGAGGAGGTAGTAAAGGGTGTAGTAGACGCCGGCGAGCGCGAGGGTGAGGTACGGGTTCATGATGGCGGCTGGCGGCGGTCGGCAGGATGGTTAGCCGCAGGAGTGGTCCATAGCGGGGGTTGATGGCGTGCAGACGGTTCGTGATGCGCTCAACGCGGAGAGGCCATGATGGGGAGATGGTGCGTCTCAGAGTGTGGATGGGATGGTTTACAAGACCAGCAACTGCGCCGTGTGGAGCCGCCGGGATCGCTTTCGTGCCCGCCGCATCCGCGACCAGCAATCTAGCGGCGGGAAGCATCTTGGCTGGCGGGACCATCATCCCACACGGGGCGTCGTCCACGGCCAGACGCCACGGGGGAAAAGCCCACGATGCCTCGAACCTCACCACTGAAATCCCACCATTGCCGCCCTCGCCCGCCGCCCACGTCCTCGTGAGCGACAAGTTCCTCAGGCCCTTCTCAGGCCCCCCCTAATCTGCCCATCATGGGCAACAATGCCTCCCGCGAGCAGCAGGCCTCCTCCCGGGCCAACAGCACGAGCGCCCCGCAATCACCCGCCCACCACGGCTCTTCCGCCGACCACCGCAGTTCCAGCACCAGCACCAGCAGCGGCATCCCACGCCGGGACACTCGCGGCCGAGACAGCGTGCAGGCGCTCTCGACAGCCAAAGCAACCGCGGCTCCAGCGACGGCTAGCCTGGCTAGCGCAACCGCGAACCTACATTCCGCCGCACCGCGCCCACAACCACCGCGCCGCACGTCTTCGCACCAACATTCGCACTCCCAGCCCGTCTCGCACGCACATGTCCGCAGCCAGACTGCTGGCGCACCCACGCTTCCCCCGCTACTGAGACCGACGAGCGCGCAAGGCGCCGGCGCGAGGGCGAGCCCGACGCTCGAGAAGATGGGGAATAGCTCCAGCAAGCACCCGGACAAGGAGCGGGAGCGAGAGCGAGAGCTTATCTCACGGGAACCAGTCTCACGGGAGCCAACGCCGCAGCCATCGACGCAGCAAGTGACGCCACCCTCGCCCGTCACGCTTCCCGCCGACGTGTCTGGCGGGCCTGCGGCAGCAGACCTCTCTCGCGAGAAGGACGTCAGTCCCATCGACCCCAGCGCCCCAGGCGTGCAGGAGCAGTACCACCTCCCGCCATCCCAGTTCTCGCGCCCGCCGCGGCTGCCCCTGCCCATCGACGAGGAGTCGCATACGCCTGGCTCGCCCATCATTAGCCCGGCCGATATCACTTCGGCGATTGACCCGCTCGAGGTGAATGGAGCGCTGCCGCGGCGGACGAGCGTGCTGAGTAGCACGACTGTGGACGAAGACGAGGATGTTGGGGATGAGATCTATCCCCATGGAGGAGTGGGCCCGGCCGTGCCGACGGTAGTGGAGTGGAGGGGGCCGGGGAAGACGGTGTATGTCACGGGGACGTTTGTGAACTGGGAGAGGAAGTACAAGTTGCTCAAGGAGTAAGTGGAGTCTACTTTTCCAGAATTTTTTTTCGTCTTTGAAAGAGCGCTTGTGGCTTCAGCTTGGGCGTCATTATGGGTCTCTCCTGCGTAAGGTGTGCAGACATCCGGATGGATTGTCCAGCTGCCGCGTCGTAAGACACACGTCAAGTCCACGCGTGCTTTCTGTCTTACGAGAAATATTTGGCGTCAACCGAACAGCTTCCCAGTCAGCATCTCTCGAGTCACCTGCACAATGCTAACACCCCCACAGCGGCCCCAGCAAGCACAAAGATGCCCTCTCCACAACCCTCAACCTCCAGCCCGGAACACACCACCTCAAGTTCCTCGTCGACGGCGAGATGATGCTCTCCAACGAGCTCCCCACAACGGTCGACTACACCAACGTCCTGATGAACTACCTCGAAGTTGCGCCCGAGCCTCCAGCCGCCAAGCCCTCCGAGCCCGTCCCCATCCCCAGCCGCCACGAGTCGTCCGAGGCAGAAGCCCGATCCTCATCCACCGTCGTACCCCCCGGCGTCTTCCCACCCCAAGTCCTCCCCCCAACCCCCGAGATCCGCCCCACGGAGCCCACCGCGCCACCAACCCCCATCCGCTCCTCGGCCTCCGCAGCCTCGGGCGGCGCGCCTCTCGAGCCCACGAACCCGAAGCGCTACACGCAGACGATGCCGGCCTTCCTGCTGGACTTGGATGCGCCGGAGGACAGCCACCGGTTCCAGCGGGCAAGCGCCGTTCTGGCCAGCCTGCCGACGCCGCCGAGTCTGCCGATGTTCCTGAACAAGAGCATCCTGAATGGGAATACGCCGATGAAGGATGACAACAGCGTGTTGGTGATGCCGAACCACACGGTGCTGAATCATTTGGCGACGAGTAGTATCAAGAGCAATGTATTGGCGACGAGTGCGACGACACGGTACAAGCGGAAGGTGTGTGCCTTTTCTCTCCGGGGTGTTTTCAGGTTGGAGCGAGGTGTGCTTGGAGGGAGAATTATTGAGCTGACCATTGATGCAGTTCCTCACGACGATAATGTATAGACCGACGAACGAGGTGGGCGACTGAGAAAGTCCCTGCCATGGATGGATCCAGGCGAGATACAACCCGACACGAAGGTCTCCCGCTCCGCAGCTGCGCCTGAGGCCGACACGTCAACGTTACTGAGAACAACATCACGACGACGCGATCCAGGACCATGAGCACAGCGTCTCTCCTATCTAGCTATGCTGATGTCGAGACCTGCGGTAGCCTGAAGGGGCGAGGGGATGCATCTGCCGGGTGGAGAGACGGGGCGTTTGTGCATACGGCGATGGGATGGCTGCCCATGACGGAGCAGCGGCAGCATTTAGCGCGTTACAGGCGGAAGGTTCGGTCCGCGTTTGAATTCTCCTCTCTACGTGCTGGCCGAGGGAACGGACCTGTCGCGGCCCTCGGCCAAGTCTATAGAAATGATACCAGGGCTGTCGTCTTTTGAACTGTCGAATTCGTTACACTCTGCAATGCTCACTATTGGCGTGTGTGCCGGTGCCCCGTCGTGAGGGCTTTCTTGTTCAAAGGCAGAAAAGAAAGACAGTTGCGTGCGAGTCACCTACCCCCCAAGCATGACTGGAATGAGCAGTATAGACTCTTCAGTCGTGATTTGAGAAGTAGACCGGTTCTACGCCACGTCACACTGGTAGTCCCTCAAGCAATGTAACGCCCCCTCGCCTGACCTGCGAAGACGATAGCGGCCATACCAAAATTCCTCCCTCAAACACACCACCCCAAAACGATCGACGCACAATACTCATGTCCCATTTGATAATCCTTCCTCTAGAACGCCGACCAGCGAGTGACAAGAAATACCCATCGCCTTCCAAACCGAACCTCTCTAGGTCCCAACCTGTGAACGCCAAACCTGCCTGTAATTCTTAAGGACGGAAGGCGGGCAAAGTAGTCAAGCCACCGCTCCCTCGCGTTTCAGCCTCCTCCGCTCCGCGACCCGCTTTCTAGCCTGCGCCAGCGGATCATCTCCGTCGTCAGGGGTCCTGTCGAGCAGCGCCGAGGTATTGGCGCGTTGGGGCCTCACTGCTTCTACCGCAGCTGAAGCAATATCCTTTTCTCGCGGCTGCGCGGGACGGTCGATAGGCTGGTGCTGGGTTAGGAACGGAGGGGCAGGTGCTTCTTGCGGCTTTCTTGCCGCTGCCGACGGGGCGGCTGCGTGCTGGGTAATGGTGACTACATCCTCCGATACGGTGGCGGCGGCTGCCACATCGTTGTAGTGCGCGGGTTGCAACAAGGCATCGCTGTTTCCTACGGGCGCGTTTCGCTTCCTGACTGGGGCTTTCCGAGGGCTAGGACGTCCAGCACCACCGCCACCGCCGCTGCCGCCGCCGCCGCCGCCTATGCCTACAGGCATGGCCAGCCGGTCGAACGCCCCGATGCTGGAGTCGTTCGCCTGAGCCCAGAGATCCGAGACTACCTCGTCGAAGTCGACACGGGAGCGGAAGGGACTAGAGGCGTCGTGCTTGAGTGGACTGCTCGGTTTCTTAGGCGAAAGGTTCTCCTGGTTGATGTTCATGTTTCTGATGCGAAGAGGAGAGGTGGCCACTTCTGGTTGATTCGCTGTGCGAGGGCGCAGAGGGGATCGCGTGACTTCTGCGAGCGCCTTTAGGCCTTGGCTGGCGAGGAGGAGGGATGGGTCGGGCGATGTGTTTCGGCGGGTAGGGCGAGCGCGTGTGGAGGCGGGCTTGGAAGGGCTCGGTGATGAGCCTTCAAGCGTTGTTGTTGAACGCCGCCTTCGGGAGTCCAGGTTCTTGGGCTTCGTTGGTGAAGGAGTGGCTACTGTCTTGATCCCTGAGCTTTTGTCTAGCTCTGGGATAGCGGTCTCTTTCGCGAGCGCTTCGAGCTTTGCCAAGTTCGCTTCGAGCGAAGCCACCTGCTGCTTCAGCGCCGCGATCTCAGTGCTCGACCGCAAGTTCTCGGCCATCGACTGTCTGAGCCGCTCCTGGTAATCCTTCATCTGCGCCTCCAGACCCTTCTCCCGCTTTTTGTGCCTCTTCCGCTCATCTTCTAGCCGCGTGGCAAGCTCCATGGTCTCCTCGTCCTTCTTCTTCGCGTAGTTCTTCGCAAGCTGCTGCTTCGTGATCAGCTTCTTGACGTCCTTTTCACTCTTCTCCGAATACGACTCGTATTTCTCCTTCCAGTATCGGCCTGACTCCGACCGGGGCTCCGTCACGTCCAAGGTGATATCTGCATCGTCCTTGGCTCTGGCTTTGGCTTTCGGCTTCGACGAAGAGTCTCGCGCCTCAAACAGAGCGGCTGTCAGTTTTGTCCTCACTGGTTCTGCTGTTGCATCGCCTGCTTTTGGAGTCCAAGGGCTCGGGAATTTACCGGGGCAGTTATTCGGTAGACCACTCCTACCGGGTACTGTAGACTTCTTGCCTTCGTTGTCGACGACGTGCGCGCCGAATGATACGGTTTTTCGGCGTGTGGCAGCGGTTCCGGGCGTCATGAGGATTCCGTTCGGCTTTGCCTGATCCGACTCTTCCGAGTTCTGGCGTAACAATGGCCGTCTGTCCTCCGCTACAGTTTGCGTGGTCTTCCTCTCTTCTTGCACTTCATTTCTACGAACAAGTGTTTTTCTGTGGCCGCCTTCGTCTGGATGTGGTGTGCCGAATATCGCATGCTTAAAGGCGCGGACTGCGAATACTGGTGCTGGCGTTTCTGGTGGCTCGATGTAGGACGGCTCGATGGCATCTACAGTAGTGTCAGAACAGAGAGCTGGATACTTTAACGGACCTCGCATACCTAGATCCTCCGCGACGTTCGTAATGCGAGCTCCGGTGATCCATGAAAGCATCCTGCCACCGTCTACAAACGCCCCGCTGTCGCGAGGAAGAATACTGAAACAATGCTTGAGGAGAATGTGCACCGATCAACTATGAAGATCAGGCGGCGCGTAGTGATTGTTGTGTGTGCGGCCAGGTGGGCGTGTTCATGTCCGGGTCGCGTTGTTTTGGGTTGTTGACAGTTGGAGGGGAAAGGTGGACAACGCAGGGACGGTCTGCAATGCACGAGAGAAGCCAAACGGTAGCGTAACACTATTAATATGAGAGAACGAAGAGCAGGAACGGACGAAGAAGCATCGCCGGGAATGAGGCTAAGAGGTGCTCATTAAGCAGTCGCGACGATGGAATTGCCAAGGATCGCGTTGCGATGTCACATGACTGGTCATAAACCTCGAGGATAGGCATACTGATACAGCAAGTAAATCTTCAGTCAGCATACGAGGGTCACGAATAGAAGCGGTTTCTCGTAGTGGTGTCATGGTAGACACCAGAGCTGCATTTGACACGAAGGCATATCATGCTATAGGGCCCTGTGCTGAAAATTGAATGAAGGCTTCATCGTCCAACGTGATGTTAGAGCTAAGTGAGAGGCCTAGGCGTAAGGCAGCATACACTGCCTCATAAGCGAGTTTAAGCCATGGTTCGAGTGGAACGGTCAGGGTAAAGATCTTTAAAAACGTGGTGAAGTTGATAAACTTTGGTGATTTCGGAGTCCGGCGATTTCTGTGATCCGTGTGGGAGTGAAGAGTCGCGTTGGTGACCGCGTTGATGGCACTTCCCCCAAATATCCACTACAACTTAGACCATGATTTTCACTGCGTAAAGAGCAGCAGCTTCGGCTGCTGGTCTCTGATCTCTGGTTCTGCCGCAACCGTAGGCCGGTTGATCGCTCCTGACACATCCCGATATGGCACCTACCACCGCCTACGCGCAGGCGCAGGAAGATGAGATTGAAGTTCTCCGGTCCATTTATATGGAGGATTACCAGGAAGTAGCAATCAAGGGTGCCTGGAGCAAGACGTCAGATCGCGCTTTCACGCTCAAGCTGAGGGCATCTACAGACAACGAGACTTGGGTTTCGTTATCTGTCCGCTTTACAGCAACTTATCCAAAGACACCTCCGCTCTTGTCCGTCGAATACGCGGACGTCTTACAAGAAAGAGCTCGGAAGAAGATTGGAGACTTGATTCGTACCAAGCCAAAAGCGCACTTAGGCGAGGTGGTGATCTATGAAATTGCATCTTCGATTCAGGATGTTCTCGAAGACGCGGTGCAGTCTCGCGAGCATGATGCAGCTTTGCCAAGTTTCGCGGAGCAACGCATGATAGATGAGGCGGCTGCCGCGGAAGTGACCAAGAGGGAGGAGGAGGAACTCGCCCGCAAGAGACTAGAAGAGCAGGCGGAAGAGCAGCGTGCCCTGCTGCAAATGGTCGATGAAGAAATGAACCGACGCAAAGAAAAGAAGCAGAGGCTGAGGCCTGCATCGTCGCAACCTACCCGCCAAGATAAGCAAGACGGATCGTACTTCGCCTTTGACCGGGCCATCACCGTCGGAGATGTGAGTGATTCTCTATGCAGTATCCAAGGGCCAGCCGAAAAGTCCGTTGCCACATGGAAAGCTCCTCGTGGCCCTGGAGGTGGACAGCTCAAGCACGTAGCCCGCAGATTGAGGACACCTTAGGTGATCGGTGCATCAGGGAGTTAAACTGCTGTAACCTCTTCTACTTTCTATCATGCGGACCTATCTAGCTGCCCTACGATAGACAAGGTCATGAGTCCAGTTCGGTCGTGAATCTTGTATCGAACAAGCTGGAGCATAAATGCAGCAACGGACTTTTCGGGTGGCCCTTGATCCACTACCGGGCGGTCGCAATGGTTGGACGGCGTTTATCATAACGAATGGAGGCGCTAATCTGTTCTATAGATCTCATTCAACGCAGTCACCGGGCTCACCCCGATTCGTGAGGGGTCTGTCACAGAAGTTCTCGCAGTGTCACCAGTGCTCACGCGTGGCAGGCCCATTGGGCCCTTGGCTATGAAACGAACACGCCTTAATGTACCGCTATCAAAAGACGCTCAACTAAAGAAGACTATCCTTGATTTTGAAGACGAACTAGAGCGCCTGAGATCCTTGCGTCAACAGAACACACTGGACGTGCTTGATTTTCGGATAGAAAAGCTCGACAACAACCCGGAACACATTTCCGAGGGAGAAGATACGCCTGATCGGTCCATTTGGCAAATAAGCATATTGACCGAGCTTGCGACCGAGGGCTCTATCGGTGCAATGCTTACTATTGCTGACAGCCTGCCTGCAAACAAGGTACGTGTGTGGGCTGTGGAACTGCTTGATGCACTCGAATTCTACCACCGCAATGGAATTGTGCATAGGAGAGTTCACCCATACAACATACTATTGAAAGCCTCTTCGTCCGGTGGCATGACGGTTAAGCTTGCCGACGCGGCTTTTCAGGATCACCTGCACGAGCTTAAAGACTTGGCCCGGACGACGGGTAGCAAATCTTCGCCTGCGAGATCCGCTTATTGGATAGCGCCAGAGTTTTCTGGAAACCCGCGTCCTTCCCGTAAGACGGATATATGGGACTTTGGCGTTACATTCCTCCAAATGCTTCTCGGTCTCGATACTCCAAAAAAGTACAGCTCACCTGCCGCACTTACGGAGTCGCTTGATCTTTCAGCCCCACTTGAAGAACTTATTTACAAGTGCTTCAACCTTGATCCGAAGAAAAGACCTTCAGCTTTCGATCTTACACCTTGCGAGTTCTTCCGTAGCGAAGCCCCTGTTTTATTCCATCCCGCACCTCCAAGGCTCTCCTCTTCAGACACTCTGTCCGGGCCTCCTGAAAGACGGTTGAGGCGACCCTCTTCTAATGCGGGAGGTCCATTCTCAAGATATGCTGGCGAATGGGCTGAAGTTGGCCGCTTGGGCAAAGGCGGTTATGGCGAGGTTGTCAAGGCTCGCAATAAGCTAGACGGGCGCATCTATGCCATCAAGAAGATCAAGCTAAGTTCGGCTTCGGCTTTGACGAAAGTTCTGTTAGAGGTCAGGCACCTTTCCGGCCTCAATCACCCGTACGTTGTGCGTTACTACACTGCCTGGCCAGAGGATGACCCTGTTGACATTTCGGAGACCGAGGAAGAGTCAACCTCCGTCGAAACTGAAGAAAGCCCGGATTTTAGTACTGACGGTCCCGGTATCGACTTTCGCCCAAGCACTCGAGGCCTAGATTTCATTAGCTCCAGTGGCTTCCCGAAGATCGAGTTTGGTGAAGATTCTGAAGACGAAACAAGCTCTATCGACTCCGACGAAGACGGTCCAGACAGGGCGGACGCCGATAAGAGAATCAAGAACGAAGCCGCCCAAGAGAAAGATGCGTCCCCTGCATTGAGGAGGACTGTATCCGCTCCGCGTGCTACAAAGCCCGTCGCGTCCACACTCTACATACAGATGGAGTACTGTGAGAGACACACCCTACGAGACCTTATCCGGAAGGGTCTCCACGACAACCCGAATGAAGTGTGGCGCTTGTTTCGCCAAGTCCTAGAGGGACTCACACACATCCATAGCCATGGGATAATCCACCGCGACTTAAAACCTGATAACATCTTCATCGATGTGACAAACACTCCAAGGATCGGCGACTTCGGCTTGGCTACGAGCGGCCAATATCAGCTTGCTGACAAGGCAGACTCAAACGCTGTCCCCGATGGAGATATGACTCGCAGCATCGGGACCGCGTTATATGTCGCACCTGAGCTCAGATCTCACGTTGGTGGCACCTACAATGATAAAGTTGATATGTATTCTCTCGGCATCATCTTCTTCGAGATGTGTTACCCACTACGCACAGCTATGGAGAGGGACCAGGTCATAATGCAGCTTAGGAAGAAACAGCATGTGCTTCCTGAAGTTTTCCAAAGCTCCGAGAAGGCGACGCAAGGCAGCATCATTTATTCTCTAATCAGCCACCGCCCAAGCGAACGACCAGGTAGTGCAGAGCTTCTTCGCAGCGGTAAGCTGCCCCTACAGATCGAAGACGAAACGATCCGCCAAGCACTTCGAGGCCTATCGGATACCAACTCGCCCTACTACCATAAGATGATGTCGGCTTTGTTCTCTCAGACGTCGGACATGCAGGTGAAGGACTTTGCGTGGGACTTGGGATCCTCGAACGGAGCCAATGGACCCAATGCAGGTGAACTTCTCTTGCAGAGCTCTGTCAGGGGACAATTGAAATCTGTATTCCGCCGCCATGGTGCTGTGGAGGTACAAAGGCCGATCGTCTTCCCCCGCTCAGCCCACTATCCTACTGGAACGGGCGTATATCAGCTTCTGGACGCCTCAGGTACTCTTGTGCAGTTACCGGTCGACCTGACATTACCTTACGCAAGAACCCTTGCTCGACAGCCCCCCACGGCGGATCGGACCTTTGCTTTTGGCAATGTTTACCGTGTCTCACATACAGGCGGCCCACCCCGAGCACTTGGAGAAGTCGACTACGATGTCTGCCAAACAGACACGCTTGATTTAGCGCTGAAAGAAGCAGAGGTCATCAAGGTGTTAGATGAAGTCATTGAAGAGTTTCCATCTTTGTCCACGGCGCAAATGTGCTTCCACCTGAACCACTCGGATTTGCTCGACCTCGTTATGGACTTCTGCCGCATCAACATACCGCTTCGACCAGCAGTCAAGGAAACTCTAAGCAGGCTGAACATTCACCAGTGGACTTGGCAGAAGATTCGGAGCGAGCTACGATCCCCCACTATCGGCGTTACGTCCACCTCGCTTGATGACCTGGCGAAGTTCGACTGGCGCGACATTCCCGAAGTAGCGTTTGGCAAGCTCCGATCTTTGTTCGAAGGTACAGAGTATTTGGACAAGACCCATGCAATCTTTGCGCACATGCGTACTGTGCTTGGCTACATGAAGACCCTCAACGTGCACCGCAAGGTGTTCATCAGCGCTCTTAGCAGCTTTAACGAGAAATTCTACGCCGGCGGTATTATGTTTCAGTGCCTTTACGATACCAAGCGCCGCGATGTCCTTGCCGCTGGAGGCCGCTATGATCGACTGATAGCGGAGCACAGGCCCAAGGTACAAGGAAACTCCACTGGCTGTCGTGCCGTGGGCATGAACTTGAGTTGGGAGCGGATCGCTTCATCGACGGCGAGGTATTACAAGAACTCCGGAAAGTCCAACTTCTTGAAGAAGTCGGTGGAAGAATCTCAGCCAAGGGTAAGATCTACAAAAGCCCTTCGTAAACGGTTCCTGGTGTTGCCGCACAGCGGGAAATCCGGTGAACGTTGTTGGCTTCCCATGAGAAGATCTGTGACTCCTAAGGACCCTCTTGAGCGCACATTGCTCACGCTTGGTGTTCCTCACCCTTGTTCCCCCCTTTCTCAGCCACTCTAGCTCACCGTTTCTGTCATTTCTAGCACTCTTCGACTCTTTGGGAGCGTTATGGCTTTGAAGCTGACCCTTTGAGCAGGCTTCCTCCGAGCAATGGGCCACACGACGATGTGACTGTCTAGTAGCCTCCTTCGATGCAGATGTGTTACGCACAACCGGTGTCAAAATGGTAGCCGACCTCTGGGCCCACGACCTCAGTGCCGAGCTAGCTGCCGACGCACGCTCGCCAGAAGAGCTCCTGGCCAGATATCGCGACGACAAGCACAGCTGGATTATCATCATCAAGCAAGATGTTGATGTGTTTGGCAAAGCAGACCTCAAGGTGAAGAGCATGGACCGCAAAGTCGACACCGATGTGCGCAGTTCCGAGTTGATATCTTACCTCCGTCAAGAGATCCGTGATCGAGATCATCGAGAAGGCACAAACGAGCGAGCGCGCCTGCTGCGTCAGCCGAGTCAGCCGGAATCTGCGCAAGCTGAGCGTAAGAGCAACGTGCAAGTGCTTATGGCACAGCACAGAAGCAAGAAGAGTAATAAGTGGAACGTTGTTGAAGCCGGTAAGCAGCTGACTTTCGCATCTATCAAGCCGCCACTAGTCTCTTTCGTGACAGGAAGCATCCAAATGGATCACAAACATACCGGGCCTCGCCGCATCGTGTGGTTTCTTGTTTGCGTTCGGCATCGCGCAACGTGTTATACAATTCCAGTTCCCGGCTTCTGCCACTATCTTCTCGCTTCCAACCATCGGCTCCCAACACATTCACTGACATCTGCACAGCTCAATCCCGCGCCCGCGAACTTCTCAACTCCTATCAGTCCTCTCCGATAGCTGCCATCGAAACTCGCGACGACATCATGGACATGATCCGCGAAACGCGGCTGTCTGATCCTGACAGCTGGCGCGCCGTCATTCAACGGGTGCCACTTGCTGAGAGGCAGTATTTGCAAGACGTACACAACATGCTGATTCGATATGCGAGTGACTGGCGAGAGAAAGAGGGGGCGATCAACGAGAGCCGCATGGCCTTCGTGTATAACTTCAGGACGGGCGGTGTGATGCTGTATGACTTGGGTTTGTAGGAACTCCCTAGACATGACTGTCGGTGTGTGGAATTGAAGCCGCATGAGACGGCTCAGGAGGTTTGTTGCTTGGCTGATTAGGGTTCGCATCGGACGAACACCTTGCTAAAGATGGAATTAAACACCAGATCGTTTCGAGGCAGCAGTGCTAATCCGCTCTCGCCGTCTTCCGCCGAGGAACGACTCCTGCAACGTCGAACCCTCGCAGCATACCCCACCAAACCCTTTTCTTCAACCCACAAACCAAACTATGGACCGAATTTGTCCAGACGGTGTCATTCCGCCAACTGCCAAAACCGCTTCCATCAAGCACCCCTCCTGCCCGTCCATCCACACAGCATCAACAATTCCGCAGAGCACAGTCAATCCATCTCAGCTCAAACCTTCCTCTCCCGTCCCCTTCGCCCACCCTCCTCGCACGCTCCCTATCCACCACCTCCTCGTACGTCCTCCACACCACGTTCTCGATTCTGGGCTCCTCTCCTCCACCACTAGCTCCACTTCCCCACCGTTTCCTTGTCGTCGCACCGGTATTTTTAGTTCCTGGCTTCTCTCCACCGGCACCACTTCCCTCGTGTCCCGCAATTATTGAGTTCCCACTTGCAGCCACCAGCACCGCCCGCCCCTGCGTATCCAAGTGCTTCATATTCTGTCTCGCGGGCTCATCGCCTTTCTGCGAGATCGTCTCTATGGTCGTGCCTCCCGGGTCGTGATGGACGGTCTGGCGGTATGTGCTGCTGGTGGTTTTGGGGGCGGAGGCGCTGCCGCGCCGGTCGGAGGTGTAGGTTGTGGTTGTGGAGGTTGCGGAGCATATGAAAGTGGACATTGCCGTGGTCGTATGTTTGGTGTTGGCTTGAGGTGGATTTCTAGCGGCCTTGCGGATGTAGGTGGTTGATTAACTTGCAGTGACGACCGATAAGCTGGACGCAACAGTAGGTGTTCTGAGGTTCGGACTTTGTAGCTTCAGTGCGACTGCGAGGTTTGGCTTACGGAGCTTCAGTCACACATGACCTCATCTGGGTGTAATAAGAGGGACTCCGAACACGTGACCTGAGAGGTTTAGAAGAACGACATCTGCGAGCCGATCGAGACGGTACAGTAGTATCGATAATCAGCAATATGTAGATGATCACCTGCCTTTTCTATTCACTGAACAAAAGCCCCTTCAAGCCCTTCTCTCCCACGTCCTAACCGCATTCTCGAACAACTCCCTACATCTGACCCTCGCCCCCAGCCTCGCACACAATAAGAACGCCCCACTCAGTTTCCGATGCAGACTATACGTCTCCTCCGGCGGCGGCGCCAGCCTCTCCCTCACCATCGTCGGGATCAACTCCCGCACCCGATCTGTAATCGTCTGGTCCCTGAAATCGTACGTCTCAGGCGCCGTGGCGCCAAACGGCTCACCGAGCGTCAAAACAGACGCAATGTGCGCGTCTAGCATCTTCTGGCTCTCGTGGCCCGTCAGGTACCCCAGCTGGATGGAGAGATCGCGAATGCTCTCCTTATCATCTTTAGAGGCAGCGATCAAGACGCGCACGTATGGATCAATGAAATGGTCCGGGTAGTCTCTACTAGCGCCAAAGTCAAGAAGCTCAAGCTTATGGGTATCCTGGTTATACAAAAAGTTCGTCCAGTTCGGATCTGTCTGCATGAACTTGAACTCGGTAATTTCGCGCAGGCAGAGGCGCAGGATCTGCGTGCCGATCCAGTCGCGCCTGTCCTGGGCGAGGGAGGGGAGTTTGGCGACGCCGGTGCCGGTCATGAGCTCGGCGGTAAGGACTTCGCGGCCGGAGGCATCGGATATCACGGCGGGAACGACGAAGGTCTCGGGTTCGTCGGATATTAGTTCTCGGAAGCGCATTTGGCATTCGGCTTCGCGGATGTAGTCGCATTCCCAGGCGAGCTCGGTGCGGGCGTTTGCGATGGTTTTGTCGAGGTAGAGTCCTTTTGGTAGGAGTCGAGATGCTGTGAGTAGGATTGACAGGTTGCTGAGGTCGGAGTCGATTGAATTGGCAACGCCTGGGTACTGGACCTTGACAGCGACCTCCTGCCCAGTAGACTTGAGTATAGCTTTGTGTACCTGCCCGATAGAGGCTGCCGCCATCGGAACCTCGTCGAAGGAGCTAAACAGTTCCCGCCACTCCGAGCCGAGGTTGCTGGCCAGAACTTTGTTTCGCTGAGACGCGGGCATGTAATCAGCACTGTCCTGCACCCTTTGGAGAACATCATGAATCGGCTTCGGAAGCATCTTGATGTCTGCTTCAATCAGCCTTGCTACGATACGTGCCGGTGCGTGTCCTTACCTTGGAAGCTGATCATCTGGCCCAGTTTTAATGCCGCTCCTCGCATGCGGGACAGCTTCGCAACCAGCCTTTCCATGTTGCCAGCACTAAGCATCAATGAGCCTCCAGGCATACCGCCGCCAGTGACGCGTCGTAGGCCCTCGCCGACAGCGCCGAAGGCCATGCTAGTACCCAATCCAGCATACTGCCAAAGTCGACCAAACCTGGAGGAAGGGACGCGTGATTCACGCATCTGATATGGAGCCTTCTCAGGTGCAGTTGCCACGTCTGCTGGTAGCTGTTGGAGCGCTGTCAGTATATCAGCAAGCGTGACTTGTCGGTGCAGTATTGATGGAATCTCACCTCAGGAGCTGCTGCTGGAGCAGCTGTGGTATCATTTGCTATGTCTGCTGCTAGGGAGTGGACATCTTCGTCAGACTGCGAAGGGGTGATGGTGGAGGTTTGTTGTGCGTTTTGCTCCAGCTTGGCTGAAGAAGTTGACCCCGACTCCCGGACACTGAAGGTGTCTTGCCCCTGCTCTGCGGAAGGTACGGTTCGGTCGACTGGAGGCCATTGCGTGTTTCTAACTCTTTGATCCCGATCCTTCGCGCCCCTGTAGTATTTCCCACCCAGCATCTTCGATACCTTTGAGGACCGGAAGACGTTAACGTTGACTTCCTCCGGCACATCGTCGTGGTCTTGCTCTAGAGTCTGTTGTTTCTGCCGCCGTCCCTTCGGGGAGTAGTATACATCTGGGTTGATCTGATTGTCTTGCACATGCTCATCGCTGCTTTGTATGTTCTCAGTATGCTTCGGTATCTTGGCCCTAGGTAGCGACGAGTAATGCTCTTGAGTATCGGCGGATGGCTCGTAATACACGTCCTTATCATGACCTGCGTAAAGCCCGGTGTTGTCGGTAGGAGTGGCATGCGCTCGCGGCTGAGCGGTCTGCGACGGTATATGGAACTCTGCTTGGCGCTGAAGCCTTCTTGTCTCATCTGCTGAATGTTGATACTTGGTTCCTGCTGGAGTAGGGATTGTTGAAGCTCCGGATTCCACGGGCCGAAGACCCTCCCTGTCACCCTGCTGTTGCTCAGACAATGGCTCCCGCAGTGGTTCAGTTTGTGGTCTTTTGCCGTAGGTATCCTTCCCACTAGGTGCACTGTGGAGCTCAGAATCTGGGGGAGGGATTGTGCCATCTGGTAACGGACTTCTGGCTGGCTTTTCCTGCTTGACACCAAGCTCTTCCTCCGGTGGAGGCTGAGCGGGATTGGTGTCGGGTGAGCGATCATAGTGGTGGTCCTGCTGTAGGCCTTCTTTTGGGACTTCGGCTCCTGACTTTCCTGTCACCGAGTCACTCCGAGGGACAGCTCCATCCTGAGGCTGCGTGTGTTGCTCTTTCTGTGCAGCGAAGTTGGTATAAGACGGTGGAGGTTCGTTGAAGCGCTGGGAGAGCGCTATCGCTGCCTGAGCAGTAAGCGTGACGCGGTCGGTCTGATTCTTCACGGCCTTTGCGAGCGTAGAGGTCTTGCTGTAGACATCTAGTTGCTGTGACCGGAGAGCAATATGCTGCTTGGCGACGGAGCGAGAGGCATTGAACAGTTTTGCGGCGTCGAGAAGCCGCCGACCTGCCATGGGGAGATTTTTCGGATATCGTCACGGGATGTTCGCCATGATAGTCCAGATGCTCCCCGCTGAAGGATGGATTTGCTGCGGTTGTGAGCGTCGATGGCAGCTTGAAGCTCAATCGAGACCGTCATCGTTTCCGACAGGGGTCAAGCCTCAGTCTTCAGCCACAGCTGCAGCGCCGCCACAATCTGGATTGATCTCTGAGAGACGTCTCCAGGTGGGCAAATGTATGCCTAGGTAGACGTATATCTTCATGCCCGGTAGTGTTCCCAAACGAGTCCTGAGGGTCAGGAGCTTGAGCTTGAACACTCGCCTTCTGTAGCACTTTTCATTGCTCGTTCGAATGTTCTGAGTAACCCAAGAAACAAGCTGTCAGAAAACTTCTGCTCAAAGTCCACCAACTCGGGGAGTTGTACACTCCGGTTTTGGGGAGGGGCTGTGGGTGGTTTTAAGTTCAGTCGTTGTTGCTGCTTCAGGAGCCTCTTTCCCTCTTTTGAGTCTTTCATACTCGATCCTCAACTACTCCCATATCGTCTCTCGACGCAAAAACGTTCCAAATCGGCAAGATGAGCATCGCAATCCTCCAATTCTGTCCGTTCTATAAAAATGTGGAGGCTAGTATGCAGAAAGCAAACCAACTTCTGTCCGAGGCGCAGTTCATGAGGCAGTTGGACTGGCTCGTCCTTCCTGAGATGGCATTTACAGGTAAGGCTCCGCAATAATCTTATTACTGGCACGTCATTCTATCGCAAGCCTAATGTGCACCCCAAACTTTCCGCGTGACGTGACGGCCCGACTGACCTCAATCCAGGCTACAATTTCCAATCCGTCGAAGCAATCACACCCGTGCTCGAACCCGCCAACACCGGCCCAACAACTCAATGGGCCCAAAATACCGCCCGCCACCTGAACTGCGTCGTCACCGTCGGCTACCCGGAGATCGACCAAACCGTCTCTCCACCACGGAATTACAACTCCCTAGTAACAGTGCTCCACGACGGGACGATCCACAGCAACTACCGCAAAAGCTTCCTGTACTACCACGACGAGACGTGGGCGAAAGAAGGGCACGAGCGAGTCAACTCACCAGGCAGCTACGCTGACCCTTTCCACCACAGCCTCCTCGGGCATCTGGGAACAGTCAGCATGGGCATCTGCATGGACCTGAACAACTACAAGTTCCTGGCGCCGTTCGAGCTGAAGGAGTTCGCCAACGCCGCCTTGCTCCACGGGTCCAAGTATGTCTGCTTATCCATGGCATGGCTCTCCGCGCTGCAGCTAGAGGAACTGCGCGAACAACCTCGCGAGCCGGATGGCGCGACGTTGAACTATTGGCTCACGCGCCTGGATCCGCTTATCCGCAGCAACCGCAGAGACCCGTTCTATGTGATACTTGCCAACAGGACGGGCGTGGAGGGGATCATTGGATACGCGGGCACGAGCTGCGTGATGAGGATTCACGAGGGCAGGGTGGCTATCTTTGACATGATGGGGAGGGCGGAAGAGGGGCTGTTGCATGTTGATACGGCAGGACGGCCGAAGTATTTCATGCAGCCTAATGCCCTGCTGTCGGGCTAACAGGGTCAAGGTTCGAGGTGTGCTGATGGGTATCGAGTGCTATCCTTTATCGAATCTGATTTAGACGGATTCTGGCATGGGACTGCTACGAAGAGCGTGCTGCAGGACCACTTCGTAACATGAGGGACTGAGGATAGGGAAGTACAAGGCAGGCGCCTGGGCGTTTCCACTGGTGAAGCTCGCGGTGAGCCCTTCTGCGGCATAACCTTACCTCCAGCATTGAGGGAGTAGGACAGGTGAAGAGTCAACAAGCATCCGACAGGATTGGTCTCGTTCACAGATCCGTGTATATTCATCCTTAGGAAACCTCAGTGGCAATACGTTTGTTTTGCGGGAGCATGAAGCATGAATGAGGCATGAAGCGCTTGAATTAGACTGGAGTAGCTTTTGGAGTAGCTTTTAGGCAGTTGGAGTGTTTTCTCGGTATCTCTTAACGATCCTTCAGTGTCGGATGGCTGCAGCCGCAAGCATAGGTTGAAGATGTCTATCGTGGATTGGCAAATCGTGTCGTTTGATTTTGCGTACAATCCCTCCCATGCGCCCAAGCAAATCCTGCACATCATCAACACCGCCCTTCAACCATGCTTCGATTTCCGCCCCATGTCACACATCCCAACCATCCGCTGATGCACGCCTGAGAGTCGAAAAGGCCGAAGGAAGTCGAAGAAAGTCTGCGAGTGATCTAGATGCCGATACGGGTCTTGCGCCAATGTCGCCTCTTCGCGTTGTATCTGCGCCGGGCCTGTCAGCTTCCCTTGTTCACCATTGCAGGGCTTTGTTCTTTGTCTAGTTTTTCTAGGTCCAGGGTGCATACCGGATGGTGTTGCCCGTTCGCAGCCTAATCCACTGAGGAATGGGCCTGTTCTGCTTCTGCGCCTTGGCGAGCTTTTGCTTCGTGCGGAAAGACTTGTGGCTCTGGGGGATGTGAAGTTAGTATTGAGGTGCGTCTTCCGGCATACCAGTATCCGAGATGGTGAGGCCGGCAGGATAACAGGATCGAACGTACCGGCATTTTGACGTGTCCGAGGCTGTAGGTCTTTGTGAGGGTATCTGTAGAGTTGTTTGACTGTCGCCGTTGAGATGATGTCGAAATGCTGTGCGGCAAAGCGCGGAAAAACGGTAGGCCGATCTATCAGCGTCACGTGATTCTACTCTCATGAATCCTAATGGAGCCTCAAGCATCGACTCGTCCATCACAACCATCACCAGTCAGTGTTACATAGGACTTACACCCAGATGCTCAGACCACTTGAATCGTGGTTGTTGGGAAGGGCTTGTCCTAAAGGGTATAGACTATGCCATAGCTCGCTCAAGAGCGTCTCAGGAGTTTCTTTGTCTCAAGCTCTGCATCTCCGTGATCGCCCGCTCTTCATCAGGGTCATGCAAACCGCTGGCCTCTTCGGCAGCGTTCTGGTTTCCTGCAATCATACGCTTGCCCTGTATCTTCTTCTGCTCCGGGCTGTGCTCCCCACGCGAAGATCGTGATGTGGACACAGCTCTTTGTTCGATAGTCATACCCGCGGCAGAGCTTCCTGCTTCCTGCAACATTTTACAAGGGGTTGTAAAGTTTGGTAACCCTCATCTCTCTGCTTAGCGCTGCACTACACAACGGCTTTTCTCACTTTTCGAGTGTTACCTAGTGATCATGGTCTTTTCGCCATACCTATAGAGCCTCTCCACGTGGACATGGCTGGGGAAGTCTCACATAGCAAGCCATAGAGATATCTTGGTGGATGACCGTGCCTCTGAAGTGTAGGTTGTCGGTATTGTAGCACGTGGTGTGGATGCGCGCCCAGTCAGCCTTCCGACTTGCCTGCTCATACGACGCTCCGGCAGAGCTGCTTGCGGTGGTCTCTCTTTGTTCTCCTAAAAAGCGCCAACCAGCTGCTGTACCTCCTCCCAAGTCCTGCTCACCCGTTGCTTCTTTGGTCTCGAGTCGGGGAATCTTCTTTATCTGCACGCTTCCGTGGACGTACCGTTTTAATAGTACTCGCGTGGCCTCCACTTCTTTGTGTCTCTAAGCCATGGCTTCAATAAGTGTAGCCATCACGCTTATGCGCTCCATAGCCGACCACCTTCGCTCAGGCTTGCGTGACAGTTCGTTTCAGCCGGCTGAGTTCCACCTTGTTGAGCTAACAGGCGCGTCTTTCGCTTTGACTTTGGCGCTTGAACAGGCGATTTTCGGCTGCCTACGTCTTGCTTCGTTGTTCTTGGATAAGAAGAGATCATCGCTACTCGCTGAGTAGAGTTCATCAGCTCTCTGTCGCAGACATGAAGTTCTGCAACACCCTCAATCCCGTTGCCGTGGCCTCAGTTGCCCTCCTGGGGGTTGCCGATGCGTTTTGGCGGATGAGCTGCGGTAGAGTCCAGACAGGACGTATCGATCCCATCGTCACTCCCGGCAGAATCTCCGGTCATGCGCACACCATCGTTGGCTCCAACAGTAAGAGACTTACTTGAAGCCCAAGGAGCAACTGCTGACTTAGTTAGATCTTGGTATCAATTCGACTTATGATCAGCTCTTCAACGCCCAGTGCACGAGCTGCGAGATCCATGATGACATGTCCGCCTATTGGTCCCCTCAACTGTACTACCGATACCCGAATGGCTCCTTCGTAGATGTTCCCAATGGCGGCACCATCCTTTACTACCTTGGACGAGGAGTTAACAGAAATAACCTTACGCCCTATCCCAAGGGCTTCCAGATGCTGGCTGGAGATGCTGGAGCTAGATCATACGATAACACGACGATGACTTGGGGCAATGCTACGTACCCAAATCGTCCAATTGCGGACCGCGTCAGCTTTGCTTGTCTGCACGAGGGGTTTCTGCCAGAGAAGCCGTACATGTTCCAGACTAACTGCAAGAACGGCTTGCGGGCCCAGATCCACTTTCAGTCCTGCTGGAACGGAGTGGATCTATACAAGGCGGATAACAGCCACGTCGCGTACATGAGTCGCATCGACGAGGGTGTTTGTCCTCCTACTCATCCGTTCAAATTCGTCCATCTGTTCATGGAGCTGTACTATTCCGTCAACGACGTCACCAATCAGGTCCCCGGGGGCACGTTCGTCTTCAGCCAGGGTGATACGACCGGCTACGGATTCCACGCTGATTTCCAAAACGGATGGTATGAGCTATGCCTGTATTGCGCCTTTGTCAGATTTCACTAACGCTCCTCAGGAATCCGGAAGTCCTTGCTGAGGCCTTGAAGACCTGCGCAAGCAACGAGGGCTCGTCCGGCGCAATCAAAGAGTGTCCGATCCTGCGGAAGAGCAACGTCGATAACTTTAAGTGGCAGTGCCCAGAACGGGCCCCGCAGATTGGAGAGCAGGTTGTTGGCGTCATGGACAAGCTTCCTGGCTGGTTCGTCATGTCTAAGGAGCAGTTCCCGTAATCTAGGCTGACAACCACATGTACAGTAACAGAGTCACTTCCGGCCCAGAGCGCGCAGGCGCAGCCGATATGTCCTGCCCCGCAGACGCGCCAAAGCCATCCGTCACCTCAACTGTGGACACCGTGCCTATCGCCACAGTTTATCCCCAGGTTGGCGAAGAGGCTGGCAATCCAGGATGGGAATATCTGGGTTGTGCGCAGGACAACGCTACCGCCCGCGCGCTCTATGCAACCATGGGCAGCAACCTCACCACCATGACTGTCGAGAGCTGCCAGAATTTCTGTGCCTGGAAGGGTTATGTATTAGGTGAGCGCCTTTGGCATCCCCTCCAGCGCTTTGTACTGACCCGCCACAGCCGCCACGCAGTTCGGCCGGGAGTGCTACTGCGGCAACTACTTCAGGGACAACAAGACTCCCAACTTCAATGCCACCGGGTGCGACTACAGATGCGCCGGCGATCTATCCAGAACCGTGAGTTTTCATCTCTCCCCTACTCCCACTCCCATCCCGTCGCTTCTCTCCCCCTTCTGACTCCCTACCTCGATGCATCGCTAACACGTCAAACTCTAGTGCGGCGGCTCCAGCAAGATCGAAGTCTACAACAACACCCGCGTCACCCCGCCCCCGCCCCCGACCGTGCAAGCCAGCAGCGGCAAATTCGTCGCCAAGGGCTGCTACAAAGAAAAGACGGGCGGCCGCGCCCTCGGGAACTATTCCTTTGCCTCGGACACCATGACCATAGAGAGCTGCTCCAAGTTCTGCTTGGGCAAGAAGTGTCGGTGGGCTGGGCTGGAGTTTGGGTAAGTCTCCTATCGTCTACTGTCAAGATTGATGGTTTTTTTTGGTGCTTGAAAGATAGGGGACTAATACGAGTGCGCAGACGCGAGTGCTATTGCGGCGATAGTATGGTGGGGATTGCGCCGGCGCCGAAGAGTGAGTGCTCTTCAACTTGTGCGGGCAATGCGGGGAATCGCCAGGCGTTCTGTGGTGGGCCGGGAAGGTTGAATGGGTATTATTACTCGGGGTTCTTGTGAGTCTGAGGAGATGCAGCGGCAAGTGAGAATCGCGCTGTGATGATGTAGTTATGTTTATGATCTCTCGTATTCGGTTGACTGATGATCTCATATCTGCTGGCTGTGGGAAGATTGAGCGATTGCAGAGGCGACTCCACGTCCAACTGTCTGAGCCCACGAAACGATTAGTTTTGTAGGCGAGTGGTGGCAGTAAGGTATTTCACGTTGCGATTGCGTAGCTACGATGTGTTTACGATCTCGTTGTGATGAAGGAAATAGAACACCGTAATAAGGTGAAAACAGAAACCGAGCAAAAAGGATCGGAAACTGCATCAGACTACGCAAAAAAGAAAAAGGAAACATAACATGATATACTCCAAAGCAATGCTAAGATGTTCCGCGACCACCTCCCGCTTGTATGCGCATTGTTCCAAGCCGCCCAGAGTATGCATTCTATGCCCACTGCCGCCAAATCCAGGCTGGCATTCGCTCCCAGAGACCCATGACCCAGGATCTACCTCCCGACCCGATTATGCACCTCTTCCGGTCCAAGTGTCGTTCATTCATGGGTATCATCCTCCATCAAATCATCAGAACAAAGGGAAAACCAAGGTCCTGCACCTTCTTTCTCTTAGCCAGATCCCAGATAGCGCTACCAGGTGTCATGTTGGGAGGCTCAGAACAAACTCGTCGAGCTCCTCCCCAGTCCTGGCCTCCCCGCCCGCTTCAACGGCGACCCATCACCCCTGCCTCCAGCACGCGGCTGCGCGCCAATGCGCTGGAAGCCCTGCAGCATGTCGAATCCCGGCTCCGACTCATCGCTATGAATCAGATCCAGCCCGAAAAACGCCCCATTCTCATCCTCAGCGCCCTGGCCATCCCAGAGCTCGAGGGCCGTAGGCGGCGGACCCAGGTTCAGCGGCTGCGACGTCGGCGCCGCGGCTTTGCTCGGCGAACCGAAGTGGGCGGGGGACTTGAGGAAGGGCTTGAGAGACGGTGCGGTTGAGGACGGCGGCGGCATGTTGATGGCGTTGCGGGAGGCGCCGGTGATGTCTTGCAGGATGTTTGCGGTTGTGCTGGCGCGGGTGAGGCAGGGGCGTTTGGCGGAGTGCTTGCGTGGCGAGCTGCGAGGGAAGGGGGAGGCGGGTGTGTTGAATGTGCTGTCGGCGAAGACGTCGAAGTTGGTGACGAAACCGTCTTCGTGGAGGTTGAAGGCCTCGCCGTTGGGAAGGGGGAGCGAGGGGCTCCAGGTGTGCTCTTCGTGGAGCACGCTGAGGGATTTGTCGGGCGAGCCGAGCAGCTCGCGGATGCGGTTGCGATGGTTGCGGAGATTGGTGTTTGGTGAGACGGATGCGGGTGGCTTGGCCGGTCGCTTGAAAACGATGGCTGGGGTGAGGGGTTCTTTGCTGGCGCCACTGCCCTCGAAGGGATGGAAAGGGGAGGAAGGAAAGTGCACGCTCGGCTGCTTCAGATGAAGTCGACCTTTGGTCGGACTGTCATACGATGAACTTCTGATGCGTGCAATCTCTTCCTCAGCACGGCCATGCTTTATGACTTGACGATCTATGTCCGCCTCGGATGTGAGAGGGCCTGCTGGATGGCCCTTAATTGCAGATGACTCGATGGATGAGTAGAATCCACTGTCTCCCAAAACGGAGAATCTGCGTCTACGGCCACCTCCCGAGCGGCTGGTCGGCTTGTGTCGAGATGCTCGCGCAGGAGTCCCTTCCCGCTGCTGGCGTGACACAGGACGAGAGATAGGCGGTGGAGGAGATGAATGGATGTCGGCAGGCGGTGGTGACGAGTCTATGGCACGTGATGAGGGCGGTGGCATGCTGTTATCCACGTCTTGACCCTCGTGGATGGCCGGATCGGAAGCTGGGATCGTTGCATCAGAAGATAACTCGGTCTCGTCCGGAAATTTGCTGGAGTCAAGGTTCTTGACATCGCTAGATCGAGGAGGGAAGGCGCCTACGGAGGGCGCGGTCGACGGTCTAGTCAAATCGCCGTACATGCCGTGGATGAAAGGTGCACTTTCCGGGTTGGTTGTCCGTCTGGTTGGCTTATCTTTGAGGAACTGGCGCTCCATGCCTTGCTCGATGGCCCAGTAGTTGCCCTTGCCTGGATCGTCCTTTGGTCGCTCCTGCTTAACGAAGGCCTTGTTCAAGCTAAGATTGTGCCGAATGCTGTTCTGCCAGCCTGTATCGGAAGCGCGATAGTGCTTGAATGTCTCAGAAATCCACTTGTAGATCTGCGCCAGGGTCAAACGACGGTTTGGCGCTCGCAGGATTGCCATGCCAATGAGGACGGCATAGCTGTATGGCGGCTTCGACCCATCGTCGTCAATGGGTGGCATCTGAGCCGGATCAGGTAGTGGTTGAGTTTCAGGCTCCGCATAGATTTTCGATTTCTTGTTCGTCCGATCTCCCAGAGGAGCTGCGTCCATCAGCGTGCGCTTCATAGAGGATTTGTACCCATAGATGGGATCCGAGTTCTGGATGACTGATTTGGCGTAGCCAGTCGGGTTGTACGCGTTTTCCTTGTCGAGCTTCTCGAAGGAGGGGAATGTGCTATAGATCGCGTCTCGCGGCTTCTGGGTGGTCGTTGCGGGCTCCACGTGAACGGTTTGCTTCTTTTGCAACGCGTCCGTGAATTTGTATTGCTGGGGTGGGGGAATTGATATCGAGTTGAGGTTGCTTCTGCTTTCGGCAAGTATATGTGGTGGGGGAGAGCTGGATTGCCGGGACGTCTTCAGCGGCGAGTGCCCGTTCTGCTCGAACGCCGGAGGATCTAGGAGAGTGTGCTGCTCAGACGACACGTTCGCGTCAGGTCGGAGGGCGGATAGAAGTGCTGCTTCAGCCTCGGCGACTTCGTGGTGGTCGAAGGAGGTTGTTGGATCCCGGTAGATCTCGAGCGGCGGCGCACGACGCGTAGTCGCCATCATCACTGCCGGTGACGGTCCCTGAAAAGCCTGCACTGGCTTCCTGGAGATTGAAAACGCGTCAAAACGCGTGGAGCTGAGCGGTAAATGATCCCGGCGCTTGGCGGGGAGGGGGTTGAGTAGGTCGGCGGATATCGGATGATGGTGGGTCAGAGAAGATGAAGAGGAGATCCACAGCGTGGGAGAAAAGTCTGCTGAATGCGAAGAACGAGGAGCAGACTGAGAGTGAGAGCTCTGCCGGTGGTAGATTTCGTCAATTGAGGATTTCACCTCCTGTGCACGGCTCGCTTGGTGGGCGCCAAAGCTCCGAGCCAAGGTGAAGGTGATGCTCGAGGCTGGCTGAGCAGATACCTTATGTTAGTATCAATCGAGAGCACGCGAGCAACGAGCAACGGGCAAAGAAGATGCAAGATGGCACAGAAAGAGTATGGCGAGAGAAGTGAGAAAGCGAAGCACAGAAGGCAAGGCGGAGAGACGCGCCTTTGGGTGAGCTGGGCGAGGGGTTAACGTTAAGCAAGGCACCTCAGTCTGCATGCTTCTCAGCCAGTCAGCTCTGCAGCACCAAGCGACATGGGGCGGCTAGCCGCTATCTATCTAGCGCCAAGAGCTATCTGAAAAGCCCGTTGCCGCACGGAAAGTTACTCATCGCCCTGGAGGTGGACAGCCTAAGCACACAGCCCATAGAGCAAAGGCACCTCAGGCAATCGGTGCATTCAGAGCTGAACTGCTGTAGCATCTTTTGCTTTTTACTGCATGGAATTGGCCAGCTGCTCCACGATTGACAAGATCAGGAGGCCATTTCGATCGTGAATTTGGCAATCAACCAGGCCGAGTACAAATCCGGCAACGTGCTCTCCAGATGGCCCTTGGGCCCAAGAGCATGACGCAAGGAGTGGCTGCCGCCCGCGTCCGACTGCCAAAGCTTCACGCAGCCAGATTGCGCTCTCATTTCAACCATTGAAGCACTGGAGCGCGCTCTTAATCATTCTAGGCGCTGGTGACGAGCGTCCTGAACAGAGTCCGTCCGCTCGAGCGGTGAGTATGAGAGTCTCCAACGGGCCGTTTCAGAACAACACAACCGCCAACCATGGAAAGCTGCCTGCCAACGCTGCCAACGTCTGCTCTAGCCTCCCGCCAGTCCCCTGCCGCGCCACAGTTGCATCCGATAACAGGAATCCGCTTTGCCAGCGGGGCACTCTCAGCTTTCCACCATGAGGCTGCCCTCATATGCCAGCACTTTGAGAATACAATTGAGGTCAGAGCCGCCAGAAATAGTGGCGTCTGTAGTAAGAGTCCTGATTAGAGTGCTTTGTGTCATAAAGTAAACACAGATGTTCCCCTGGAGATCAGGTTCAACCCGGCCCTGCATCGCAAACTCCGGAGTCCGAAAGAAGCAAAGGTAATGCTGCATGAACGCTGCAGCCGCGTGAGGGGTTTTCTATGTCGCTCATCGATGCGGCTTTCCTTCCGATCAGCATGTTACCATGGATTTACTCTACCGCTCTCAAAATACGCCACAAAGCCGACCTATCCGTGATCACATGATAAGACTTCTAAACTCGGAATGTCACACGGAGGAAGCCTTCGCAATGAGTTGCAGACTGTACTGCTAGCGATCATGCCTCAAGAACACCAAAAAGAACTCAGACCAAACCCCCAAAACCTACCCCTCCGCGAAAACCTCCTCCAACCTCCCCAAGTACTCACCCACTCCCTTCTCCGCCCTCATCTGCACCTCCCTCCTCTCACTCCCCCTCCCCTCACTATACCACAACTCAACCAGCACCCTAAGCTCCTCCTTCGACCACTCCCTCTCCCCCTCTTCCTTCCGTGCCTCTTCCTCCGCAACCCTAACCACCTCCTCCGGCCCCCTTTCAAATAACTCACAATACCTCTCGCTCCTGCCCAACTTCGCCCCGGGCTCAACATTCTTGAGGTTCTGCTGCAGCACCAACACGCCCAACTCCACCCTCCCCTTCCCCATGCTGTTCATCTCCGTCGCGCTGCCGAGCGCTTTCACGAGCGCGCGGTCTGTCAGGTCTGCGAGGCCGTTGACGACGAAGGCACGCTGGGGTGCGAGGAGGTAGGCCGAGACGACTGTGTCGAAGGCCACGAGATCGGCGGCTAGGGCCACGATGCCCGGGTCGGGCGTCGTGGCTTCGGAGGAGAGGAGGTAGGAAGTAGGAAGCGCGGCGGGGAGGCGGGAGAGGATGTGGGTGCGCAGGGTGAGGTGGAGGGTGTGGAGGGCGGTGGTGGAGAGGGTGGTGTAGGAGTTTATTACGCCGTCGAAGGCGCTGTTGGGGTGGGTTTGTTAGAGGGATGCGGCCTGGAGGGGAAGGGAGGGGGGATGAAGCGGGGCTTACGAGGCGGTGTCTTGGTTCATGGGGAGGTAGATGGCGTCTTTCTCCAGCTCGGGCAAGGTTACGACGGTCCAGCGGCGCTGAACCTGTGGCTTGCTGGAGGGACGGCGCGTCGAGTCCGTCGCGCGGTCGCTGATGTGGCGGAAGTGGGAAATCTTGCTGGCGAGCCATTTCTGGGACTGTTAGTGGGCGCTTAGTTGGGGTGAGAGGTGTGCCACTGTTTACCATGCCGGTGTGCAGCAGGCTTAGCGCTGCGAGGTCCTTCTTGTCGGAAAGCAGGTCGGCGTCTTCGATGGGGTCTTGAGCGGTCTTGGAGATGAGAAGTATGGATTCCTGCTGCCGTCAGTAAAGCGCGGTTGTGCAGGCCTATGTAGGGTGCGGTACCTCCTTGAACAGCTCCGGGGAGCTTTGCTCTCTAAACTGAGCCAAGCGAGCGAGCACATCGCGCACCTCCTCGGCCTCCGCAAGCGCCGCAGGGGACTTTAAGCGTCGTCCATTTCCGGCTTTGGGCTGGGCGCGAGAGACGAGAGCTGGCAACAGTCAGCGATGTGCTAGACAACTGGAGCAAGATGGATCGCGCACCTTTGTACCACCCATAGCACCTGTCGTAGTATGTTACCATCTGAGTGATAATAAGCTGGCTGAACGCCTGGTCGTGCGGCAGATTGTTAAGCATTTTGCAGAACATAGCAATCAAGTTGAAGAATTTTGTTGTGCCCTGCTGTGGTTAGCGTGTATGATATCACATCTACTATGCTTGACTTACCTTGAATATCGGCTTCTGCGAGTGTGCTTGCCATTGGGTATCCTCCTGGAAAGCGTCCGCTTCGATGAACGTCTGCGCACACAGTTCGGTCAAAGTCTCCTCGAGCTGTGGATGGAACACATTGACGAGGAAATCGTCCAGGAATGAGGTAAGAGTGTTCGGAACCACATCGGCGTTGGACGGAACAACGCTTTTGAGTCGGTTCAGGAAGTCCAGAGAAGGTGGTAACAGCACGCCCATGTTGAAAACACTGGGCTCGACTAACAGCTTGTGGCCAGTGGCGCTGCGATCCTGGAGGTCGTTGGTCTCGGATGCCGAGATTCCATCTGGCTTCCTTAGGTCTGATACTAGGCCCGGTACGGAGGACTTAAGGATGAACTCTAGGTCTTCTCTCTCTACCGCTAGCTCAGTAGACTTGGTATCCATGTCTGATAGTTTGAACATCCTCTATATGTATGTCAGATCGGCTCTCAATCTCTTCTAAAATAAGAGCCGGTCTTCCGCACCTTGTTTCGATCGCGCTGCGTCCGCTGGAAGATGCTCGAGTTCGCGGCTGCTCCCTGCCCCGTCCGATAGGCTTCACCGTCGGTAGCAAGGTAGTCATGTAACAGTGAACGAATCTAGTCCTGTTAACAGCCACGAGATATGTATCCAGCACGTACGAACCTCGCTTTGGTAGAGCTTCCACATTTCATTGAAGCCCCCACTCAACGCAGCCGTGTCTCGCAAGCCTTCCCGCCTTACGATGCCGGTAATCACATCGTGAACTACGCGGTGGCCCTCGGCTATAGCCTCAAAGCGTGCATACAACGTCCAAAGTAAATCCTGAAGAAGGTTCGTGCGCTCTTCGTCATTGTCTAGTGAAGTGTTCGTCTTGTCCTGGTTCTTACTTGCGTAACTTCGCACGACAGTCGGATGGCGTTGTGCAGCTTCGTTGTTCGACTTCTCGACGACCCGGAAAAGTTCGACCGGTAGCCTTTGCTCGATCGTCTCGACTGCGACATCTAGTCGGCTCATTTTGTTAAGCGCTTCTATGAGGAGTTGAATGTACTGAAAGGTGTCGGCTTCGGGGTTGCGGGAGGAATCGTCGGCAAGCTGCGACAGTAAGTAGTTGTGCAGTGCTTCGAATGCTTCGTACTTACGGGTTCCGACGGATCAAGCTTGTCCAGAAAACTGTAGAGCGTTCTGCCCCTATCTGCAAGCCCCTTGGTGAGTTGTGAGCGCCATGCTGTTCTAGGGGCACCTACCTATCGTAGCTGTGTTGCTGTCCTTGTTCTGATTCGGTGTGTATAACTTCCACCGATCCTCACAGTAAGGGGACTTCAAATACAGGTGGCTGTGCAGTTCTTCGATCAGGATATCGGTTAAGGACTGGGGCACTGTTAGGCTTGGGCAGAAGAGTTTCTCGCATCAAAACGTACATGCTCTTGATTGCTAAGGTACACTCGTAAATCGCTCAGAGCACCAATCCCTTCCATATCCGACCGCCTGATCAGCCTCAGCGCGTCTTGCAGCACGTCAACGGCCGTGAGAAAGCGCTTCTCAGATATCCGAGCCTCCAGCTTCTCGCTGACGTTCTGCAGCTGCTCAATGTTTCCCAATACTTGTAGCATGTCATCGTAGCTCTGAGATGTAGTAGCGAGACTCTTCAGTTCTGGCTTCGTTGTTGATAGATTGCCTTTCGCCTGAACAAGCGAGTCTTTCAGCGTCCTGACGCGGGCTTGCGATGTTTGTATGCTCGACTGTATCTTGTGAAAGGTTCCTATGGAGCTGTTGAAGCCTTGGTGATGATCGTTAACTATAGCCTTGAGTGCAGCTTGCAGCTGTCTCTGAGCATCCTGGAACTCCGTGTACCTGCTCGCCAGACCCAGGGAACTGGCGTCAAGCAGCTTCAGCGCGGTCTGGACGGGAATCGACTGTTCCTGGGTCATGAAGTTCCACTCCTGCTCCATGTAGCGCAGGACTTCTTCCATCCGTCGGTTTCCTTCTCCACCAGGGGCTGCCCTGCTCCTGCTGCGGCTCTTGTCCCATCTGTCACCACTTCTTCTGTTCGCGCGTGCTCGCTCGAGGCTTGTAGGTCGCGCTACCTGCGATGCTCCGGACTCTTGACCGTCAAACCGCGCAGCCCCAAAGCCACCATAGCCTCCGGGCCGTTCTCGCGGCCGCCTTGGTGAGCCGTCCTGTCGCGTCGGCTGTCCGTACGTGCCATTTTGACCGTAGCGACCCGGGTCTGCTCCGTCCGAGTATCCGTTGGTGTAGCCCTCCATTCCATTAGCTTCGGAGCGCTGCGAGGGAGTTGGTCGAGACATGGCGGCTTCAGGAGGGCGATCGCCTCTCTCTAGATGCCGTAAGCTGGCGCTGACTCATGCTGCCCGAAGACGCATCCTTCTACAGTTGAGCAGAAGAGTTGTGATGTTTGATAACAAGACAGCTTCGTGTTGCTGCCGCCCACGCCGAGCGGGAAAAAGGCCTCACCGCGATTGTGGAAACTCACAGCTGCATCAAGAACAAAGCTCCCTCTATGATCCATCTAATGCTTCACAGCAACGTCTGAATGGCTCACTAAAGGCTTGTCCTTCTATCGGCCACTCCTTCGATCTGCCACAGCGGGTGATGGAGGATTACTCTGTGGAGTTGGCGGTGAACGAGCGCTGAGCTGCTGTCGCGGTGAGGTTCATTTCGCGCCTAACGTGCCGCCGCGGCCTGCAGCTCTGCGGAAGAAGGCCGTGGCCGGCAAAAGCCGCATCTCGAGAGAGACGCGCTGGGGCATCTTCCTCTGTCCGGCAGCACAGCAATACCGCGCCCAAGCCTGCCGTCAACCACCGTCAACCACATTAACTACACCTCCTCGAGGGACGGCGACAAGCTCGACTCGTTTCGCCATCGGCTCTTCACTTGGACTGTGCCGTGCGACGACCCGAAGAGCTTCTGAGAGTCTCACGAACATCTTATGGCGATCTAACAGCTCTATCCATCTCCCTCGCCCAGCGCGCTCACCCTCAGCTACTTCCAGCGACTTCCAGCTGCTTTCAGCTGCACCACAGCCCGCTACTCCAACATGGCCGCTACACAAAATGGCCTCGCCAACGGCGTCAACGGCGACACTCATTCGGACATGCCCCTCATGCCAAACCGCTTTTCGCACATCGAGCCAGCCATCGACATTCCTTTCTATGAGGGCGGCGCCGAACAGACGGTCGAGATCAACCTTGTCGACCTCCTCGATGACCCGACTGAGCTTTGTACGCTGCTGGAGAATGAAAACGTGGAGGCGCGGTACTGGATGACCATTGCGCTGGCCTACGCCAAGCAGCGAAAGGTGGACCACGGCATTGAGATACTGCGGAAGGCTTTGGGAGCGCTTGGCTCAGGCAAGAACGTGGAGAGGCTGAGCATTTTGAGCTGTCTCTGCTGGATGTACCTATGGAAGTGTCGCGACGCGCCCCGAGTCCGAATAGGTACGGGTGGACCTTGCATGCCCAACCTGAAGAGCGCTGCAATGCTGCCTCCGCTTTGATCCGCTCCTGGCTGACTTGAGCAGATGCGCAGTTGTCCTCGGAAGTAAAGACGAAGGACTTCTACATCCACGCCGCAACGTCAACCTTAAACGACGCCTCCCGAATAAGTCCTTCATATCCCCCGCTCTTCCTCGCCCGCGGGGTTCTCCAGCTTCTTCGCGCCTCGTTGCAGCCGCCGTCCAAAAACAGCTCCGGCCAGGAGAACTCTGAGCGGATCGAAACCTTGCGCCAGGCCGCGAAGAGCTTCGAAGATGCCCTACGAGTATCTGGTGGCAAGAACATGATGGCAGTTCTAGGGAAGGCCAGGGTAAACTTCTCACTGGGGAAATATGCGGATGCGCTACAAGGATACCAAACTGCGCTTGAGCGAGCACCCGGCCTCATCGATCCGGACCCTCGAATCGGGATTGGCTGCTGTTTCTGGGCGCTTGGGCACAAGGAAGATGCGAAGGGCGCTTGGGAACGGGCGTTGGAGCTAAATTCCAACTCAAAAGTTGCGAATATCCTCCTCGGTCTATTCTACCTACAGTCGAGCTCGCACTACTCGACCAACGATCCAAAGTTCAAAGCGGCGTACAAGAAGGCGATCACGCAGTACACGCAGAGATCATTCAAACTCGACGATAGATACCCTCTGACGTGCGCGACATTCGGCGGCTTCTTTCTGTCCAACAAGCAACTAGCCCATGTTGAACGGCTCTCAAGGAGGGCTATAGAGCTCACGGACGTCAACGCCATCGCTAGCGACGGTTGGTACCTTCTCGCGCGCAAGGAGCACTCTGAGAACGAGGTCTCCAAAGCCAACGAGTTTTACACCAAGTCCGACCAGGCAAGAGGCGGTGATGAACGCGGCTACTTGCCTGCCAAATTTGGGGCTGCTCAAGTCAAAATCTTGATGCAAGACTTCGACGGCGCGAAGTTCAGGTTGGAGAAGCTCATCCAGCAATCAAAAAGCATCGAGGCAATGACGCTGCTTGGCACCCTGTATGCTGAAGACGTGTTCTCTGCGCAGGCGTCAAATTCAAGGGAGGACAAGTCTACTGAGCTCAAGAAGGCAGTCTCTCTGTTGGAGGCGGTGCGCGCAGCCTGGAAGGATCCCAAGAAGCATGCTGAGCCCGATTCGGCGGTGCTGCTGAACCTCGCGAGGCTCTATGAGGTTGATCATCCAGAGAAGAGTCTCCAATGTCTGCAACAAGTGGAGCAGATGGAAATTGACGACATACCTGAAGAGGACTACCCTGAAGACGTCGAAGACGATGCTGCTTTGAAAGCTGCGCTTCGAGAGTTTCTCCCACCCCAGCTCCTGAACAACATGGGCTGCTTCCACTACCAATCCGAAAAGTATCCAATGGCGCGGGAGCTGTTCCAGACTGCGCTAAACGCCTGTGTCAAGGTGGGAGACAAGGACCAAGCCGTCGATACAGACGCTCTGGTTACAACCATCAGCTACAACCTAGCGCGTACTTACGAAGCTGAAGGTATGCTAGACGAGGCGAAGAAGGTCTACAAGGGTCTACTCGAGCGACATAGCGACTACACCGATGCCAACACGCGACTGACCTACATTGCGCTGCGACAAGACCCACAAGGCGAGGGGCCGAAAGCGATACAGGAGTTGTATAAGACAGATCCTTCGAACCTTGACGTGCGCTCGCTGTACGGCTGGTTTCTGAGCAAAGCCAAGAGGAGGACGATGAATATTGCAGAGGACCAGGAACAGCGACACTACAAACACACGTTGCAGCAATACGACAAACACGACCGGTACTCGTTGACGGGCATGGGCAACATCTATCTCACGATAGCGCGAGAAATGCGAAAGGACACCAATGAACAGGAGAAGGACAAGCGTCGGAAAGTTTACGAGAAGGCAGTCGAGTTCTTCGACAAGGCTCTGCAACTAGATCCGCGGAACGCATACGCGGCCCAAGGTATCGGTATTGCCATGGTCGAAGACAAGAAGGACTTTCCCACAGCTGTGCAAATCTTTACCAAGGTCCGGGAGACGATGAAGGATCCGAGTGTCTACCTCAACCTCGGGCACGCGTACTGTGAGCTCAGGCAGTACTCGCGAGCAATTGAGAACGTGAGTTGTAGTAAGATCACGATATGGTGGATGTCTGCTAACACTATCAAAGTACGAGGCCGCCCTCACCAAAGACCGAGCCCACGATCCGCAGATCCTGGCGTGTCTCGGTCGTGTCTGGCTCATGAGAGGCCGACAGGAAAAGAGCGTGCAAGCCATCAAGACGTCTCTTGAATACTCCCGAAGAGTGAGTTACTCCTCTAAGCACTTCTTGTTGCTAAAAGCCTCGCTAACCTGCCTCACCTCAGGCCCTCGAAGCCGCCCCTGAGCACATCAACTTCAAATTCAACATCGCCTTCGTCCAGATCCAAATCGCCCAACTCATCTACTCCCTCCCCGAGCCTCAACGCACCCTCGCAGACGTCGAAGCCGCCGCGACAGGCCTCGACGAAGCCATCGAGTCCTTCTCCGCCATCGCCAAATCCCCCAACCCGCCCTTCCCCCGCTCGGATCTCGAGCAGCGCGCCTCCATGGGCAGAAACACGATGCGCAAGCAGCTCGACCGCGCCATCCAGTCCCAGCGCGAGTACGAGGAGAAGAACGCCGCGAGGCTGCGGGACGCGCGGCAGGCCCGCGAGGCGGAGATTAGGAAAAGGGAGGAGGAGAAGAGGAAGATAGAGGAGGCGGCGGAGGAGCAGAGGAGGAAGATTGCGGAGGAGAGGCAGCGCATGCTGGAGAGGGATCGCGAGTTGGCGGAGAAGAGGATGGAGGAGGAGCGCAGGAGGGAGGAGGCGGAGATGACGACGGATGAGGAGACGGGGGAACGGATTAAGCGGGTCAAGAAGAAGAAGGGCGGGAAGAGGAAGAAGAAGGGTGGGGAGACGGATTCGGAGGGCGAGGCGTCAGATGACGGGAGGAGGAGCAGGGTTAGGAGTGGGACGTCGGCTACGCCGGCTTCGGAGGGGGGCGAGAAGGCGCCGAGGAAGAAGAAGAGGAGACTTGAGAAGAAGTCGAAGAAGCAAGGGAAGTTCAAATCGAGCGAGCTCGTGCAGGAGAGCGATAGCGACGATGCGGCTGTTACAAGGCAGCAGAACAATGAGGCTCTGGCGGCGAAGCTCAACGAGTCGGAAGTCGAGCAGGAAGACGCGGCGGAAGAGAGCGCGGCAGAGGAGACTGCGGCAAACGGGCCCAAGACAAGACCTCGAAAGGCGGCAAGAATCATCGATGATGAGGACGAGGACGACTACGATGCGCAAGATGCTTCTCCTGCGGAGAACGGTGCGAAAGACGGCTCGCCGGATGAGGATGTCCCGATGGTCGATGAGTCGGTCGCTGCTGCTGGCAACGAAAATGCTACGGTTCTCGGAGGCGACATCGAGGACGAGTGAAGCAACTATCGCAATTACTAGCTGGGGCGTTCTGGGTGGTGCATCAGCAAAATGGCGTTTCGAGGAAAGCTCTTCGTGTCAAGGGCTGTAAAATAGTCATCTATATGGTTCGGGAGTTAGAATTCGGGCTCCGAGATAAGCTTCAAACCAAACATCGTCACATTCTGGACTCTAAGCTATATTCTAGGAGTATATGGAGCGTGAATCTGATTTCAGTGTAACCTTCCAATACCCACGTAAACGTCAAATACTTTTGCTCGTATTGATTGGTATGTTTAGTCTTTAAGGCTGGTTTCGAGTGTAGACCTACAGATTTGGAGTAGAAAAGAGACACGGAGCTTACCCTGTACATTATGGTGAATCTATCAGCTGCTTCGTATAAGCTACAAAGAAGAATCGAAACTTGCGTCTATATTGGGAATGAGAACAAAACAGTGGTGGATGTGCAGCTTGCACTGTGTATGTTGGATTGATGTAAGCTAGTAGACGTGAAGTTCATACAGAAAGACATCAAACGCCAAAATAATCTTGTAGATTTCACAATAAATGTGACGACGGACTCACTTAGCGGAGCAGCCCGAGAGTTTGCCCGAAGGCCGGGGGTTCCTGAACCGAGCTGACACGAACCAGGGCGACTGGACATTTGCGCCTCACCCCGCATATTTGCTTTCCGTCTTCCTTTACATAGAAAGTTGCTGCGTGATCAGATCAATTGACGTTTTCGATGGGTCATATTGATTTTCGTGTCTCGCTGTGTGAAACGAAACCACCTTCAATAATGCTGCAAGCCGACTGGAGACATGCGCCCCTCAAACAGCACAAGCGAGGGACCGGCGAGTAAGCGCCGAAAGACAGACAAAAGTCAAGCGGAGGACGATGATATTGACAGCGTCGAAGGAGTAGATGAGGGTCCAGCGTTCGCATCACCTCTTGTGCAACATCGGGCGCGGTGTCTGATTCTCTTACAGCTGTCATTCCTGCCGGAAACGCAAGGCAAAATGCTCGCGGCAGCAGCCTTGTCAGCAATGCGTACGTCTGAGTAGGTTTCCCCTTTCAGGCTCCTGAGAATGCCGTCACCATCTTACGTCCGTCTCTCGATTGCCGCTAACGCGAAGATAAGACATCGATTGCGTTTACGATGACAAAAAAACTCGTCCTGGTATGAGAACAGGCGCGATTGAGACTCTCAATCGCCGTTTGTCAGCCTTGGAACAGATGTTCCTCGGCCAAGGACTACTACTGAAACCCCTTCTTGATCGCGCCTTGCAAGAATCGGGAGTCACCCCCGCAACCCCAAACGGAGTCCCGGGAGATGCTCTTCCGCTCAGCGATCAGGTCGAAACCCTCAAAAGATCTTACATAGAACGGACAGAAGCGACTTCGAGCTGGCAAGATCGGCGCGTGAGTCCAGTGCGAGAGTGCGCGAAAAGCGGAAAGCCCCAGACTGAACTGAGTGATTTTCAAGAATTTAATAATGCGTCACTTGCCGATCCGTATCTGCCCCCAGAGAACGTTGTAGATGCGCTTGTCGAATGGTACTTCGAGCACGTCCACCCATGGATCCCAATCCTTCATGTACGGTTGTTTCGAGAAGACATACGAACCTCACGTCGCCACGAACTTAAGATTGTCTTGTACGCAATTGTGAGCCTTTGTCTGAGATTCGATCAAACGTCGACTCTGAGTGAAGCTCAGAAGAAACATATGTCTTTGAGATGCAGACATGCGGTAATTCTCCAAAGCATGGAGAAGTTCTCAGTAGCCAGTCTGCAAGCGCTCGTAATCATCGCTTTCGATATCATCGGCAGCGGTAGAGGGCCGTCCGCATGGAGCGTGGTTGGTTCAATGACTCGGACTGTCGAGCAACTGCGTCTCAGCGTAGAGGATGGAGACGCTGGCGCAGGGAAAGACGCCCGAGAATTCTTGATCCGGCGTATGTCTTTTCTCCGCGAGTCTAACAGCTGGATCGAGTCGGAAGAGCGGAGGAGGGTCTTCTGGAATGTCTTCCTCATGGACAGGTTCTGCAGCGTCGCTACAGGTTGGAATAACAGTCTGACCAGCGCCGACGTCCGCCGACGCCTGCCTTGCGAAGGCGCGATCTGGCAAGCTGGAAACCCCGTTAGGACCCCCTACTTTGGCATCGCTGAGCGGTCTTCGCCGTCCCAGCATGTTCTGACTCCCACAAGCGAGCGTCATCCAGCAGACGAAGAGGAAGTGGAGTCCATTGGCGGCTTTGCTTTCTGCATCGAAGCAACGGAGAGCCTGAATCTGGTTACAGCCTTCTTCCTACAGCATGCTATCGACTTCATCGATCCTCAAGGCATCCAGATGTGGCTCATGAGATTTAAGGAATTGGATCTGCGGCTCGTTAAATGGAGACTCTTTCTTCCACCAAAGTGGAGAAATGCTTCAGTGCTTAACCAAGACGGCATCATGGACCCAAATCTTACACTGGCACACATCACCCACAATACCGCCGTCATCCAGCTTCATCAATGCGTGGCTTACCCCTCGCCGCAGTGGCGCGCGTGTCCCGTGTCGCTCCCCTCAGCAAACTCTGCGGAGACTTGTATCACTGCAGCTTGCGAGGTTAGCACGATAGCCCAACAATTCCTCCACCTTAGTCCTGGAATCACAAGTCCGCAGTTTTCATTCTGCCTTTTCATTGCGGGCCGCGTGCTTTTGGCTCATTCGGCGTACAATGGGACTGGACTTCATCCTGCCTTCGACCCTGTTACGTCCTCGCTGACGGAGATTGCTCGCCGATGGACGGGCCGCCGAGATCCATCGTCTACGGGCAACGAGCTGCCGGTTAGTTCAGCGCCTTACCAATACACCGAGTCCCCAGAGGAGCAGGATGAGAACCTAGCCTCGAAGTTTAGTAAGCGCTTAGAGCATGCCCGACGGAGAGTCGGATCAGAACGTAATAATAGTCAAGATCCCACTCTTGACATACACCAACCGGTCTACTCGGATCAGATGGACCAGTGCCGGACCGGAAGCACTATGCCCCGTGATGCTGTATCGAGTCCGATCCAGCGCCAACAAGACATAGACGGGGCAACAGTCGCGTTGGATGGAATGGACCATTCTGAAACTGGGTACTCCCCAGACTCGATCTCTTTGGCCTTTCCCCCTTTGCCTGTGTCTTTCGAACGGTTTCCGGAACATGCCGAGGCCATAGGCTCTCTCGGCTCTCAATCCAGAGTGCACTTTGAAGATGGCGACCTTCACCATGGCGCGCAGAACGTGTCTAGTCAGCAAAGCCATCCAATGCTCAACGTGAATCTCGATGACATGTTCGGCGATCAGTATCACCAATTGCTACGAGTCAGCACTTTTGCCGACGCTCATCAAACGTACGCGAACTATATCAGTTCCGATGGGCAGGGTTTGTAAACATTTCGGCGATCCCGAACTGGTTCAGGGGATGAGGCACAGCATCAGATGTTAAGAGGAAACACGGCGCTGTAGAGCGGCTGAGCCGCTCCATATTCCTCCATTTTCAGATACAGTGTAAATACATCTACTTCGAACATTGAGTGAGAGCTGCTGAACTAACACTCTGTGATAAAGGACATGAGCATACTGGAGCTACAACAAGCCCTGCTCGATCATCCCGACTCCGCATGCTAGTCGAAGACTCTTCGATCTGTTTTAACGCTACGAATCATACCAAGCCCATCTGTAGCAGCGTATTGCCGATTAAGAGGAAATAATAGTCCGCATAAACCAAACCGTGATCTGCCCAACGCCTCGGCGCAAATTCGTAATTATTGATTGTCGCATTCAAGACAATTGTCTCTGGTCCTCCTAGGTCCACCTCCTCGTCCCCCTTCGAAGTCCTCACGAAGTCCGCTTCTGGCGCCAGAGATATCCGAATAACACCTGCGATAATACGCAGGGCGGCCTCAAGGTACTTTGTATCGCCCGATATTGCGTTGTGCAGTAGCAACATGCCATAAGCGGCAATCAATGCTGCGGACGTGTCTCGTGGACCGGGCATCGGGGCATCAAAATCCCAGTAAGGTACAAAATCCTCGGGCAGATGAGATAGGAAGTAATCCGCCAGCCGCCGAGAAGCGTCCAAGAAGCGTTCGTCATGAGTCCAGCCGTAGGTTTGAGCGTAACCGGCGATTCCCCAGGCTTGGCCGCGAGACCAGCAGCTGGTGTCCGAGTAACCCTGATTTGTCATGCGTTCCTTGATGGCACCGGTTTCTTGATCAAAGTTGACGACGTGGCAGGTACTGTTGTCTTCCCTGATGTTTGCAGTCAGAGTTGTGACGGCGTGGGTGGTAGCTAGTGCGGCGAGACTAGGATCATTGGTCATTCGAGAAACATAGAACAACAGGTTTAGGTCTGCGTTGGTTCATTAGCGGTGACTCTGAAAAACTCTGGAGGCTTTTGGTGTTTCCATACTCATCATGTTGTCGATGATGACGAGGTAATCCTTACTTGGGTCACCAAATGCGTACCTCTTCGTGAAACAAGTATCCCAGCTCCTTATGCATCCAACCCTTGAGTTAAAGCGAGATGCAAGCGCGTGAGCGGCAGACACCAGGCTGTTGTAGCATTGTTTGTCCTGGTCCAGTTCCCATCCGAGCTGCGCCCAAGGCTGTATCAAGAAGCCAAGATCATGCGTATCTGATCGACTCGCTTGGCCGTGCAGGTTCGCGGACCACCATCGGCAGGCGTATTGCAGTGTTAGTGGATGCGGCTGCGATGATGGACTGTTCGAGCAGGCTGTTAGGCACCTGTTGGGCCACTTTCGCTGACGCTCATAGAGCAAATATAGGCTTCCTGGAAAGAAACCGGATGTCCAGAAGTCCGAGGGTGAATTAACGTAGCGAGTTCCTTGCGGTTGTGTATACTCTGGAAACTCGCTGGGTGGCTCTTCCTATAAGCACGTTACTACGGCGGCCCTTAGAACAAGGGCTATTGCCTAATCGTACCTTGTCTAGCTGCCTGAGTGCCACACCCCAAATTTTAGCAACAGTCGACCTAGAGTAAAGCGGAGCCAGTTGTTCCTGGGTGTTCCCTATTGGAGATTTTGGTGGAGTTTGAACGGTCAAGTTGGGCTTCGTGAACGAAGTCTGCCGATGGCGGTCACTAACGGATATAACATTTAATGTCAAGGAACGGCACTCTTACACCGTTGAGGACCTCTTTCAAATCCAGGGTTGGGTTGGCATTTGCCAGTTCCTTCTTTAGGCTTTTGATAGCCCTGTTGCTAAGGTCCGCAGGTGCAGGTAAAAATCCCATGTTGCAGGCGAAAATTCGATAAGAGATATTGCAAGAACAATGAGAATCTTTTCAGGACGAAGCAATTTTCTCGTAGAACGGTAGCTACAAATCACAGACATTAAGTATCATTTTGTTAGGTACATGTTGTCCTTCGAATCAATCGGCCGGCGGGGGAGATCCCGGCGAAGACCGCTGGGCCCTTGCCAGCCGATCTGACTCTCCTGAAACAGTTTGCGAGAAGCTCATGGATCCTCTACGCTGGCGATCCATGATAACATGAAGATACAGTGGCGTCTCGATGCATCGTGTACTATGATCGAAGAATGCAGTCTTGAAGCGTTGTGTATGATACACTTTTGCCGCAAAAGTTCCCGGCACCTAAGCGAGAAAACCACCCAAATTTGTATGCAGCTCTCCACCCTCTCCGAGAACACTACCACACAACATGTCACGCCGCGCTCCATTAGCTCCTATCTCATCCAATATTAGGAGGCGCCGTCCTGACCTATCACCAGCAACAAGAGGCAGGATAATTGGCCGCGCAGAGGCTGGCCAATTACTACCCGAAATACGCGCCCAAACCAAGCTCCCGCGGAGCACCATTCAGGATACTCTCTGTAAAGCCTTTATTTGACCACACCAAGAGAGTCTACCACAATCTGGCCGTCCTAAGCTTTTGACGCCGCGCGATAAACGCCAGATTATCCGTATAATTAAATCGAACCCGTCTATCACGCATAAACGGCTGCTAAAAGACCTCAATCTCTCTTGCTCTGTGGATACCCTTCAACGCTTACTCGCAAAGCATTATATTAAGAGGTGACGGTTAAAGAAGCGTCTAGCGCTTTTAAGAGAGCACGCTGCAGCTAGATATAAGTAGGTTTTAGCTTATAAGAACTGGACGGTCGATCAATAGCGCGCGATCATCTTTTGTGATGAATGCTCCGTGGAGTAAGGTAAGAGCAAGCGGCAAGGCACTGGCTGGGCCTTTAGGATACCCGGTCAAAAGTGGATCAAAGAGAATATCCAGCCAGTTAATAAGAGCAAGCGTCTATCCACCATGGTTTAGGCTGCTTTTGGTGGTTTATGTGGCCGGTTAGAGCTCGTTGTTATGGAGCGCGACGAGGATGCCCTCCGAGGTGGCTACTCAGCTAGATTCTATATTTAAGTCCTCGAATAAGAGCTCTCTCACCTCTATAAGCCTGACAGACCGTTTCTGTAAGATAATACGCCTATTCACACGGTAAGAGCAGTGCGCAATTACCTTAGAGATAACGCAATTCGAACGGTTGAGCTACCCGCCTACTCACCAGATCTTAACCCTTAAGAACACAACTGGGCCTATCTTAAACGGGAGCTTTACCAGCAGTATCCTAAGATTGATTCAATCACCAATAAGAATCAAGCTCTTGACGCGTTAGAGGACGCTCTACCACGTGTGTGGAGCTTACTACCGCAGCGGCTTTTAGACAGATTGGTTAAGATAATGCCAAATTGAGTGGCAGCTGTGATTAAGGCACGTGGCTGGTGGACGAAGTACTAACACCACGATTTTTGGATATATAGAGCTTTAAAGCATTATCTATAGCTTCACTAAAAAAACTTAAGTCGTGCAGCACCTGGTTGTGGAGATATCCATACTGCAACTGGTGGTGGTCTCCTGGTGTTGATGCGGGCAACCCCGCAGGTGCCGGGAACTTTTGCGGCAAAAGTGTACGAAGTAGCCCCGCACGTGCGAAGCCTTGGCAGAAGCGACTACAACTCTCAATACTTTCCGTCGTAGCACGAAGAAGTATTTCCCAGACCACAAAGACTGACGTTACGGATGTCAATTCACCTTTGGCAGCTCAGATCTGCGTGTTGTGTCTCGTTCTGCATGATGATGATGATATAAATGACTTTACCAGACATGGGCTTGTCTAGATTGTTGAGCCTAGATGCGGAGAACTACAGTAACGGCCTTCGGGGAAATCTCAAACTCTACCATCCGAAGGTCACATTCCCAGCATTGATCCTAAAGCCCATAGAGCGCCATCCGGGGAACGTCCGGGGAAGGCCGTCTTCTCTGGATCGGTTGGACGTGATCAACGGGCGTCGGGAGAAGTATCGGGGGCTGCCCGGATTGTCCAACTTCGCCGCCAGAACCATCCGGTGATACAGAATTGTATGGCGGCAGGGCCATTCGAGGCTCGCAAGTCATTATAAAAGCTGCTCCTTTCTCCACGTTCCAGGTAGATCCTTACTACTACCTTGGGAATAATCTTCGAGTTCAATATTCTATCACTTACCAGAATTAGGAAGTCATCTCTCATCCCACTTTCAGTATGTCGATCTCTAAAGATGTCGAAGCGAATATAAAAATGTCCCATATGGAGAAGGCCCGCATTTCCAACAAAGTCGCGCAGCATGCAGAGCTCGGGGATGTCGAGACGGCACATTACGCTTCAGCGCCAGTCGAGATTGATGCCGCAACGAACAAGGCGCTGTTCTGGAAAATCAACAAGCGTATCCTCGGCGTGATGCTGGTAACTTATTTCTGCCAGTCATTAGACAAAGGCAGTCTCGGCTTTAGCTCTATCATGGGCATCCAGAAAGATGCTCATCTCGTTGGTCAAGAAGTAAGACAGAGTGCCCCTCACCATCACCGTCTGCTATACTAACACCTGCCAGTATAGCTGGCTCGGAACGATCTTGTACATGGGTATTCTAGCAGGCGAATATCCCCAAAACTTCCTTCTCCAGAAGCTGCCTGTTGCAAAGTTTCTCGCGGCAAAGTAAGTCAAGATAATCTATGGTCTTAGCAAACTACTGACCCTACGTAGCGTCTTTTGTTGGGGCACGGTAGTTGCATGCTCCGCTGCTTGTAAGAGTTTTGGCTCTTTGATGGCAGTGAGATTCCTTCTGGGTTTCTTCGAGTCTTGCGTCCAGCCCACGTTCGTCATCTTGTACGTCTCGCCGCTATCGAGCAAACTATGGTGCCTAATCCTTATAGGACTTCGATGTGGTACACTAGGGAAGAGCAGTCTCTGTTAACTGCATTGTGGTACTGCATGACCGGTGTGCAGCTTATGGTAGGCGAATCGTGATGTTCTCCAATTTCTGGATCTAACATCCTCCCAGGTTGGAGGCCTCCTCGCTTACGGAATCTCGCACTACAATGACGGTGTGATCTACTCATGGCAGCTGCTTTTCTTGGTCCTTGGACTTGCCACCATTTGCTGGTCAATCTGCATCGGGTGGATCCTTCCTGACAGCCCCATGAAGGCCAAGTGCTTCAATGAGGACGAAAAGCGTCTGATGATCGAGCGCGTCCGACATAACCAAACCGGAATCCAGAACAGGCAATATAAGAAATACCAAATCGTCGAAGCCCTCACCGACCCCTTCGTATGGTGCTGTGTCCTGCTGATTACAGTGGCCAATCTCATCATCGGCGGCCTCGGAGTATTCTCGAATCTCATTATCAAAGCCTTTGGGTTCACCTACCTCCAAACTCAACTTCTGAATATCGCTCAGGGCGCCGTCACGATCATCGTGATGCTGGGATCTGCTTACCTGTCCCAGAAAACCGGCCAAACCTGTCTCATCATGATGGTAAGCCAGTCACGCCGTGCCGAATGAGTACATGCTAACGCTCAGCAGCTTTGGATGGTTCCCGCCATTGTCGGAACGGCCGTCATTCTTGGGATCGCTCCTACCAGCTCAAATGCCGGCGGACTTCTCATTGCCTTCTACTGTACCCAATTCTTCCTTGCCCAGGGAAACATGATCATCTCACTCATCTCGCGGAACATTGCTGGGCAGACCAAGAAGGGCATCTGCCTCACCATGACCTTCATCGGGTGGGCTGCAGGTAACATGTCTGCTCCTCAGATCTTCCAAACTGACGACGCTCCGCGATATACCCGCGGATTCATCGCACATATGATAATTTACGGCATCTATTTCGTCCTCGTGATCTTGACGAGGACTCTCTTGATGCGAAGAAACGCGGCGAAGAGGAAGGCTGCCGCTGGCGCTCTGGGGAACGTCGTTGAAGGTGAACAGATTTCCCACTGCTTCGCTTTCCAAGATCTTACAGACAAGGAGAATCCGGACTTCAGATACGTGTACTGAAGAGTTATGTGGCTCTCAGAGTACATGGCGCAGATGATTTCGTTTTGTAGATATTGTCGGCAAGGTCTCTGACGCGTCTTGAGGATGCGATTGCGGTTTGACGGAGATAGCTTTTAGTTCGTAGGATTGGAGCCTAGAAAGCATACGTTGGTGAAATGGTCCAGTGTTTCTGTTGTCTGCTGTGCAGCCAACGGCCCATATGATCAAATGAGGCCGTCTTTGAGCGGTTTCGTGCCAACTAGAACAGCCGAGGACTGCTTCAAAATAGCTAATTGACACAACCAGTACTTTCCGTCAAGCTACGACCACCGGGCATCGCGGGATCACGTGCAGCAGGCGTCGAGATCACTTACTTTAGCAACAGACAAGTGGCGCCGCGGCTCCAGACTTCGTCTTCCACATAAAAGTTGAAGCGCCATTCCAAATAGTGCACCTCGCCGCCCCCCAGACTTCTTGATACCGTAGTCGATCGTCTAGAACGAGATGTGGCTTGCTGAACTGAGCTCTTCAATGCGTTAGCAGTAGTGTTCTTCGATCTGTGGCCGCACGTGGAAGAAAGATATCAAGTTTGTGATATATCTCCTCAAACCGTAGTGTACCAAGGTCTCTCCTTCGTCAAAACACCGGAGGATGCGTCAGCATCATTCTTACCGCAACGGAACTATTCAAACCTGAAATATATCCCAACTTGATTGTTAGAGGCTCACTTGGACAGAGATAGTTCGTCAGCCGTGATCTGCGTTACTATGGAGTTGACGAAATCCTCGATGACGGAGCACCAACCATCACGACCTGTCATGCCCACTAAATCGTCAAACGAATATTCTACTCAGCACAAGCATAAAACATGATGATCGAGTCCTTCCCCACCGCAATTCACCTCAAAGACACCAACACACCCCCGAATGCCCGCACCTACATCATCTTCTTCATCACGGGGAACCCTGGTCTCATCTCCTACTACACTACCTATTTGCACCACCTCTACTCCCTTCTATCTACATCAAATCGTTCGAAAACCCTCACTTTCCAAGTCTACGGCGCTTCCCTCTCCGGCTTCGATGTCCACGGTAAAGAGCAAGGTTCTGTGCCAGGGAAATCGCCGCCGTATGGGCTGCTAGACCAGATCGAGGGCGTGAGTAACTCCCTGCAAGCCCTCGTGGCAAAAGAGCGTAAAGGGAGCGGGCGAGATGAAGCACCGAGAGTGGTGCTCATAGGGCATTCGGTCAGTCTCACAGCTTCCCACGGCACTGGCAATCCCCGGATCACGGGCCTTAAGTTAATAGGTGTCGCTGCGCAGGTAGGGGCTTTCATACTACTAGAGCTCATCCGGCGCGAGAGAGGGCAACAGCTGCAGAGACAGCCTGGTTTGAACATAGTTGGGGGCGTATGTCTCACGCCGACGGTAGTCGATATTGCGAGGAGTAGCAGCGGGCGAGTTGCTAGCGTACGTTCAATCCAGTCTGTTATCCTGCGCCCAAGAATGATTTACAATTTGGGGTTCCAATGTTTGAGCTCGGGTTGCACGTATCACGCCTCTAAACTCCCAGCCCAGGACAACAGTTCCTCCTCCTCATCCCCGGCTACGTTCTCATAACAAGCCTCATCGTCAAGCTCCTGACATTCTGGATCCCATCCCGAGCGCTCGAGACGCTTGTCCGCGTCGTTACGCGGTTTCCGGCAGACGCGGCAGCTGTGACCGCGGCGTTTATCAAGAGCAGATGGGGCGTCAGACAGGCGTTGTAAGTCTACCCGACTGTATTCTCGCCATCTCCTCTACTGTTCCAGTAGTTGAAGCAAAATCCCGTTAGTCGTTTCCACTGACAATCACAGACACATGGCGCGAGAAGAGATGCAAGTCATCACAACTGATACGTTGGACGACGAGATCTGGGGTGCGGCAGCCCCATCAGTTTCCGGATTGCCCCGGCCAAAGCTGTTCTTTCTGTTCGCGAAGGAAGATCACTGGGTAGCCGATGAGACAAGGGATGAGCTGATCAGGCTCCGGGCGAGGAAAGGGGATGGAGAGGAGTGGAAACCGAAGATGGAGGTTGATGCGTCGGGGCTTGTGCATGGGTTTTGCATCAGTGAGTCCGTTGGAAGCGCTTGGGACGGGCGAGCTAACAAGAGGCCAGGACACAGCGTTCCTGTTGCTGGGAAAGTCAAGGGGTACATCGATGAGATTGTGGAGGCTGATATGGCTATGAGTATCCGGTAGGAAGGTTAGGAGTCTGATGACAATAGAGTAGACTCTGCACAACAGCTCGAAGAATAGATAGAACATTATGAGCACAAGTGCATGGCGGCCCTGTATGATCTGCAATTGTACTAAATGGGTATCTCGATGAACAGAATGATAAGGCACTGATGCAATTCTCAAGTCGCCAGGTTCGCGTGAGGCAATCTGGTCAGCCAATCCGACTCGTAGCCTTACCGCTGGAACAACCCCAACAACGCTTGTGCATGCGCGTTCTGCTCCGAGGGTCCGCTGTGCGCCTGCGCCATAGACGCCTGGCCATGAGGCGGTCTCTCCCGCAGTATCCTGTTTCCACTCCGAAAGAACTCTGTATCCGGCGTCACTGTGAACTGAGTCTGCCTGCTTTGCGGAAGCGGCGGCGATGGCTTATGATGCATATGCACGCTCCATCCCGCATCCTGTTCCCTCTGCTGTCCGAAGAGTTCGTGCAACGACAGCTGCCGTCCCATAGGCACGCTCTCTTCCAGCTCCGTCTGATCCGCCACCACCTCCTCATTCTCCACAGCCTGCAGCCTCAGCTGCTCCTCCACCGCCCTCCTACTCGCCTCCGCCGCAGCCGTACAATCCTGAATAATCTGCGCCGTAAGCGCGCGCATATTCGCCGTGCTCGACGGCGGCGGTTCCGAAAAGATCCACAGCCCCACAATCTCCGGATTCCCCTCCTCGTCCTTAACCTGCAGTATCACGTAATCCTCCGTGATCTCCACATCCTCGCTGCGCACGAGCTCGCTCTCGAAGTTCTCGAGCCCGCGCCGGTTGAGCACGAGCACGTTGTACCGCTCTGCGCCGGCGGGCAAGGGAGTCAGCTGGCACACGAAGAGGGTGCCCTCGACGCCGGACTTTTCCCAGGCACTGGAGCTGGGGTTGAAGGTGTAGACGACGGCGTAGGGCGCGATGCTGAGAATTGAGATTATGGACGGGTTGTGGCGTCGTAGGACGGAGAGGTTGAGCTCGGCATTTGTACGGGTTGGTGGGGGCGGGAGGGCGGCGTCGGAGAAGTTCGCGGTGTCGGTCTCGTTGTCGGAGGTTAGAGGGCCATTGTATCTGAGTTTTGTGCGGCGGGAGGCCATTGTGTAGCTATACGAGGCTATGGTGTGGGTGAAGTGGTATTCCCAAGCTGATGCTGCAAATTGAGACTTTGCGGCGTCCAGGCTCTCGATGCTCGAGGTGTTCTAGGGGTGGGACTCGCGCTTTTATTTCGTGATGGCGCTGCCTGGAGTTCAAAGTGATGCTGTGGGCTCGACGTCCAAGTGGAAGGATGTCCGTAAACAGCAGTTGGTGATGCTCGGCGTGGTGTTGCGAATTGCGGGCGATCGTCAGCCCGCGGAAACCCCAGCTCTCCTGCCCGATGACGACGCCGGCAACCTTGCGGATCTAGGCTTGCTCAATTGCTGGACGGGTGCCAGTATGCACAGGGGCTTGTTATTGAGGAGGTGAGCTGTCTTGCAACACAATGTCAATCTAGAGCCGCCCTTCCTACGAGCCCTCCCACTTGGGCCTGAAGTTACCGCCGGAGAAGATTCAAATCCCACCATGCCCTCCGCCGAGTCCCTTGATCAGGACATCCCCGGCGCTTTTCCTGCGTCTGCAGGCTCCGACACCGTTGCGCCTGGATACTCGTCCCAGCAAACTCTCTCACAAGCCGTCCATGCTCGGAGAGCAGAGTTTACCAGGCAGAAGGAGATCCGCATCAAAATCGGTAGCTGGAATGTGGCAGCATTCAAAGGCACGGAAAAGGACATCGGAGGATGGTTCGTGGAGGGCAAGGGCATTGCGGAGGCCTTGAGTGGGTTATCCGTGTTGGACCCCAAGGAGTCGCATGGCGAGGATAATCCATCCCACAGCTCACCTGCCGAGCGGGAAAGTGTTATAGAGCAAGAGAAGAGGGTCACGAAGAAGGAGCCTACAATACCGAAAAACGACCTTGGATCTGTACCTGGAGGGGACGAGATTGGGCTGTACGTACTCGGCCTGCAAGAGGTGGTGGACATAACCTCCGCAGCTGAAGCACTGCGACCGTATACGGACCCTGCGGTTGCAAACAGGTACAAGGCTGCGCTGGAGGAGGCCTTGCCTTCGGGGTATCGGTTGATAGCAGAGCAACAGCTCATAGGACTCTTGCTGTTGATATACGCCTCACCAGACGTTGCACCGGACATTCAGTCAGTCAGCACAACGAGCGTTGGCACTGGCTTGATGGGCTATATGGGCAACAAAGGCGCTGTCACCGCACGTATTGTCTTAGGAGAGACCACGCGGCTAGTGTTTATCAATTCACACTTGTCCGCTGGTGCCGACAAGGCTTCATTGGAGAGGCGCAACTGGGACGCTGATCAGATCATCAGCCGGACAAGATTCGCTCCCATCATTGACTCCTGGGGCGTCTCGCAGCCTAGCTCTGAGAAGATAGGGGATGAAGACTTTGCGTTCTGGTTTGGGGATCTCAATTATCGACTGGAAGGCATGCCTGGCGACGACGTGCGGAGATTGTTGATGCTACATACGCGCAACGAGTACGATCCATCTAGGCCGGCGGCGAAGAAGATCGAGGAGGAGATTGCCCAGCCTACGACGCTATCCAGGACAAACACAACATCTGACTTGTCCGCCCACTCGCCAACCGCGTCCTCCGCCTCTTCGGCCGCCAGCGAGACGAACTCCGATCGCGCATCAAGACCGTCTACGAGAGACACATCCATTGATGACAGGCCCTTACCTGCAAAATACGACCCTGCACATCTTCAGACCACGCTCTCCTCCCTGTTACCGCATGACGAGCTACACCAACAGCAAAAGGCACGGAAAGCCTTCCATGACGGGTGGCGGGAAGGACCCATTGAATTCCTGCCAACCTACAAGTATGACCGAGGTAGTGTGGGTGTCTTCGACTCGAGTGAGAAGCGAAGAACGCCATCCTGGTGTGACCGTATATTGTACCGTACGCGAAGAGACAAGCTAGCCTACGAGAACCGATTGAGAGAAGAGGAAACCGCACGAAAGCGAGACGATGAGATGAAAGCCAAAGGCATGGACGAAGCTTCTGAAGCTGAAGACGTGCTCTTTGATTACAACCCCGAAACCGACGGCGACGAGTACGACGAGTACGCAGACGCAGAGTCCGAGGTCGTCATCACGAAAGACGGCTTTGAAGACTCGATCCACCTCGAATACTACACCGCCCACCAACGCGTCCTCTCCTCCGACCACAAACCCCTCGACGCCGTCTTCCGCCTCAAATACGACGCCGTGGTCCCCGAGCTTAAAGCCCGCATTCACCAAGAAGTCGCCCGCGAGCTGGACCGCGCAGAAAACGAAGGTCGACCGGTCATCACTCTCATCGTCGACGACCCCAAAGGCAGCGACAGCGGCGAGGTCATCGACGACGATGATGTGCACTTCGAAGGCGTAAACTTCCGCACCATCCGCTACGCGCAGCCGAAGCGGCGCAGCGTTACGATCGCGAACACCGGCCGCGTGCCCGCAACCATCGGCTTCGTGGACCGGCCCGTCGGCGCTGGACAATCCGCCGGCCCCGCCCCCTCGTACCTCAAGGTCGAGTTCGACCGCGAACCGGACCCCAAGTCTAAAGATCACGACTTCGCCGCCCAAGATGCCTACACCCTCGAGCCCGGCGAAGCAGTCAACGTGACGTTAACGCTGCAGGTCAAAGACGTGCAACTGATACGTGACCTCAACTCCGGCGCCAAGACCCTCGACGACATCCTCGTGCTGCGCGTCAAGGACGGGCGCGACCACTTCCTCCCCATCCACGGCAAATGGCTCGAGACGTCCTTCGGCCGCTCCATCGATAAGCTGATCCGCATCCCCGAGGGCGGCATCCGTAGACTGCAGCACCAGAAGCCGAAGGCCAGCAATTGTGTGGATGATGCCAGTCCGGTAAAGTGGTCCGCGCCTCGCGAGTTATTTCGGCTGACGGAGTGCGTAGAAGAGCTAGTTGAGAGGGTGGTTGCGGAGTGGGATATGGTTAACAGCCAAGAGGGGGAGAAGCCGCCTTGGGAGAGGGTCGCAGGGTGGCCGTTTGCGGAGGAGAGCTGGTCACTGATGGACAAGGTTGGGAGGGAGAAGACGAAGCTCGAGGTCTACGAAGCGCTCGACTGCGACAAGTCGTTTGACGGCGCCTTCGAAGCGGAGACTCCCGCGCTGCAGAAGCTGGAAGTCTTAGCGGAGGTGCTGCTGGAGTTCTTGCGCAGCATGGAAGACGGCATCATCACCGCAGACCTCTGGGCACAGCTCGAACGTGATATCGTAGGCCGCGAGAAAGCGAAGAAGCATCTCTCCCTCGAATATGAGCGCACCTGGGTCCTAGAAGTCATGGCCGCGGCGCCAAACCATAACGTCTCGCTCGTCCTGATCACATCAATGCTCAGCCGCATATCGAACGAGATAGCGCATGCTGCCAAAGTGCCTACGGAGCCTAAGAAGGATGCGGAGCTGCCGGCGTCACCAAGAGCGAACGTGAGAAGGCGCGCGCTGAGCAACGTACCTGCTGTCGCGAGACGGCAGTTGGTAGATCTGAGTCTGGCGAGTATCTTTGCTGAGGTTGTGATACGGTCACACGATGACTCGAAGATGAAAGAGAAGGAGAGGCGAGTTAGCGAGGAGAGGAGGATCAGAGTTATCGAGATATTCTTAAAGGAGGACAGCAGTACTACTTGAAGCGCTCACGTACTGTTTCACGGTTAAGGAAACGTCTTTATATTACGGGCGTCAAAGAGCCCATGCAAAGATAACCATTTGCATTCTAATAAATATCCAGGCGAGAACAGCTACGCTTGAACCACCCATACCTACTTCGCGTATCAGTATCAGCATGTAGGCTGTGGCCGATGTCACGTGGCTGGTCGGCCTTGAAGCCTCGCCGCTTTTGTGTGGCACACCCACCCATCATTCAACACCATCCAACGTTAGAAAACCTGAGAAACCAGATACTAAGAGTCAAGATAGCGGACCTTACATTTGTGTAACAACTTTACAATTGGCGCTGTCCGTTTAGACTCTACCTGCAACGCAATCGCTATTTTCCTGGAAAATATACAAACCCATTGCACGCTCTGCAATAGCAGCTCCGCTTGTTTTATTCAATTGTATAACACGCTTCCTCGCAGCTGCAACGAAGATGATGGAGGATGGTAGAAAAATGAAGACCCCTCTGCAAACTTCTGACTTGCTCTTCACCACTTCAGCGACCAAATTCTCGGAGACACTAAAATCTATCAAGCGTTCCACATTGTCCATCTCCAATCGGTTGCGGTCTATCGAGCAAGACTCCCAGTTCGTCTACGCGGTAGCGGATGCGTATAATTTGCCATTGATCGCGAATGAAAGATGCGGTTCATGGTATATACCGCCAGAACGGAAGGCCGGCAGCGCATACTTCAAATCTACGGATGGACATATAGGCGAATGGTCGTTCAGTTTGCGGAGGCTGAACACGCAAGTACTCGATGTAATCGGGCAGCATGATGGGTACGACGGCTTCAGTACTCTGTGAGTATGGAAGAAGCTAATAGGTTTACTGTAGGTGCATTATTGTTGACTCTACGCGGAGGGGCAAGAGTGCGTTGTAATGGTCAACGTATGTCTTGGCTGCCACAGCGCTGACCATTCTCGAAGGAATGCCCGATGCACTCAGCAAGACCATCCCGATATGGTGTGCCGTGCTGAACAGAGCTTTGTTTCCTGAGCAGACCAATGCTCATCAATTGCACAGCCCGCCAATATCAGTCTCTGGATCCGAGCACTCGCAAATAGAAGCTCGTTTGAGATTTTTCTTAGGTCAATTCCAGGCACGTCTTCAAGTTGTCTCGCCACACATTCTGAACACTAACTTGGCATAGGAGCTTGGTCTTCCTCTCTCCGCGTTCCGAGAGAAGCTTTCTAAACCACTTCGCCCGTTGTGGGTAACTCAAGAAAGCATCCTGCCAGCGGGACCGTCTGCTTTTGACGCCTTCCATCCCGTGATCCTCTGTACCGCTTCCCGTCGAGTGCCGGGGGGTGAGGTATCTGAAGGCGGTTACATCCAAGGCGCCGGGGACGATAGTGAAGGATGGGCCTCCGGGCTCACCTCAGAATTGTTCTGGCAGAACAAAGAGAGGCTTATGCGCACCTCTGAGGAAGACCTACCTGATCTAATCCAGGAGCTTGTTGAGGTTGCTTGCTCGAACGTTGCTGGAGGGAAACCCATTCTTATTGAGCCTACAGCCGTTTTCCATCTGAGTACTACCGACATAGCCGCCACAGTGTGCAAAGAGTTCGATGCAATCGTATCTTGCGGAGCAACGGAAGATGCCGGTCTTAGAGAACTCCTAAAGAGCAACTATCTCCATCTTCAATGTACGGCTGGCAAGTTAGGCAGTCGGGATCTACGGGGAGAGCTCCACAAGCTTAACGATTTCCTTGTATCCAGACCGCCGGTGAAAAGCATACTCATCTGCTGTTCAACAGGAAAAGACCTATCAGTGGGTGTTGCTCTTGCAGCTCTGTGTATGTGTTGTGACGACAACGGTAAGTCTTGATTCAAACCCTTGTACGCTCTACGTCTTGACGACCTCTTGAATTAATGCAGTGCTCTTTCTAGGCAATCTCAAACCCCAATCTTCGACAGAGAGTATCACCAAAGCTCTCATCCGCCAACGTCTCAGCTGGATCATGACTTCGCATCCGCCTGCTAATCCGTCTCGTGCAACCCTCCAATCCGTCAATGCCTTTCTGATGCAGCGGCCGTGTCCGCCAGTAGCAATACAACAACCTCAGCCTGCAGCAAACGGCCACCTGCAAGAACACGTCCGGTTGGTGTCAATCGAAGCTCCGAGTGCATCCCCACCGCCGGATCGCTCTACTGTACTGCAAGCAGCCCGACCATTCTCAACCACGGGGACCTTCCACGGTCTCTCCGGGTCTTGGACGATCAACCGGACGCTCACGAGCTACCATTCAGCTCTTCCTTCTGGAACCTTTACCGGCAATGCCACCTTTACCGCACGTACGCCGACATCCCGCGTTAAGAATGTAGATGCAGAGTACCTATACTCTGAGGCTGGTGTCTTCAAGACCAATACCGGGCTGGAGATGCATGCCGGCCGGAAGTACATTTACAGGCTGCAGACGGGCACTGAAGAGATTAGCGTTTGGTTTGTTGGCGACGACGGTGAAAGCGCCGCGGGGCTCGGCTGGCGGCTGGGTTCCGATCAGCTGGATGATCATGGAAAGATGGTAATGAAAGGAGGGCATCTCTGCGGCGAAGATCAGTACGATGCGAGATACGAGTTCCAGAGGAATACTGATCAGCAAGAATCCTCCATTGAGAGGTTTCGGCTGATATACCAAGTCAAAGGACCGAGGAAGAACTACTTGAGCGAGACATGGTTTACACGGTAAATCACAGCGTGGCCGAGTTGAGATCCACGTCTTAGGCCGTACAACGAGCCTCGTGTAGCGGGCTTATCCTGGTTTCGGCTATCGGAAACATAGCACATCCCATGGTGCGCTCTAACTCACGACAATACCTCTATCCGATTGCCTCTCCGTTGGCATTCCCACGAGCTCGAATCTCGATTGTCGAGTTCCATCAGTGTTATCAAGAGGGCCTTGACACAGATTCAGGATCTGGACGAGTAAAGAATTGCGCCGCAGTGCAACCGCCAATTCTTGTAAACACTAATAAAGCAAGCACGCTGTGCTGGGCAGTACTCTCAAGCTGGGTGCACGGTCAACAGGAAAATCGCGTAACAAGCAATGTGGAAAGTAGATGAACGCTCTGGAAGAAGCTGGGAGCGAGATGGTATGCAACGTTGAGCATAGGCGTAGCTGAGGTTGAGCAGCTGATGTGCAGAGAAAATATCACTCCAGATTGTGCGGTCTTGCTTTCCTGCCAGACACTGGCTACTATATGCCACCCTAGTTTAGTCTGCTCACAGGTTGTGTCATCTGGTACTCATAGCCGCATTTCACCAGACCACGTCCCACTTACCAACCGCTCAAAATATCGGGTCACGTGATATGTGAAGGATCGTTCGTTCTCTTTGGACCGCAGCTCTCGAGGGAATACTGTTTCATTGTTGCGTGTTTACACTAACGTTCCTCGAGAGTGTCGCTTACTAGTGTGATTGTAAAAGGCAACTGCTCTCTAAAGGTCCTTTTTTCTCCTCTCTGAGATCCTCCCGCTAACTTCGAAACATCCGAAAAACACTCTCAACTCGCAGTCAAAAGCCGCCCTAGAGAAGCCCCGCAGTCGACCTGTAGCCTCCCTATTCTGAAGGCTCCCGCGTTGGGAGCCGTGCAACAAGACTGCTGAGGATGAGCTCCATCCGGAGCAGGCTAACGTGTGGACTACCTATCTACTGATATAATTCAGCAGCTGACAGTTGCCGCAGCAAAACACCAACACCCGGTACTCGTTCAATGAGCTAGAATGGTCATAAGCAGCACCGAAATCGACTGTCGCTGCTGATCATCATCAACCGCTTATGATGAGTCCTTCATCCATCGACACGAGTTTGCTGGCCCTCGTCTAGGTCGGCCGCTGACGACACGTCTCCAGCCTCGAAGACCGGCTTGGGAAACCACTCATCCGGTACCTGGAACGCCGTCTTCCCCCCATCCGTCTGCCTATACCACTTGACCGTCACCCCGTCATACAGCTCCTTCGCCGAAACGCGCTTCCTGCTCTCCTTCTCCTTCCTCAACATAAGCTTCATCCAGTAATCCATCGACTTCGGGTACACTCGCTCCGCCGTTTCGCCCGGGACCCTCGGCGCCGTAATCGTCTCAACGACCCTCTCGCTAAAGCTGTCCCAGCGCCACTCATACACCCTCCGTTCTTCCTCACTCAGCCCCGCTACCTCGATGTACGGCCTCACGGGCGGGTGCCCCGTCGTCATCCAATGCACGACCGCGCCGACCGCCCAGATATCCGCCTCGCGCGTATCCCTGAATTCGTCCGCAGGCTGCCAAATGGGTGTCCCGAGCGGCCTGTGACCCGTCCGCTGTCCCGACTCCGCCGCGAACTTAGCGAGCCCGAAATCGGTGAGTCGGAGATCTGGCAAAGCGCCCTCGCGTGGCTCCAGCAGCATGTTGTCCGGCTTGATGTCGCAGTGCACGATGGGCTGCTCAAGTTGGCAGTGCAGCCAGTGGACTGCGTCCCCCAGCTGCGCGAGGACGTGCCAGACGATATCCTCCTCCAACCCTTTCCGGCGGGTCTGCATCACCGCCCGGCCATAGAAGTCGTACAGGTCGCCGCCAGGACAGTAGCCCAGCAGTATCCTAGCGCCGTCCTCGAAATCCTCGGCGCCCCAGATTCCGAGGAATTGGACGATGTGGGGGTGCGATGCGATGGTACAGAGCATGCGTCGCTCGTAGGCCAGATTTATGGCCAGTTTGGGGCTCTTGACGACGAAGAGGGCGCGCGTTGGTAGGTGCTGTGTTAGCTCTATGAGGCCTTGGCCGCCGTCGTACAGCTCGTGAACACGGAAATCGGCGATGCGGGCGGTGCCGCTGGTCATGGGAGTCCAGTTCATGGGCGGTGGGGTGGGGATCAGTGAGGCCGCGAGAGAGGGCGAGGAGGCGGCTACTGATCCGGTTGAAGAACTTCCTGTAGCCGCGCTGGAGGAGCTTGCTGCCGATTCCACGGAGTAAATCGTAGTTTCATGCGGGTTTGCGAAGCGGACAGACCTGGTAGGGATCACTGGCGAATTCGGAGGACCGCGCGGCTTGTCAAAATTTTCGCGAGGGTCGTCAAGTAAGGATGGATTTGCTGCGGATGGCAAGTGACTCTTCGTAGGATTGTCCTTGTGTTCCGAATCTGGTGTGGGAAGGACGCTGGGACGGCAGGAGATCGGGGTGTTAACAGGCGGGTCCGATCTTGGAGAGACGTGTGTCTCCTCAAGCAGTGACAGCTTAGCTACGGAGAGGCTCCCCATCGCTACAGGACTACAGGAGGATAAGGCCAGGGCGTCCGGGGCAGCGGGTTGGTCTGGACAAGCAAAGGAAGAGATGCTCCTTTGGCAGAGACGGTACAAATGCAGAGAAGAGTGCCGGATACTGCTCTGCTCTCAATTGTGCAGGGTCCAATCTGTAAGATTATTAGTTATAACTACCGTTGCGTCAGCGGAAATGGGAATGTCGGTTTGCGGGAGCAGTAATATTGCGGTAATCCCAACAATCGTGGAGTACAGTAAGGATGCGAAGAGTGGGCACATCTGTCACCAGAACCTCATATCCCTTGAGCGGATCTGCGGATGAGGGACGGAAGGGCTGGGCGATTGGTAAAATGGTGGAAGATACATACCGTTGCAGATTGTGAACTTTCGCAAGGCTCTTGACCGTGTATGCTAGATAAGCACGGAAGATTACACTAGAAGTGTGCGTGTTTCGCAGTCACTGCCTCTGAGAATGCAAGTCCAAGTGGCGGTGAAGCCTCTGAGGATATGGAATGTTGCGGCTTCCCGCTGGAGGAAGGCCAACAACTATATAATTTTACAACACCACCTTGAAGTGGTACGCTACGCTTAATTTCGGGCACTAACCATTTTGGTTGTGGTGAGCATTTTAATCCTCTTCTTGTGTGCTTACAAGCTTTGGAACGCTCGGAGACGGACCAGACTTAGACACCGGAACAACCTTGGTAGAGTAGATAGACTAGCAAATCTGCCACAAGGTGCGAAAGTGAACACGATAGCCAACAAAGACGACGTGAAGTTAAAGAAACGCGCTATTTTGGTGTGAAATCAAGAGAATCGGCCTACGACAATATCTTCGGAGAAGAGGTGTGGTGTCCAGCCCCTAAGAAATGTATCACTTGAAATTTGGGACTCGACCAGCGGCTCCCATTACAAGGATTATGCGAGGAAAGGCCCATCGGGCAACAATGCCGCCATATGACAAGCGCAAATGGGATCTGTACAAACACCAGCATTAATTTTCACCATGAAAGGATGCCTTGCAGAGTTGGTAATGGAATCTCGCACTCGCACTGCCCGAAGGAGGAAGTTTGTCAAAACGTCATGGCGAGCCAGAGTTTGACGTACCTGAGACAGGAATCATACGGTCCACCGGAACAATCGCGATATTCTAAACCGGGCGGATATGTCCTGAGACATCTACCTCGAGTGCGCCGCACAAGCATAGCCAACTTGGACCTCGCGATCTGTTACCGCGTGCCGTCCCACTGCTGAGCACGCATCGACCGCGTGGACGTAGTAGACACAGCCACAGACGGCGTAGCGCTCGATGACTCGGTAGCACATCGAGATGATAGTACTTTTGGGACTGAGGCGTGAGACGAGCTTCGGTTGCGGCGTTGTTGTTTATCGTATGGTTGTGGGAGATCGGAGGGTGTTTGGTGGCGCGGGAGGTCCTGAAAAATACACTGCGCAAAGATGATGAGTCCAAGCTCCTAACTCTAAAGCGGTGCTAGTACCTTGTTTGAAACAGCGAGGGTCAAAGTTGAAGTAGTGACGCCGGAGTTTTGACTTGGGGTTGGATACTAAGAAGACTGATGTAGGCGCAAGAACAACAGATGGCAAGACGGTACGATGTAGCGAGAAGCCAGATCCAGTGGGTATGTACAGTTAATATGTTGATCATCATTGGGCGTAACAGACACCTTGTAGCGCTATAGCACGGAGAGGCCGTAAGGCTATGACGCTGTAGGCGAGATGGGTAGACGGGCAAAGAGGCTTAGTTCCACGTGAAGAGATCTGAGCCGCAACTGCATTCTAGAATTTCCGATTTGTAACATTGTCCGCGAATGCAGGACCAGTAAACAGCAACATGATAGTTTGACGCTGCGCCGCCGCTCACCGCAGCCCTACGGATTCTACTTCGGGAATGAGATTTGATTGGTACAAAGCTCGAAAACGACTGGGAATGCAGAAAGGTTCTACCAGTGGCTGAGTGAGATCATAAAGGAAACAGGCACGGTGACCGCTTCATAGCGAGTTGCTAGAGGATTGCCTACGGATAGCCCGATGCTATGGACGTTGCCTGGTTTTTGAAGGCCCCCATTGGCGGTGAGCGGTGAGTCGCATCTCCAAAGGCTTCACTGGGTGTCACCTGGTATCCCCAGGCTAACCAGTTCCTACATATCCGAAGGCAGTATAGCAGTATAAGTGAGAGATAACAGGGGATGGCAGCCCTGGCGCCTTCCGAGTCACCCGGCAACGGAGTTTAAGTCGGTGATGTCCGAGATCGTGACGGACGCGGTCATAAGGCTTGACACACAGCTTTACCTTAGTAACGGCGCCGAGTTAGCACCCGAGCGTGGTTGATACGGAGTACTGTCATGACTGTTCTGGCGTTGATGTCAGATGTCAGCTGTAGGGCTGCAGAAGCCGTTCTCACTAAGCAGTCTTGGTCTAGCTCTTCGTTAGCCACGTGCTAGTGCAACCGGGAGCGCCTTGGCTGCACAGTTGCACACCGTCAAGATGCGGCTCAGCTTCATACAAATCGGTGACAACCACCCTGCATCTGGCGGAGGACGCAGTCAGTCTCTGTGCACCTGCGGATTTTGGTCTGACCCGAGGGCTGCTTGAAAGTCTGTACGGTGGCTTCGGCTAGAGTGGCTCGGAGTGCTCCATCGGCTTGGCTGATGCTGATACCCACTGCAGGTTAGAAACATGGTCGTATAACCGTCACATAACTAAAACTGTTATATAACCGTGTGAGATTATTGAAATTGCGAGTGGGCAGGATTGTAATCTCAGATCGGTTATGGGATCGTTATAAGCTAATGGCTGTTGTGAAATTGATGTGTGACTGTCTTGGCACTGTCGTGGGATTATCGAGGTTTCCAAAACTGTTTTACAGCCGTTTTGGGTTTTTGAAAAAATCGTCTTTTCAAAACAGTTCTACGACCATGTTTGTAATCTGCAGTGGGCCCAGATGTCCGCTTGCAGGAGAGCGAGATGGTACGGGGATCCAGCTTAGCAGTCATCGGAGGAATCTTAGTCCCGGTAAAGTCATGAGACTCATCGTGCCTGCCATACTGACCTGAGCCGCTGCACTGTAACCTTTTGCCTTGTGGGCTAGAACTGCTTGTGCTATCTAATCATGACAACACGTCATCGTCTCTTACAAACTGTGAGCGTTTAGAAATCTAATTTCAAATTCCAAACCCGCAGTGAGAGACCAGTCTCCTAATCCATGCTATCATGCCAACCATCAGTTTCGTAGCCTTCGTCATGTAACACACTCCCTACGCCACGCTCCTCCCATGCATATGTACCGTGAGTTGTGCCCTTCCCAGACAGTAAGTCATCCACTTCTCCTAACACAATGCTCAATTCCTCTTCCTCCGCTTCCTCGAACTCCCACTCTCCTGACTCTCCACCTCCTCATTCGCCGTCGTCGATGGACTAGTCGCCACACTCGTAATACTCTCGACCCTCCCACCGCCACCATCCCGTTCCGTGCCATCGCCAAGCCCGTCTGCACCATCCCACCCAAACATGTTCGGGTCCGGCGGCGCGTTGAAGTCCACATCCAGATCCTCAAACAGATCCCCGTCCGCAACACCATTCGCAGAGAAGTAATCCCCAGACGAGATGAAGTTATTGAGGTCGAAGTCGCTCGGAGCGCCCAGCCCGCCGTCAATGCCGCCGTAGCTGGCGTTGCCGTCTGAGAGCGGAAGGCCTGGGATCGCGCCGGTAGGTGATAGCGGGACGAGTCGTTCGGCTAGGTTTTGTACCTTGGTCGCTTGTTCCTCTTGCAGCTTCTGCAGCATCTCGATCTGCGCCTGGTTCGCGACGAAGTGATCCAAGCTGGGTATGGGCGGCGAGATCGAAGATGCCAGTGCATCGTTGCCGTTGCCGTTGCCGTTTGTTCCAGCGCCGGAGAGAGCGGCGAGGGAGCCGGCGTTGGGAGCGCCACTCGCGGCGATTGCATTGAGCATCTCGTTTCGCTGCTGCGGCGTGAGAGGCGGTGCACCGCTTGTGGTCTGGTACTGATCCAACGTCGCTGGGAGGTCTAAATTGCTAGCTTCGACGCCGTTGAGGTTGTTCACGTTGTTGATGACTGATATCATATCTGCGCTTTCGGGAACCTGGGAGAGCAGGTTCGGTGTTTCCGCGTCGGTCTTTATCTCCACTGGACTGTCTGCGTTCGTGAATCGTGGAGTGGAGCCACCGCTCTTAGTTCGGCTAGAAGAGCGAGGCGCTTGGTGAGTTGGCCCGGGGCTGAGCGTTGAGCGAGCGGGTGAGGATGCCGCTTTCTCCCTGACTACCGGTGCTGGGAGGAGCGCGAGCGGCCGTCTTCCAGTGCGGTGAAATTGATTTTGTGCGTTGATGGCGGACTCCGCGTAGTCGCCAACGTCGAAAACGTTGCCGTGCTCCTGAGAGTTCTGGGGTACCGTGTTCTTGAACATGTCGGCAATATTAGTGTTGCCCTCAAGACTACGGTTGTAAAAAGTCGCTAGAAAAGTCAAGATCGCGTTGATAGAGTTCTCGTGGCGGTCGTGCAGCGTCTGGAAAGCGCTGGCCTGTTGGTATAGCTGTTCGTTCTGCCGTCGTATTGCGGTTATGGCTTGAGAGATGTACCTCTGCTGCGTTTGTAACCCTTGCAGCTCTTCTTGCCATCGCTGCAGCTCTGTCCGGGATACAGCGACGAGGTCTTGATTGCTTCCATCGCCTCCACGGTCGCCAGGACGAGTCTGACTGCGTTCACCAGCGGCACTGACCGGGTATTGCGTCGTCTCCGCATCGCTTTCGCCTTGCTCGTTCGAAGTTCCATCATTCTTCTTCCGTTTTGCGTTTGCCGTTACATTTTTGGGCTTTTGGATAAGCCAAAGGAGATCCGGTCTTCCCCGCTTGAAGTATCTGTTGAAATACTCGCTCGGCGGTTTTCGCTTCTGCTCACTAGCCTTCATAGACCCGTCCCCTAGGCCCACCCTCTTGTGAAAACCGTACATGTTGAGCTGTCGCACGAACGAAGCGTAGTTGTTGTGCTTAAACAGCTCCGGTATCAAAGTTTTCGCGAACTCGTCCTCATCCAGCACGATGAAGGAATTACCATCATCAGACCATCGTATCAGATCAGTGTTCCGGTCTTCGTCAAGAAAACTGTGATGAGCACCGTTAGCTGGGTCCTTGCGAATGCCTCGGCTTGACTGACCTGCTGAGCTTCTGCACAAATGGCGGTATCTGCTTCCTCTTAGCCTGCGCATCCCGCTTCGCCACTACTGCTCTCTGTGCCATATCGCCATCCTCATCGTTATCATATGCCGCTCCGCTGCCTCCCGGTGTCATTGCTCGACTGCCAAAGTCCTGCCAAGCGGGCTGATTCGCAGATGTTCCTCGCGCTGCCAGCTCCTGATTTGTGTTTCTTCTCACGAGCTGATTGGAATTAAGCCCTGCGCTTGGAGCTAGCCGTGGCCCACTGCCCTGCGCGATGGAAGCGGCTGAATTTGCACCGTAGACATTGCCAATCTCGTAGGCGGATGGATCGGGATAGACCGTTCCAAGGCCACTCGTTGCGGCGGGATCGTTCCAGTCGAGGAGTTGGTCTTCGGGTAGATTTGAGGAATCAGGGTACGTAAGGCCGGTATGAAGTTGCGGTTGCTGCTGCATCACTGGTGATGCGCCAGGCGCTGGCCGTTTGCGGGTCGGCACATGCGTTTGCATACCTACGAAGAGAGTGTGGATGGAAAGGCGGCGCAAGGGAGCGAGGTGGGTAGCCTTCCGATTGCAGCAACAGGGCCTCGGTGCCTGCCCACTTCTGCTTCAACACTGGACCGCTATGGGGTTGCGAGGCGAGCGAGACGAGTTTTTCCAGAGCGAGGCGTAAGGTCTGATATTCAGCTGTCGCTTGGGTTGTCCAGAGATCTGATGGCAGAGCACACGTGCCAGCAGTCCTCTAGCGATTCCGCGTGGGATTATGTACGGCCGTGACGTTGGTAGAAGCTTGTCGTCTACGCCAGAGTCGTGACCACGGGCGTAAAAGAATTGCGTTGTCCTGCAGGGTGAAGACTAAAGCGGGTGTCTTTAAGGCGGGCTCTTGCGGAGCGAGCGTTTCGGGCTGATATGCGGGTTGGGACAAGGCGGCATTGACTGTACGGCGCGGGCAAGGCTGGTGGGAGAGGTAGAACAAGGCGGCAGGCGAAGCTATGGCAAGCACGGTGTTTGTGGATAGCTCTGCTTGGGTCATTGAGCGTGGTGGTGAGGTTGGTTTATTGTGGCATCTTTTTCCCGTACTGGATTACTGAATTACTGAATTATGACACGACCGCTGAAGGGACAGGACACCAGGTCACGGTATCCCCAAAGAAGCCTAGCGCCACCACCACAACCGTCTCGCGCCTAACTACCTATATGGGATTTACATATGGGATCTACGTCCATGGGTGTCGCAGCTGCAATGTTGAAGCGATCCGGAACCAAATCGCGGAGTTGTTCCCTCCCCATTAATGGTGCTTCAAGACTGATACGCGGCCGCAGAGACAGCCGCCGTCAATAGACTGGCCGCTGCCCAACGGGTTAACCGCTGCACCATGAGCTCGCGCTGACGTGCAGCATTCGCAGTCTTGGGTGAAGTCAAGGTTTACTACAAGCTCCAGCCATGTAACAGTGCGTTGGAGGAACTCCCGCAATTTACAACTTAGTGCCGTTTGGTGCCCAATTTCCATGGCCTCTAATTTTTACTACGTGTGGTGACTCCGTATATGTGTCTCAAGAGTTGTAATAGGGTTGCGGTTCTATGCCAGCGTATGCAGTGCTTAGTATAGGTATTCAAAACACAGCCAAGGCTTTCCTGAGCACCGGCTTTATCAATCCCTTTTGGTTATGCCTTCCAGATACAATACCGTCGGAGCATTGCAAGTGGTCAAGTCAAATGCATCACAAGGCACCGATGTTTAGTGGATACACCCATCGGGATGAAGGACATGAAAGAGTGACACTCAAGGCCATGAGTAGGTCATATTAAGAATTACATATAAAGGGTACCGCACTGTCAAGAATTGCCACCAAGCCTCCAAAGTACCAAACGACTATCCGACGCCACCAGCCAACGTTGATCCATGAAGACCCCGTCTACAAACCTGAGTCGATCTGGTTGGGCGGGTACAAGCCAGAGTACTTGTTCCAGTCCACACAGGTTTGCTCAAAGGCAGCCGGGATGTTGTACTTGGCGATGTCGTCAGGCCTCTCGAGGATGTTGATGTAAAGACCAGCAGACACGTGCCAGGCGACGTGGCAGTGGAAAGGCCAGACACCAGGGTTGTCAAGATCGAACTGCACAACGATGTACGAGGGCGTCGCACCGGCGTCTCTGGCAGGCGGCAGAATGTGGACGTCGCGACGTTGCGGGTTGCTGGGGTTGGTGACAACGCCGTCCCAGGTGCCAAAGCCTTGTGCGAGGACGTACATGTTGTGGCCGTGCATGTGCATTGCTATGGGCTCGTTAGTGAGGTCATTACGGAAGAGTTCAGTTCGTTCTTACGGTGGGACAGGAATTGGAATTTGTTGTAGACGACGAAGCGGACCGACTTGCTGTTGCCGAAGTTGTAGACGTTCCTATTAAAGTTAGCACGGTTCTACAGTCAGCTTAGGAGTAACGTGAACTTACGCCTCAGTGGGGAAGGTCAGGTTGCCCTGGTTGGCCCTGAGCAGGACCGGATCATTAAAGTTCCCGCGGAAGCTGCTGTTGTTGATCTTCCAGACCTGGTGGGTGCCGTTCGACCCGAAGGTGATGTCGAGCTGTTGGGTCTGCGTCGGATTCGGGTCTGGGGTGATGGGGAAGAGAGGCGTAACCAGAGCAAGGTCGTCGTTTTGGCAGGTCTTGATGCGCGCCTCCGTGATATCCGAGACGCTGGCCGGCACGGCTGAAGTGTTGGCACTCTCGTAGTAGATTGCGGCGACAGCATTAGGAGAAACACCATCAACCAAACTGCATGCGCCCAGGCCCCTGCCAAGCGAAGCACGCATCCAGTAAGCGCCAGAAGGGTTGCCCTTCGCCTCGACGACAACATCAGCACGTTGGCCAACACCCAGGGTGATGAGATCGGTCTTGTAGGGATTAATCGGAACGAAATCATCGGAGATCACGGTCATGGTGTGGTTGTCGATGCTGAACTTCTGCATGCCATCGGCGCTGGTGTTGATCAGTCGCAGAAGATGCTTCTTGCCAGACTTGAACGTGAACTTGCTGACACCGGCATTTGGCGTGCAGGCCTTGGTCGTGTTGGCACAGGGGTAGTTCATCTTGCCGTTGATCAAGTTGTTGTTGGATGGTGGGGGACGACCCTGGCGGACGGTCTGGTTGACAATCTTATAGTAGTCATCACTGTATACAGTCAGCTTGAGCTCTTGCCCAGGCCATACCTAGAAACACGTACTGATACCAGTCCGAAAGCATGATTGGGCCAACATCGACATCGTATTCGCCGTGCTTCGGGCCGTGGATGATCATTGGGCCAAAAGCACCGCCGGCGTATTGGGCGCTGTAGTGGCTGCGATGATTGTGAGCGCGGACCTTCGCTATGAGTGCTTATACTACTGACCTGTGGTACCAGCTGGAACCGTAGAGATCTGCCCTGAACCTGTAGGTGAATGTGGCATTTGGAACGATTGGGCATTGCTGAACAGCCGGCACACCGTCCATCCATGGCGTACCCTTCTGTGTGATACCGTGCCAGTGGAGGGCCGCACCCTCGTCCGGAAGCAAGTTCTTGACCTTGACCTCAATCCAGTCACCCCAGTTTGCCTCGATCAAGGGTCCTGGGAATCCATCATTGATCACCAAGCCGTCTTTCATGACGCCATCTGGTGCAATCTTTTTGTACGAGATGGTGAAATCGTAGTGACGGGTCACGCCAGTGTACGGAGCATCCGTGTAAGGGTTATTGTCCGTTGCGTTCTTGTCACCCCAGGGAAGGCCAGTGGGCCCGGGGCGGCCAGTAGAACTGCCCGAGGCATTGCCAGAAGCACCGGTGGAAGATGCCGAGCCGGAGCCAGAAGACCTGGTTGCAGTCACCCCGCTTGAGGATGATGCGGTACAAGTCGGGCATGGGTTGTTAGGAAGATACGGTGGCAGGTTCGGGCACGGCAAGACTCCCCACGGAGAGTTACCGTTCGTGTCCTTCTGGGGAAGGGCAGGAACAAGCGAGTCACACCCGTTTGGAACCCAGCCCGGTCCATGATAAGCGGATCCGTTGTTGCCGCCTGTTGCAACCGTTAGAATGGCGATAGTAGACATACTGCTGCCCCTACTTACCCAGGGGACGCTCAGGCGGTCGGTTCGCCGGGTCCCAGTGATTGACATTAGGATCCGTATATCTGGGTGGCATGGAAGTGGTGAATGTACTGTCTAGACCAGATACAGTCGGACATGTCGGAACAACATTGCAGACGGTGGTCGTAGACGTAGTACGCATGGTGACTGTCCTTTGTGTCCATGTTGGGAGAGAGCATGACGTTGTATTCTGTACAGATGGCGACGAGTTTATTAACGGGGTCACAGATGCGGAAAGAGCAGAGATCACAGATGTGACACTCAGCAGGTTTCGGGCATTGATGCCCATGTTGAAAGCAAGTAACGAATGTGAAGAGCGGATTGCTCAAAAGGAACGACTGAACAGTAAAGAGTGACTGTGGTTGGACGCAAGATAGAATCGTTGAACCTAGGAGGAAGAGAGGAGCTCATCCGTATTTATCGACCTCAGGAGATCAGGATCCATTCTACTCGTAGGGCTTGAGCTGAAGAGACGACCTGCAAGCCACAAAGCCATCGGCCCCCGCAGCTGTTGGTCAAGCTATGGTGGTCTGGGGATATCTGCACGTTCGCCGTCACCTTACCTTGTGGATGCGCCGAAAGAACAGATTATGAACGCCAAACGTGCAGGCTTCAATAAGCTTACCGGTAGCAGGAGCACTAGTCTCGAACACTGGGACGATATATCGAGCAATGCTCCTGTCTGAACGGTTCGGTTGGTCCTTGGGACAGGGTTGTTGACTACCGTTCGAGCAGTGGGGTAGTACCACTCTCCGTACAAGATGCTCTTCCCCTTATTCACCCACATGAGTATCTCATCATCGTGTCCGCTGGCGGCAATCCAGCTGACGTTGATCCATGGCGTATCCTTAGTGTATTCCTTCAAGAGGGCATGGGCGCCGTTCAATTTCAAAAGGAAGATCGACACGAGCCTCGAGCGGCCCAAGATAAGCTAGCTTTTGCTCGGTTGTACCTGACAGTAGCGTGCGGAAAAGTGACCGGGGAGCCGCCCGGGATCCTAAGGAGATTAGACAGGCGGCGTGGCGGACTTCCTACTGGCTAATTTTCCCTGATTTCGAACGAAGGACGCCATGGCTCTGGACTACTGCAGGGGTTAGCAGATCGAACGGCACGGTTTAAAATAAGGCCTGGGTATGGTGAACCGCCCGCTGCGGAAGCGGATACGGGCAATTGGTGCGAGCGAGTATCGTCTTAGCCTTCTCTCGCTGTTGCGATAAGCTCAGTCCGCGGGGTCGTACCGTGCACAAGTTGAGCTGCGGTGACTCTTGTCCATGGAGGTAGGTGTCCAACGTCAAACCCATCAAATTGAAATCTTGCTGCTCCGGCTCCCAATTCGACTCTTAGTGTTGTGAAACTCTAGGCGTGACTGGGCACAGCGCCAAATCTGAAGTGGCTCTCATCCTAGGCTATCTCAGGACAACAGCCTTGCCATATGCCAGCCGCTTCAAGCCTGACATGCTCAAAATAGCAGTGGCATTTACGGCGCGGCATGGCAAGGAGGTCAGGGGTGGCGGTGCTCTCGAGCCCCTCAATGGCTGGCGCTCGCTTTCTGTAACGATGCGGAACTTTAATGCTGAGCGGGAGGCAGGACTTCCATCCGTGCAGATCTCCAAGGACGCCGTCTGCCGCCCAGAAGCGCCGGGTTCGAGAGGAGGCCTGGCAAACGGCCCGACGACGGGAGATTGAAATCACCTTTCTCGTGTTCAAACATTGATATACGTCACGTGCGTGCTGACGCCAACCATTTTGAGCCGACCTCGAGTGCCCCGGCAGCGTCAACTACAACCTAATATCACTTCTTCACCGGAGAATCATAATAAAACGAGGCAAGTCCTGCCTTCCCTTCTTGCAAGTGTCCCCGTTCATCGCTGTGGCTTAACGAACGCCTGAGTTCTCTTGACACATCGGTGGTTATGATGCGTTCAAGTCCGCTAGTTCAATGCTTCTTAGATATCGGGTAATGCACCAAGTACAACGAATTCAAGAGGGAGTCCCTTCCCGCAATACAGAGATTTAGAATACTCTGAATCTACTCACCAGCTAGCATTTTCTACTCTCATCATCCACAACGGACACCTTGGCACGAGTTATTGGTTCCATATTTGGAGTATGTTGATTTGCTATTTACTATGTAGATTGTTCGCTCAATGCTTCTCTGTCAAAGCAGCTCCGTGTAGCATGTGAGATAGAAGTTCTGAGTTTAGAACAGTGTGTGCTCCTTTGGGTCCTATTCGGGGAGTAGTGCCCTACTTCTGTAGATAGGTTTACATCGTTTTGAGACTCACGCTGTCCTTTTGATATATTGGTTAAAAAACCTGAGTGCTTCGCGTTACCATCCACTCTGTTCTGCCTCAACGTCTCTTCATGCTAGCCGTTTTTCTGTTCTGATGCCTTTTGTCAGATAATGCCCCAAACTTGATGTTAACATCAGTCATTTCAGAGAAAACGACCTCACCACACGCCAGTAAAGATTGGGTCAAATATGAGCGGGTACGGTTTATGGCCTAGGCAGTAACGAAGCATTGCTAATGTGTTGACACAAAGTCTCCGGGAACTTGCCCGCCGCATGGCCATAGACGGTCCCGTCAGCATACGAAGCGCGTCAGGCCGGCGAGTTCGTGCCCAACTCGGCGGAAACTTCGTCGCCGACACCACGAATGCTAAGCAGTATATCAGCCTCCTTGTAGCCGTCCCAGTCAGCAATAATGACCATGAGCCAGTGTCTGGGAACATCCGAGTTACCCACAATTTTACATCCCCATAACGGACCTCACCAAACACGCGTCTCATAAGAAAATCGACGAAGTCAAGAACGATAGCGGACATATACTAGCCGAGATATGGCGAGTCTCGGCTGGCTCCAAGTCTTCTGACGCTGTGTACTTCCGGCCGGGATACGGGCAGCTCGCTGGGCTGATCAGGCTGACATTCCACGAGATGGGTCAGTCAAGTCTCTCATCTTCTTCAAGTGGCGCGCAACTTTAGGGAATATAGAAAAAAACACCCGGATCTCGATTCTTCGTCCGGTATGAGGCGCCCCAGCTGACCTCTCCCCACCAGACCAATGGTACGAAGAAGATACCCCCATTTACGTCCACCCCAAAGACCCAACCAAGCGCATCGACGTCCTCCCCTCGACCCGCCCCATTGAGATCCACCTCGACGGCCACGTCCTTGCCAAGTCCTCTCACTGCCTCCACCTCATCGAGCCGCTGCTGCCAACGCGGTACTACCTGCCGCCAACCTCCATGAACCCGGCCATTCTCCACAGGAGCGGCTCGAGGTCGCGGTGCCCGTACAAGGGCGAGGCGGAGTACTATGATGTCGTGCTGGACGGGAAGGTGTATAGGGATCTGATATGGTGGTACAGATATCCGACGTCGGAGGTCGCGCCGATTGCGGGGGCGCTGTGCTTCTACAACGAGAAGGTCGATGTTGTACTCGATGGGAAGAAGTTGGAGAGGCCGAAGTCGAAGTTCGCTTGATAAGAGCATGCTGGGCAGAAGGTGTATGATAATCGAGATGAGACGTGCAGATTTCGATGATGCATATATCTATGTGACACTACTGACGAAACTCCTGTTCAACAAGGCACAAAATAGATGCATAATTGGCAGGTAGGAATCGCAACAGAAACGGAGCAACCCCGAATGAAAATTCTCAACCGCAACCCCCCACTCCTCTCTCCACCGACTCCTACAACAGCCCACCGGCTCACCTAACAATGCCTCGCATGCCTCCCCTGCGCAACCAAGCTCACAAGCCCCTCCTCATATTTCCACGGCGCCTTCCCCATGGTGCTGCACTGCAGAAACTGGTCCTGCAATTATACACCGGCTTAACGCCCGCACAGTACACAAAGTGGCAAGCCCGCTTCCCCCACTTCTTGAAGATGCTCGCGAGCGTCGAAACAACACCGCGGGCTTCCACTTCCGCTGCCGCGGCGCCTCACTCGCTGCCTGCTTGCGCGCCGTCCTGCCCCTCGGCGTCGAGGAACTCGGAGGGGTCGATGGGTGTCCCGAAGACGTCGGTGGCGATGAAGGGGGCGCTGGTGTTGGAGATCTGGATTAGCTAACCTTCGAGGACTCCGTTTACCCAGAAGGCGAGCTTGCGGGTACCGTCCGGGAGGGCGAGGGCGAGGGCGGTGATCTTGACGTTGGGGTCGTCTTGAGACTGGGTGGTGCGTCTGCTGATGGCGAGGTTGCTGTCTACGGCGGTGGAGGCGGCGGTGCTGAGGAGGATGGAGAGGTTGAGGAACATGTTGGTGTTGGTGCTGGTGCTTAGGGGTTATGAATAGAAATGTTGAAAGAATTGCTTTTTGGAGCAGAGCTTGTGGATACGAAGATTGTTGCTGTGCTGCTGATAATCTTAGGACAAGGGAAAGCAAAGCCCTTACATACCCGCCGGGAAGGCTTCCAGAGTATCCGCACTCGAGACTGAAGTTCTTCGTCCTCTGAAGCTTGCCCACCTCGCCCGGCATGCAGGCTCCACTAGCAGTGCATAATGATCTGTTCTCGGTATGGCTTTGAACTAGATGACTTGGGAAGCATGGTATATTGCAGCACCAATGCACCTCATGCTCATGGAAAATGAAGATAGATTACGAGGAACGGCATACTGATACGAGATGGACCAAAGATAGAGAGAGATCAGCGCTTCGTGCCGTGTGCTGGCATACTCTATAGCCTTGTGGTTGCTGAAAGAACGACAGAGTTGCAGCCTGCATGCTCAGAGCTCTGATTCTGTTGCCGTTTCCTAAAGTGTGGAGACATTATTCGCATCCCGTCTCTGTGAATGTGTACTCTCTACTGACGATGAGACGTCCCCACAGTTCGTATTCTAAATGGGTTTGAAGTAGAGATATTTGTTTAGAAATCACGTCCGAGGAGCATACGCCGCGATACCAGAATTCAGTAATGATCGAATATACTTCGGTTGTTTCCGCCGTCACGGAAAGAGGTACAGATTTGCATTGGAGGCTCGACACAGCCTTGCAGAGACTTTTGTGGTAAACAGGAGCCTGCCGTCCAAGCTGCACAGCCTCCTTTGCGGATGCTTCTATCAACCTCACCAATGGTCTCGAGATTCCCAAACATGCCGGTCAGTGGACCTGCATTCGAACTTCAAGATTAGATGCTGTCTCGCGAGGCGAGAGTGAAGCATTGGCCGATGTGCTAATTCTGGAAGTCTCAACCCCACACCACTCGGGAAGTTCATCGGCGTCTGACCTGTCGCCGGGGATCCAGCAGCCATGCAAATGCTCTGGGGTTCGGAACTGTGGAAAGGTATCATTCATGCACTTGATTTCTATCGAAGCGCACCGGGCAGTACAACCGCTCGTAGAACCCATGCAAAAGAAGCAAGACCACACCAAACAGTGCACCACGACCTCCCCTAATCCTTCGTTTTCTGCGTACCACGGAGCAGACCGGTTCTCCGGGCAGCGATAAGACCGGCCTTTTGACCCTGTGCGGCGTATCGAGAGATGGTTGAGGCTTTACCGATATGTTGATGGTTACCACCACCGTGAGGCTAAGAATACAATGTCAGTGAGTGATAAACCGTGCAGAGGTTGGAGAGCTTACATGGTCGACGGGGTTCATGGCAACACCACGAGTCTTGGGCCATGAGTTGCGCTTGACGGCGAACTTATGCTTAGCGCGGGAAGCCTCTGTGATGCAATGTTAACAACTGTTTTATGCCTTTGGCAGGTAACGACGTACTCAGCAGTGGCTTGTCTGTCCTGCCACCTCCAGCTACGATGCCGACCATTCCTCGTACGGTGCTCTTCACAACCTTCTTGGCGCCAGATGGTAGCTTGATGCGGGTCTTGCCCTCGTCAGGGTTGTGGCCGATGACTGTGACGTAGTTGCCGGAAGTACGGCCCAGCGCGCCGCGATCACCCATCTTCTCCTCGACATTGGTCATGACGGTACCTTCGGGGACCGAGCCGAGTGGCAAGACGTTGCCAACGTTCAGACTGGCGTTCTTTCCGGCATAGATGAACTGAACCATTGTTAAGTCAAGTAGCTGCGGAAGCAAGTCCACGCTCGTAACGCACCTGTCCAGAGTACATGCCCTCATTGGCAATGAATGTCTCGGTGTGGAGCTTGTATCGGTAAGGATCCCTGAAGACGACCTTTGCGAGAGGAGCGCCTCGTCCCGGGTCGTGAATGACATCCTTCACTATGCCCTTGATGTAGCCATGTCTCTCCGCATAGTCCAAGGACCGAAACCTGAGAGCCATCAGATATCGCCCTGAACCGAGATGCAACGCGTTTCCACTCACTTCGCAGGTGCCTTGTTCAACCGTGTGTGGGCCGTGAAGATCGAGCCACGACCTTTCCTCTGGTTCCTGATGACCCTACCCTATTGTAGCGTCAGCTTACAGTCCTTCCTTATGAGACGCGCCAAAAGGTCCATAGTGATCCAGTGTGACGCAGTTGGAGCTGAGGTGGCTCGGTATCGGGTGGAGTTCGAGCGCAAGCCGGAGGTTCGCTGCATGTGCTTGGTTCGTTGCGCAGCTAGCTTTGGAGTCCTGAAACCCGATCCCTCTCATTCAAGACCAACGTTCACTGGAGCGTAGTTGAGCGGGGTCCCGATGGTTTGACTCCTGAGTAGCCTGTATGACTGATTGCGAATCGGCTATTCTGCCCGTTTCTCTTCATTCGACGGTGGAAAACCTGGCGGAGGTTTGGCGAGAGGTAGATGTCGTATCGTAGGTCCGTCGAGAAGGCGCGAAACCTCTCTGCCGCTGAAATCGAATGCCGTCGGATCCTACCGCACAAGGAGATGAATTGAGCTTACCATGGTGGCTGTTTTGGTGTTGTCGTGTGGGTTGTCAGGGTTGGATGTCCTCGAATTTCAGTATTCAAGCGCCAAGCAACATTTGAGAGTCGGTGGATTGTGTGGCCGCGGCAAGCGAGAGAGGTCACGTGCTCTTCGAACCTCCACCTCAGAACCTGCAGAGCACAGTTGCCAGTCCTCCCCATCCCCCGTCGGCTACAGACGCGATCAGCCAGTTTTACGCAGCAGTTTTCAGAGACAACTCGGTCTACGAGCGAGGTAGGCGACTGTCTCTGCAAGATGAGCGCGCCCCAAGAAGTCGCTGAATCGCCATTCTGTTCATGCCAATGCCGCTTCGAAGTTAAATACGTTCAGAAGACGCGACTGTAGCAGCTATCAATCTGCGATTGACATTGTGGCTCCAACACTTCGTGGTGTCATGCCTGATCAGCTGTGGTACGCGCTTCAGTTGTTGCTGCCTCACCACATCAAAGCCCTCTCAAACAAGCCGGCCCTCGACATCGGCGTTGACATGGTGTCTGAGATCGTCTATGCACCTCCAAAGGGTGTTTCTCTCAATGCTGGGAATGAAATTTCTGAGCCAGGCCGTATGTACTCCCTCCAGGTCAGCGATAACAGTATCCTCCACGAATTTTTCTTATTCTACAGACCACTTTCCTATCATTCTTGTGCGGGGTTTTCAAGAGGAGGATAACAGGCTATGAGGCATTTCTAGCTCTTGGAAAGCCATACAAAAGAGTGCCTCAGCTGTTTTCGCGTCTTGTTATACGAACACGGGCCTCGCAAGAACAAAGTCCATCTGCCGGGCGCGCGTTGATGAAATATTGGGGAAGAGGTGTGGTTCTCACATCAACACCAAGAAAACTATCATGAGGTGGGGTTTGGCGATCATTTCCGGTCCTTGGCTTGGTCCAAGAACTCCCAAGTTGAACGTCCCGGCCGCACGCCGAATTTGAGGTGCGCATCGGTCGCGTGTCCGCTATGGCGGAACTTCATCCGATGCCCTGCAACCCGATCGCGTTGGCACCCCAAATCTCGCACAATCCGTCATCCTTCGTCGAGACCCTGCACGCCGTCGTCGTCGCTAAGCAGTGCGGTTAAGAGCTTGGAACACTCTGGAGTAATGGTCCGCTGTATATGGAGAAGTTTTTTGCGCGCAGGGCTTGGGGCTTGAACCGCTGGTCCGAGAAACAGCTAGCAGCGACTGGCTTGCGCAGCTGTTCGGCAAATGTCTAGATAGACGAATTCAATGTCTCAATTTGCCATCTACTACGTTCCAGAAGTATTGTGCCGTGTTACCGTGAAAGACAGGCTGCCAGATAGCCTTCCCACATGCCCCTAATCTCGCCGGCGAATCAGGGCGACGTAATCTGCAGTGTGAGTTGGAGCTTCTTCCCACTGCGTTCGCACGACCCTCCACCGCCGACTTCATTCCGTACCGGCACCTGCCCAACACAACCGCCACCATGAGCGACTCCGAGTCTTCTGCGCTTTCCTCGCCCCCAGGCAGCGATGATGAGCTATCACCAGTGCCAGACATGATGCCCGACCCCCCAGCATCCAAAGCTGCCCGCCGTGATACCTCCATGTCACCTCCGCCCGACTCGACGCCCAAGAGGAAGCGGCCAGCGTCGCCGCCGCATGAAGAGGTGCTAGCAGACAACCCAGACATTGCCGTGAGTCGCCGGTGCATTTGCCACGTAGCGCTCGTGTTCTGCACCTTTGGACGCGCTCCTGGCTGAGGAACACGTTGCTGACGCCAAATTGTACTGCCAGTTCATCGTTATGTTCCGGTCGCGCTTCGGCGAAGCCTTTCCTCCCAAGCTCATTCACTACGGACCCCAAGACATAGAGAGAGGAGTTGCCGATGCTCTGCCCACACCGCAAATCGAGAGCTTGCTGTGTGCGCTGCTTGGGTTGGCTCTCAACCGCAAGAAATACGTCGAGTGAGTCCGGCCTGACCCCTGTATACTGTGGTCGCGTACCGAGGACTGTGGGAAATAAGTCTGGAATGTCGCGTCTGACAGTACTGACGTCGCCTTGCTGCTGGTAGGAGGGGTCACTATGGACGAGCGCTCGAGGAAGCCATATCTGCCCACAAAAGCCAATGGCCGCGGGCCTGGGCAGGCGTCAATCCCATCTCCGGCGGACGGTCTTTCAACACGATGACACCGCAAGAAAGGGTGTGTTCCCTCATATCCCACATGCTCTCTGCCATCAGCTTGCTAACTCAACCACGTGCAGCTTACCCTCCTCAAGACCCTGATCATCTGGAGCCTTCACGGTTCGGAGACCATCCTTAACATAATCAAGGAATCCTACAAGCAGTCGCGCAAAGAGGACGACATCAATCAGCCTCTCTCCGTACAACCCTGGGGCCGCGATGGTGACAAGAGGCGATACTGGCTGGTTGAGGGGAGGGACGACACCAACTTCAGGCTGTACCGCGAGAGCAATCCCGCGTTGAAGCACAACACCTGGCGCAGTGTCGCAGGCACCATCGACGAGCTGAAGGCCGTTGCCGAGAGGCTGAATGAAGATGGCGCCCAAGCATCGCGCAGGTTGGCCGAGATGATAATGAGGGCTGTCCCCCGTTTCGAAGCTACGGAAGAGGTGCGCAGACCTTGGGGTATCTTGACGGCACGCATTTACTGATACTACCCCAGAAACGTAAACGTCGCGAATACCGTCAAGTTCGCAAGTCTCAGTTCGCTCGTGCCGAGCCCGGCTTCTCCCTCTACGAGGGTCGGACTAGAGGCAAGCGAATGAAGTACACGTTCTCTGATGAGGAAGATGAGGCATCGGATGCCACCTCGACTCGCCGATCTACACGTCAGTCAGGCACAGGGACCCCGGCTGATCTGTCACGGCCGACCGTCACAGCAAGCGGTCGACAGATCAGGTCCCGAGTGGGAGGCACATACGGCGAGTCACTCTTGAGCGGACAGGCAACCACAGACCGGCAGTCGCCCGCTACTGGAGACTATGCACATTCGGAAGCCTCCGAAGAAGTCCGGCCGCATCATGGGCGTTCAACCCGCTCTGGTGGAACGAAGCTAGCAGTCAATGGGCGGGGGAGGAGCCGGAGAAACATTGATACCTACAACTCCCTCGATGAGATGGATGATGAGGACGATGCTGCTTCTACTGGTAATGAGTGGAACAGCGAGGACAACGCTGAAGATGCTGATGACGGTGGAGACGATGAGGGAGACGAGGATATGGATGACGAAGCGGGGGAGGAGGAAAGGCCCCAGTCCAGCCTAGTCGTCCGTCTACGCTATCGGAAGTCTCCAGCAGCAATCAAGCTCTCATCTCCAGATCCGCCGAGCGATCGTCATGCTGAGGAGGCTTCTTCCAAGCCTCCGCCAACCATTGCCGCAGCCCAGGCCCCCATCAATGGACATTCTTCCGACATGCTGCCAGCCCATACTTCGACACATGGCCCTCCGAACGGCACGATAGATCGCTATCTATCCAAGCCCCAACAGCCACCGACTCACAGTCCGTTCTTCTCCGCCCAAACGGCCGTTACTCAAGCTACTGCCTCCAGTGTCGCTTCAGTGACACAGCCTTTTCAAGGCGCTCCAGCGCACGCTCTGAAGCACGGCTCGTCGCTCAACGGTCTCCAGCCTGGCATGCCGCCCGCCCTCGGGACTCAGTACGCGCAGCCGGCATACGGCCAGCCGTGATATCTCTTTCTCCAAAACCTTGTCGATTGGATTGTGCCAGCTGACCAAGCTTCCGGGTTCACTTGTCTTGCAGTGTTTCCTATTTAGTGCGAGCTCAGTATACCAATAGAGTTTCTTCACGTGCTTTCAAAAGCTGGTTACAGGAAGTTTGCATGTATCATCACGTTCCATGTGCGCATGAGGGTTCGATCTAATATCTAGCCGAGGGCGACGGTATCGTAGATGGAATTGGTAGAGCGGTAGAGCCAGAATGACATGGACGAGCTCCGTGGAAATAGAAGCCAACCGATTGCTGAATTCCAGCCTACTGAGTATCCTCCTCACCCACCCACTTGTCTTCCACTCTCAGCTACCCTTCGAGTCATTGCCACATCGGCGAATGTTCGGACGTTGTTTCGTCCGACAAATCACTAGCTAATATTAGAGTTCAAGTGGTAGATAGAGAAGCTGGTGTTTGCCATACCTCAGTAATCTCAAGCTCGGCAGTGCCCATGTTGTCGCCTCCCAAGATGCTGGCAAGTCCTGCAAACTCGTGAAGCTTGGCATCGTCAAGCGGAAGAGTATTAACCGCCTTGTTTGCTGCGGCGAGTGACTCCGTCGAGTTGCGTCTAACAACGTCACCAAGCATCTGCACTTGGTTGCGCAGAATCGCCGCCTTACCCTTCCACTCCTGAACTGTACTATTCAACTGCTCATTGTCACCCTTCAACTGCTCATTGTCACCCTTTAACTGCTCATTCTCATATGCTTGTCGGGTAGCCTGAGCTTCGTAGTCGTTCTTGGCGATCTCCACGGTCCGGAGTTGTCCTTGAAGCGTTTCGGTCTTGGACTTTAGGCTCACAATCCGAGCTTTTAGGACGGCAATTTCAGAGTCCGAACTAGTGGCATGAGGCTGTAGGGTCGCTTCCAATTCGATATTCTTCGTGTTGGCCATGGAGACGTCTGAGTCTCTGTGACCGCGGGAGCGTTGGGACGATTGGGTTCGACCAAGGATACTGAACGATGGGCGCTTCAGCAAAGATTGTTGACCTGCTATATAAATTGTCAGCTAGTATTACAAGCAGCAAGGCGCGCTTGCTAACTGGGGGCGCTTACAGGGGCTGGTGTTCTTCATCATCTCACTAGACGCTGGGCGGCTCTTGGGCAGTACCAGTGAGGATGGAGCGGACCACTCTGGATCTCCAACAAGACTGAGTTGTTTGCCATCTGAGAGCGTGACAACCGCCGCTTGGCCGGTAGCCGGGTCTAGCACTGCAGCGCCACGGTTTGCTCTCGAAATTCTCGGTTTGCCGTTGCTATCGAAGTCTCCGGACCACCACATGCCTTTCTTACGTCCGCTTATCGCAGACTCTGAGACGACTTGAAAGACGCGGTCTGTCAAATACGTGTTCGTTGGTGGGCGGTTGGTGTTGCTGAGTTGGCCTGAGGGCAGGTGGTCGCATATCTTCCACTTCGTCTTGTCGGGCGTGCCCTCGCCGTCCGATGGGCGCCATATACTGGCATAGTCTGGGGCCATCGTCAAGTTGTGATAGAGAGGTTTTGGAAGAAGATCTGCGAGAGAAAAACAAGACCCTCGAAGTGTCAGCTATGAGGTTGTCAAGGAAGTGAGAGTGGTTAGTGAAGGAGTAGGTGACTCGGCAATCAACAAGAGTATGTGGCATGTGAAATGTTTTCACTTCATGTTGCTTGAAATGCATAGAGTAGACTTCGAACAGAGCTTGAGAGGATTGAGTTTCATTAGGGTTCCGATTCTTGACTCAGCTGTTTCCTTCATGCTTCTCCCGCTCCTCGCCAGGAGCACCAAAGGTAAGCTTTAGACTGCTGCATGATGTCCATAACGGCCCTAATACTCTACAATGCTATGTTCAGGGCACAGTGCGGCGTCAATCTTAGCCCATATAAGTTGACAAAGCCGTGTCCTTTAGCTGCTTCGTCATAAAGATAATGCGTGATAGGCCGGCTCGCCGGCTATCCGTAAACACATCTTCAATCAGTTGAAGTGATATATGGTCTTGATCCAGTCCGTGTCCGCGTCCACTAGTCACGAGACAGGTACGTTCTAGCTTTCGAATCCCACAGCGGTTCTACGAAGCTCTAGTATTGCAACCTTTCGCCGAGCCACAGTCAATAGCAGAACTGCCCATTGAAAAGCATATGCGTGTTGGCAGGAGCCGCAAGTTTGAGTCGAAATGACAATGCAAACGGATGATAAGGCAAAATATGCGAGCTCTTCGATCGACTGCAACTCATCGTGAAATGATAGCACACCGTATGGCCATAAATGAAGTTAGCAGAATCACGTCGAGGGGACGACGTAAAGCAAAAGAGGTTACCCGGGTAGCGAGATGATGAACAGGCATCGGTGAACCCTCTCAACGGCATGCTGCAATCCAAATCACTTCGATCTCCGCCAGCCTTCGCCAAAAGGATATTATGACTGCCACCACAGTGCAAAGAAGAATGCAAAAAGATAATTACGACATGCGTGGTACGAGACTCGAACTCGTGCCTGAAGCAAATCCATAGTATGGGAAGCTTCAATTCTACCCCTAAACTAACCACGCTTAAGAGAAAGTTTCCTTACAATCGTTAATAAAGCTGTCTCCAGCTCTAGCGCTTGTGGTTCAGATCGAATACGACCAGATGCCCAGAACCTCATCATCTTCAGCTACGCGTTGAACCCAACTTGATTGTACGTACGGATTTATCCTAGAATAGAACATCTTCAGATGCGGAGTATAACTTTAATAACTAAGCGCGAGGCGCTTCTCAGACCCCGGCGAGGGGCACCTAAGGCCCAGACCCCGCCATGACCTTGAAAGTTCACAGCAGCAGTGACGTGGACTCCGAACGAACAACAACATGTCGAAGATAGAGAAGACGATAGCGCGACAGCAGGAGAAGTACACTCTTTCTCTTAACAGAAAGAAACCGAAACTCACTAACCGTGCTTCAGGATCGAGGAGGGCCAGTACTACGAGGCGCACCAGCAGTTGCGCGTCATCGCGTCGCGATACGTCAAGCAGAGCAACTGGGATGCGGCCTGCGAGCTACTCTCCTCCGGCGCACAGCTGCTGCTGAAGGCAGGCCAAGGTGGTAGCGGCGGAGATTTATGCTTGTTTCTAGTGGATACATACAACAAGGCGGAGCTCAAGCCAGATGCCGCGAGCAAAGGCAGGCTGCTTGCGCTGCTGCGCGCGTTCCCGCCAGAAGAGCCGACGAAGAAGAGATTCGTCACGGAGATGATCGCGTTAGTGTCCCACCTACGATACAGAGGGCCTTTACTGATCGTGCGCAGATGGTCATCGAAGTTCGGAGAGTATCCCGCCGGCGACCCTGAGCTGCATCATGTAGCTGGTACACTCTATGCAGATGGTAGTGCCCGTTTGACTCCTCATGTACAAACGCAGTAGCTAACGATGCGCCAGAGGACGAAGCTTATGACGCGGAGCGACATTTGGTGCTCGGCACCCGCGACTCTCCAGAGCGCCTCGCTCGGCTAGAATACGATTGGTACGCCGAAGACGAATCGCATACCGCGCCTCTATACGTTGCACGAGCTGTCCTACCATATTTGCTTACCGGAAACATACGCTCCGCCAACCAGTCCATGCTTCTTTTCACCGGCCGGCTCCAGAAGGAGAAAGGCGGTCTCGGCGCGCAAGAGGTCAGCTCTTCAAAGTCGGAAACTCGTGTATACCCGAGCCTACCGTTGCTCAACTTCCTTTCGCTCCTCTTGCTCGCGGTACAGAGAGGCAGCGCGGATCTGTTCAGGCAGTTGAAGAGCCACTATGCGGTGCATCTGAAGGAAGTGGGGACATGGGACGAGCCCTTGGCTCAGATTGGGGAGATGTACTTTGGCATCAAGATTCCGTCTCAGACCAACCCGTTGATGGACATGATGGGTAACATGCTCATGGGCGGTGGATTAGGCGGAGCTCCGAAGCCGAAGTCAAAGAGGGTGGAAGCACCTGCTCCGGCGCCGGCGGTGGATTAGAGCATGATAATCCATCATGGAAGTGGTAACGCCCGAAGTACATTTTACAGCAAGCATCAATGGGTCTGTGTAAATTCTAGTATAGCAAGCGCAATACGCTCCTGGGCTAGGTTACGACTTAGTCTTTACGAATAGAGGCTACAACTAGGTAGAACGAAATATCCTTTCCTGACGCCTGAGAATGCCTTTCCATTTGTGCTTCTACTAACAGTCCCTCCAATGCAAATATGGGTATCCCTAAAAACAAGCAGCGCCGTTGAACGCCCTTTTTCTGCCAATCCACAATCACTCATCCTTAAGACGACATAGGGCCTTCTGCCTCAAACATCCACTTGTCATCGTCTAGCGAAGCCACTTTTGCTAGCAAGCTAGCCTGCAGTGTCGCTTTCAGCTCTATGCCACCGATTAGCGGTGTATCTAGTCAGATTCCCTTTTGTACCTACCGTGTGGCTCGATATGCTGCTGACGCTTCCGATACGCCTCAATCAAGCGGTGATCTACTTCTACATAGCCATGGTAAGCTCAAGGCATTACCATCCTCACTTCTTGACATACCTCGCTCATCCCGCCCCTCATCCCTCCCCATCGGCGTCATAGCCGGCTGCTCAAGCTGATAATTCCCATGCTCGTCCCTAACTGCAATATCCGCATTCGTCTCTTCAGGCGCAACCTGGAGCGTTGTCACCGACGTGCCTGAGGTGGAGCTGGCCGTTGTTGCTGGTCGTCTGCTTGCAGTGTGCTGGAAGAGGTTGCGCCGTACGCCTGACGCTGTTGTCGTCCGGCGCGGGGGCTCGCGAGACGCCATCGCGGGGCGAGAGGCTGCGGTGGGGGTCTGCTGCGCGAGGATGTGGTGCAGGCGGATGGGAAGTTGCCGTGGGGGACTCGGCATCATTGGCGGCACCGTTTTCACGCTGGGATCCTGGTGGCGATCTCCCGTGGTGCAGGGACGGCGGGCAGCAGTTTGCTGCAGGTCGAAGTTCGGGTGCGGTTGGAGGTCTGTAGCAAATCACCAATCTCCGGAATGCTGTCGCGCACTTCCTGGCAACGTTGGTCTGCCACGCGATGTTTTTGAGGAGCACAGAAAATGAGTAGGATCGCATTCGACATCCAGCCCATCAACCGCTTCGCGGGTACGAGCGCTGCGATTCGGAGGCCGAAGGTAAACATTCCCATGTTCAACATAGCTCCACTGCAAGAGCTGACTGTTATTGCGCAGGAGATCGCTTTCTTCTCATACGATGAGAACCACCAATTCCGCCTCGATGACTCGTCGCTCCGCTACTACTACCCTCCGCGACTAGGCGCCGACCTCTCTGCTGGCTTCGAGACCTTCCGTCAATTAGACGATGCAGCGGACGATCACCTTGACAGCCTTCTGCGCACGCTTATCGCGCACGAGCAGAAGACTGGACAGCGCTGCGAGGCAGATTTTGTGACATGGCGTGGGATGATGACCAAGGTGGGACAGCTGTCAATAGCTCCACAGAGACATGGAAAAGACCTAGCAGTACTAAGAGTCGTACAGATCATGGCTGTACCTTTTGACAATTTCAACGAGTACGTGATGGCCATCACTGCAACCGGAAGCCCGAACTGACGCGAACAAGCTTCGAGATGAACGCAACATGTTTCCAAGTGGGCCATCCTCCACTACCATGCCGGGATCATGAAGGCTGATACTGTCGGCCAAAGGGGACTATGTACGTCAATCACACCCGGAGACATCCCAACGGCGATTGGAAGCTTGTTTGTGCACAATCCAGTGCTGAGCATCCACTATAGATTCATCGAAGAGAACCATGAAGCCAAATTGGCATCTCGCGAACAGCAGATGAAGCAGCAATCACGGCCTGGCGCGCCATCACAAGAAATGATGAGCTACTGGGGTAAGCCGAGCCAGGACAGCTGGAGCGGCTGACCTTCTGCTAAACTGCATTAATAGGATACAAGTTTGAAACACTGTGTCTAATACCTGACACCTGGGATGCAGTGTCTCGCGACTACATCGAAAATCGAGAGAACGAAGTCGTGAGCAACTATGCACAGTATTGCTCCGTAGTCCGAACTGGCATCTGCAACGCGAGCCTCATCATCGGCGGCGAAGTGGACGCGGGTATCTCAGCCGTTTGAGTTTGTATCATGGCGCAGGACTAACTACAACTACAGTGTGGGATTGCAAGCCCGACGACAAAGACCAACCCATCAACTGGGTCGAGCTAAAGACAGCGCAAGACTTCGGCGCCACCGGCAACCTCTTGACCTTTGAGCGCAAGCTCTTGAAGTTCTGGATTCAGTCCTTCTTACTTGGCGTACCAAAGATCATAGTGGGCTTCCGCAGCCCGGATGGTATTCTTCAGCGAGTCGAGGAGCTTGAGACGCAGAAAATCCCTGGGAATGTCAAGAGGTCTGGCAAAGCGAGCTGGGACGGCAACTTGTGTATTAACTTCACGGCTTCGTTTCTCGCCTGTATGAATGTCTCCTGCTCTACACCATGGCTTTACATTACTGATTTGTGCGCTAGTCCTGAAGGAGACTATCACCAGTGACGGCGTATGGCGCATACGGCGACGAAGAAACTCATCGTTGGTAGAGGTACTGAAGATGGAGGAAACCGGGTACGGCGATATTCTCTCGACGGAGTTCGTGGAGTGGCGGCAGCAGATGGCCGCACAGGCGCAGAGCCAGCCCTGAGAGGAAAAGCCATGGCGATCCTGGATTGAATGACCTCAACATAGCATGATGGCTACTATGAACGAGCGCCTCGTGTTTCACCCGCCGTAGCGGGAGGAAGCACGTGGCTCACGGATACTTTTTCCTGGATACGGGATGGCAGCCCTCGACGACGATCACCACAAATCGCACGGAGGACCTTGCGTTTCGTCTACATGGCTTTTGCGTTCTTTGGCGAACCTCGCGCTGGCAGAGTTGGTTGTGTTCGTGAAGCGTGGCTTGGATTCAACTTAGCTCGGCTGCATAGATAAACCCATGGTGCTTGTTCAGGAAGGTAGTTGTGGGGTTGAGGATCAGCCCATCGATGATCATTCAATGTACATGATATCACAAATTCTCTGTTGGCTGTAGTCTTAGTGGCTTCGATATGCGACAGCCCTACTCCGTCTTCGACTTCAGGAGGCACTGGAGGTCGGACCCGTGGATGTCTTGAGCTTGATAAGGCGAGTGTGGGGAGAGCGAGATCAGCCTCGCCGTAGGAAACACCAAATCCTGATTCCGAAGTCATCTAACGACGCAGCCACGCCTTGTGTACCACTTTCGGCGAAACGCCCGGGTTATGGTGAGCTCAAACATGCAGGTCCCTCTGCTTCAGCACTCCGCTTGCTCGAAGGGGAAAGCTTGGTCCTGGGGCAGTAGACTAAGAATTTAATCCCCTACTTCCACACACTCTTTGAGCTCAAGCATGGACTCTCGCTAACACGCCCCGAACTGAGGTCTCCTCCGAAGGCCCCATGTAACAAAAGCCCACATCGTTAGCGACCACGGCAAATGCCGGCAGGATTTTACGGTTCTGAGAGCGCGCGCTCTACACAGAAGTTCAACTTTTATTCCCGTCGCGCGGTGGACACTCGAGCAGAGGGGTCAGGAAGCGCTGTTGAGCCTCGTGGAAGAGCGGCTGGCCCACTGATTCGCTGGTTCCACGGCGCGAAAAGCTTTTCCGCTGCAGGACTCGCAACCTTATGGCAGTGATTGGTGATGGTTGCTTGAGAGCGTCCGCGGGTCCGTCCCGAAGCGCAGGGGAGTCTTCCATGCCACGACGCGTGAGGATGTCACTGCAACGATAGGCTAGCGTGCCGCGATTGCGTTATTTCATGGGGGGCTGTGGCAGTCGGTGGCCGGGCAGGCCAGTCGGCCAGGCATGAGGAACTTCCAGGCTGTGTTTCAGATGTTGATCAAACAGGGCAGGTGAGCCTGTTCCTGCAGCGTCCTGCAGAGCGCCCTGAATCGAGGCCTTGATTGTCAAGCCACGCCCTCTCGACAGGTTGCTCACATCGCCAGCGAAGACAGCTCCTTGCTGGGCGATGGCTGGATTCCCCGCAAAATCTGTGATATGGTGTGTGAAAGGGGAGCATCTACTCCGCACCTGTCATGACAAGCAATAATGACAGCCCGCGGTACCATACAAGGGTCCATTCACACGCTCAAAGGGAGGTGCGATGCTAAAAGGCATCAGAAGAGCTATGCGCTCGACTATCAGAAGAAGTAGGGTGGAAAACATGTTCCAGCATGACATGCAAGAGCTGAAGTCGATGCAAATCCATCTCCCCTGATGATTCCGACCACAACCACGCGTCATGGTTGCTAGCCGTCAGCTATTCGGAATCTACCACCCCCAACTTGCTTCTGTCTTCTCGACTGACAGGAGGCTGGATGACCTCTGGGCACAGAGTAGGAACATACCCCGGCATCTCAACGCTCGGGTACTCTTTCACGCTGTCGGTGGCGGCGGCTAACGGTTCTCCGTCTGCCGCCCACTCATGCATGCAAATTGCGCGATGAGAAACGCCTCGAAGAGCTGTCTCCGTCCACACAGGACATGTCGACGTGGCTCATCGGTCAAGTCTGGTGAATTGAAAGGCAGAGAAGAAACGTGATCAAAACCAGCACACCGGCAGCAAGGAAAACTGTTCGCTCCGCCCACAATCCGGCGCGTCCACAGAGACAACAACACGCCTGCCGTGGCTTGAACTCCACCGTCAACTGGCGCTCTCGCGCACCTCGACTCGGCGGGGGGAACGGCAGGGAATTCACGGTCGAAGAGCGCTCACAGCCAGTCGGGGTGCCACTTGGCGGACGTGTGGCATCTTCAAGTCGCCTGCCAGGGTGTTGTGCGGATGTGCGGTCCCCCCTCGGCCAAGCCAGAAATAGATTGCTCTAAAACCACTAATCTCCTGTTTCACCACCAACTCTCCGACACCTAAATCCCGCCTCTTCCCCTCGAGCTCCGTTTCGTGTTCCGACCTAGCACTTTTGCTGCACTCCCCGCCGTTTTGCTGCATTCTGAAGCTTCAAGCTCTCGACGTTGAGAACTGAGGTCAGGCTCCGAGGCAGGTCCTCGACACGTTTTCCCATAACATATCCTAAACCATCGCTCGCCTTTCTCTTCGCATTGCGCCTCAGGCCTCATCAATTCGAGTTGGCAGGACCACCGCGAGAGCCTCAGTTGTGTCGCATTCCACACCCTTCGCATCGCACGATTGTGTTTGACGTTTGACATCGCCCTTCAGTCACGCCGGGAGTGTCGTGTTGGTATCCAAGATGTACCCCAACAGCCATAATGCTATGGCGCCTCCACAGTCGCGGTCTGTCCAGCCCGAAACCTTTTTGTTAGATCATGACGCGCAGCAAAGCCTGCCACCAGACGCAGTCGTCGCTCTTCAACAAGTTGATAATCGTAAGTATCCCTTGAACTGACCGTCGCGACCGCGCGCTCTTTGCCTGTAATGCATATTCCTACTCGTTCCAATAAACTGACCCCTCGACAGTCAAGTACTTTCTTATTTCAGCGCCCGTGGACTGGACCCCGGATCAATATATTCGAAGATTCCTACTACCCACCGGAGAATACGTCTCTTGCGTTCTATGGTACGTCTCCATCAAGGCGGCATAAGACATATTCGTCAACCCTACCATCGCCACCCCATTCCTGAACGGCTTCTAACTTCTTTTCAGGAACAACTTATTTCACATCTCTGGAACCGACATCGTGCGATGCCTCTCCTTTCGTTTCCAGGCATTCGGCAGGCCTGTGAAGAATTCCAAGAAATTCGAGGAGGGTATCTTCTCGGACCTGCGGAACCTGAAATCAGGAACAGATGCATCACTGGAGGAGCCCAAGAGCGCTTTTCTGGACTTCCTGTACAAGAACAATTGCATAAGGACGCAGAAAAAGCAGAAGGTGTTCTACTGGTACAGCGTACCGCATGACCGGCTGTTTCTGGACGCGCTGGAGCGGGATCTTAAGCGGGAGAAGATGGGCCAGGAAGCTACTACCGTAGCCGTCAACGAGCCCGCGCTGTCATTCGAATTCGACTCCTCGCAGTCTCTGTTCGAGCAGCTTACAAAGGCGCAACAGACCAGCTCGTCTTCATTCAACAACAACAACAACAACAACAACAACAACAACGTGCAGCCGTCCTATTCGCGATCCACCTCTCCAGTAACGCGAGCTGCCGACTCCATGCCCCCTCCTTCCATAATACCGCAAGCGATGCAGCCGACACTACCGGAAGAAAACTTCCACTCCATGGCGACCTATACCCAAATGGCGCTTCCGCCTACCAGCATGCCACCCGCCGCTGCCAAGGTGTATGAGAGGGAGTATACCCCCGTCCATTTCGATCGGAACGGCATACCGTTATCCCAAGTTCACCAACGCCACAGCTCCATGCCCGCTTACATGGAGTATTCGCCAGCGCCATCGTTCGTATCATCGCACTATGAAGACTACAGCACCCGGGGCCTGTCCTTCGAGCCGATGACGCCGCCTCAACACAACATCCATTTAGGCACTGAACCGGCATACATTGCGAATGAGGATACAGGTCTCTACACAGCCATACCCGATCTTGGAATGTCTGCGACGTACAACCCTTTGATGCAAATACCACCCTCGAACTTGATGAGCGGCCAGTACTCGAGTGCCTCCCGCGCCTACCCACCATCAAACATGTACTCTGTTATCGAGGGCTCGCCAACGTATAAGCAGCGGCGACGACGCTCGTCACTGTCAGTCGGTGTCAGCGCGGCTGTCGCGGCTACAGGCAACGCAACGATGCACGCTGCTCACCGGCCAAGTGACCTCCGAAGATCGGTATCCGCCTCCGTTGTTCCTGTGGCTGAAGCGGAAAGGTCACACCATGACTCTCCACAGAGCGTAAGCAACGGCTACTCTATGGCCTCACAGCCGAGGGAGGCTTTGCAGCTGTCGAGACGCGGCACTCCTCTGGCCACCGTTGAAGACAGTCCAGTCCAGCAGCCTCTTTCCCTAGTACATCAAGACGATTTCGGCAGCCTGGCAAACGGCGACTACAATCTCCCGGAACCGTCGCTTCACCACAACGCCATGGCCCGTTCGGCGCCTGGCGTGTTTCGACGTGCTCGCAGCGCCACAATGATGGAGCTTGGCCCGTACCCACAGAAGTCCCACTCCTGCCCGATCCCGATGTGCGGCCGGCTGTTCAAGAGGCTAGAACACCTCAAGAGGTAAGCGCCCGGAACTCCTCACCGTCCCTGCAACCGCTGACATGGGCGCTTAGACACGTGCGCACGCATACTCAGGAGCGACCGTACGAGTGCCACCTTTGCAAGAAGGCATTTTCGCGCTCTGACAACCTCGCGCAGTGCGTCATCTTCCCTGGCCGTAATGAGACACGTGGCTGACAAAACTCGCTACAGACATCGCCGTACTCACGAGGCTAGCCAAAATGGCGAGATCATTGAGGACGTCAGTGAGCATGAACTCGACATCGGAGAAGACGCACTCGGTTCTCTGGAAGAAGAATCTCCGGAAGCCGAATCGTCGTACAGCCTGTCTAACCTAGCCATGCCACCCTCGTTGCCTGACTACACCGGCTCGCTCGGAGGCATGGGCGCCACCCATATGGGCCCGCCACCGCAGATGATTTCTGCGAATAACTACTGATTCTGCTTTGATTCACCACCGAGCACGATGATGCTCTGTTTCTGCATACATTGTTTAGATCCCTGTTTTTTCCCGAATATTCGTACTGGCATCTTGTGGCATCGCTGCTGTTCTCCGTGGGGGAAGGCTGGTCGGCGCCGGTTCACGACTGCATGATTTCGTTTTCTTCCTCAGTAACGTCGTTGTGTGCTTCTCTGCATGCTGTTGAGCGCAGAGGCTCTCTGGCCTTCCTTGAGGGGATTGGAAGGAAACGCCGCTGCCTAAGCGGAGCGTGGCTAGCTGCCAGTCCTGTGGGCTTTGGGTAGGAGGCCTTGTCAGCGCGTGGCATAGTCTAGTGGAGTCACGCGATGGCGTATTATCTTGTTTCACAAAATTGGTTCACATGGTTGAAAAATTCCTTGTCAATGTGTGCTTGCGCAGAATCGAACTTCGATATGCTTCTATGAAATCGGTCATGCATTAATCGTGACCATCCCACGCCAGGCGCCAGTCCCACGCTCGTAATGCTCCCGCAAATGCGCCCTCAGATGTCTCAATACTACCCAGGGTATCTTCATCATCCGGGAACTATCTCTTGCCCCTCTTACCCGGCCCAGCCTTTGCACCTTTCTGAAACGTGGGGAACGTGATGGTCGATGCGGACTTCGCCCGTCGCTTCTTCTGTATCCTGCCGGTTTTCTTCTTCGATTTCGAGGACGAGGGCGCTTTCGCAGCGGGGGCGTCGTCGACGTCCATGTCTTGACATTGGAGCGACGTTAGCCTTTGCTACTTACTGAAAATGTCCAATACCAAGTCCCCATGCGTGTCAAACCCGACTATGTCAGAAGAGAGGCCGAGTATGTGGTAGAACATCTCGTCCTTGCAAGGACCGTGTTTGGTGGGGTTCTCTTTCTGCTTCTGCTCTGGCTTTTGCTTCTGTGCTTGATGGTGGCCCTCCTCTTCAGGTGCTAGTGATTGCGGTATGCGGCAAGTAAAGCACGGTGACCAACCTTCTGCTTGCGCTGCTGCTGCTTCTGCTTCGGCCTGGGGCTGTGCTTCGGTATTCGTGGCTGTCGACGCGTTAGAACTCGTTAAGATGGGGAGTTCGATTGACGAGGCCATACCGTTCTCCTCGACTTCCATCTCTGACTTCGCCGGTCGCGGTTGCGAGGCAAGCTCTAAGAGCTTCGCGGACAGCCGCTCGGTTCGCGCATCCTCGACGGGCGCGAAGACTCGGGTGCGCAGCTTTGATCGGTTCGTCTTTCTGACGCTGGAGCGGAGACCTCTCGCCATTTTGTCTTTGCGCGTAGGTGTTCTGGGTGAGCGTTCGTGAGTGTGGTGGTTGCGGAGAAATCGTTCGTGGTCGCGGTGAAGATGGGAGGATGAGGTTTTGGTGGGCTGAGGGACAGGCGAATTTTGCGCAGCAGCGAAAAGGTCATGCGAGTCATGTAGCTTGGCACGATCGCTCGGATGAAGAACAACCATGCAAGTCTCTCGCCGACTGCAGCAGTCTTGTGGAAGAGTGGGAGCAGGGCGAGAAGTCTGTAGAGTTAATGTAGAGATATCAACAGGCAGCCCGATTAGCTGTTCTACCAGTAGCCATGCTATTGCTGTGAGAAGTGCTCTGCGTGCGTGCACGGCCTTGCCCTCTCGTCGTCAGATGTGGAAGTCGCTGGAGTGGACGGAGGACGGAAGCTGCAACGACCTTTGTCACCTACCTGAGTGGGTGGGTACAATGTCGCGCCGCCGCTCCTTCACTCGACCAACCCCTTCACCGGCCGCTGTCCGCTGTCCTATGCCTTCCGCGCCCACGACCGGCGACAGATCCTGCTTTCCTTCTGTTAGCCACACGACATCAGCCTTGCGAGCCCTCGTGGGCTGCTGAACGCCGCTGAGCCTCTAATCGGAAGCCATGTCCTTCTCTGGCCAAACCCTCGCCCAGCAGGCCCAGATAGTCGAGGCCAAGACGAAACAGATCGTCAACGCCGATCTGAAGGAGATATGTAGGAAGGAAGGCCTGGCAGTGTCTGGCGTGAAAGCGTCGCTTCAGTCTCGCATCATAACCTGTAGGCCGCTTCTTTCCCGACCACTTCGCTAGAATCTTGCCGGCGCAACGGATTCTCTGACAGATGAAACAGTGCTCAAGCAATGCGCGGAAAAGGGCGACGTAGACCGCTTCAACCGAATCCGATATCGAGTCTACAACCACGGCACCGATCCACCGCCAGCCGGCGCTCCTGGATCTGGCACTGCGCCAATGAACCTCGTCCCTTCCAATGGCCTCGCGCCGACCCTACCACCTCCGCCGTACACGATGCCACCGAACGGCTACAGACCTGTCCAGGCGCAAGTTCCACCTCTACACCCGGGATTCGCGAGTGCCAATATGTATAACGGTACGTGGGTTGCTCTAGTCGTGTGCGGGAATCTCTGAGCTGAGCCAGTCACAGTCCGGTTCTCGTTCAAGGAAAGTCCATTCTACGAGCGACTACAGCCTCTACTGCAACCTATTGAACTCACAGGTAGGTAACGCCAAGAATATTCACCGAGGGGGATTCGGTTAACGAGGAACAGCTACGTCCAACCATCGTAACTCGGCCCAGCGTAATCTTGCTTTGCCTGCTGATATAGTTGATCGGCTGAGAAGCGACGAATCGTTGCGGATCATGCTCTATTCCGCTCAGGATCCGATACTGGGCCCGTACGCAAAAGCGGATGTCGCGTTTCCGACCCAACTAGAAGTGAAGATCAATGGAGATGAGGTAAAAGCGAATTTCAAAGGGCTCAAGAACAAGCCGGGATCGACACGCCCAGTAGACATCACAGACAGCGTCCGGAGGATCACTGACTACAAAAACATTCTATATGTCACCTACGCGCTCACATCGAAGGTCAGTACTTGAAGGAGCCGTCCAACGCGCACGCGTCAGACCCTCCACTTTTCTTACCGGTTTCATTCTAATTCAATCCTATATACTAGGATACCAAATTAACCAAAGGTCAGAAGTACGTTTTCGTCATCTACCTCGTAAAAAAGCACTCGGTTGAGGAGCTTGTCGAGCGAATACGGAGAGGCAGTATTATCACGAAGCAGACCGTCCTCAATGAGAGTAGGTCAAACTGTCAGTGACATCGATACTATTGTTGCTCACACCTGCCTTCAGTGCGGAGTAAGGCCAATGATCCTGATATCGTGGCCGTGTCCACTGTCATGTCCTTGAAAGATCCTCTGGTCATGTCGCGTATCTCTCTGCCGTGCCGATCCTCCGTCTGTACCCACAACCAGTGCTTCGATGCGACGGCCTTCCTCCAACTGCAGGAGCAAGCCCCAACATGGACATGCCCCATCTGCAACAAGACCGTTTCCTTCGAAGGTCTCGCGGTCGACCAGTGAGTGACCAAGCTGCTCTTTTCCTCGATCTGCTAACATCTCATAGATATGTTCAAGAGATTCTACAGCAGACCTCGAGATCCACAGACCAAGTGACCATCGAGCCGGACGGAAAGTGGTCCACCGGCGCCTCCATAAATGTCTCAGCCATCACCAACGGGACCTACAAAACTCAAGCCCCCGACCCCGACAGCGACGACGATATCGTCGAAGTTTCCGACTACCGCATCAACAACATCAAAGCCGAAGCAACCAACACCCCCATCTCTCTCGCGCGCACGCCACCCATGTCCTCACGCGAGCCCTCGATGGTCAACTCCGCCGCGCCCCGCAGCGGCACCGGCTCAAAGCGCACACACGACGTTGTGGATCTGACGCTCAGCGATGATGAAGACGACGAGCCCGTGCGGCCGAACAAACGCGTCGCGTACAGCACGCCCAATTCGAACCCGGACCCGGTGCGTAAACCTTCCTTTGGGAAGCCGTCGCTCCTGCCTAATAACTTTGCGATGCCTGTAGGCGGGGTAGGTTTTCGAATGCCGGGACCGCAGTCGCCGCAGCGTCCGCCGGGGAATGTGAATTTTGTGATGGGACAGCCGCAGCCGCCACCGCAGCCTCAGCCTTACCCGCAGCAGCACCTACAGAGACCTCAGTTGGGGGATCTGTGGCATCGGAACATTCTGGATTACGGGAGTCCGCCGTAGATGTTGTTTCTTGCGCCCCGTTTTGCGCGGTGCGCCCTACACTCTAATAGGGTCTTTGCTGCACCGGGCTTTCCTGTAATTTCGCTTGTTTCTTCGGCGGGCGATATGGCGTTTTCCGGAGCGAAAAGCGTGGGTGTTCGGCCGGCCCAATGTTTTCTTTCCAACGACACACAGTCTACGCGCTGCCGCGGACACGCATGAGAAGGAGGGAGATATCCGAGGATTTCGGTTGCTGGATCTGTCTTCGATTTGCCTTTCGAGATGGCTTTTGGCATGAGGGACGAGGAGGAGGAGCGTAACGGATCCTCAACGGGCTGAGATAGAGAAAATAGCATAATAGCAGGAGGAGCAGGAGATACCCAATTCATGACTCCGATTTCCGAGAAAAGTGTTTCGAGCTTGTGTAGCCAACAACGGTACCCTTGTGAGACGCAGACAATTGCCAGCTCCGGAGAAGAATGACATGAATATTGGTCTATGCTATGCGGCACGTGACTGGCAAGGGTCAATCCAATGCACCAGAAAATCCGTCGCCGGATTTCAAAAGGGGAAAAGCGGGATTGCGAGAATTCATGGCAAAGCTTGGATGGAGGCCGGGCCATGAGGAGGTCAATTAAGTTGAGTTGAGACTAAACGCAAACAACAGATGATCATGAAGAGATCTAGATGTAGTGCTTGAAACTCCCAGACCCTGCTTCGCCATAGCGTCCCTATACTCTCGACTGAAGGGACGCTCGTCCTGCCTACTCTATCTATGCCTTCAGCTCCAGCGTTCGTCATATCACCGCTGTGATCATCCTATGCCGATACCTCGCCGCCTCAATCGCGCACGACCCGCTCACCTCAGTTCTATACTCAAACCCCTTACCATCGACAGTGTGTATTGCGTATACCGCCGGAGTTCCGCCGCCTCATATAAATTTATCGGTATAGCACGAACTGTTACGGGACTAGAATTCCGAGCCTAGGCCTCGCACCACAACACGTCTCTTGGCAGCTGGAATAAACTACCCGGCGGCATAAGTATCACTGACATTCGACTGCGAGAAACAGAGGAGATCATCGACTGCGCTGCTAGTGTACTAGCTCTCGACAGCTAAACGAACGCCTAATGTGGCTAAGCTTAGCCCACGATATAGCTGACAGCTTCACGGACAATTACGGCCCTGTCATGCGGTTCCGATAGCCACCCACCCAGCAGTGGAACTGTAGCACTTCAAGAAAAGCGTTTGTTCAACGCTCGGCCACCATGAACGGGCCTTTTAGCGACAGGTCACGCAACAATGGCAGCAGGAGCCGCACTGGCTGCCTGCCCTGTCGCCGTCGGAAACGCCGCTGCGATGAGCAGAAACCTATCTGCCTAAGGTGCCGAAGGACCGGTACGTCCTGTGTTTACGCTAGCCCTATTGGCACATCAAGTGCTCGATTCATCATTGCCCAAGGCCACAGCCAACCCGTTCTGCCCGTCGGAGGCACGGTGGAAAGGAGTTTCATCAACCTCCTGAGCAAGGATGTGCCGTGGGTCTGCCCGCAATACCGAGGCCTTGTGGTCCGGGAGCAGGACGAGACTGAGAATGAATTGCCGGAGGCCCATGTATTTCGCTCACTTCAGAGTGCGCTCTTGAAACCAGGCGAGTCTGACGTTGCAACGGAGACTCAATTGGTACAATATTGTATGTCATAGCTCATCACTCAAAGCTTCTGTGCGCTTGGGCGAGACAAACTTGCTGAAGCTAATAGTCTCTAGACTTCGAAGTTGTCAGTAACAGCAGAGTCTATACGCCTACGAGCCGAAATCTCTTTCGATCCTCCATAATGCCACTACTACTTCAGAGCCGTGGGCCGCTATTATATTCGGTGTTGGCCTTGAGCTCTGCTGAGCGAAGCCGTATTACGGTTCCCAGCGACATTGACTACCACTCCCTCACACTCGAGTACAAGTCGAAAGCATTGGCTCAGCTTCTGGAGCGCTTGACAGATGCGCAGAGCGCCCAAGAGAATCTCCTGACCTGCATACTCCAAGCGTCTTTTGAGATTGCAAGTGGCTCGAGATCTACATGGTTGAAACATTTACGAGGAGCGCTTGCGATTCTCGAACAATTCGGCAGCGCTATAAGCCCAGAGGCAGCTAATTTTGCACTGAAGTACTTCCGTTTCCGTTACATTTTGATGAAGACGACTGAACAAGGCTCTCAGTTCCAGGCTCCCGGGTCCGACCTTAATATCTCCGAGTTACAACTCTTGAAGAACTTCTGCATCAACAGCACCTATACTTTTGCATCTCACCAACAGTCCGAACAGATGATCGATGAGCATATTGGTTGTTCCATGGAGATTGTCAACTTGATATACGAAATATCCGAGCTGGCGGCCACAAAATACCAACACTTGCCTCCGCAGTCCCCCAGCGGTGAACTTGGAGGTGCTCAGTTTCAGACAATAGCCTTGGCCCTCGAGCGCCACGCTCATAACTTGAAGTTCACCAGCTCAGTATTTGATCAAGACTACCTTTTCAAAAGCGCCGACTGCTTCACAATCGCTGCTCAAATCTACCTCCGACTTGTTTGCTTTGATTCTTCCATCACTCACCAGTCGATACTGGAATCGCAGGAAAAATTACTCTTAGCCCTCCGTCAAGTGATACTTGAAGGTCAGCCACGGCGCTCTTTCCCCATGTGGCCTCTGTTTATTGCCGGTTGTGCTTGCTCCAGCGACGAACAACGCAAAACTGTCGTAGGGCTTTTTACCACCCTCGACAACCAGTGGCCGATTAGCAACATATCCACGATCTGGCGCGTAGTATGGACCGTTTGGCAGAATCGGGATCTATGTGTGCGCACGCCCGCGCATCAGCAGCGAGATTGGCAGGAAATCATCAGCACATTCGGTTGGAGGTTGTCACTCTCATGACGCTGATCGAATGCCTGTCTCAATCCTTATCGGGCTCGGCGTCAGCGGTGGGGAGAGCTGCTGTCCTCACCGCTATCAATTCGCAACGGTTCTTCCCAGTCACAGGCACGAGTTCCGCCGCTCTTGAGAAAAATGCCGCTCGATCGGTAAGTGGCGTGTCCTGCCAGCTCTTCTTCGCCTCTAATGCAGCCTCAATGGCCTTTGACACATGCTCAGATGTTGCGCCTGCGAATTTGGCGAATACTTGAGTGTTCCGATGGCTTGCTCAATGTTGGAACCCATCTCAGGCGGCTACGCTAACCCGCTGAGGTGCAATGCCTGAGCTCAAAAGTCTGGTACCATGCCCGGAGTTCCGCCGCCTCACCTAAATTTATCAGTATAGCACGAATTGTTACGGAACTAGACTCCCGAGCCTATGCCTCGGTGGCGATCCCACGCAGGTGCCAAGCGGGGAATTGGTGATGCAGGTGCGGCTACGCTAACCCGCTGACTTGTCGATCCCGCGTGGATGCAGGTGCCAACCGGGGAATGGGGCAGTTCCCCCTCTTTTGGCTTACCCAAGTAGTCTCTCGATGCATTAAAAGGCCGAGCGCACTGGCGTTATCACTGATATATATCGGTCATTCACCACGCAGTCGAGGCAACACCGTTTCGCATTTCGCCTTGTCGCCTGGAGGTTTACCTACCCACCGTCGTGCCGGGCCACCCTTTGAGTTAACCCGCTGCGCCATGCCCCCTTCACCTCCCAAGGTCGAGCCTGAGCTGCACTATATTGCGCCGACTCCTCATGTGCCCAACTCCAAACTTCCAGTGCTTATATATCGCGGCGTTCTCCAAGGCTTCGATCGCGAGCGCATCCTTGAGCACATCCAAGGAAACAACTGGCTGAAAGGCGGCCAGTGGAAAACGTACAAGACGGCTCATTTCCACTCCAATACGCATGAGTGCTACGCTGTGTTGAGCGGGAAAAGCACCTACTCGCTCGGCAAGTCTCCAATCGATGCAGACTTCAGTGAAGAAGGACATGAGAACGGGATGAAGCTCCAAGTCGCCCAAGGCGATGTGTTCGTCCTACCAGTAAGTGGCTCCCAATGGAATTGCCAGAGACTCCCAGGACAGATGACTTAATTGGATCAGGCGGGCATCAGCCACTACTCCCTCGACTCCGAAGGAGATTATGAATACATTGGATTTTACCCCGAGGTAGGTTCTTTGCCCTCAGCCGTCGGTAGTAGGGGTATATGTGGCATAAAGCGAAGTCAGCACCAAACACATGCTAACGAGCATCTTGCTTTCTAGGGTTCTCCCAAATGGGACATGAACTACTGCAAAGAGACCCCGGAGGAGACGAGAAAGAAGGCTGTTGATTGCTACAATGTGCCTATTCCCGATACCGATCCGGTGTACGGTGATTCGGGTCCTTTGCCCGTAATATGGCAAGATGCGGACAGGTAGAGCGAAGGACCTACTTCTCCAATATGCGCTTCATTGTTTCGGCGTCGGGCTTACCCGCACCCTAAGCTGCGGGTCCCGAAGAGGGTGTTATCCTCGTTTTTCACGGCATCCATTCCGACATATAGTAAGCCGAATCAAATTGTTGCTAAAGGTATCTACAATGACCACATCCTTTCATACCTTCTCGATATTAAGCGATCCATGTTCCAATGTCTCGTTTGAATCTTCATCCAAGCCCAAGACACGTCTCGACTCTGCCACAGACAGATTGTACGGCATGCTCTTTTCCCGCTTAACCGGGTCACCTCCAGCCGCGAAAATAACGTCCAGCTCCTCGAGAGAGCGTTTCTTTGTCTCAACCAAGAAAAAGTAGATTGTGGGCACGAAAAGGAAGTTGAAGATAGCGAAGATGATGTACTAAAACTGGCGTTAGCCCCCTTCCATTTTCTGCTCGGAGGGATGAGGTGCAAAACTTACAGTCTTCCATCCGATGTTCGCGAACGCCGGAGGGATGATCATGACAACCACGAAGCAAAAAAGCCAGTTGCCAGCACTGGCGATCGCATTCGCCTGAGCGCGACACCGGAGCGGCGCGATCTCCGCACTGTACAGAAAGGGCCCACCAACCCATGCGAGACCGAAGAAGGTGTTGAAGAGGAAGAGGAAGCCTGCGGCCACGAGCTGATTCGTGCGGTCGGAGGTCGAGCTCAGGCCGGCGATGATGGCGAAGCAGACGGCCATGCCGGTGGCAGTGATCATGAAGGATCTGCGGCGACCCAAGCCTTCGATGAGGAAAACTGACAGTAGCGAACAGACTGCATATTCGAGACCACCCATGGCAGCAATGAAATGCGACATGCTGGGAGAGAGATTGAAAGACTCTTGCAAGATCTTATTGGCGTAAGTGGAGACCATGTTGATGCCAGAGAGCTGCTGTGCTGCTTGGATGAAGGTGCCGATTGCGATGCGGTAGAAAGTTTTGGTCTGCCCGTTTTCAAAAAGCTCTTTGTAGGAGAAGGGTGCCAGCTTGGATTGGGCTTCGAATGATGCGATGATTGAGTCGCGCTCGGCTACAAGGACCGGGTCGTCCTCAGAAAGTGCGCGCAGCTTTGACAGGTTCTGTGTTGCCTTTAAGCTGTCAGTTGGGGAACAGGCCAAGTGAATGTAAAGAGCTGGGGTGCTCACCTCGGCGACCATGCCATGCTTGACGAGCCATCTGGGAGACTCCGGAAGGAAGTTGATGAAGATGAAGACGATGACTGCGGGGATGAGTTGGATACCCACGGGGATCCGCCATTGAGCTTGACCTTTGACAAAGAAGAAGCCATAGCTGATCAGCTGCCCGCAAGCCACACCGAAAGTCTGCAGACCACCTTCGATCATTACTGGATGGCTTGTCAGCTACTGTATCTGTCTCTGCACAACTCCGGATACATACCCCATCGACCCCTGCTATGCGGCTTCGCGCATTCGGACTGCCAGGACGGCACAGTGGCAACCTGAAGGCCAAGTCCGATACCGCTGATGACACGTCCTACAGTCATCTGAGCGACATTCCAGGCGCTTGTCTGCAGGACTCCTCCAACGAGCATGAATCCCATGCCGAGGAACACGGTGGCTCTCCTTCCAAGGCGATCACCGAGATCGAGACAAGATAGCGCTCCGATCAATGCTCCGAGTTCGAAGGCAGCGATAACGATGCCCTGTACACTTGCATTGTCCATCTCGGGGAAGACGGATGTGAATGGATGTTCCGTGATAATACCTCCCTGGACGTTGGGTAAGTTGAGTGTCACCGGAATCAGCGGATGGGTGGAGCTACCATAACACTCATGTCATATCCAAACAACCAGAAAGCGCAGGTAGCAATGAAAGCCACAGCGAAATTTAGTTTTAGGCCGCTCAGACCCATGGTCGTGGTGTACGGTGTGAACCTCATGGCGGCAAGTGATAGAAAGGGATTGATGTAGGAGACTGCTAGTAGTCGAAGGTAAGACTGGATGGGGAGAAAGAGATATCTGCATGGTGAGCAGGCTTTGTTATATACATGATGCTAGACAAGTCCGAGGTTGGGAAGTCATTCGGGATTTACTTGACACGAGAATTAAGACTGCCGCTGTTCTCAACGCGTTCCAGTAGGTTTTCGAGCTACCCGACACGCTCTGGAGAGCATGAATCGTGGAGCGGTTAAACGGTTCGTAGCGGAACGTGTTTCCTACTAGTAATCCTAGTTCCGCCGGCATCGCAGATCGTGATTTGCGGGGAGAGAGGCTTGTTGGACCCAGTGAGCAGAACCGTTGCCTTCCAGGGGTGCTGAGGTTGCATCGAGGGCGGGGCGGAGGGAGGCGTGGGGTTCCCCGTGGGGCTGCCATCAACCGTTTAGCCGCCGCGGAGTATACGCGGAGCCTTCTCGGGAACCGGGAATAACACTTTCTGGACGAACTCAACACTGGCGAAGGGTCAATCAACACTTGCAGAACGTCAGTCCGCAATATCAGCAATCTTGCCGGCTGAATGGGTTCAGAGCGGCATGGCTCGAGCGGGCTCTTGCTGGAGCTGGTCCTCGGTCGTCCACTGCTTCCACAAGTCATAGAGGCGGTTCCGAACCACCATGGCCGGCGTATATCAATCGCTTCTCCTCCAGAACTCCGGTCGTCCATTACCTCTTGCCGTTGCAAAGCTCCCCTGATTTAACTTGTCAGAATGCCATCTGCACCGAACAATTCCTGGGGCAACCCGCTGTACGTGTCCTCCAACCAGTCCCTCATCGCGCAGAGAGCTTCATCTCCCGCTCTCGGTTCAGTCATCCCTGTGTGAGCACTGCTGACAACACAAAGCTCGTTAAGGGTCATCGGCCACAATGCGGGCACGTCCATGGACGGCGTTGACCTTGTTCACGTACACTTCACCCAGGATTCCCCGACATCGCCTCTTAACATGCAACTCCTACGCTACTGGGAATACCCAATGCCGCAGAAGGCCAAGCGAAGAGTCATGCGGCTCATCAAGGAGAACAAGACGACCCCCGAGGAGATGGCTATTGTCAACATACAGCTCGGCGAAGTGATTGCGGATGCTATCAACGCGTTCGGGGAAAACCAAGGTTTCGATGTTCAGAAGGAAGTCGACATCATTGCCGGCCAAGGCCAGACCATCTGGCATCTGCCTCTCCCGGAACTCTTCGAAGGCGATCAAACACGAGCTCATCTGGACATGGCCGAGATTGCTGTAATCGCTGCCAACACTGGTGTGACGTCCTTAGGCGACTTTCGCGTGTCTGATATGGCTCTTGGTCGTCAGGGCTGCCCGCTCTTCGCTGCTCTCGACTCTCTTCTCTTGAACCACCCTACCCTCAATCGAGCCGTCCAGAACATCGGAGGAATTGCCAACTTCTCAATCCTGCCAAAGGGCAATGTGGAAGGCTGTTACGACTTCGACACCGGCCCAGGCAACGTCTTCATTGACGCTGCGGTGCGGTATTTTACCAACGGCGAGCAAGAGTACGACAAGGACGGTACCATGGGCGCCAAAGGCAAGGTTGACCAAGCTATTGTAGACGAGGTCCTTGCTGGCCCATACTTTGTCCACGACATTCCTAAGACCACAGGCCGGGAGACTTTCGGAGATCGTATGGCGGAAGATATCTGCGATAAGATGTTGGCAGGTGAGTATGCTAGTAGGCTTCGAAAGCTTCATCTGAAATAACCCTCGATAGCTGGCGCAACTCCGGAAGATTGCGTAGCAACCATCACTCGCATCACTGCGCAGTCGCTCGCCGACGCGTACGAGCGCTGGGGACCCAAAGACGGCGTTCACGAGATCTACATGGGCGGTGGTGGTTCCTACAACCCGAACATCCGAAACTACCTCAAGCAACGCATGCCCAAGACTCGGATTACCTATGTCGACGAGATCGGTATCCCTGTTGGTGCTAAAGAAGCCTTAGGATTCGCACTGCTGGGCTGCGAATGCTTCGTCGGGAGGCCAATGATTGTTCCCCGCAAGACCGAATGCGACAACCCTGGTGTAGTTGGGCAGATCCAGCCAGGCAGGAATATGCATCGCATCAGACAACACGTTGCAGGAGTGAGTCTTGTCCCAGCGCTCTCTCGTGTCCATGTCAGTGCTGACCTTTCAAAGTTCTGGGGGGAGTTTCCCGAGGAAGATATCCGATGCACGACGAAGATGAACCTCTTGCCAAGCCTCTGCCAATAACTATGAACTCAAGTTAGGACGAATACATTCACATGTGCTAGCAGCGCTGTGGTCTCGGCCCAGTGCCAAGGCTGGGAGCGGGCATGTTTCAATTAGAGTTTCTTCTGGTCTGGTAGATGTAGGTTCAAATAACGTTCAATCCGCACCTCGCATGTCATAGTCGCAATATCCAAACTAGCTTTCTAGTATTCCCATCACGGAACGGCAATCTCACAGAATGTATAGTGCCTGTATAAACTCGCAGAGACTGACAGAACAAAGGAGACCGTCGTGATTCGGACTCAAGTGCCTCGCCGATGTTGTGCCTCACGTGACTCGAATGTTCATTCGCATATCGTCATTCGGAAGCGCCGTAATGTTGGTTACACGCACCTTGGTGTCATGTCCGTCGTGGGCCCGGCTGTTGGGTTTTGTCGCCGCGGTAAAGTTTCTGTTGTTAGTGCTGCCAGAAAACGGGTCCCCTGGATCGCCGCTGCCCGCGCTGTTCATCTCGAGTTGGCGAAGTCCATCCGCCTGCTCCAGTCCAGCCTTGTACAAGGGTTCGTTACTGTTGTTTGCTATGTTGTCGTTGATATGCCAGACTGTTCAAGACGCTCTCCGTCAGTGAGGGAAACCGGACAAGTACTAGCGATACATGATGAGAAGACCTTCTCCAGGCAAAGATGCGTCGGACCCCTCCAGCTGCCGATTCTTGAGGAGGAAATACCCCTTGCTTGCCCCGCCATTCGTCCACAACCTATGCACTTCGTTAATCTTCTTCACATCTCTCAGAACAAACACGGTTCGTTGTCTCATTGTGGACGCAAGCCCAACCCCGGTTGGCTTTGCACCATGCCGATGGATGGCGAGTCTGGGTTCCCCTGCCCCCCACGATCCGCCGGCCATGAGACACCATCTGTCGATGCCGCGAGAGGAGCCGTCCGTGCCGTATAGATCCGGCCAGCCGAAGACCAGATTCCCGAGCTCATGCGCGCAGACTCCGATCTTGACGTCTTCCGGGACAGTGAGGAAGGCACACACCTTGACGCCATCCGCAACGGTGTCCTGTGGAAGCACCCACTTGAGTGACCAGAGGTTTCTCACACGATCGCCGGTCTGTTCGGCTCCACGTCCGGCGTGAACCACTATGAACGCATCCAAAAAGCCGTTACCGTCGTTGTCGTACGGCCTGAAGTTGATGTGGCTGTCAGCGGCAGCCAGGGCGTTCGGCGGGTTTGTGGACATTCCGGCGTTGCCATTGGCGTAGTACGTGATCGGATGAGGCATTCGAAATGGCCCGACGACTTCACCCTCAGGGTCGACCTTGTCGCTGCTGACGTCCCTGGAGTATTCGGTACGCTCTTCGTAGGCATGACACCAACAAAGAAGAAGAGCGTCCTGAAGTCGACCGCAGTCTTTACCATCGGCTGTTCTTCGAAGTCCACTAGCACCACAGCGCATCTGTGGACTGCACCGACGAACGAAAAACACAAACATCTCAGTACGAAGCGATCTAGGACCGGACTCCTATGCACAGTGAACAGGTCATATTGAAATCGATGAACATTGGCCTGTGCCATGGAAAGATGAAGGTCTGAACGGAACTCCGATAGCCGAGTTACAATCCCGCAGAGAAATCTGCAGATATCACAACGTCTTGCGGCGGCTACGAAGGCGAGACAAGAGAGATGGCACGAATGTCTCGGACTTCATTACCCAGCAGCTCCTTGCAAATGGAGCAGGCAGCCGGTGGCATTGACGCCGCAGGATGACAGTACCACCTGTTTGGAGCTGGATATGGGTTTTTGCTCTAAGCTGGGTGGAGGTGAGCTTATCTAGCGTATCTTTTCGTCGCAAGATATAGAATGCATCCGAGTAACGTGACGCATGGAATTTCAGGTAGTGTTAGAGACGATGCGCTTCTTCGACCAAGAGCTCAATCGCATCGTCATGCCACTGTTCAAATTCCGTGCTTATCAGAAGCGGACGGGCGACTGAGATACTATAAGCCGAGTGCAAAGCTTAGCATGTTCGAGCAAGTGTCGAGAGCCCCCAAAGGCGTAAAGGTTCGCTAAACCCAATCACGTGATTGAATAGCAATCCCCTCTTACAAAGGAGCCAGTATTTGCCTCTATAGTCTGCCACGAAAATTGACCTTGTTAGAGTCCGTTTCCGTCTTTGGACCTGAGCGACTGCCGCTTTAGACCGAGCCGAGGGTGAGCTTGCCTGAGTAGCGTCTATACAGCTCTAAGTATATAACTGGTAGAACCGTCTTGAAGTCATGCACTTGTTCTCGAGCCTGGATATCGGCTAGAAAGATGCTCCTACTTACCTGCTCCAACCGACTGGAGCGTGCAGAATCTAAGTTGCATCCGACACTAATGGAAGCAAAAATGGCCAAAGCTCACGGGTCTCAAGAATTTCAAGCTGGAGATCCGGAAGGAAAGTCCGAAAAAGGTTACTAGTCTCTACCCAAGTAGCTTATGTATACAGTCCGCAATCTGTCGTAGCCGCCAAAATGTCACTAGACAACAATACACTTACGAAAGGTACGCAACATATCCTCCCACAATACTGCTTAGGTTCATAGCTCCTATCTCTATTCCGTATTCTTTCCATTAGCCCACTCGAGCCGACAGAGGCTGCCATCAGCTTCCTCGACCCATTCCTCGCTTCCGACACAGCTCCTACACCAGAGCAGTCCGTCGGGATCGTAAGTCTTCTTTACCTGCCGGAGACGTTGGTAGTTCTTGCCAAAGAAAGCAAACTGCCAATCCGGTTCGAATGGATCGCACTACACAAGAGGAAATGACGGTCAGCTTTCTCAGATCACGCAACTATCAATCTGACATATTAAGAACAGAAAGCAGGACAAACCTCATTGAAATAAGCTCCAGAGTCTGGCGCCAGCTCCCTCAGTGTGTACGTCTTGTTATGCGTGATATCCTCATATACAGCGTCAATCTCCTCGCGAGGAGCTCCTTCGTTCCAACCCTCTATCACAATAAGATGTGTAACTGCATCGCGCCAGGCTGGGTTCAGGCCAATATCGAGATCCCTGTTATCGCTGTTGGCTATCATGTGCCCCAAGAGAACCGGATTCGCCGCAAAACCCTGTATGTCGACGTCCAGTTTCGGCCCAATGGCCTCAAACATCCTCGCCACGTGTTCTACCTCTTCTGTGACTGTCTGCTTTGGAATCAACCTCGAGCCCATGGCCGATCCGCCCGTGGCTACAGACTCTGGCATTATTACGGCTTTGTACATGTCAAAAAAGGTAGGCGCCCATTGGACTGTCGTATTATGAAACACCAGTCCAGATTCGCGGTCAAGCCGGTCTTTGATTGGGGCAAACAACGCTTCAACTGTCCCATTCGGTTTGTCGTAGAGGAAGAAGGCTCCATACATTGCCAAAGTTGGAGCGACGGGTGGACCCAGCATTCCGTAATAACCTTGCATTCCGCCTTCGTTCAATCTTGGCATCTCGGAGTGTATGTATGCCATGAGATCCCAGTACTCGGAGGTAGCGTTGGGATTCAGCAGCGCAAGCTGCAGAGAGAAGAAGGTGGTCTGCGGAGTTGGATATGCCTTCATTACCGCTTCCAGGATTATGCCATAAGTACCGCCTCCGCCGCCGCGAATGGCAAAGAACAACTCAGGATGGAGACAGGCGTTTATCACCACTACTTCGCCATCGGGGGTCACGACTGTTGCTTGAAGGAGGTTGTCAGCGCCCATGCCGTACGTGCTCGAGAGCCAGCCATGGCCACCACCGGTGAACCAGCCAACTATGCCAACAGTGGGATTTGCGCCGCCGACAGCGATAGCGCCGTGTTCCGCCATGGCTTCGTAGACGGTAAACCCCTGCTCTCCCGCGGCTATAGTTGCCGCCATCTGTTCGCCTGTGGTGTTGAGTGAGCAGGAATCCGGTTTGAAGTCGTCGTGAAACGTGATGCCCCGGAAGTGGTGCGTCCATATGGACAGGCTGCCAAATGCTGTGCTTCTTCCCGGGAAATTGTGCCCGGTGTTCTTGACGTTAAGTCTAATATTTCTTTCCTTAGCGAACTTCAGCGCAGCTTGCACATGTGAAGCCTCAGTCGCGTTCACCACATACACCGGATACCTTCCCAAAGAGCACCCCCTATTACCCGCATTGGGATCCCCTGTAACGCTCGTGCCGTTGGGGAAAATCGGGGGGCAGCTGTTATTGGCCCAGATAGGGTAATCTATGCTGATGGGATCCTCAGCGTGGAAGGAAGAATTTGTCCATTGCGAGGCGACATGTGCGCAAGAAGTTGGGTTGTAGTTGGGGCTAGACTGATAGCAGACGGATGCGGGTGGCACGCCACGGATAAGACGACCAGAGAGCGTGTCATTCAAGGTTGACCAGTCATCGTCGGACGGCCAGCAGTGGTCAGACGGCGTCTAATGCTCAAACATTAATATATCCAACCCGGGTGTGACTCGCTCTCAGACATACGCATTTGCATTCTGTGGAAGACGCTCTGACGGTACATATGAAGGCGTTTTGAATGAATGCCACAGCGATGATTTGTATGAGCAACATTACAGAAAGAGACGTTTCCGAAATGGACAGAGCCAACTTGCATCAGAAATCCATCTCCATACTCAGGTAGGACGGGTGGAATCTTTTAACAGTATGCTTACCTGCGCTCAGCGACGCGGATGAGGTTTGAGTCTGCCTTGCATCATCGTATAGTGTTCGTATTTCGTATATGTAAGTGCATTATGCAGAGCCTTGTTCGGCCCGCAACAGAGTGTTCTGGCCAATCCCAAAGCACACGCGCACAGACGTGTATAGACCCACGCAACAGCCCAATCCTTGATAGGTGAAGACCTGTCCGGGGCTTGAGGAAGAACTTCTTCTCGATCTGGAGTAAAGCTGAAAGCTGCTTGGAACCTTGGAGCTCGTCCGAACCTCTGGCGCAGGCTGAGTCAGCTTACCGTCATGCGACAACCTCAACTCACCCACACTTCCACCTTGCTTCGCAGCGCAGCTCGACGCGATTGATGGCGGGCCACGGCGGCCATCTGACGCTGCAAGACGTGAACTGTTGGGTGCGTGCTGAGCGCGGAATGCCGGCTGCGGTTGTCGGAAGAAGATGCGGCATCTCAGCTGGACCTCACTTTCGCCCAATACTTTGTCCTTCGAGGTAGAATTACCGATGGTGTGGGAAATCCAGCTTTCCACCTTCTTCCCTACCGAACAGTCTCCGTCGACAATGCACAATGTGTTCTTCTCACCCAGTCTGTTCCCAATGTACTCCAATATTCTTACTATGCAATCATGTTTGGTGTTCGTCACAACAAAAGATAGAACAAGACCGGTCAGCCCTTCCTATCAGGCTACAACTACCATACGCTTTACACTACACTTTGTGGTCTGTCCCACTCAAGCCGAATGCGCCAGGCCTCAGCCGAAATCGACTCAGAAACCCTCTATTCTGCCCGTGGTTCTCATTGGCGTCCAACAGCCGGTGTCCGGCTTCCGCTTTCACCTGCGCATCCCTCATCACCAAGTCGCTGTCGGACCCGAAGACACGCATCGCAGAAGACACGAATCGCCAAAGACCGCTATCTGAATCCTACGAGTAACAAGCCATGTCGCCGTCCAACCTTAAACGTCCAATTGATGCGGTGGATGAGGTGAGCTCCGCTTCCATTTTATCAGAAGCGTGAGCTAACCATAGCAGACTACTCAACCAAACTCAAAGAAGCCGAGAATAGTTCTGAAGTCGCCAGTCAAGCCGGATGATCAGGAGCGACTTAGAAAGCGTGCCGTCAAATTGCGTCAGAAAATTAAGAAGGGATAGCAAACCATCAAGGAGCGCAAGGAACTACTGGAGCAGATGGAGTGCGAGTTACGGATTCTGGGGTTGCGTCAAGGGATCAAGAACCTGGAGGAAGCCTTCGAGGAGAAGGGGGAGCTGTTAAAGCAGAAGCAGGACGAGATGGATATTGCGGCGGCAGAGGACGCAGGCAAGAACAACCTCCGGGACTTTCTTGGACGTTGGGGTGGCGACTTGCATCGTCTCACTCCCATTTCCGATCGTGCGCCTGTGGTCCAGGAGGTCTTTGCGAATCTGCTTTGATTACGGCGTTGCAGAGGTGGTGGCTTCATGACGAGAGACAAGATGGAAGCTCCTTTGATAATCGAGCTTGTCTGCTATCATGACGCACTGCTTTAGTAGCTTTGGGTGCATCACCAATAGAGACAAAAACTAATGGTTTGCACACACCTTCTGTGAATCTGCTGGCGTATGAAGTTCTGCTTTTGGCTGGCTGCTATGGTTGATGTAAGGCCTTATGATGCTATCTGGGAGAGGATCGCGTGCTAGGGTGGGGACATACACCGTGAAGGAGAGCCTTCTAACAAGTCTCTCGGCTCAACATATAATTGCATGTGTAATACCCAGTAATACTACAAGTTCGATTGACTCTAGAGTTAAATCACTCGATCTGGGTCAGATCGAGTAGATTAATTGTAGATCCAATCTTTCACTCTACTAGCTACATAAGCTTGCTTTATCCGAGGCTCCCGACTTAGATCTGGAGCTTCTAAACCACGATATCTAATATCTTAGCGTGGTGTTGGCGCGTAAGGCTCCGGAAGTCTTATATAATCACTAAACCTTTCCCGTGCTGCACTCGGCTTTCTACTAAGATAGAAAGAGCTTAACTATAAACGGGAAGCCGGGCGGCACGTGATAAGGGTGGAGTAATCGACGACTCGAGCTGGATAGATCGATTCAGGGTCAGCTCGAGTCTAATCGAACTTGTGGCATCACTGGTAGTACCATGTGATGAAAGCTGCCCAGCCAAGAGTATCAGAAAGTGAAAATTCTGGAGAATGAAGCACTTTCAAGCCGAGGAGAGATATGATCTTGGTCTTTGACAGGGAAGATGCGAGGCTCTTCTTGATGCCAGCAGCAGTAGCTCCTCTCGGGCCACCCGATCGAGAGCCTCCGACATGGTCAGGATAGCCGGCATTCTTCTCTCCGTGTTCAGATTTTATTGTAGCGTTCGGAATCCATTTTGAGAAGACTCTTATACGCCATGAGCTCGCCAATCTTTTTTTGTCGATAGCAGCCTGCATCTCGGTGACAAGCTCACTTAAAATCCCCTTCGCTTTTACCTGGTTGAAGTCAGTGACCATAAAGAACCTGGAACGCGGAAGACCGACAATAACCGCCACCGCAGCTTCCTTGTCCGTATCGTCCATTATGGCTAGGTCGATCACGATGTCGCTGTTGGTGTAGATTGTCCGCACATTGTTCTCAACGATCGCAGGCGGCTCAGTGTGGCTCTCTTCGATGCTGCGATCAAGAGCTTGGATCCTATCCTTCAACTCTTTGCTCCGTTCCTCGAGCCTGCTGATTGGGAAGCACATGTGTCAGCGCTGTTGTGATTACCGCATAGCTGGAGCTTCTTCTCTTGCTCTCATCATACAAAGAACCTATATCTCTAGCAGGCTTTCTAGTCTTCTCCCGTTGTGGTATGTTCATCTCGAGGCGCGGAAGCAGATGGTTGCGTGCGTTCGTTCTTTGGTTCGTCTAAGGAGGCGTATCTGGGGAGAGGGTGTCCATACCGACGTGGAGTCGGCACACTCCTCGGAAGAGGTTGAGAGGCTCGTAACAGGATGGGGTGAGGAGTTGAGCGATGAGAGACTGAAAAGCAACGAGGCTACAATGAGATATAGAATGAGATGTTGAAGAGATGAAGAGTTGAGCAATGTATGATACAGACCAACGTGTACTGGTTGGCTACGGATGAAAGGATGCCACTCTCGTCCGATGATGGCTGCGTGTTTTTGCACTATATCACGAGGGCTGTCAATATTTGTAATTGTGAAGAACAAGGAGGTGTCAGGCTCTCCAAAACCGTCTTGAAGCAGAAAGTGAAGAAGGTAACGGTAGCCGAGTGAAAGACGCTTGAAACGCTGAGCAAATATTGCCGTCTTCCCTAGATTCCATAAACCTTCAACTGCCTGGCCCGTAGAATATTGGCCAACAATCGCCTGCCACATAGGCACGCAACTGGGGTGAGCCTCTGTTCGATGTCGCTGGAGGAAACCCTACGATGGGTGTGTGAAGATAAGGGATAGTCGACTTCGCTTGTGGCTTAGATAGTATGTCGTAGACCGAGCGGGCTCAGGGTTCGAGAAGCGCCGGTTTAACGGATTCGACGTCGCAACAAATGCTTCATCAGCAATTGATGTGTGGGCACCAGCGTATGGTAGCACCAGTTCCTGTACATATTCCTAATTTGGTTCAGCAGTGTCAAGGGTAAAGGGACTTTGTTTATAGAACCGAGGTGAGCAGGTCGTGGCGTGGGCTTGGCAGCGAGGTATTGGCATAGGATGATTACGGTGGTGGAATCACAGTCACTGGAGCTGAAATATAGATGGACTCGGCAAAACGAGCGTTATTCAATCTGATACCAAGATACAACGAGTGGTTGAGGTAAGCCAAAGAGTCCTCCGCGCGCATCCTGTGAGCGCTTCATACCCATTCTGCACGACCACAGCACCTCACAGTTCAGGACAGTGCTTCCAACCTAGCCGCACCTAGAGAGCCCCCCTATCGAGCATTAGCAACGGAACACGCTCTCTTCTCCCAGCGACGAGCCTAGAAGTAAGGGGGGAGAAAAAGCAAGAGGGAAGACAAGTAAAGATAACCTACTCTCGCAAGTATCCCCGGCAACAGTGCTTCTAGTGTAATATGCTGAGGCATAGCAGTTCCAGCCGGGAATATAGTCCCAGACGCTACGGAGAGGGTTTAGCCGTTGTGTATTATTTAAGCCGTCTTCCCTAAAGACCCCCTCTACGCAAAGAAAGACGCAGCACGGTACAGCATAACGCACACACCACGTCAAGCCATGACAAGGCTTCCGGTGGAGAAACATAAGGGAAACTTACGTGTTTCCGGCAACAGAGCTCCCAGTCCTCGTGCAGTCGACTCCAAACCTCTCGCTCGCGGTGATGCGCTTGTTGTTTTGGAGGGGGTAATTCCCACCGGGCCCTGTGCGGCAGGCCACAGTCCCGTCAGGCGTGACGACACGGCACACCTTGTCACGTTTCTCAAGCGCCGCGGTCGGATTCTCCGATTCTGGAACCGGAGTCGTAGAGGCAAGGGCGAGGAGCGAGGCTATAACAGCGGCGTGTAGCTTCATGGTGAAGAGTAAGATTAAGGAGGGGTTGCAATGTGTGACTTGGGAGTGATAGAAGGTTGCAGTGGGATAACCTGATCTTTGGATGGAGAGGTGACTGGAGAAAGGAAAGGGTATTTATATACAACCTGGCTTTGTGCAAAGACGGGGTGAAGATACGGCTTGAGGTGTACAGCTCCGCTTCGTATTCGAAGCTGCCCCTTCATTTATCCCTCGCTTCCTATACGAGTCTGTCTTTGTGTTCTCAATATTAGCCAAGCGTTCAGTTACGATTCGCCGCGTCCAGCTGAAGCAGATTGAGCAGCTCCAGGGAGATTCGTAGGACAACTCTTGATGAGATGATCAGAGTCACAGCAGATTGAGTCTCAAACGGACAGACGGCTTTCATGTTGAAGGCTTATTGGCAACTGAATACCTGTAGAGTATACACCATTTAGAGTCGAGGCGTATCTGCTTGAGGGGCAGAGATGGGACTCGAAAGATGAAATCTCTAATGCAGGCTTTAGACTTGGACCGAGTGTCTAGCGCTTCCAGGATAGATTCAATGCTTTTAAGAATAGATTAAGCGTAGACTGCGAGGCGTTGTTGAGCGAGTGACGTTATAATCGCTCTTCCACCAAACTTCTATTTGCGTAGTGGAATTAACTCTGCCGCCCTGTCTAGAGTTTGCATTAGAATGTCTTGTCTTCCAAAACTCATCTCCCCCGCTCAAGCGGATCGTATCCCCTTGCTAACCGATCGCAGATAACCGTGTCGGCTTCCAGGAATGTTTGGCTATCACGAACTCAAATCTAGGTATCGATGCAAGTCATTCGTTTACTTGCCACATTAAGGGGATCGGCCCGCAAGCGCAACAAGGGTGAATCTGGTTACGAGGAATTCTGTACAGAAGAACCGTGGCAGCTTCGTATTCACTGATTGCACTGCGGACCATATGGAAAACGGGAACCAAGTGAAGGAAGATTGACCGCCGTTTCACAATCCGCACGAGCCTCCGGGGTGTGGAAATTCATGACCAGCCTGAAAGCCCTAACAAGCGCGCTCCGTGGACGCGCCTCTTCGACGGGTATTTCTAAGTGGTGCCGCGGGTATCAAAAGTCGATGAGAGATTCTAAAGGCGACAGACCGCTGAAACAATCTCTGGCTGGGGAATTACATCGCAGTCCAAAGGATTTTGGATTCAAATCGCGTGAATGTGTTTCTAAGTTCTGCGTGACGGGTTCGGCTCGGTGTTCGCTCTCTAAGTACTTTGAAGGTCCTTGTCTGACCAGCTTCTTATGAGCTTTTGATGCAGGAGGTGCTGTGACCCGGGCTGCTCTCGGCGCTGCAACCGTTGTGGAACAACCCTGAACTGACGATTCTGAACCCGCGAGGCCGTAAGGACAAGCGGCATCTTTTTCAGCTCTCGACCACGCATCGCGTGTGGCGCCGACCTCCAGCCTTGCAATGTGGCCGATGATTTATATCGATTCACATATCCATTTATGACGCACGTTCTTCCTGCATCTCTCAGCCGTGCCGCTCTACCGGCACATCGTAACGCAGTGTTGTAAATAAGTAGGTGTTGATTCGGTAATTGTTTACACTGGATTGGATCGGTACTAGATCTTCAATACAGGCGGTACTGCGGCTAACCGTCTTGAGGATATTCGGAGCTACCAAACCGTAGTATCTAAACCGTTAGCCGGTGTTGTCGATGAAGGTCTATAGAACTAGTGTACAATCGTAGTGGTGATTAGCTAATAAAGCAGCCAAGGTGTAGCACCTTATCCTATAGCGGCCTACTAGGTAAGGCAGGCTGCTATCGAGACTAGTAGAACTGCCTTAGCAAGGACCGAAAAATGGCGGTACTAGATCGTTTCTTTGCTAATGCGGCACAAATGTATACTGTAGCTACTTATTTGCAATACTGCCATATCGACAGAGCGGCACGATCAAAAGGCTACCCGTAGATGCTAGCTTTGACAGCCTAAATAAGCTACGATTAGAAGTATCTGATATAGCTCTGCAAACACACGGAGTATCAAGGCCAGAGATTGACATCTAGCGAATCTGCATTCAACCGTCGTGCAGAGAAAATCACTTTAGTGACATAGATCAGGTCATTCCCTACTATGCATCTAAGTGCATGCCTATCCGAAAACACGAATGACGATCCAGAATCATGTTATCCCTCGAACAACGGCAGTTATATCGCACTCGCCCACGATGTTGCTGCAGCTGCTTTTGTACGCCTCCGCCATCGTCATTTACCACGGATTAGGAACGTCCCGGAGATCTTGTAAACTTCGGGTTGTGGGCTCTTGGTGCTTGTCTTTACAACTCGTAGGCAGTTGACGTGAGCGGAGAGACCAGCCGCTTGCTGGCAGCGTGACAGAAGGTCGATTGCGGCAGATACTTTGAAGACGAATGAAACCGTAATTACAACAAGACGTACTAAATGTACAAGAGACCGGCCTGGACAAGATTGAGCGAGTGGGGAGTTTACCAATTGAATGCTGACAGCTTCCCAAGACATATTGCTTTACTCGCACGCCTCAAGAGACTTTCTGCCTCACCCGCCACCCCGGAGGCATCCGGCACCGGTGAGAGGCTATTCGGCCCACGAAATGGTCCAATTTAGAATTTCCTTCCTACGGGATACCTAGGTAATAAGAAAAGACACAACAAGGCTTTTGGAAGAACTAGACAAGTGAAGGTTCAACAGCTAGAGGCTCTCGCCTACACGCCAGGGGCCCTTCTGAGAGTACATTGCCGCGCCGACCCCCTTAAGACGCAATTTACTGGTCCGCCGGTCCCGATGTATCCGGCGCAGGTGGAGAAGCTGTCGGGCTCCCTGAGGCATTGGATGCGGGCGGAGGAGCTGTCGGTCCCCTTGGGGTAAGGTGATCTCCGAGTCGCCGTGCCAGCGCAATCCCTGTGAGCATCGGATTGGGCGAGCCGACTGTTGGAAAGACCGAAAGTCCGACAGCATAGGCGTTCTTTACACCATGGAACTTTCCGTTTGCGTCCGTAACGGATTTACTTGAATCGTCCCCCATTCGTAATGTACCCGCCTCGTGATAAGTGGTCCCCAAGCCGTCGCGACGACCGGCGTCGTTGGCGGTAGACGGTATACGATATGGCAGGGCTGTCGTAAGCCCCGTGGCATCAACATTCCTCTCCACTATCTGGGTTGTTGGGTTGCGGCTGATTATGTCAACCTTTCCTCCGTTAGCTAGAGCAACCGCCAGTTCATCAGAGGCCGCATCCATAGCATCCCACAGCTGCTGGTCCTTCACCGTGAGTTTCAGGTTCACGTACGCCTTGCGCTCGCCGTAGTCGACCTCGTTTGGGTCAAGATCCAGAGTCACGTTACTGTTCGGATTGTCGGGTTGCATCTCTCCGATCCCACGAATGGTGATGACGATTTTCGAATCGGTAGCGAGGAGATGCTGTTTGACAGTGTCCATGTCAGGTACTGTCTGGAACAGCTCGACTTCTGAATCCGGGTTGGCGGCATTTCCTAGACCGGACGCGGTGATCTGGAGGTGAAAGTGGCCAACTGTGCCGTCATCGGTGCCGTCGGGCTTCTTGAACTTGTGCTGGCCTCTAACCAGCAGCGCAGAGCTCTGCAAGGCTTTGATCGTAGGTGACAGGCCTGTGAGCGCCGTGCGCGGTATCTGGAAGTCGATATTGGACCGCAGGTGTGCCATCAGGTTTGAACCAATGCGTCCGTCTTCGCCAAACGAAAGCAGAGCCAGGCGGGTGCTTTCAATCGCGCCCTGCGCGATGATGATCTTACAACCAGACGCAACAGGGAATTCCCCGCGCTGAGTCTGGATCGCAGTGACACGTTTGCCACCAGGCTCACTCTTCACATCCAAGCGTTTGACGTGACAGCGTGGCACGATCATGAACCGCTTGCGCACGTCATCGCCATTTGACTCTCTAGACGCACCGCGCGCCGCCTTGATAAGCAGCGGAACGGTGCTGAACTTGTTCATTGGGAAGAATCCGGCGTGCTCGGGCCTGGCCTGCACAGCTAGCGGCGCCTCAAGCTTGAGCTTGTTGCGGAACTCCTGTTCGAGCTGCGCCAGTGCAGCTGGAGTGGAGGGCAAGGGATTGGGCAAAGAGGCGCCGAGCAGAGCTGCAAGCTCAGTCAATGCGGGCGCAGTGTCCAGAATTTCGACCGGTGGAGCATCGGGCAGTGACGCCAGCGGTGTGGCTTCAGCGACCTTTCGGGAGTCCAGAGCCTTGTAGAGTTGCTCTCGCAACGCAGCATGCAGATCGCCGAATATGAAATCATTGGTGGTTGTCACGCCCAGTTGCTGACCCGATTGACGAAAGTAGCCGTTGTCTCCGTTCGACAGCTTCTTGTCGTTGAGCTCTTTCAGCACCGTCGGCGGCCAGACACTTGCAGGCGTCTCTGAATCAAGTAGGCGCGTTGCCCAGCCGCCCCACCATATGGATAACCCCCCAACGCAGTACGCTAGGCCCGTGGAACTGACATTCGAATTCCACGGCACTCCCCACACCTCACCACCGAGCCCCAAAGTTGGCAGGTTCTGTTGATGCTCAGGGATCAGGAATGGTCCAGCCTCAAGGACGAGAATGCGCTTGCTGCTACCAGTGCTGCGAAACCACAGGTGCTCAGCTAGCGCACCGCCGAAGGTCCCGCCACCGATGACAATGAAATCAAACGGCTGCATATCGCTGCGCGGCGGCAACCCGGCAGCCGCCCGAGTTGTAGGATCGGAGTTGGCCAGTGCCTCATCGAATGTATTGCAAATATACCGCCCGAGAACATCGAGCGTGAAATAAGTTGATTCCGGCTTTGATCCGATATTCATTGCGAGTGACCTTCTGAAATTCAGACTAGATTTGTTTATACACTAGCAAGATAATTGGAATTGAATGCTTGGCCTCAACAACACAGGTTGGAAAGCTCATGCTGTTTTGCTGGGTCCAGAATGGCAGAAGATATAGTAAGCTCAAGACGCGCTGATCACAGAACGAGCGGAGAGCGCTAAACTCAGAGTGAAGGGAGATTGGCGAGGAAATAAGCAGAGAGCGCCTCAGCTGAGACAGATACCGAAGCTCAAGCATCACGATACGTGCAATTGGCCATTGCCTGCCTGTAAGTGGCTTTTTATATGCAAAGGATTTGTTCTGGGTGTTGTTGTTAGCTAAGACGTCTATTTGACCCAACAACTTCCCGTGTAAAACATGTATAAGTCGACATGAGGCACGCTGGCAGTTGAACGTGTCTGGACAATGTATCGGAGGTGCGTGGTTGCGTATCCCCATCCCGGGCTCTTGGCAACCACGGCACGTGAAGAAACGCTGTTTGGCGCTGACAACGGCAGAATTGTTTCCGAGCTGACACCGACGACAAAACTCTTGGTTCTCTCGGCAGTAGTTGCGGAAGTCTATGGCTGGCAGGTCTGTGGAACAGGCTGCATGCTGCTCGAAGCTAACGCCTGCCCTGTCGACCACAGACTCCCGACGTATGGGGCTGGATTAGTTGAAAGGGGTGGATGCGAGTAATGTGACCATTCTCCAGGTCAGCATACTCGAGCCGATGCTTATATGGCTGCGGAGAAGGTGGCGGACTTGATCATGGACAATTATCAATCTACCATAGATTACAGATTACAAAGACCGCGAGGCGGTTCCAAGCCCTTGCGTCCCACAAAGTGATGGAATGCCTTCACAAACAGAGCCTCGATGTACTTTCTGTTGACCATCGCCAGGACATTGACTCTTTCGAGATGGTATCATGCATCATACAAATTCACAAGACGCCTGTACGGGGTATCGAACCAGCCAATAATGCAAGCTGAACGTATAGATCCCATCTCACCAATAACGCCATAATCTGCAATTGTGCGTCCTTCGTCTTCTTGCTCTCTTACTTGGTTTCAATCAGCAAGGCTCTACCGCTTTCGCAAGAGTCCAAAACCTCGGAGCGGGAACGGTGAAAGCTTTGAACGCGATGACTGACGCGAGGCGGTAGTACCGGAACTGTCCCGTCTCTCTGGTGCTGATATAGGCTGCTCAGGTTGGGCGAGCAGATTCCTGATCTCTTGGGAAGTCTTTGGGAGGGTTTCGCGTTGAGCGGTAACCCCTCGTTCTACCAGCATGCGGACGAATTCGTATTTCCGCCGTTCGACCGCCAGATACAAAGGGGTCCGTCCAGATGCAGTGTTATCCTTGAGATCAGGGTTCGCTCCGTGCTCCAGTAGAACTTCCGCTACGGGAACCTTCCCAGACTCGGCGAGATAGTGTAAGGCGGTTTTCCCCGCCGGACACACCGCATCCTTGTTTACCATCTTCGCACGCTGCCGGGGCTCCAGGAGAGTGCGCATTACTTCGACGTTGCCGCCGAGAGCAGCGCAGTGTACGGCGGTCCATCCCTCCCTATCTCGCGCATCCACATCTACCCCTTCATCTAGAAGCTCCTGAACGACAGACGGATGATTGCCTCTTACTGCTACAAGCAAAGGCGTTGAACCTGACTGGTTCCTTACCTCCTTCTCGGCATCGAGACTCAACAGCAGCTTGGTCATATCTGCGTTGCCGCGTCGCACCGCGTAGAAAAGAGCCTGGTTGAGCTGCGCTCTCGCAGAGTGAAGCTTTCGGATAGCTTTCTCGTTGTTCTTGTCCACAGCATGCATCACCGCAGTCTTTCCGTTACGGCACGTCTCGAGGTCTGCGGTTTGTTGTAACATGTCGTCGATGAGATCATCCCGCCCAGCTGCGATAGCTGAGATCAGATCGGAAGGCGTGCCATCGTTGTCTTTGTGGATAACTGTGCTCAGGGATGCAGTTGAACTAATCGTTGGGGTGGCTTGTTCAGTTATAGAGAGTGAACGGGTTGAGGAGAGCGGCGAGGGCGGGGGCCGGAAGTCTTCCGGTTGTTGTAGATACAGCTCACGAAACGTTCTGGCGTGGATCATCTTGTTCCTGTCCTCGTATATCTGGATCAACAGCTTCACGGACTTCACAAAGGTTGTGTCCGAGGGATTGCCGGCTTCTAGGCCGCGTTTGAAGGCTCGCTTCGCGTACTTTTCGGCGTCCTTCAAATACCGAGTGTCCTGTTTGGAGTTCTCCCGGAGATGTTTTCTATGGTTCGCAAGCGCTAGCAGGTAGTAGTCCAGTGCACTAGCCTGCCATCTGTCAGGTGCTGGCGTAGTCCGGGGGTTGGCCACGGCTGTCACTCTAGGCTTAGGCTTGGCCGACATATTATCATGGAGAATCTTCATGGCTTCTTCCACTTTGTCCTGCTCAAGATATATCTGAGCTAGCATGCTCTGCATCAGACCGAAGTCGTTGAATGGTACGCCGTAACCGGACTGCAGCTCTTCGAGATGCCTGATCGCCTCCTGCTGGTTTTCTTCTGCCTGATGGTAGTGACCGGCCGAGCACTGGAGGCGCACTTGTGTCTTAAAACGTTCAATCAGGGCTTCCAGGACCTCGCGAGGCATGGTATCATCGAAATCTGGAGTGGGATCGGGAAGAGAGTCGCCTCTGCTGGGATATAACAGGTCTTGCCTCCGGTCAAAGGATATCGTCGAGCCATATCCGGTGGTGCCTGACACGACGCTGTGCCTGTCTGTCGCATCTGAAAGCGTGCCACGGACTGATTCTGCGTCGTAAGTGGATATGGCTCTGACATCAGTAGCCATCTCGAGAACTTTTTCCATATCCTTAATTTCATTCAGCTCCTTTTCCGGATCGTCGCTCTGGTAAGCGTCCTCGCTCATGCTGCTGAGATCATCAATGTCGAAGAATGATGATCTACTGGCTTCGCCTCCTCCATGTTGGAGAAGTAATGCCGTTTCTCGCCGCGCCTCTTTAACATGGATTCTTCCGCTCCGTAACAATTCGTCTAAGCGTCCGAGAGTCGTAGTATGACCTGCCAGTATTGACTTGATCTCGTCATGATGCGCTGTCGCTGATAGACTGCAGTTGGGGATTATCAGCAAAGGATCCCCTCGGTCTTGTTCGGTCACGGATTACCTACATCTGAACGCAAAGAATGGAAATCTGCAACGTCTGCAGATGTGTGTCGATCTTACTCTCCAACCTTCTGATTTCTGGATCCCTGTTATCCAACTTAAGCTGCAGGAGACCTTTCTCCAGCCAGCTCAGTTCGGCCTTTCCACTCTTCAGGCCCTTCAGCGCGCCTTCAAACTTCGTCAAGACCCGTTCGCATTGTCCCAAGGATCTATCAATCCCTCCCCACAAGTTGCGTTCTGCCTGGCCTGGTCGCTCAGCCTTAAGTTGTTCTTCCCGGCGGCTGGAGGTCGCCTCCACGGTTTGCGAGCACGCATGTAATTGCTCGATCTTTTCTTGCAGGTCTTTCGCAACGTTGTGTGCATCCCTAGCCCTCGCTACAAACACACTCAGGTGATGGATAATCTTCAATGACACGCCTGCGAGCGTCGCGGAACCAGATATCACCCCCACAATCTCGAATCCACTCATCCTGTGGAGCGGAAGTGGGCATCCGCAAGGCTCTCTTTGCTTGTCGTAGGAATGTGCGTCATGCAGGCGTTGAAGGATGAGAGGCTCAACTGAAGCAGGGAGAGGACACGACACACTCACATAGCCTGACCTTTACGGCCGAATCGTGCAAATCAAGGCACCAAAGTGGAGGTGAGTGCCTGCAGGGCAACGCACATGTGTGTGCATGCATGAGCTGCTGCGCCTCGCCTTAATAATTGCACTCTTGGACCGACGGGGGTACGATGGCACTAAAAATGATGGGCAGCAGTCGACTAAGAATAACACACTGTTGGTACTCTGTCTCACTTGAGCACAGACGATTGCCGAGACCAACTGCCCGGGACCGGGTTGAATTACAACTTGCTACTTACGTGAATACATACTTCTTACGCGGTAAGCGATGTTGTGTTTCTACTGCAAATCGGAATTGTGGCTGCAAGGCAGCGACTGATCGGCCAGCGGTCCTGGGGGTTGTCGAACAGGGACGTGAGCGCAAGGCTGAGACGAGGCTGCCACTGACAGCCGACCCCGCCTTATGGCTGCCCCCATGGGGAAAAGGTCCGCCCGTTTAAACACGGTAACCGCGGGACGCGCTGACGCCAAAATCTTCCAACACCGGTGTGAGGCACCCCAGTGGAGTCATCAGTCTCTCTGTGAAGCTGAATGAACCGACAAGCGATTTTAGTTCTTCTGGCATCTCGGTGCTGACGTGCGTCGGCGTCGTGCTCTATTGCCTAAAGAAGACAACAATCTTGGAAGCAACACAAGGACGCGATGATGTTATTAGCCCTGCGCACGTTCAGGGCGTCCGAGCGATCAGCGTACAGGTAGTACCCAATTCGTCCAAGCATGCCTTTCCGCAACACCCAAGCGGCGGCTCAGGCCACAATCCGCTCCGACTCGCTGATCATCAGATGCGGTGCCCATGTCGTCCGCGAAAGAACACTCGTGGGAGCCACTTCCGCCTCGGGTAACCCCTACGGAGGCTGAGTTACGCCAAGCAGTACCTTTACTGAATACGATTCACCGGCAGGGCCTCCTCTCTGACACAGCCCTGTGTCTGTGCCCAAGGCAGCATGTGCTCCCTCACTGAACGGGCCATTTCTTGGAGGGATATCTCAATTCAACTCGCTCTTCAAGGCTGGGTGATAGACCGATCTATCAGTTGAAAAACCTCCCCCTGATTCCTGGAGACCCGCTTCATCCCATGTCCCTGGTGGAACCTAAGAGGAGAGGCACCCTTCGACTGTCCCAAAAACATGCGACTTCATGCTATGGCTCATAAACCCAACTCGTTTGGCCATCCTTATGGGGTAATCCAATTGACAAGTCGCCGACTGAACATAGCTCTGACCTATTTTGTTAGGTAGACGTGCATGTTGAGGACCAACCTGATGAGCAAATTCAGAACGACGACACGATCCTGTACAGAATGCCCTACGAATCAATCCGAGCGACGAAGAAGCTGACTAGGTTGCAGTATCGACATAGACAATCCCCTCGTTCGGCTCTCACCAGCAGAGCTTGTGGCGGATGTAGAGAATTTCGCGACGGTCAACGATCTGACAAACATTCTTGACCTTCTGATCCATGGCGCGAAAGTCGCCCGAGACCCGGAGGCATACGCGACTGTCCCAGGCTTGACAGCCGAAGAGAAAGCTGCTCTGGAGAGAGAAAAGAAGGCGGGCTTTTGGCGTCAAACGAAAGAGCTGCGGACTACGATCCTCACCTGCGCCATTGCCGCCATCTTGCAAGGCTGGGATCAATCTTCCATGAACGGGGCCAACCTCCACTGGCCTCGCGATCTCGGTCTGCATGTTGGAGCATCAACGGGAGACTCCCTTAGCGTTAAGAAAGATATCTGGATTTTCGCCTTCATCAACGCGGCACCTTTTCTCTTCGCAGCCTTGATCGGAGCATGGCTCAGTGACCCATTGAATGAGTATGTCTATGGAAGGAGAGCTGCGATATTCATCTCAGCTCTGTTCTGCTTCTTTTCCGTCATTGGATCTGCTTGTACACATACTTGGCAGCAACTCTTGGCTTGTCGCGTCCTCCTTGGTATCGGCATGGGCGCAAAAGCCTCCGTCGTCCCGGTGTATGCCGCTGAGGTATCCCCAGCCCATATCCGGGGAAGTCTGGTCATGAGCTGGCAGCTATTCGTGGCTTTCGGCATATTTCTAGGGTTCTCCGCTAATCTAGTTGTATTCGACATCAAATCCCTCGCGTGGCGGTTACAGCTCGCGGCTGCAAGTCTTCCGGCTATCCCGTTGGTATTCCTGATCTTCGTCTGTCCCGAGTCTCCACGCTTCCTGATCAAGAAAGGAAGGTTCAGAGAGGCTTATACCAGCCTTTGTTATCTTAACGAGACTCCACTGCAAGCAGCTAGGGAGCTCTATTACATCAGCGCACAGATCGAAGCAGAGAAACAGTTGTACATGAACAAGGACTCCCGCCGTAAGGATCTGGAGCTTCAAGACATCATACCCGGAGATAACGGTAACGTCCACGGAGAGCCTGCTGGTCGTTCGGCAGTCATGAGCAACACGAGCTTCTGGAGGAGACTATGGCGACTAGGCTCTGTGCCGAGGATCCGGCGTGCTCTATTGGCAGCGTTCGTTGTAATGATATCGCAGCAGCTCTGTGGCGTCAACATCATAGGTGAGTAAATCACTTAATTGCAAAGCTTTCTTCGCAAGCTTGGAGCCATGCTGACATTACCAGCGTTCTACTCGTCGTCGGTCTTCTCCAATCCAAACAACGAAGATTTGACCCCAGAGCAGGTCAATAGCGACCACAAGCGCGCACTCTGGCTAGGATGGGGCTTTGGACTTACTAATTTCCTGTGAGCCCCCAAATTCCGCGCTCAACCCTCTCAGCGGTGCACTCTTTCTAATCATGGAGCAGCTTCGCATGGCCAGCGTACGGCGCTATCGATCGAAGGGGCAGGCGGGCGCTGCTCCTCTTCACCATTCCCGGTTTAGCATTGACACTGCTTGCCGCCGGCTTCAGTTTCCAGCTTCCGGTGAACAGTAAAGCATATATTGGAGTGATAACCTTCTTCATCATGCTCTTCTCCGTCTTCTACTCCCCGGGTCTTGGGCCCGTCCCATTCACATATTCCGCAGAAGTATTCCCGCTTGTGAACAGAGGTGAGTCTAGCTAGTCGGCCGCCAAGTTTATCGCGCTCACCACTAACTGGATAGCAGAAGTTGGCATGTCCTTTGCTGTATTCTGGAACCTGTTGGGTGCCGGCATTCTTAGCTTGATTGTGCCAGTCCTGAACGACGCACTGAAAGCAACAGGGCTGATGTGCCTGTTCGCGTGGGTCTTCCTCAGAGCCAATCTTGAACGAGTGGCTGACTTTCCCAGCGGACTGAATGTGATAGCGTTCATCCTCGTCTTCCTTTTTGTATACGAGACCAAGGAAGCGACCCTCGAGGAACTGAACTCCATATGTAAGCTCTTCCCACATAGTACTCAGCCGCCGTCGGCCACGAGATTCCTGAGTTTGGCTGACCGCTTCATTTTCCCTTGACAGTCTCCGTAAAGACAAGAAGACACATTGAGTACCAGGTCAAATACGTGCTGCCCTGGCCGTGGAAGTACTACATCCGAAAGACGGTGAAAACAAGGCTGGATCCACCGTACAGGTGGAGGCACGGAGCATTGTAGAAGCGGGTTGGACAGCGACAGGAATTGGGTCGCGGTTTGCAGTGTTCGACCTCATCCGTGTATCATACATAAGGTTTGAATATTAATAAGACATTGGAGAAGTGTCCATTATTCTCACTCGTTCGCGCGGTCATTGTTGGCTCCTCCGGCGCGGCTGATCCATTATCACCATATACTGCGGCGCCTCTGTCTTCGTACTACGGGCTTGTACATCGTTATCGGCAAATCACTTTTTCATGCTGAGAGGGAATGCCGAGAACAACCCTCCGGGGACGATGCCCCGCAATTAGTGGGGCTTAAGCGAACGAGAGCGAGATCTGCGGCCGGAGTCTGTGCCGCAGCTCCGATCTTATATTCACGTTTCCTATCATGGCCACGAGCTGGAACCCTTCTCTGATCCCCCCAGGGAGCTCTGAAACGAGCTCCTATGTGCAACCACGCGGATCTTATCCCACTGGAGTCCCCATATATCTCGGGCTGAGCGCCGCAAACCCGGCTTGCATCTCCCGCGATGAATTGCCCTCGACGTTCCCCAGCCTGGACTAGTAGCTGTCGATGCATCTCTCAATACACTTCCGTCAGTATTGCTTCATTCAGATCCTTCTTCTCAAGCATTGGCCTGATAGTATTTTGCAAGCAGCTGCCTGCTCATGCAGCTGATGCGGGGCGGTTGTCGTACAACCCTTGTGTTTTTGCTTTACGTTCTGTCAGAATTATCTCATAGTGATCAGCTTTTCACATATTTGGCTGGCGAAGATACACTCATTGCTGTCGGAGATATGGCTCTCCGGACACGTCGGATGCGCTGCATGCGCTTCTTCCGTCATACTGAGCGATTGACTCCCTCTGGCTGATGGCCACGCAATCCCTCATCTGCACCATCTGGCAATGACGGAGAAATGATAGCTTCGTCTACAACCAGCTGCCAAAGAACAGGTTATATAGGTCGCACCATTTTCCTTTCTCTTTCATTCTCTTCTTCAAGCACCAGTATCAACAGTCGAAAGCAATTCGACATTCAGATTTCCACTTAATATCCACTCTCTCGACTCTTCAAGATGGCGGACACAATGTCGGAGACCAAAATCCCAGCGTTAGTCTTTCCCACCTTTCCGCTATGTCGTATTCATACTGATAACAACATAGTCCCGTCTACACGACGAAGTACAAGCCTCACCCCACCGAGAAGATGAAGGCGGCTCAGTGGACGGGCACGAAGTCAGTCACAGTCGGCGAGGTGGCCAGGCCTATGATTACCGCGCCAAAGGACGCCATTGTGCACATCACGCACTGCACAATCTGCGGTTCTGACCTGCACATGTACGGCGGTGAGATGAACATGGCAATGGAGAAGGGCGACATCTTGGGCCACGAGGCTATCGGGTACGTTGAGGAAGTTGGCCCAGAGGTCAAGGGCTTCAAGGCAGGGGACCGCGTCATCATCCTACCCGTCATCGCCTGCGGAGACTGCTTCTACTGCGAGCGACAGGAGTACTCGCTCTGCGACAAGACCAACCCGTCCAAGGAGATGGAGAGCCTGTACGGCCACCGTCTATCCGGCATCTTCGGCTACTCGCATCTCACCGGCGGCTACCCTGGCAACCAAGCCGAGTACTGCCGCGTGCCCAACGCCGACCTCGTGCTCGTGAAATGCCCAGAAGACATGCCCGCGAAGAAGGCGCTCGCTCTCGCCGACGTCACCGACACGGCCTGGCACGGCTGCGAGCTCGCCGAGGTGGGCGAAGGCGACGTCGTCGGCGTCTGGGGCTGCGGTCCCATCGGCCTCTCGATCCAGCGCCTGTCTTTGCTGCGCGGCGCCAAGAAGGTGTATGCGGTGGACGTTGACACCAAGCGCCTCGCCATGGCGGAGTCGTTCGGCATGATCCCCGTCGACGCCAACAAGCACAAGGCCGACGAGTACATCCTGTCCGTTGAGCCGCACGGCCTCGACAAGGGGATTGAGGCAAGCGGTTTCCGCAGCACGGACTCGGCTGCACACAAGATCATGAGGGCGACGGGCCTCGAGGGCGACAGTGCGGACACTGTCAGCGAGGTCATCAAGGCGACGCGGAAGTGTGGTAATGTAGCCTTGATCGGGGACTTCTTCTTCCACACCAACATGTTCCCGATCGGAATGCTCATGGAGAAGACCATCACCCTGCGCGGTGGACAGCTCATGGCGCAGAAGGTATGTTTCTGCCACCTCACACGATGGCCGTACACACCTGGCTGACTATTTCTGCAGTATTACCCATACCTCCTCAACTTGGTGAAAGAAGGCAAATACGACCCCTCGTTCGTGTTCACTCATGAGGGTAAGAGAAGACCGCCCTCACCCTTGACGCGTAAGTTGCTGATACCAAACGCCTTACAGATGACTTCGAAAACATCCCGAAGATCTATGACGAGCAGTTCCATCACACAGTACCCGGAGGACTGAAGGCGGTTTTGCGGACTCCGTACGGCCGCTCACTGGGCCAATAGGCTTCTTGTCCGCAGTCTTTGCTTCGAGACTTGCTGTAACAATAGCTTTCAAACCAAGGTCGCGGACCTGGCAAACATCGGGCAAGATGCTCGCTACTTGGGTATCCGCTCGAGAAACAAAATCTAAATGACTCTGATCCAACTTTCTTGTCAAGGCCGTAGTTCTACGCTGCCCGTGCCAATTGCCGTTCTCCACACCACATGTTCAAACAATGACGCCTCGTGCCAGCCTCTTGGGGGTATAGCCGACTCAATGCCCTATTCCCCACGCTCAACCAACAGCACACAGCGGCGCCCCCCACCACCGCACTCTCCGCTCCACGAACTCAAAACGACCCTCTCCCGGCCTCCCGCCGCCTCTCCCCCGACTCCTACGGCTTCGGCGTACTAGGACTAACAAGCCCGCCCGCCCCCTCGCCCCCAATCTCACTCGCCGCAACCTCGCCAGGCATCTCGTACGGCACGTTCCGCGGCTGCGCATACCCGGGCGGCGGACTCTGCATGAAGTGCTGGCCGCTGCCATGCCGCTGCATCTCGGCGTACGTGAGCTTCTCCTCCAGGTGCTTGGTGTGTGCGCGCTGTTGTTTGAGCCGCCGGGCTGCGACGACGAAGGCGGCGAGGATGGCGAGCGCGATGATGCCGACGGGGATGCCGACGGCGAGGCCGACTGTGCGGGGTGTGGTTGAGGAGGGCGCGGATGAAGGGGTGGGCGAGGCGGTTGCTGATGCCGATGCTGCTGCTGATGCTGCTGAAGCGCCATTGGAAGACGCGACGTCTGAGCTCGTCGTGCTGGCTGAGCCGGAAGCAGAGGCCGTCGAGGTTTGCGCCGCCGTTGTCGATGTAGCGCCTTGCGTCGAGCCATTGACATCAACGTAGGGAGTCAGGCGGTTCGTGCCGTCCCCGTTGATGACAGCGACGATATACCCCGGCGCCCACTCGAACGTCGAGCCCTCGCAGCAGGATCCAGTGTCCCCAAGCACGCAGCACGCGGTCTTGTTCTTCATGCTGCAGGACTGGATCCAGATGGCGCCGGCCATGGCTTCTTCACCACACAACAATCAGTCAGTTTCTCCTCTGCATCTCGAACGGGAACTGAGGGCAGGGAAACCGCGCACCTGGGATGAGGCACTGGCTGGGGCAGTCCTCGCTCCGCCATGAGGAGTCTGTGCAGCTCTGGCGGTAGGTCACGCCGGACCAGTCTTGGAGACATGTTCCGGAGGCGTAGCAGGCATCGTCGTGGCGGCAGCACGAGCTGTGGCCACCGGTGCGGACGGCGGTGGTGTTGCAGACGTAGCCGTCTGTGTCGAGGGAGCCGTCGGGGTAGTAGCAGCGGGGCTGATCTTGTGCTATGGCGTACTGGAAGAGAAAGAGGAACGTGAGAAGAGAGGTGAGAGACATGTCGAGAAACAACGACGGCGCGTACGAGAATGGTCTGATGTATCAGGGTAATTGAGAATACTGGAGCTAGAAAGAAAGATGCAGACGAAAGGGAACACCTCCCCTACCTTTCTCACTCCGGGGTATCGGGGCTTTGTAAGACCACAAGCATATCAGCCAGAACGGCCCCTAGGAAGATGGCCAAGCCGTGCAGTGGCCCATCCCATCCTCATCGTCTATCGCAGCAGTTGACTGGAGCAAGCAGTGCACAGCAATTCCCTCGCGCCTTCAGGCACGCGTCCTGGCTGCAGGATGGCTGCAGAACGGCTGCTCAAAGGCGCCGGGGCTGAGGATCCGGGCGAAGATCCAGACAGTCTGACTGGCGGCAGACGACTGCGGAGCCGTTAGAGTTGTTGATGCGGTTCACCTGGGGGCCAAACCACCGCAGCCACTCGGCAAGTGACAACTGCAGCCCTGCAATCGTTCCGTGGCATCGCCCCGTTTCGAGGCTGAAGGATATCGCCATAAATAAATTGCAGCAAGTGATGCTGTGGGCGAGATAGTTGCGCAGATGGCCAGCCGCTGGAGAATCAGTTGTTCATGGCATTTTCAGCTCTTTTGCCGGGCAATCGAAGGCGCCGGATGTCGAGGCGGCGTTTGGCTTTGAGCTGGATCCGACATCCCTGCTGTGGATCTGGTCAGCAACGGCTGGCACCCTGCGTTCAAATTCGCCGAATGTGTTTCAGAAATTTGGCGATCGTTAGCATGGCTTCGGCGCCACATGCTTGCTGGGTGGTCACAGCCATGGAATCATTCCGATAGTGCGCTTGATCGTGGTGCAAGAGAGACGTTGGCCTGACTTGGCAAGATTGCGGGCATGGGTTTTGCTGAGGTTCGCACATGACTCAGGATCACAGTGAGACGGCGAGTTGTCTTAGATATGCATATCCAGTATTTGTTGGAATGCTATATTATGTGATTCATGTCTCTTGACGCGGATGATGGTCCTTCTATCCCACGCGTACATATCAGTCCAACAATACTCCCTCAGATCCAGAACACATATTACACCCTTCCATAGCTCTGCGTAAATACTCCTCTCATGCCAAGCCACCCACCAACTCCAGCGCCCCCTCAACCGCCCTCTCCAATTCCGCAACCCTCACCCTCAGCGCGTCATTCTCCTCCCTAAACGTCCGGGCAGCCGCCCACGCGCCACTCTCATCACTCCCACCCCGCTTCATCGCCGCATACGGCGGCCTCGTCATAGCGACCCGCTCCGCAACCGCCACTTCCGGCTCCTCGGAAAAGGCCGTCAGCGTCGTGCCGGTTGGACTCATGGCCCCTGACGGCCTGGAGAAGACAGACTCGGCGTTGTTGCTCTCGCACTCGCTTTCAAAGCCCGAATCCGAAGTTGTGGTGCTGCAGCTTGCTTCGCTGGTTCTCTTCTGCCTGACTCTGAGTGGTTTGGGCGTGTCGTCGTCCTCGACGTGCCCCTCGAGTGAAAGTGCCGGCTCATAGACCCGCCGAATAGTCCGCTGTCTCGCCTCATCTTCTTCGTACCGGCGTTGCCGCTCCTGTGAGAATTGGTTCACTAGGACTTGCATCTCGCGCTCTTGCTCGACGGCTCGCGCGGAGAGGGAGTCGAGCTGCATCTTCAGATGCCTAGAACGGGTCTCTGATTCCTCGAGCTCGTCTTGCTCTGCCTCCCTCTCTCTCCGCGCGTCGGCGAGGGCTGTACACTTTCCCCTGTAGGCGGATTGAAGGCGGGAGATGATTTGTTCGGCATTGGTGAGGAGGTCGTTGAAAGAACAGGGGTTAAGGGGGTCAACGGGGCCGGTGGGGAAGAGAGCTTGGTTCACGTCCATGCTGAGCAGTTCGTCCTGCGATTCTGTCGGTGAGGGAATGGAATTAGTGCGGACAGGGCGGGGTGAAGCGGTTGAGGCGAGGGACTTCGTAAGCCATGAGAACTTGGAAGGCGTAGACTGTGTGGTGGCTGAGGATTGGGATGTAGAGTTGCGCGTGAGCTTCGGAGACGGCCGCGTGGACATATGGTTGATGATGTCCATCTCGTCCTCGCTGTCGTCGCTGTCTGCTGGCGATTCTGAGAGGACTGGGTCACGGCGCTCCTTCTTCGGCGAAGGAGATGCGAAGCCAATGCTCACGGGAGCGGAGCTGCCGTTGAGGCTGAACCAGTCGCTGAAGATCTTGGAGTTTCGGGACTTGGTCTGGACAAATGTCTCGTCGTCTGAGGTGTAGTTTCTGGAAGGGAGGAAGCTGGCGAGAGACTTCGTCGGAGAGTGCAAGGAGTTGCGAGTGGCTGTCTGCTGGATAGTCGAGGTGGCCCTAGATACCAATGGCCTGCAGTTCTCTAGGAAAGTACCCGTCAAGCTTCGCTGATGACCTCGAGGCGCCGAGCTGAAGTCTTCTAGAGGGCTTGGTGGCTCCGGACAATAAGATGTGTGTCGAGACGCAAGGGCTGCAGGCGGAGCAAGGACGATGTCCTCGAAGTCGTTGGCTGCAAGGGTAGATGTGGAGCTTCCGATGCTCGGCGGATGTTGGCGGAGCGGGTGCAGCTCGTGGTCTCGTATGCAACGGGACTTGGTTGCGTTGGACCGTGAGAGGGAGGAAGTCGGACGGCTGGGAAGCTGTGGGGGAGAGCCGGGCCTATGAGGCATGAGGGTGGACCCGTTAGAGGGCATGATGGCCGAAGGGTGGAATGCAAGGTCGATCCGGGAGATGCTGCCAGGAATGTGGACAGGGCAGGGCACTTCACTACTCGAAAGTGTCGCGGTTCACTGCAGCTGTGCCGTCACCACAGCGCAATCGGTGTGCGAAGGTCGGATTCAACTTTGGACGGCGCAATGCAGCTTCAAAGCCTGGTTACGCGTAGATGGCTCGGTGGTGGTGTAGCGCGCCGGTCACCGAACGCAACCCCAGTCTGTGGCTGGCGGATCGTGGGGTATCGATAGCGCTAACAAGATGCGATGAGGTCGGCGAAACAACTGAGCTCACGAAGAGAGGAGAGATGAGATCGAGAGAAGAATGCATGTTGAGGCTGGTGCAGCTCGTCTCGATATATCGGCGTAAAATGCGATGGCTGTCTGCTGGAGAGTGGCTGGGCGACAGGAACTAGGAACAGGGCTGGGATGCCACGTGCGCGCCTGCCACTTTCCGACGCGGTTGACGCGCTGCCGCGAACCGTGAAACAGCGACACGTCAAACATGGAAACTCAACTTTGGAAGGCAATCGCATCGCGACACACGTCATTAGGCCAGTCGGTTCTGCATGTTCACTGCGGGCTGTGAGTCTACCAGACAAGTGATATCTGCACGTGATATCTGCACGTGATATCTACATGTCCGCACAGGTGCAAGCTCCACGCCCTTCATCGACAGCTAACGATACAAACACAAACCACATCACCGCTCAGCAATCAAACTGCTAACGAATTAATCCAGAAAGGAGCCCTGGAAAGGCTTCTTTACTGCAACGATAGTTCTACACATCGCTGTTAATAAGAAAGCTTCTGTGGTTGAGCCAAGCCAATCCTACAACCCTACAACCCTACAACCCTACAACCCGAACACAGACAACCTCGAAGAAACACCAAGCCATGCCCGACAACCTCGGACCCTTGCTTAGTGAACACCCCGCGACTTCCGCGCTTGAACTCAAGTTCCGCTCACTTCTCGAGTTCAAGCCCGGCGACAATGTCCTCGACCTAGGCTGCGGCAACGGCACGACCTCGTTCTACGCCGCATCCAAGGTCGGCCCGACAGGCTCAGTCACCGGCGTCGACATCAGTGATCGATTCTTCCCTGAAGCACGATCATGGTACGAGCAGAAGGCCGAGAAGAATGACTGGCCACCGATGGAGTTCCACCAACACGACGCGTGCGATCTGAGCTCTTTAGAGGCGTTGAGAGGCAAAGAAGAGACCTTCGATGTTATCACCTTCACACGAGGCTTCGGCATGCTCAAGGAGCCGCAGAAGGCTGTGAGCCAGTGGCTGGCGTATCTCAAACCAGGCGGGCTGCTGGAGTTCGACGTAGGGCACCAGCGTGAAACCATCGCTGCGATTGTTCTGGAGCGTGTCTGCAGGAAACTAGACATTCCACTAGATTTTCGCATGGACTGGATTGTGAATGAGAACTCGCTGGTTCGACTGCTGGGTTGTGCTGGGCTGATTGTCGAGGAAGTCAAGCTGGAAGAAGGAGAAGAGCGGTATTATGGCTTGGAAGAGTGGGAGCAGATGTTCGAAGACAGGATAGTGGAAGACCGCGTACAGCTGAAGGACGACGAGCTTCGACAGAAGGCAAAGGCTCTGTTCAAGGAGGAGTGGAAGAAGGCTGCGGAAGACGGTGTAAGAGTGAGAGAGTCAGATGTCTGCTATGTTCTCCTTGCAAGGAAACCGACAGAACCCCTTGGGCCCATCGAATTGGCAGGAGGCTGCCGCTGCCGAAAGGTTCGTTACACCGCCAGTGTATCGCCTTCTCCTATCAGCTACTGTCACTGTCAGACATGCCGCAAGCTCTCCGGAGGACCATACATGCCATTCATTGACGCCCCCTCATCCGCTGTGAAGTTCGAGGAATCTGCAGCACTGCGTTCGTACTCGGCTACCGAGGGGGCAGAGCGAGGGTTCTGCAGTGAGTGCGGGTCGCCGATATTCATGAAGTACCACAACGAGCCAGACACGATCGGCCTGCTCATGGGATCAATCGACGATGAGAGCTGGGATGAAAAGCTGCACACACAAGAGGCACACATCTACCTGCGTGAGAAAGCTCCGTGGTTCAAAGTACCGGACGATGGATGGCCGCGGCATGCGACTACGACGGATAAGGGAGAGGTGGAGTAGCTGTTGAGATCATTTTGGACACTAGAGATACAAGCTTCCTCCGCTGGCTGCATCTGCTCGCTCGCTCCAGCTGACCCATCTACGCACCACTTCATCGACCTCTCTGATGCCCTTCCTACTAGCTTCGACTTCAAACCATTCCCGATGATCTTTCCCGCACACCTCGCATGCTTGCGTTCGCCTCTTGTCCGCTAGCTCGATGTGGATGAGGCGCTCGACTCGGTGCGCATGTGGCACTTTGCGAACACCTTCTAGCTGACGCGGCTGCGATGGAGAACCAGTGGGAGTATTGAGCGGAGATGTAGCTGGTGAAGTAGGAACGTAAGGATAAAAGCGAACTAGAGACAGGCTGTAACCGCATTGACGAGTCCATTCGGAAAGACGGCGATGGACGTTTGATGCTCTTCCGATTTTTAGTAGCATAGTTTTCTCCCTAACCTTTGCACCTGCACTCGTCTCGTCATCCATGCGTCCATTACTGCTTGAATAATCGCTCAGCACGTCGCTGACTCTCCTCCGCCCAGCGCCCGGCCGGGCAGGGCTCGGTGACAACAGAGATGATGCGGCGTCCGAAGGCGGAGTAGGCGCAGCGGAATCGGTCAGCCAGAAGATGTAAATGTACCCTTCGTCGTCGTGTGGAGAGATCGGCTTAGCGAGCTCGTTCAATAGAGCCGAAGTGGTTTGCGGCGATAAGTGATGTGGGATCAATGAAAGAAGGTTTGTAGTTTCTGAGGGGCGTTGATGGTTTAGTGGACGCACAGGCTTCTCCCTTAAAGGCTCTCGGTCTGTCATCGTACCAGGTCGAGTAGGGGCCGGAACTTGTGCTGCCGGGCCTCGAGCGGAATCCCTCCTGCTCGAGCCTTCTGGTCGGTTGGGGACACCAAAATCATGGACTGCAGACTGGCTGCGGCGCTCACCGCGATGTGCCGTCGGTGCTGAAGGCTTTGACGGTGGAGCGAATGTCATTTCGGGCTTGTCAGGGGGCTGTATCCTTTTTCTATGCCTGACCACTTCGATGTAATCATCATCGGCGTTTCCAAAGCAACACAAGCTCGCCCAGAACCCAGGCTTCTTCCTCCTGGCCGGCTGTTGTACTGGTAAACGTCGTGGTACCGGACGCGCCACTTCCGCCACGGTTTCCTCCGAAACTGCAATGAGAGGCCCCCTCACACTGTCCCATGTCGGCGGTCGTTCGACCCTTCTAGATGGTTGATGAGAGGGGAGTTCTTGGTTCGACCGGCGTTCGCGCTTTTGCTTTCCACGGGTAGTCGTAGAGTTATCTTCCACTTCTAGCACACCTAGTCTTGCTACCAGCGTGTCTATACTGCTTCGCTCCTGTAGCGGGACGACGTTTGTTTTCGCTGTTTCTTGCCCTGCTCTGCCTTCCGCGTGGGTGTTCGCTAATCGCTCCGCTTGGTCTTTATGTTGCCAGCAGAAGAAAGCTGCTGCGGCGCCAGCCTCTCCGTCTCCCTCATGAGGGGCTACGGCAAGCACGCCGCCTAATGCCGATGCTGAGGATCTGCGGGATGCTTTTGGCGGCGCGAGCGCTCTTCGACAAGGACGGCCGGAGGAAGTGATCCCCTTGCATGTTGTGGCCGGATTCTTCGAATCACTTCGCGGAAGGAGCGCTTCGGGTGTGTGAGGTATGAACGGCATCTTGCTGTAGCTTCAAGCTTGTTTCCTGCATATATTACAGTGCAACTTTGTCTTGAAAGGCTAGTATCGTCGGTCTATAATGGACTGCATTGGAGGAAAGAATGATCAAGATGAGTTCCAGAGTGTTGACTGGTAAGGGAAACAGTATAGACGGAGAGTTCATTGCCCTACGGACTTAGCTTTGTATTGGTATTTAGTCAACCAGCTCCTAGTGCTACGACTGTGCAGCCATTGGTTTACCTAGAGTAGAGGAAAGGTGAGGTGGACTCGGTGGGGTGGCTGGTGTGACGTGGCTGGGAAGCTGCGGCTTGCCTTCGCGGATCACCTGACTTGTAGATCGCTCGACATGACGTTTCTCCTGACCGACATGCAAACTGAATGAGTGAGGTTCCATGATCTGTGAACAAGACTAGGAGTCGTGGCTACCCACGTACGATAGCACTCTAAACCATACTTCCCTACAGACTCACGTTCAGAAGGCATGGCGTTGTTGGCGGTATACTCCTTACCTTCTCGACTATAAGAGCAGAGGTATGAATCAGTCGATAGAACACGTCGAATACGCAGAAGTTTACACGCTTGCTACTTTCCTAGCCGAGCGGTGCGAGTGGTGCCGACGGCTGTTCTCTAGCCAGCCATCTCACAAGATAATGGATATACAATGGACAGCAACTTTTAAGATCCAGCCTTACAGCCACCCGACTCTTCGAGTTATGAAGCTCAATCCTCCCAAGGCCGCTGTGATACCGGTAAACACAATTAGACCTCCGTACCCGCTTCCGTACCCTAGAGCAGCTTCCCCGCGCCATGGCTCTCCCTTGAGGAGAGCTTCGCTCAGAGGCCCCGAAACGACGTTCCCAATACCTCGTCCAGCCGCCAGCCAAGCGAAAACCATGCTTGTCTCGATACCAGCCTTTTCTTTCTGCACGTACCGAGTAATACCCGGCCAAGCACTGGTGTAGCTACCCGCAAAAAGCCCGTAGATTACACAGAAGGTATACAGCAGCGGCAATGACGCAGACAAGCCCCAGAAGACAAACACGCCTATGGTGGAGCCGATCGTGGAGACCATGATGCAGGTCGTAACGTGAAATCTGTCAACCATAGAGCCCATAGCTACACACCCAAAAACGGAGGCGACGTTGAACAAGATGACTGTTAAGGCGCTCATCAGGCTGGAAGCGCCCATCGAGCGGGCGTACATAGGCAAGTAGATGGTCGGCAGGAAGTAGCCGAGGCTTTCGATAATATTACCGGCTTGAAGGATGTTGAAGGTTTTAGAAGTGAGGAAGCTCAGGTCAAAGCGGCGTGGTGCGGAGGTCCGATTCAACGGAAGCCGGGGCCTGACGAAGTAGAGCAGTGGCGCAGTCAGGACGAAAAGTGCAACCGCCCAGACCCGAAGCGTTGTCTTGTAGCCGTAGTCGTGGAGAAGCCACTCCATGACCAGTGGCAGGATGAAGCCTGCAAGACCGGTACCGGCCTGTTGTAGCGCTCAGTCAGTGTTATGAGCCAAGTCAATGGCATAGAAGCTGCTCTTACCCACATAATCCCAAAGGCGAAACCCTTCCTCTTCACGAACCACTGGTCCACATAGATCACCGTAGGACAGTATACCAGACTCCCACCTATAGCGTACAGAACGCCTTGCGTCAAGATCAGATGTCCGACCGTCGTCGAAAACGAAGACATCGAAAGCGCCAGACACATGGTGATGAGTCCTGCACCCAAAGCCGGCCGCTGTGTAATAGGCCACCATTGCATCATGGCAAACGTGAGCGGACAAGCCAAGTACATGATTCCCATTGCGCAGGTTCCTATGACAGCCACATTGGGTGAACCTGCGAATGGCTCGTGGGAGCTGTAGTACTCCTGGAACACCCCGAATGCGAAAGGAAAGCCCCAGACCAGTGCTTCGACGGTGAAGGCACCAGCAAGAAATAGCCATGCAGCTTTCCCACCGTCCACTGGAGGCAATGAGATTGTTTCTTGCTCGGTAATCCCAGAGGGTCTCGACGGCGCCAAGCCAGTGTTCTCGAGCTCAATGCTGTTTTGATCCATATTGAGGGTTCAGAGTAGGAAGGAATAAAACAAACAACTGAGACTTTCTACAGAGTAGGTAGAGGGGAAGGAAAAGTTGCAGTTGTCAATAAATCATAGTGCCATCGGCGGACTTCTCACCGTGTCTTGACTTACTAACAGCATTTCATTGGTTAGCGCCTGCATTGAGTTGTGTTCTGAAGGGCGTGCAAGGATCTTGCGCGAGCATAGGAGATGCGGTTAGACCTCGGTGAATTCGCGCGTCACCGATCTGATATCGCAGAAAATTTAGAGTAAGCAAAGCGAGTCAGAACACCTCCATAATGTCTGAGAAGAAGAGAAAGAGAGGCTCCGTCGAGGATGGCCCACCAAGTAAGAAGATTGCGCCCGCCGCACCTTCAACAAACGAGGTCAAGGTCACATTTGTCCCGGACAATGAAGAGCTATGTCCAGTTGTAGGTGCGTAATTGCAAACCGTACTACCATTTTACCCTCCTGAACTGACCTCAGAGGACATTGTAGCTGATGCATAACAGCCTCTACACCAGGTCTCTCCATACCCACGAACATCCCGCTACAACCCTACAAGAAGTCCCGTATATTAACGCCGGGCCACAAGCCCTCTAAGTCCGGCACATACGAGCTCCTCCTCCAGTCCTCCAACCATCCCCGTCTCGACTATACCGCGCGCGAAGAGCATGATGGCAGCGCCGATAGTCTTCTCAAGCACTACGTGGGCGTCTTCGACCCCACCACGAGCGAGCTCACGGTTACAGAAGCGCACAAGATAGTGGTCCGGAGTACCCTTCGCAGTGAAGCGGAGGAGATGCGGGAAGAGCGGGAAAGGCGAGCTGCAGAGGTGGCGCAAAAACCTAGAGCGTCGGCCTTAAAGCAGGATCTTGGGATGACATTCGGCACGAAGAAGGCAAAGAAGGCGATTGCGTCGATTACGGAAAACGCCATATCACAGGGAGCGGGCGGTGGGCCAGGCGGGAAAGCGCCGGTGGGTTCAGTAGCTGCGGCGGTTGTGGATGCCATGGCTGCTGCAACTGCGGCCATGCCGACTCGCGACGAGATGCAGGCCGATATCGACACAACGAAGCCGCGACCTACACCGAATACGAACGCTACCACACCTGCGGAGGTTTATACGCTGGAATCGCTGGTTGGTGCAGATACCGTTAGAGAAATTAAAGTCAAGGATTGGCTAGATGCGGTCAAGGAAAACCAGGACGTCAAGACCTCGAGCCGTTTTGTGTCAAGAAGATTGGAAACGGTGGCGAAGATTCCGGACATCAAGAAGCTGAAGGCCTTGAAGTACATCCTGCTGCTCATCGACTTCCACAACGTGCTGAAGTCCGCTGGCAAAGATGGAGGCAAGAAATTACCGCAAGCCGATGACATGGCAAAAAAGTTAGGGGGTTACGGTGCGCTCGTCAACGGCGCGAAGCGGAACTTCTCAGATAAAGGGTAGGGCTGATTGCTTTGCCCTCATTTGGGAGCCACATGACTAACAGGTCTATAGGATGGTGACAAGTTGGTATCTCGACAAACTTAGGACGCATGTCGCTGCCTTGGCACTCATTGTCGACAATTTTCAAACCGACGTTTCAGGCCTTACGGGAGACTTGCGGCTTGACAGCGCAGGGTAAGGCAGCTCTTCCTTTGGCTGTATTAACCCACATTCTTAGAAGCGCTGCTGACAGCACCAATCTATCAGGATGTCGAAATACTTCAAAGAGATTGGCTGCAAAGTGGTTGCACTGTCTGAAGACGAGCGTGTCAAGCTTGGGTATTCGAAGGCTGAGGCTGCTGCGCATAAGCAGGCCAAGCTTCGTCTTCCGCTAGAATTTCCGAAGCAGAGGACTCCGCGGCAGAAGAAGCGCTGAGGCAGCTGAATGGTGTTCGCCTGTCTTGAAGGTGGAAACGAGTAATCAAATGCCAGTCCAAGAACGCAGAGGCCCTGAGGGACATGTTTGCGACATTGGCGCTACCGACTCCTATCAGAGCGATATGTTCGATGTCGATCTGTGCATGAAGGGCTATCGCCTCTTCTGGTAATGCTAGATTTAGACATCTCACGACATAAGTCAATAATTCAAGACCGCATCCATAGAGCCTGCGAAGGCGAAGGGACTTGATGTTCTAGACGCGAGTAGATTATGCAACGCTTATCGTAAGGAGTTACTTCTCCTGGCTTCAAACGCATGATTCGAGAATTTCGCCTTCATTGGCATTATCACTGTGCTTCTAGTGACGCTGATTCTACGAAAAGAGTGATCCCTGCCTGAAAGCACGGCTCTTCGGTCGCTTGCCGAGTACTTGCGTGCTCTGCAGTTGACACTAGGATGAGTCTCATAATGCAGAGAAGTATACTACATCACGAGGAGCTGTTCTTGTTACGATTCACTTTCTACTTCGCCACGATGCTCACAACATCCTCATCCGCCACCGCATGCCCAAGTCCAACCCTCTGAGGCAGATGCCTTGCACTGGCGCCCCACACCAGCGCATACTTGAAGGTTTCCTTGAGGGTCCGATGAATCTGGTCGCAAACATCCTCGATTGTTGCACCATTTCGCACGATAAGCGCCTCGGAGAAGTCTGGGTCTATGCCTTTCCTTTTCGTGTAGACGCGGATCAGCCGTAGCTCTTCCCAACACCGCTCGACGACGTCCTGGATACCGAGGTCGAGCTCACAGCTCATGACGACGGTGTTTGGCTCGCGTGCTAGCTTGTCGAGGAAGTCTAGGCTGACGCTGTCGATCTTGTTGTAGACGTATAGACTGGCTGGATCAGCTTGTTGTGTGGAGAGGCTCCGCCGTAACCAGCTTACCATTTGATGTACTTTCTATGATCCTTCATGATGGTGTCGATGAGATCATCCACGGTTGCTTGGGGTTTATCAGCCGCTATATCCTTCAGTTGCTGTGAACATCCTACCATTCTCGTCCCGTACGAGGCATTCGCAATTCAGCATCTTGTAGTCCCGAAGAATGTTGAAGACCATCTTCTCGTCCAGCCGTTTGGGAGGTGACTGAAACGTGATCTTCATACCGCCTGCCTTCTTCTGCTTGAGATAGATGTTCGGCGGTTCTCGGTTGAGCCTGATGCCCACCGCTTCCAACTCGCCTTCGAGCAGTGCTCGCTGTTCGGCGCGCTTAGTGGCGTCGAGAATCATGAGGATCAAATCACTTGTCTTCGCAGCCGAAATGACTTGACGACCTCTTCCCTTACCCTCGGCAGCCCCTTCGATAATCCCGGGTAAGTCGAGTACTTGAATCTCAGCGCCTCCATATTCAAGCACGCCCGGGATGGCCGTCAGGGTCGTGAAAGCATATGCGGCGACCTCACTCTTCGTCTTGGTGATCTTCGACAGAAAGGTGGATTTGCCGACTGAAGGAAAGCCGACCAGCGCTATTCGCGCATCGCCACTCTTGCTGACATCGAAGCCGGCGCCACCTCCTGAACCTGCTCCTGGTGCAGGTTCCAGTAGCTGCGCTCGTAGTCTTGCAAGTTTTCTGGTAACGATTCAGCATCAAGCATGAGTTCTATGGTGAAAGTCAAGGCACGTGACTGACCCCTTCAGAAGACCAAGATGATACTCTGCAAGGGACGGTCAACGGATAGCTTCCTCAAGAATGGAAAACGTCGCGTACCAGTCGCCTTGTTCTCTTTCAGCTGTCAGCGATGTCCGAGATTGTCACGGCTAGAGAGCGTTACTCTGCGTCCTCGCCATCTCCGTCTCTATCCTGCATTGCGTTAGAGAATTTCTTTGCCAATCCACTTTGACGAGCTAAGTCGTACTCCTTAATCTTCTCCGTAATGTTTACCATCTTGGCGGCTGATTCGTGAGCAGAAACTTGTAGATTTGGTATAACTTGACAGTGCTATCAAATGTTTGTCGAATGCTGCCGAAGCGGCTCGCCTGAACGGGTGGGACTTTTGCGGGCGTATCGAATGTACACATCAGGACTAGCGCCACGGAAAAGAATTACGAGCAGCCGAAGAGGCAACATGCCGCCCTCAGCAAGAAAACTCAACGGTCCTTTAAATGCAATAAATGCAACATGAGTTAGCATACATCTTCATAGATTTAAATTTTTGTTCTTTCTCGCAGTCTCTACCTCGAGTCCATAATGCTCTTCGGATCTTCTGCGCCCCAGAGTCACCACGAGGTACTTCAACAATATACCGCCCAATATGATGCCCGGATCAAATCAGGCGAATACGAGCCTTTTGTATATCCATGGGGTACCTTCGGTGCAGCAGTAGTCATCCTCTATCTGCTCATAGATCACCGAGATCGACCATTTCTCCGCCGATCCAGGTATCTGGTATGGGCTTTCAATGTGGGCTTCTCCGCCTACTGCATCAGATACTGTCGTGCACGTAGTATGGTAGCCGGCTTTGGCATCGGCCTTGTTTCGGCATGGTCTATCCTTTGGACAGCTACGATTCTCATCGTCCATGATGCCCAGATGGACTTCCGAAGAATCGAGCGAACCGATAGCGGAGTTGGCCAGACGATAGCTCCTCAGCAATATCTCGAGCCGTTTGACGAAAGCTCGAACGGTCATGCAAACGGTTCAGCGTCCCAAACTAAAGGACTTGCTATTAAACGGCGGAGGTCTCGTTCGGGATCTAACAAGTTTGGCACACGATTAGCGCCAGCCCAGAGGAAGGGCGCTTTTGCCTGGCAGTCGTACCCAGTAGCGCCATTCATCGAGCGGCTGGACTGGGTCGCTGATGTCTTCTGCAACTTCAGGGGCATGGGCTGGAATTGGCGCATCTCCGGACTTGCACCTGCTCCAAAATGGGTGCAGGAAGAGCTACGAAATACCTCTGGAACCGAGGTCTCAGACAAGGACACACATACCGGCAAAGACGGTACCCACAGATATCACACCAAGCACGAGGTTCTTCGCGCGAATGTGAAAGCCTTCATCATCAACTACTTGATTATGGACCTTATGAAGGTCTTCATAGTGCATGACCCGTACTTCTGGGGTCAACCACACCTACCGCCGCCGTCATGGTATCCCGCCGCTGTAAGAGCCTCACCACTTTTGTTGCGAGTGGTGCGCCTAGCGCTCACCCTCTTCGCCGTTAAGTCGTCCCTTCTGTGCCTTTTTACTCTGGCGCCGCTCTTCTTCGTCGGCGTTCTCGGGCCGAAGGTGATTGGCGCTCGTGGCGAACCGTGGATGTATCCAGATACCTGGGGCAGCTACCGGAATGTCTTCGACAAAGGCTTGACTGGGTGGTGGGGCGGCTGGTGGCATCAGACGTTCAGGTTCGCTTTTGAGTCACCTCCAAAGCGGATCGTTACTGCTCTTGGGATGAACCCGAAGTCTCTAGCTGCAAAGGGATTACAGCTCTTCATTGCGTTCGCGTTGTCTGGGTCTCTGCATGCCTGCGGCAGCTTCACCATGGCCGGTCAGACATCGCCGCTGAGCGGACCATTCTCGTTCTTCGTCCTGCAAGCCTGCGGAATCATCGGCCAGCTGCTTCTGACGGGCATGCTACGAAAAACCGGCGTCACGCAGCGAATGCCGAAGCGGGTGAGACAAGCTGCTAACTTCATCTATGTCCACCTGTGGTTCCTTTACATAGCGCCGCTTCTTTGCGATGACTTCGCGAAAGGTGGCATCTGGATGTACGAGCCCTTCCCGATAAGTCTGCTGAGGGGGTTGGGTCTGGGCGGACCTGAGAACGGTTGGTGGTGTTGGGGTGGTGAGTGGCTTAGATGGCATACTGGGCAGCACTGGTGGCAGTCTGGAATTTCTATGTGATTTTTGAATGACTCCTTTAGATTATGAATAGATAAATCTCCTTTAGATACATTGTAGAGTATAGATCTCGAAGCTTTTCAATAAACTTCTATACGCAGCCGAAACCATTTTGAAATGAGTTCCTCATTCTCCGAGTCGTTCGCAAGCTGCGACACAGAGCGGATACTTTGCGGACTCTCACGACAATCTATATGAAGGACGCTGTGGCAACGTGGAAGCCACACCCCGGATCCGCTTGGTTGCAAGAGCTCCAGGAGTAATGGCTATAATCACCTTGCATTCAGATATTTGAAGCGGAGCCGATTCATTACAAGCGCTTGGTTGTAGCGTTCACGTATACCAAACGCATCAGACAACACCAATAGTGGAACGATTTGAAAGGCACCGAGCTTCGTGATATAGGACACCTACATGAGAGTATACAAAGCAAGCGGTTGCCAGAAGAGGCAGGGCTTCGGGATTTCATCTTCTGTTTCGTCTCGTCTGCGAGATGACAAAACGATAGATTCCAAGCAGCTCTCTACGTGTAGCCCTCATCGCGTTGAGTTACCAAGATGGAGATTTCGCAGAATGGATGCGCTGCAGCTGACAGTTCTCGCAGCTGTCAGACACTTGACAATCGACGTCCACTGGTCAGCCTTGCGCGGAGAAACCAAAACCCGGAGCATCCAGCGAGCATTGCCTCATCCATCGCCTCGGGGTCGGTCTGCCGTGCCATTGATAACTTGACCCTTCCACACCTCAGGCCGCTCAGTCCTTACAAACATCGAAGCCGACTTCGAACCATCCTTGCGAATCCAACCCGTCTGCTCACGCCTTCTCCGCCGCACACTAAACCGCCCAACCGCTAGCCCTACCCACCGATAATCCGCCATCATGAAGCCCGTCGTATCAGCGATGAATGCATGGACATGGTGCGGCCAGTCTCTTCGCGCGGTTAAACACTGTTTTCTGACATCGCGCCCAGCATCGTCGTCTCCTGCTTCGCGATCGTGATCCTCTCCATCATCGGCTCCCTCTTCAAAGTACGTCACCTACACGTCTCCGCCCATATGCCTACCTACATTCTACACGCGCTCTCAAACACCATGACATTCTACCTACATCTCGAATCCACATCTACCTCATAATATCCCCCGTTCAAGCCCCACGAAAGGCTAACGTTTCCCCGCACAGTCAAACAACCACTCTATGATGGGCTCAACTGACGACCCCGAGGACGGCAAAGCCGTCGCAGCCGCAGTCTTTGGTGCCGTGGGCGTGTATGCCATCTTCCTGGTGTTTTGCTCCAGCCAGGCGTGGTTACATATGCGAGCTCGGGGGACGGAGAGGAGGGGCGGGATTGCGCTGTCATGAGTGTTGCGATGGTGTGGGGGAGAGAGATGTGATGCAGGAGGACGGACTTCGGTTTGATGCTGTGCGCGTTGTCTTTGGGCTGGTTTGCACGGCGTTCTAAGGGAGTATGTTTGAGTGGCTGTAGATGTTGGATTTAGGCTAATGTGCACATGGGAGTCCGTTAGACGCGGTCTTTATTCCGTTACCCTATTGGCACTGAACGACCTCGAAGTTTGTTTTGTACAGGATTTGTTTCAGCATTCCCCCTTGCCATGATACTCGCTATGGAATCAACCCGCGGGGTACGCCACAGGATGCATTTTCCGCCTTCTAATGCGTTTTTCAGGCCACCCGTTTCCAACGCCAGTATTGCAACGCCATCGTAGAGATTGCCAAGTCATCAATACTATCATGTCAGGCGTTTCCCGTAAATCTCACCGTTCTTCGTCGCTGCTCCCCTCGTCCCTCTCCTCGTCCCTCTCCTCGTCCAACCACTTACTCATGTATGGCCCATCAAGCCAATACCCCAACTTCGTATAGTAGCTCCTCACGCCGACCCCAGAGATAACACTAATCTTCCTTGACCCATGCTCCTCCCTCGCGATCCTCTCCGCCTCCTCCATCAAAAGCGTCCCATACCCCTGATGCTGAAACTTCCTCGGATCCCTCGCATGCACCGGCACCGCACTGCCATAAACATGCAACTCCCTGACCAAGCTCGTCGGCTGCCCCACCAGCTCCGGCCTGAACGTATGCTCCGCGCTACACTTCCGCAGCCTGAGCAGCGCAATCAGGATATCCTGCTTCGGATCCTCGTACGCCAGGAACGTCTCCCACCCGCCGTTGGCCGCGTAGTCGCGCCGCACGAGCTCGACCTGCGACGGCCGGATCTTGTGCTTCACCTCGTTGATGCCGACTTCGCGCGTGCGGACGTCGCGGCAGGACGTCCCGAAATCCTTCATCCGCGCCAGCGCTAGCTCGCGCAGGTTGCCGTTCTCAACGCCCGCGGTGACGAGCGGCATCGGGATGTCGCGCTGGACGCGGTAGATGCGGGTCCAGGGCGGAACGAGAGCCAGGATGCGAGCCACGAGGTCGATGAGCGCGTTGGGCGTGTAGTTCTTGTAGCGGCCCGTGCGCCACAGCTCGTAGAGCCCCGTCCCGCGGATTACGAGGGTTGGGTAGATCTTTAGCCCGTCGGTCCGGAAGGAGGGGTTCTCGAAGTACTCGCGGAATTGGTCCAGGTCGCGCTCCATGCCGACGTTGGGGAGGTCGGGCATCATGTGCGATACTACTTTGAAGCCGGCGTCTTTGGCGAGGGAGAAGGTTTTGCAGACGGCGGCGACGGTGTGGCCCCGGTTGGTGTCGCGCGCGACATCTTCGTAGAGGGATTGCACGCCGATCTCGAGGCGGGTGCAGCCGTAGCGGAGCATGCTGGAGAGATGCGTGTCCAGGCAGTAGTCTGGCCGGGTTTCGATTGTGATGCCGACGCATTTGATGTTGGACATCTCGCCTGCCGTTACGGCTTCATCTACGTTGTTTGTTTGGTAGCCGGACAGGGCGTTGTGAAGCTGCGATATGAACTCGTCCCGGTAGTCCTCCGGCAAAGACATGAATGTGCCGCCCATGATGATGTACTCGACTTTGTCCACGCTGTGGCCGAGTGACTTGATCTGGTCCACCCGTCCTCGTGCCTGTTCGTAGGGGTCGTAGCGCGCGCGGATGGCTCGCATGGAGGTCGGCTCGTAGCCTGTGTAGGACTGGGTTGAGTATTCGAAATCTGAATCCGGCCCGCCGGGGCAGTATACGCAGATGTTGCCCGTGTAGGCGATGTGTGGACATCGATGCGGCTTGCACATTACCGCTACCACTGCTATGCCAGACGATGTCCGTATAGGTTTCGCTATTAATTTGGGAAGAATGTATTTCTTGTGGTGCTCTGGTACAGCGGCGATGATGGCGGTTAGGGGTGGTTGAGTGCTCAGGTAGTGTTTTTTTGCTATTTGGCCGCGCAGGGCGTTGAGATTGAGGTCCTTCTTTGGCTTTGAGCCATCGAGCTGAGCTTCGTAGTCCTGTATGAGGGCGCTGGCTATATCGGCGCATGCCCGCATGTATCGCTCGTTCTCCGGTGGAAGCTTGACATTCTTGGGTATGCGGCTGTTCTTTGGCCGCAATTCGGTCACCGTCATGGTCGCCATCGTGGCCCCTGTGTGTACTGGAGTGCCTGGGATCGACTCTCTACCTAGGTGAGTATTGCCGTGCGGCGAGATACTTGGTGGGGTGTTCGTCGCGAGCTGCGCGAAAGTTTCAACGAGGATCAGCCGTTGACGCTGAAGCGCAGAAGTCTGGGCAACGCTCCCGTCCTATCTCCACCTGGGCACCTCCTCACCAGACCCTGACCTACTGCAGCACCAGCTCTCGAGCTACAATTCTTCTACCCGTCGATCCTGCCCGAGTGCCCCGTCGCGCCACAATGCAGGCCTTTCGACGTCCCTTGGTCTCGGCGGCACAGACGACTGCGCGGAGGAGCTATGCGACAGCTCTAGCTTCGTCCATGTACTCGAAAACAAACGTCAATCTGCGCATCAACGGCGACACAAAGGTCATATACCAGGGCTTTACGGGAAAGCAAGGAACGTGAGTCGGGTTGTTGAGCTTCTGGGAGCTTCATAAGCTGAGAACGGTACAGATTCCATGCGCGACAAGCCATTGAATACGGTACATTATACAGCTGCCCCGCCTGCGAAAGAGCTCTATGTTCCCTAACATACATCAAGGCACCAACGTGGTCGGCGGCACAAACCCCAAGAAGGCGGGCACAGAGCACCTAGGCAAGCCAGTCTTTGCATCCGTCGCCGACGCCGTCAAGGAGACCGGGGCCAATGCCTCCGCCATCTTCGTCCCACCACCGCTCGCCGCGAGGGGTATAGAGGAGGCAGTCGAGGCACAGATCCCGCTGGTAGTGTGCATTACGGAGGGCATCCCGCAGCACGACATGGTCCGCATCACGGACATGCTCAAGACGCAGGACAAGACACGGCTGGTTGGACCCAACTGCCCTGGTATCATCGCGCCGGTATGGCTTCCAATGGTCTGTCAATGTCGCTTTGACATACTTACAAGATATACAGGGTCAGTGCAAGATCGGCATCATGCCCGGCTTCATCCACAAGCGCGGCCGCGTCGGCATCGTCTCCCGCTCCGGCACCCTCACCTACGAAGCCGTCAACCAGACCACGCAAGCCGGCCTCGGGCAATCCCTCGTGATCGGTATCGGCGGTGATCCCTTCTCCGGTACAAACTTCATCGACTGCTTGAAGGTCTTCCTGCAGGACGAGGAGACAGACGGCATTATCATGATTGGCGAGATTGGCGGCTCGGCGGAGGAGGATGCGGCGGACTTCTTGAAGGAGTACAACACGGCGAACAAGCCTGTGGTGAGCTTCATTGCCGGTATCTCGGCGCCGCCGGGGAGGAGAATGGGCCATGCTGGTGAGTATCCCATCCATTGGAACTCTCGCCTGACACGTGCTGATATGGTATAGGTGCTATTGTTAGTGGAGGCAAGGGTGATGCCAATTCCAAGATCAGAGCATTGGAGGGTGCCGGCGTTGTTGTTGAGCGTAGCCCTGCCGCGCTGGGCAAGACGTTGCACGCCGAGTTTGTTAAGCGGGATTTGATATAGAGTGGTATTCCAGTTGGAGGCGGGATGAGTTTCATATAGGCATCTAGTGGCTCTTGAGTTGCGTACACCTTCAAGGTTTGTATCAGCGGTTGCACAGCACTACCGAGTCATTCGAGTCAATGTACAGTTGTTGAGCACATGTTTATGCTCTTCAATGCGAGCGCATGAATCTAAGACGAATTGCCAATCTCCGGATTCCTGAACTCGTCTACGCCTCCTGGCTGACATCCACCTCCTCTCGTGTTCCATGCCCGTGAACTCCCCGGGCCAGCTCCAAGCTATTCCGCTCCGCTGGACCCTGGACTTGGCATCTCGGCCCGCATCCGAGACCTGCACCTCGCCGTAGATCCTCGAGCAAAATACCACAACCTTAAACACCCATTGCAACCCCCCAGTCCCCCCTCATTCGCCCCCCACCCCCCACCAGCCCTCGCCATGCTCTCCGGAATACTCCTCTTCAACCAAAAAGGCGAGAACCTCATCTTCCGCTCCTTCCGCACCGACTGCCGCCCCCGGCTGGCGGACGTCTTCCGCATCCAGGTCATCTCGAACGCGCAGGTGCGCTCGCCCATCCTAACGCTCGGCTCGACCACCTTCAGCCATGTCAAGCATGATAATATCTACGTGGTGGCGGTGACCAAGGGGAACGCGAATGCGGCGCTGGTGTTTGAGTTTCTGGGGCGACTGGTGCAGTTGGGGAGGAGCTATTTTGGCAAGTTCGATGAGGAGGCGGTGAAGAATAATTTTGTGCTGGTTTATGAGCTGCTGGACGGTAGGTGCCTGTGGAGGCGGGGGTGGTGTGGGTGAGGTGGAGGGACGTAGAAGGGAGGGTGAGAGGAAGCTTGGGCTGACGGAAAGTGCCCGCAGAGATACTTGATTTCGGATACCCGCAGAACACAGAGACGGATACGTTGAAGATGTACATCACTACAGAGGGCGTCAAGTCCGAGCGGGCCATGGTACATAGACCCCCCTTCTCCCTTGAAACGCATGCGCTGGCACGACGCTGATATCTTGCCAGGAGGACTCCTCCAAGATTACAATGCAAGCGACCGGCGCCCTCTCCTGGCGTCGCGCCGACATCAAATACCGCAAAAACGAAGCCTTCGTCGACGTGATCGAAGACGTGAACCTCCTCATGTCCAGCTCCGGCACCGTCCTCCGCGCCGACGTCGCCGGCCAGATCGTCATGCGCGCCTACCTCTCCGGCACGCCCGAGTGTAAATTTGGCCTCAACGACCGGCTGACGCTCGGCGAAGACAACGTGCTGAGCGAGCAGCGAGGAAACCAGAAGGGGACGAAAGCCACAAAAGCCGCCGCGGGCAGCGTGAGCCTTGAGGACTGCCAGTTCCATCAGTGCGTCAAGCTGGGGAAGTTTGAGGCGGATCGCATCATCTCGTTTATCCCGCCGGATGGGGAGTTTGAGCTTATGCGGTACCGAGCTACGGAGAATGTGAATCTGCCGTTTAAGGTTCATGCCATTGTTAATGAGATTGGCAAGACGAAGGTGGAATACAGTATTGCGATACGCGCGAACTACGGTCCGAAATTGTTCGCTACTAATGTGGTGGTGAGGATTCCGGTACCGTTGAATACCGCGAAGATTAGTGAGAGGACCAGTCAAGGGAAGGCAAAGTACGAGCCCGAGGGAAACAACATTGTGTGGAAGATCCCGAGATTTACCGGTCAGAGCGAGTACGTGCTGTCTGCGGAGGCGGAGCTGAGCAGTATGACGAATCAGAAGGCCTGGTCGCGGCCGCCGCTGTCGTTGAGCTTCAGCTTGTTGATGTTCACGAGCTCGGGGCTGCTAGTGAGGTATCTGAAGGTCTTCGAGAAGAGCAACTACAGCAGCGTGAAGTGGGTGAGGTACATGACTAGGGCGGGCAACTATGAGATACGGTATGTTTGAATCTTCCACCATGAGCTACGGCGGTTTATTGTGGGACAGTTCCGAACACTGTGCTGACTGCTCTCCCTAGGTTCTGAAAATCGTTCGACGCGGCATCGAAGATTTCACAGCATGTGATATGCTGTCAAGAACCGCACACGACTGCACCGAGGCGTCTGATACGTCCGGAAGCAGTGCTTTGTATGGACTGCAATCCTCGAAGTACAGGCATTGCCGTTGCAGATGCGACATCGGACGTCGTTGCGACGCGAAGCGTTGTAGGGAAGGAAATTGCGAGGCCTGTCACCTCGAACGAAGACAGAGTCATGGCCTAGGCTGTAAGTGGCTATGAGGACAGTATGCGGGCGGCGAAGATAAGGAAGTGAAAGTGGTGTGCCGAGATGCTTATAACTATTGCGGACGAGCAGCTTCTTGCTGCGACGTCGATGCAAAGCTCAGTATGTGGTACGTGAAGGTATTCTAAGGACTTCACTTGAACTTCTTTGCGTTATACCGTATATGAAAATTTTGGAAACAAATGTAGAAGAATTGCACTCACACGCACGCACGTCGTTGCCAAAAATACCCTGACTCCAACCATGAACATCACGCTTCGACACTGGTGCGAAGTTTCTAAATCGATGCCAGCTCGTTCATGTGATTAAGCAATATAGAAAGCACTCTATAAAGCTTATAATCGGCTATGCAGACTAGATTTAGTAATGTTCAATCGGTGGCAAGGGATTGAATTTCTATGCTTTTGAGCCTTGGAGTCGGCGTTATTTTGGCGACGACATAGCACGTGATATCGTGTTAGCGTGCATCTCGGAAACCAGGTTTCTCCATGACCTTCGCAAGTAAACATCGCGTCTACTGTCCAAAGGGTTACCCATAGTACACCAAGCATGTCCTTGAAGCGTGCCCTGCAAGAAGATACCGCCTCAGAGCCCTTAGAAATAATAACGACTCTCGAGCGGCCGCTATTCCCGTGAGTCTACTTTCCAGATACGGGTTCTTCAAGAATTGACACTCTATAGCTCGCTCGACACAACAATAGTCACGGTCCATGTCGGAAAAGATGCCCACCCTTTCCACGTACACAGAGCACCGCTGTGCGAGTGGTCCGAGTACTTTAAGGGTGCTTTCCTAGGCCATTTTATAGAAGCCGAGGAGAAGGCTATGTATCTTGACGATGTGACCGTGGAGATCTTCGTTGCCTTTACAGAATGGCTCTATGTGAGGGCTGTCATTCCTCAGCCAGTCGTGACATACAGCAGTACCGAAAGGCAAAGGCGGCATGACTGGTTCGAGGGCGGCTGGGGCGACGACGAGAGCAATGCCAGGGATGCACTTGAGGGTCCAGAAGAAGACTACGGAAACTGCCATTCTGATCTAGTTGATTCATTTACCGAAAATCTGCTCAGCCTCTACATATTTGCCGACAAGTATGCAATCCCCGAGCTCAGGACAGACCTTCTCGATACTCTGATCCAGTGGTGCTCCTATGCAGATATAACTCCAGATATACAATGCGTACCCAGGGCTTTCAAATACCTACCATCGAGCTCCCCGTTCTGCAGATACTTGACCGACATAAATGCCGCCTTTTGGTTTCCTGAGGACGACGGCAAATCTAGCCTGCATCCTTCCTTGCCGCAAAAATTCCTCCTGGAGATCATCTCAATCAACAGCTACCACGGCATGGACGGATGTACGACCATTAACCACATTTCCCCCGGGAGCGTGATTCTATGGGTCCTTGCTGGTATCACGAGCACAAATCAAAAGCGGAACGTCGCGCCTGCCACAGAAACTACCTAAGAAAACGGATATTACGGGAGAACCTAGCAAAGGCGTGCGCTGGCAGCGTCAGCGCCGACAACACCGACAAGGAACCTGCGAAGAAGAAACAGAAGACCATTGAATGATCGCCGGGAGATGTCTCATTGTTTTCCTTCTATTGTACCAAGTTCAACAAGCATCACGGCTTGATGCTGGAGGAAGAGACGGTGTACCAACATACTCCCGTTCGGCTTTACATCTTTGGGTTCAGGAGTCGGGTCGAGGCTTGCGTGTACCCCATAGTCAGACAGACGCGTTTTCGGTTTCGTCACCTTGTGAAATCATTTCTGTAAAGATGCTGTACACCACATGGTTATACTTCCAAGTGTACGGCAATTTCAAGTTGGAAAAGGTCACCAGAGCGACTGCCAAGTGTTGCTCGAAGCCTTGAGTCCCAGTAATCCTTCGTTACATGACATCTTATTGACTTCGCTTGTCATTTCACATAAAGTTACTTGTTCAATAGTAGAGCCCTAAATAACCGTACCGCTTCACCATACTAATAACAACTCTCTCATAGGCATTCCGAGAATGCCTATTGAACATAGGACATGGGAATGGCATTCCCATGTCCTATGTTCAATGGGATGCAGGTCTCTTTCTTCACGCTTCGAGGCCAGCCGTTCAGCGGCAATAGGGTGGTCAATAAGGTGACAACGCCCGCTGTCCATTCGACTTCACTTGAAACCTACGTGGATGAATGTAGAGTACTGCTTGATAACGCGAGAGGAGTTATCGTCTTGCGGTTACTGACATAGAAATGCCTTCCCGTTTCATGTTTCCAACGGTTTCTGGACCCCTCGACACTGAAGAGTGGAGAAATAGTGAAGATCAGTCTCCTGACGTGTGTAGCGACACTGCCTCCTTTCACTCAAACGATTCACTTCGCTTCCTTGCAAGAATCTGCTGAGCGCGGCCAACCTTGGCCTCACAAGCCACCCGCCATCCTCTGTCAAACCATCGAACAGCTAATCGGTCAACGACCGCAGCAGCATGGCGTCCACCGTTCAAGAGCGCCCGTCATTCTTGTGAGCTACCACCTCGCTTTGGTTGTCCAACTTGTGACTTGTCCGGTCATGTCGCTGATGCTCTTGCCTGTAGGACGCTCACTCAGGATACGATCACCATCGAAGTGGGCGAAGAGAAGAAGCCATTCATCGTGCACAAAGATCTTCTCTGCTACTGGAGCAAATACTTCGACAAAGCTCTCAACGGCCACTTCAAAGAAGGTGGCAAGGACACTATTGCGGTTGAGGACTTCTCCCCATCGATTTTCGGATGTTTTGTGCAATGGCTTTATGCGCAGCCTTCTATGCCCCCAGTACCGGAGGGGGATCCTCAGATGAAGCAGACTGGGAAACTAGGTGGAACCCGACCAAGCAAAAAGACCAGTACTGCTACGCGGTACTCTGACAAGAAAGCGGATCATTCTGACAGAATCTACATCACGGTGATTTTGATGCTACTGCATCTGTACAGCTTTGGGGATAAGTATGAGGCCCACGATCTGAGAAAAGATGCGCTCAGCAAGATGGTAGACTATGCGATAGATGGCAAACGGGTTACTAGCGCAGTAGTGGTTGCTCTCGGTGTCAAGAATTTACCGGATTCCTCGCCGTGCTACAAGTACTTCGTCGATGAGTACGCTTTTGTCTGGACTCCAAAGACGGAGAGCGCGGATGTCATCAAGGACTCTCGTCAGACCTTACCGGCTGGCTTCCTTTTCGATGTCCTGCTGGCCAGCGCCGGAGGGGAAGAGACGCCAGACGACTTGGACGATCCATGCCGGTACCACAAGCATGAGACTTCGAAAGAGGTCGACCACTGCCGTATGCAGCATCCCCAAAGGATGGTTGTTATGGACGAGCTTGTCAGTGCTTGGTGCAGGGGTACTAGTCAAGACTGAGGAGGCGCTGGGTATGTTTCAAGAACACTCCCAACCCTTGCAGCACTCGCTGACCATTTGACGAAGCTTCAAGACGCCCATCCCTCTTCGCGCCACGCATCTCACGATCTAGGTGGAGTCGACTTCGGGGTAGATACTTAGTTGTGCATGCGTAGCGAAAGGTCACATGCGGACAATTCGACCTGACTACACTATTAGCGTCCACTCCGTTTTAACTTCTTCTGACACTTCACACCTTGCGAAACTGGCAAAAGTCGAGCGGAAAAGGTTTTTTGCTTGTCAGCAAGGGGCAACAGTTCTGTATCTACCCTTCTCACGGGTAGACCTTTCTCGGTCAATGCATTCCACTCCTAATCTCGTTTCCATTCGGAGAAGCCCCTGGCATCGCAAATATTAGTATTTTGTTGTGATCTCCGCTGTTTATCCATAGCGAGGGTATCTTCGCACCAGCACCCGCCTACCCTTCCCGAATCGCGATGCCCAGCCAGCTACGGCGACTTTTAGCAGATCCGCTCCTTCCGTAACCAGCTGCCGCCGGCACTTGGTGCTCAACAGGCAAACCTTCTCCCTAAACGCCATGCTAAACTCACAAACCCGCTGATGATGCCCAAAGCCCTGAGAATAAACTGACCCTTTCATGAATGAGTAGACCCCCAAGAATCGCTCACATAACGCTGCACTCCCGATCCAATCCCTTCCTCCCACCCGACGCCCCGCCCTCAGTTCCTGGCTTCGCCGCTTGCGCCCCATGCTTATGCTTATGCTTCTTCTTACTCTTACTCTTCCCCAAACCCCCACCTTTCTTCCCCGTCTCGCCACCCACCCCATCCTCCCCTTCAACCTCCAGCTCCTCAACCCCCACCCCAGCACTCTCACCCAACCGATCCCGACTTTTCTTTCCCGTGAGCCGACTCATCGAGAAACTAAGCCGATTCCCCTCTCCGCTCTGGCTCGTAGGCCTGCTCTTACTCCCTCCCTTCTTCGCCACCGTCGGCCCAGCGCCACCAGTGCTGACGCTAGTCCCAGCCCTGCTCCCCCGCCGCCCCAACGCCTCTCCGAGGAACCCGCCTTTCGCCCCTGCACCGCCCATCTCTTCGCCCGGCGTCGTGGCCGTGCTTCCCGGCGCCGTCGCGACAGACGATGGCGCGGCGTAGAGCACGACACTGCTGCGGCGCGTGTTGCTGCTTTCGAAGGACGTGCGCGCTGCGTTCGTCGCGGCGGAGAGGCGGTCGGTCGCGCGGCTGAGCAGGGTCAGGCTCTGCCGGCGGCCGCGCTTCTCTTCGAGCGGCGAGGCTGTGCCTGCAGCGGTGCCGCCAACGGTCGTCGTCAGGGTCGTGGCGCTCGAGTCCACGAGCGCGGGGTTGGAAAGCTCGGGGCTGTTGGGCTGGGTCCAGGAGACTGCGTCCGTCGATGCGGCAGCGGTCGGGGTCGCGGTCGTGTTTACGGTGCTGGTAGACGGGGCGGTCGGAAATTGCTCAGGGGATGTCGAGCGCTCGGCGGAGGTGAGGAAGTCGGCTTCGGAGTAGGGTGGAGGTGCGCCGTCGCGTGAGGAAGGGGCGGAGACCGAGTCGTTGATGGGCTGGACTTGGTAGAAGAGGAGGTAGGGCGATTCTTCCTTCAGTGCTTGGGCGATGTCGATGTAGGAGACGCGCTCGGCGGCGAGGTCGTCGAAGCGGAGCCAGTGCGATGAGCTGGATTGGCTCGTTACTGAGCTGGCGGCTGAGGCGGGGCGGGAGAGCGAGGGGCTCAGGGTGGTGCTGTTGGTGTCTGCGTTGGGCGCGTCGCCGCGGACAAGGGCGATGTAGTGGCCGGAGTCGACGGAGATGCCGCGGTGGCAGACGATGGATTGGAGGGAGAGTTTGAAGTTTCCGGACAGTGGGCCTTCTTCTTCTTCCATGCGGTCATCGGAGATAAAATGTGGCAGGCCTATTTCGAGGGGTATGTCTATGTATGTATCGAGTCGTCTAGGTGTGCCGTTGGGTAGGAAAGCATAGCGCTTAAGACATATACCAAGCACTGGGCGCTTGGCGGAGAAATGGGCGGCAACCTGTGCATCATTTGTTGGGGCGTTACTCGTCTCGGTGTACCATGCTTAAGTCATGTTAGCGATGGCCGGTGTGACTGGGGAATCGCTTACGGATAAGACTGAAAAACTGCCAAGCTGGCATCATGACTTCGTTACGAATGGATATGGCTCGCTGACGGTTCGGGCTACCAACAGATACATCGTCGTGGCTCTTTCCGTCAGTAGAATCACCAACCTCCACCTTTCGCTGGCTGAATATGCTGTCCGCTCGCCGGCGTGTACTGACGGGCCTGGCGGGCGGTGCAGTTGGTGTGGAAGGCGTAGGGGGAGCAGGAGAATCTGGTCTTGACGAGACTTCCACGACTTCTATGTGCAAGGCTGTAGCCTTGTCTTGCGATATGGGCGTGTTCAGTGTGTTCCGCCGTTGTAGATGCCGCTTTACCTCGATGCGGTTGTTGAAGTAAGATTCCAGGCACTCCTCCAAAGTGATAGTTTTGCCATCCTCTGATGGTTCAGGTATCGACACCTCCAGTAGCCGCTCGTTCACAATCTTGTGATCGTCTTTAGCATCGGTCTTGCCGGAGTGGTAAATGTCCATCTTGAGCGTCAGCATCGGCAGCTCTAGTTTCCCAGTGATGAAGGTGAAGGCCTCAGAAGCGTCCTGTTGATGCACCTTGGTGGCATCTTCCCATCCGCAACGACTAAGCGCCTCCTGCAGCTGCTTCGTCTGTGATGGCCGTCAGCGTTGTGTGGCTAACGAGGAAACGGAGGTGCTGTACAATGTCCACTGTGATGAGTCTTCCAGATCGCAGCATATTGACCCATAACCGCAGCACCGCTGCCAACAGCTTCCGTGGCTCGTCACTAAACGTGTCGTATAGCATAGCCTCAAAACTGTCGAATCTGGCGAACATGGCGAAGAGTAAGGCGTCCAGGTAGCAGGTGACAGCCTCACGATTCTCCGCGCCGAGTAGCTTCACCCGTGAATTGTATGGCGTCAGTATCCCTTCCAACGCATCCTCGAACAGTACGAGGAGCTCGACGGCCTTTTCGACATCGCCGTCGGTGGATTTTACTCGGAGGGCATACTCCATCTGCGGTTCTTTGAGGCTGGTGATACCAAGGGCCGTGAGTCTATGAGCAATGGCTTTGACCTGGACCGCTGTGTTAGCGGAAGATATTCGATCAGCATCAGTAGACGACCCACCTTGAGCTCTTCCTCTTTGCTGAGTTTCTTCTTTTTGTCTTCGGGCGAGAAGATACTGTACAGGTCTGCAGTAACTCGTGACTGTATAGGATCATAAGAATGCTGGTTAGTCAATGGCTCTTCAACCAGCAGCTGTGACCCCGCACGCCGTAAAAACAATGAAGCATAAGGAACCCTCCCTAGCAAAAAGCGCGACAATCGAGAGCAAGCAAAATATGAGCGACGGCTCGCAAGAAACGACTCTTCTGAGCTAGAACGGAGCTTGATAAACGAATAGCGGTCGGGAGGATATACTTTGCTGGAACTGCTACCGGTTGAGCGCTTCTCCCCGCGGGATAGTATTCTCGCCATCCCGTTCATGATGTCGGTTCCCTTTGGCGTTGGCATCCATAAGGCGTGTGTACCATCTACTGTTCGGCGTAGGTCCGGCGGGGGTGGCTAGCGGGCGCCGCTGTTCGCGATTGCTAAAAAGGTGCCGTGGGGAAGGAGATATGAGTATGAAATGGGGCAATTGCGTCGCTACGCTTACTTTGAAGTTTAAGAAAGGGCGATCTGGAGGAAGACTGGGAATTTGAGCAGGGTAGATAGGTGTTAAGAGCTGTTGACGGGGTGTTGCCTGAGACTGAGGGTGAGGGTTCTGGGGCTGAAGAAATCCAAGGGTCCAGGGTCTCTGTTCGTGACTAGCGTCTCAATGCCACGGGGATCGGCCTCCTCGCCGGCGCTAGCACAAAGTTCCAAGCCGCCCAGAGAGCTTTTGCAGAGCCGCAACTTCACCACCGTCAGGCCAGAGACATCGACACAACCGTGTAATAGACGGAGCTATGGCTTTGCGTGAGCTGGGCTCCATCTTCGGCCTTGCCTCACGGTCGGGGACCCGGCCGGTAGTACGATGCGCCAACCTCCCTATACGCCGCTATGCATCGACAGATGCTACTCAGGACCTCGAGCCAGCATCCTCCTTTTCCGCTCCTCCGCCATCAGAAGATATTGTGAAGAGCTATGATCCCGTAGCACAGAGCAGGAGACGGGGGAGACGACTACCACCAAGCAGGTATGCCTGTATCTCAGTAGCGTATACAACGCCTGCGCCCGGGATGGCCGTCCCACCCGCGCGACAGGAGCTTCAATCAAAACCTCCGGAGCAGTTGTACGAATAACGACTAACAACGAAACCCACCCAGATATCAGTTTCGCCCCCCAAAATACTACCGCGGCCCTCTTCACCCACATCAACCTCCACCGCCATCCGACCCCTCCTCCCGCGTCTTCCAACCCGGCCCCTTCTCCCTCCCCCGCCTCGAGCAAACCTACCAGTCCACCATCCAGCCCGACCTCATGACCCTCGCCTACACGCACTTTCCACCCGGCTACACCGCCCCGCCAAAAGGTGCTCGTCTGCGCAGCTGGGAAGGCGCGTCCCCCTACTTCAAGAACCGGCCGCTGCGAGGCCCCAGGGGAAGCGACGTGCTGCGGCTGTTGAGGCAGCCGACGACTTTCCGGAACGTGCCGAAGCTCACAGGCGTGACGGTGCATAGCATGGTCAAGGAAGCAAACGAGGATCCAGCAGTGCTGGACGTGGCGAAGATGGTTGTGCAGGCCATCACGAATGCGCGGACGAAGGTGCACAAGGCGAGAATGAGCGTTATTCAGTGGGGACATAGGGAGGGCAGGGTTGTTAGTGTGACAGCGGACTTGACGGGTGAGGATATGTACCATTTCTTGGGCAAGACGATCGATGTCGTGCTGCCGCGGATTAAGGATTGGAAGGGGGTCAAGGGGAGCTCGGGGGATAGTAGTGGGAATCTGACGTTTGGGCTGAGCGCGGAGAATGTGGCGTCGTTTCCAGAGATCGAGGTCAACTACGACATGTGAGTTCAACCTATGTGAGCTTGTGCGACTGAGACTGATTCGGCGAACAGGTATCCACCGAAGATGATTCCGGGCTGTCACGTTACTGTTCACACGTCAGCGACGAACGATAGAGATGCGAGGCTACTTCTAAGCTCGATCGGAATACCTTTCTATGGGAAGCTGGTAGACTAGGCTACCACGATCTGTACAGATATGTAGAATAATTGTAGAGTTGGCGGACTCCATCCGTACCGGACTGAGGGCTACAAACGGGAGATAGCATCTGGCGGCGCCTTTGTGTCAATGAATCCGAAGCGTTTCGAGCTCGTAGAAGTTGCATCCCGAACGCATGATAATGATCTTATCCCGCTTCTAAGATGCAAGTTCATGGTATACGAGAACTATGCAGAATACAATACGGAACCGACAATACCCCAAAGATCTGTTGATTGTCCTTGATAATAATTAGGAGGATGGTTGATAGAGTGCAAACAAAGTCACGTGAAGCGCGAGAGCGCGTCTTGTACCCCACGCGTTTGGTGGGGTGGCAAATGCCCCAGTCAATGCTTCCCGCCGTCAGGCTGCAACGCCCCGAGCGTACCACGGACCTCGCCCTTTTGACATTCGTGACAGATCCTTTGACAGGTTGTGACAGAGCACTTCACCGATTCTCAAAGGAGGGAGAATCGACTTCATTGAGCGTTGGTTTGCCTTCGCTGCAGGAGCTTCACATCGATTCTCGAGCGCTCTCATCCAATCACTAGCGAGACGCAGGGGTGCGGCAATCGATTGTGAGTGATCGAGTGTTTGACGGTTCTCGGCATCTGCTCGCTGCAACGCTCCCTTTTCTTCACTATCCCGCCCTTCTGGTCGTTCGCTCTTTACTTCTGCTTGTTCTTCAGTACCGCTTCCTGTCCTTTGTAGTTCGATATCCCCGTAAGCTACAAGCATGGCCAGGCGTGGTAGACCACCCGGGCCCACGAAAGGCAGCCTACCCTGTGAGTGTTCATGGAAGCTTCACAACGTCCCTTCACTATGATTCCAGCGCGCTGGTGGGTTTTGTGAAGTCACTGACAACCTTCGAGCAATCACTCAATTTCAGGAAGCCAGTCTGGAAGGCTTGAGCCGCTCTGATAGCCGCCACTCCATCAGCCTACGCCCCCGTTCCACAAGATCGACCGCCCCCCTGAGATCCATCGCGAATAGCTCGGACGAACAAGATTCGGACGAGGAGGAGGAACACACTGCGCCAATTGCTGCTGGGACGAGAGTCCTCAAAGAAGTTGCAATCTCAAAGATGGCGCCTTCGTCCACGAAGGAGCGCTCTTCGCTGCTGAAGGGCTCCAGCGCGGACAGTCCGCTGACAATCTCTCCGTTCGACTCCACTGCAGACAACTCATCCGTTGAGTGCGATACATCTCGAACAAGCGTTTCCACTACACCTGCAGCTGCGAGCGGCCGCAAAGCCAAGGCTGCGGTTGCCGGTCCCTCAAACGCTGCAAATAGGCGCTCGAGGTCTAGCAGACTGGCAGCCGTTGTCATCGATAGCGACGTCGAGATGTTAGATACAGCTGGGGATGCTGAACTGGCCAAGGCCTTGCAAGAGGAGGAATACGGAACAGTCCCATCGCCGCCTCCTACAGCTGGGCCAAGCTCGAAATCCCGCAAAACCCGAAAACACATTGACCTGGCTTCGGACGACGATGATACCCTCTCAGTATTATCAATAGCTTCGAGCGAATCTTTCGAACCTCCGGCGCGAAAACGTGCCAAGCTGACCGGTTCACGTAGAGCCACCATGGATCTTAACGACATCCTCTCCGACAAAGACTCCATTTTCGACAGTGACGATGACTTCACCTTTGCTAAGAGAGTTTCTCGTCTCGTGGCAGCGGACCAAGATGAGACTGACGAGGATTCTGAAGATGAAGACTCTGAAGAAGATGTTCCGTTGATGTCCATTAGTCAGGGTAAGCGGCCCGCTGTGAAGGGCCGCTTTCGAAGGACGAACAGTAGGTTACCGTGCAGTTTTCTTTCGGATATCTGCAGCATTGCTGACATCCGTACTCAGCGCGCTTGGGTAAATTGCCCCATGCCGTGCAGCTCCGGATCGCGGCGGCCAACGACAGAGGTGAAAGGAGGAGGATACGCGATCGCGGCTACTTGGAAATGGCTCATCCCGAAATCACGAACATGTGGGAAACTCTCGAAACCATCCCAATCATTAAACCTGAGCAGGCCCAGCAACCAGCAGCCATTACGCGGAAACTGAAGTCGTTTCAACTGGAAGGCCTCGACTGGATGACAAAGCAGGAGAAGACTCAGTACAAGGGCGGCCTGCTTGGTGACGAGATGGGCATGGGAAAGACCATCCAAGCGGTCTCATTGATCATGTCTGACTACCCTGCCAAGGACCCCACTTTGGTGGTAGTCCCTCCCGTCGCGCTCATGCAATGGTCGAACGAGATTGGGGAGTATACCAACGGGAAGCTCAAGGTCCTAGTTTATCACGGTACGAACGCGAAGTGCAAGAAGATGACCACCAAGGAGCTGCGGAAGTTCGATGTTATCATGATATCCTACAACAGCCTGGAGTCGCTGTACCGGAAGGAGACCAAGGGCTGGTCTCGTGGCGAAAACATCGTAAAGGAGGATTCGCCTATCCACGCCATCACCTTTCATCGACTGATCCTGGACGAAGCGCATAGCATCAAGTCACGGACGACTGGCGTGGCAAAGGCCTGCTTTGCTCTGAAAGGAAAGTTCAAGTGGTGCTTGTCGGGAACACCAGTGCAGAACCGTATCGGCGAGTTCTTCTCGCTCCTTCGATTTCTCGAGGTTCGACCGTTCGCCGACTACTTCTGCCGACGATGTAACTGTGCTCAGCTGCACTGGTCCTTGAATGCGGACTACATGTGTTCGCACTGCAACCACAGCGGTGCGGAGCATGTCTCGGTCTTCAATCAAGAGCTGCTCAATCCTATAACTGGCGACAATCAGCTGAAGCGCAGCGAAGCGCTTGACAAACTGCATATGATCACGGCACGCATCATGCTACGTCGGATGAAGCGCGATCACACGTCCTCTATGGAGCTTCCACCGAAGGAGGTCATTATTCACAACGAGTTCTTTGGCGAGATTGAGCGAGATTTCTCATCCAGCATCATGTCGAACACCACGCGCCAGTTTGATACCTACGTGTCTCGCGGTGTGATGCTCAACAATTACGCCAACATCTTCGGTCTGATCATGCAGATGAGGCAGGTGGCGGATCATCCTGATCTACTCTTGAAGAAGAGCGCCGAAGGTGGACAGAACATTCTCGTCTGCCAGATCTGCGATGAGCCGGCTGAAGAAGCGATCCGATCGCGCTGCCGGCATGAATTCTGCCGCTCTTGTGTTAAAAATTACGTGCAGTCCGTCGAAGGCTCCGGCGGCACCGCTGACTGCCCACGCTGTCACATCCCGCTCTCCATCGACTTCGATCAGCCGGACATCGAGCAAGATGAGGAAGTGGTCAAGAAGAACTCGATCATTAATCGTATCAAGATGGAGAACTGGACCTCGTCCACCAAGATCGAGATGCTGGTGTACGACCTCTACAAGCTGCGCAGCAAGAAGCAGACCCTCAAGTCTATCGTGTTCTCCCAGTTCACGTCGATGCTCCAGCTCATCGAGTGGCGCCTCCGTCGTGCAGGCTTCAACACAGTCATGCTTGACGGCAGTATGACTCCAGCCCAGCGCCAGAAGTCGATCGAGTACTTCATGAACAACCCCGACGTTGAGGTCTTCCTTGTCTCTCTGAAAGCGGGTGGCGTCGCGCTCAACCTTACCGAAGCCTCGAGGGTCTTCATTGTCGACCCGTAAGTCCTCTCTTATCACCCTTGGCATCTCCCGCTCGCTTTAATATGCTGACACCACGGTACACAGATGGTGGAACCCAGCTGCAGAATGGCAGTCTGCAGACCGCTGCCACCGCATCGGCCAGAAGCGGCCCTGCGTCATTACGCGCCTCTGCATCGAAGACTCAGTCGAGAGCCGCATGGTCATGTTGCAAGAGAAGAAGGCGAGCATGATCAGCGGCACTATCAACAACGACAAGGTCGCCATGGACAAGCTGAGTCCGGAAGACTTGCAGTTCCTGTTCAGGGGAACTTAGGAAGAGATGGATCTGCATGCCGAGTTTATGAACGCGATCAGGAATCTTCCCTTGCATGGCTCTCTTTGCTGCACAGATTTCGCTCAAATGTTTACTGCCGGCTGTTGTGTGCGTCGCGTGGTGTAGCTTGCGTTTCCCTTTTGGCTGGGAGGATTTCTGACTTGCTCTGATACCCTGGGTGGCTACTATGCTTACTTGGGCGAACAGCGAGGGGACGGGAATATGGCTCGCTTACTTGCTTGCGATGCTTCTACAAAAGGATTCGGGGAGAGTTATGGCCTTGCTGGACTGAGGAGCTTGAGGTGCTGGGAGAAGGAACATGGTGAAAATGAGCTACGTAAAGACGAGATATGAGACGCGTGATATACAGCTTAAACTTCTGGGAACCACGAAACGCGCCGTGTGCTAATTCAGAAAGCGCTTTTCGTTCCTGCCTATCGCGAGCGATTACTAAATACCCCCTCGTCATGCGGCGCGACTTCCTGCTTGGTATCTTCAGTCGCGAGCCTCAACGCGCCAAGACGTGGACTGGTGGCTCAGAAAAAGCACCACACCTCTTCGCCCTCCGCAAAGTCAATTGCGCGGCTGTGCTCATCGCAAGGATAAACCCAACATTCAGAATCGAACACCACCAGTCTCTAACTGATTTTATTATGGTTGCTCTCTCTTCCCCGCGCTGACCGCACCCTTCAAGATCCCATCTGCACCCCCGCGGTAATAATCCAGAATGGCCGACGCATCATCTCCACCGAATCTTGTTCGTCTAGGGAGTCTGAAGAACTTCTTGTCCCTGTCGGAAGACCCAGTCCTTCACTCGACGCGCGGACAGCACCTCCCCGCTCTCCTGCACAACCTATCATCTCAGAACCTATCCGTTGACTCAGAGCAATACACTCGGCGACCATCTTCCTTACGGAGCGAGGCCCGGTATGAGAGACAAAACAGCGATGACACGGATCTCGAGCTTGGCAGGACGCACAGCGCCCAAACGGGCAGAGTGTCATCGGAAGAGAGGGACAGGAGGACGAGTTCTGGAGCTGCGGCTCTCATGACGCCGCAGATGCGCAGCCAGCGGTTGATAGGGAATAGCAACCCACGATACAGATGGTGCGACTAGAACATACTTGGGATGGGTGTTGTAGCTGACTGTGCCCCAGGGAACAGTACTGGAAGACCGAGGAAGAGCTCAAGAAGATGTCAAAGCCTCTGTGAGCTATACCGGTACGGGCTGTACAGCACTGGCTTACGCTCAGGCAGGCGGCAATACTACGAGCGCAACAACTACCTCATCCAGCAGTACTCCTACATTGACAGGCTTCTCGACTCCTCACTCCCTCATAGTCTACTCCAAGAGTACAATCAGCCGTATTCCGGTGTGGACATCCCTTCTACGATCGTCGAAGAGCCCAGATCAACACCTACCTCCCCGGATATCGCGGGCATGAACGGCAACACGCCGGGCATGGAAAGCATTGACAAACTCATGGGCAATGAGTACAGTACTAAATCGAAAATCAAGCGAACTCCGAAAGACTTATACAAGGTTCCGGACGAGGAAAGGCCACTACTCGAGGACGACGACACTGCTGAGGATTCAAAACCAAACATGCCGCAATACGAACCGGAGGAAAGCTCCGACAGCAGCGACAGGATTGTTACGGTCGCCATCTACCTCAACCTGGTGGCCAACACTACACTACTAATCCTGAAAATCATAGTAGCTGTGCTTACCGACTCGCTCTCCGTTCTTGCAAGCTTGGTCGATGCAGCACTCGATTTCCTGAGTACTGCGATCGTATGGACAACCACGCGACTCATCTCCCGAAGGGATCAGTACTCCTACCCGGTGGGTCGCCGGAGACTAGAACCTATCGGTGTATTAGTATTCTCCGTGATTATGATCACCTCCTTCTTCCAGGTTGCTCTCGAAGGTATCAACCGGCTCCGCTCCTCAGGCGACCACACTCTAGTGCAGCTCACCATCCCAGCCACCGCTATCATGGCCTCGACAGTCGTCATCAAGTTTCTCTGCTGGCTGTGGTGCCGCTTCATTAAGAACTCCAGCGTGCAGGCACTGGCTCAAGACGCCATGACCGACGTCGTCTTCAACATCTTCAGCATCATCTTCCCGCTAGGTTCGTTTCTTTCCATCTCTCTCCAGACGCTTCGGATTGTATCGCTAACCACAACACAGTCGGCTACTACGCCAAAGTCTGGTGGCTCGACTCCCTCGGCGGCATCCTCCTCTCCATCTACGTAATCCTAAACTGGTCGCGGACATCTTCAACCCACATCCGCAACCTCACCGGCGCAGCCGCCTCCGCAGACGAGCGCAACGTCCTGCTCTACCTGACCATGCGCTTCGCGAAGACGATCAAGCAGATTCAGGGCCTGCAGGCGTACCACGCGGGCGACAAGCTCAATGTGGAAGTTGATGTGGTGCTTGATGAGAACACGAGTTTGAGGGATAGTCATGATTTGGGCGAGAGCTTGCAGTATGTGCTCGAGAGCGTGCCGACGGTCGATCGCGCGTTTGTGCATTTGGATTATGCGGGGTGGAATCTGCCGAGTCATATGCAGCAGCAGGATTGAACGGCGTAACGAGTGGATGAGTTTGGACACTGTATGACTCTCTGTGCGCGATGGCGGTGACGAGAAGGACTATGATATGACCGAACCTCAACGTGGTTGGGTTGTATTGAAGCACGCAGCATGAGGAATACTATTCGCGTCACTCGCAGATGTCCAGCACATATCATGTCAGGTTGTTGGCAACACACAGCACATGGTCCTTGCTGTGTGCTTATCTGTATGGATATCCACGTCACTAGGGGAGATGACGAAGAGCAGGTTTAAAGTTCCAGCTTCACTCTTATTGTCTGACACCGCTATCGCCTTTCTGTAGGTCCCTTCATCTCATTTATCATCTTTCAACGTTAACACGATTGCTACATGTTCACGTGGCATATAGAGGATAAGGGCGTGACGGCGACCTTCACAGGTGCTGGACCGTCACAGGACCACCATCCTGAGTTGTCGCTATAGCAGTACTCAATATCAAGTTCAGTCAACTAGCACTACTACATATCATTCACTAAGCTTGCCACGTATGGATGTAATGTCTTCACTGTCTTCCACGGTTGTACCTGTACACCGCGCCGTTACTCCGCCGCTCTCTCATTCTTGGATTTTTCGGCTCTGTAACTACAACTTTACTACTCCACAACTTTATTCATTGCAACTTGATCTCTCTACATTCTCCGCCGTCATAACCTACCGGAAATCCTGAGATCACCATCAGTCTCTTGCAGACAGACTCAGCTTCCGTCTGACGCTCCCAAAATATCTGTCATTATCTGCAAACACTTCAAAGGTTCTCAACCATGAACCGCTATGGATATGGCGGCCACGGCGGATACGGTGGCGGCGGCTTCGGCCGCGGCTTTGGCGGCTACCGCGGTCCCGGTGGCCGTGGTAATCATCCCTACGGCTACGGCGCTGGCGCCAACGATAATGTCGAATGGTCTTCGAGTTCCGACGAAGAGGAAGACCCAGCTGCCGTTCGCGCACGAGTTGCCGAGGTGTACAGGCGCCATTACGAGAACGACCCGGAACCTGGCCACGGCATTGCAGGTGGCCCGGGCCGCCCGGGCGAAGTTGACAGCGACGCACTGCTCGCCCAGCTACATCGCGTCCTCCAGGCCACCGATCACCTTAGCCCGCAAGAGGGGCGCGCCTTGATGATATCCTTCCACAGACTGGAGAGGCTGGAAGAAAGTCGTGAACACGCCCGACACGATCGCGATAGGCGGATGAGAAACGAGGAATTCGAACGTCTCGGCCGCCGCATCCAGCGCATAACACTGCATTTCATGGGCCAGCAGTTTGCTATCCCTAGGATTCCTGCAGGTGGTCGTGCCGGTCTGGCCGCTCCTCCCGCCAACGATCACGCCGATGAGCGAGCAGGCGGAGCTCACGAGCCAGCCGGCCCAGCCCACGAACATGGTCCCCACCCAGGCGAAGTGGACAGTGAGACCGTCCGCGAAAACCTCGCTCGGATCCTCGATACCGTCCCTCACGTCACTCCCCGAGACCAGGATGGCTTCATGCAAGCCTTTGCGAACCTCGACATCATAGAAGAGGACCGAGACCACGCACGCAACGCTGCCGAGAGGGCTGAGGTGAACGAAGAGCTTCATTGTCTTGCCCAGCGCTTGCAGAGGGTCGAGCTGCGCCTTACGGGCCAGCAGAACCCCGTGCCGATCATCCCCGGAGGCGGCGCTGGCGGCGCTGAACCTGATCCTCGACGCGGCCCCCGCAATGGCAACGACAACGGCAACGGCAACGGCAGGCCCGCCAGAGCAGCCGCAGCCGCCGCAGCAGCCGCCCGAGCCCAAGCAGGAGGACCGCCTCCCCACGACGCCCGCAACAACGATGCTCGCCCCGCCGCCGGCCCCGCCGGGCCCCGCGCAGCCCACCCAAACCCACCCGCAGGCATGCGCCCCCTCAGCGCCGAAGACGCTCGCCTCCCACCGCGCAACACCGCCGTCACGGCCCCCGTAATCCTGCACGCCCCTGACGGCACCGCCGCGCACACCTTCCACCTCGTGCTCCACAACACGGCGCCCGAGGCCCGGGCGCTGGCGGCCGAGACGCGCGAAGCGGCGCGGGTGCGCCGCGAGCGGAACCCGGAGCCCGACGACGTCGTCGTCAGCGTTGCGCTCGAGAACGGGAGTCTCGCGCCCGTGAGCGATGGGCCGCGCGGCAGGATCTATGCGACCAGACACGATGCGTGTGATCCGGTTGGCGGGGATGGGGTCAGGGGCGATATCTTGATCGCGGTGGAGACGATGGTGGGGAGCGGGGATCTGCGGGGGTTTGAGTTCTTGGGGGTTGGCACTGAGGGGAGTGAGGGGAGGCTTTATCTCATCCGGCCGATTGAGGGGGAGGAGGACGCGGGCGGGGATGGGGATGCGGATGGTGGAGGGCCGGATGAGCTGGCTGGTGGACTGGAAGGTGGGAGGGGGGAGGGGAGAGCAGGCGTGGCGGGCGGAGGCGGAGGCGGAGCAGGCGGTTTCGGTGATGGTGGAGCAGGCGGTGGGGGTGGGGGGTGGGCCGGTCGACGGGAGAGATGGCAGATGGATCCCATGGAGGCTGACGACGCGGCGCTGAGGAACATTGATCGTATGCTGGAGTGGGTACGTGAGGATAGGAGACGCATGGATGCCGGGCTACCGAGACGCCCGAGGGGGTATGGAAGGAGGTTTTGACAGTCCGAGAGTATGGTGGCGGTGGGTGTCAGGCCAATACAGTTTCTCTGGGACAGTGGTGGCTTCATGTGGCTGGGATTATGACAGTTTTAGAATTCCTAGAGTATCTTCTCCAGTATTATGCCTGGCTAGAACCACCCTTGACGGTCGCCTAGCTGACAAATCGCCGGACTTGAAACCCACAAACAGGCCTCATTGTCAAAGAAATATACAGCACCGAAAGGTGTCCGCCATGGGAGCTGAACCAGTGGGCACCACTCTATCCTTTATCGCTGATAGTTCGTGCCGTTCGTATAATGTTGCCGGTATGTGGCGCTTCGTAGCGCCGACGAGCAGTTTGCAGCGTCCAGAAAAGACGATCTTCATTACGAGGAGCCGGATGGCGTGTGGCACCCCAGAGTTTCATTTCCAAGTCGGTGTTGCCCGAGTCCGTCATGCTCACATCGGAGCTCCTTCTCCGAACAGGGCGTCCTCCTGTGCTGCGTAGGTGGGTCGGCGAAGTGGCAGTCTCATGGAATTTGAGCGGTGATCGAAGGCTCACTGTCGGAGTTGTGAGGCCAAAATTGCTATCTGAAAACGCTTCCGAGAGAATGCTACTTTTTCCGCTTTAGAGCCTTTGAGATTCTTGAGCCAGGTAACGAAGAATGCAGTATTATTAGGCGGCTATCCTTCGTCGAAAGCAGTGACGATAACGACCAATTAATCTATAGGAAGTGTCTATTTAGTAGAGTCGAAACTATGGACCCTAATAGCTCGGAAATTATGCGCTGGAGCATTACTTACTAGTTATTAGGTAAGAGCTTCGCAGATTCTAGTGTTAAAGCTGTAGAATATAACCAGCTGAGAACAAAGTTCTTCCCGGTCATTTACATAGAAATATGTAGCCAGCATGGAAGCTGTGGTGGGCTGTAAGGCTGAAGGATTCAAAAGCTCTCATGCACAGCCACAGCCAACATGTGCTTCACCCACTCACCTCTTTCAGCCCGCTTTTCTTAACACCCAAACATAATGAACGTCTATACTGGAGAGCCCGTAAGATAGACATGAATTTGGTCAACAACCATGACGCAGTCGCACATTCATCCGGTCTTGCTACGGGACGCTAGAGTACCGACGACTGCTCCCTCGCGCTTCAAACCACAGGTGGTCGAATACGTTCGCAACATCATCAGCCAAACAGGACTGTCCAGTAAAGGCAACGACCCTGGGCTGTGTCAGAAATGCCAGGCGATGTTCTCCGCGCGAGGGCTCTTCTATCTCTTCACCGGTAGTGAACACTACTCTTACGGCAGTGGCGGTGGCTTCAGACATTCGCGCATCATGAGTTTCCAGGCGAGGGAGAATTGCCGCTTCTGTCGCTTTATTTGGATTGAAGACTACAATGGTGACACTAGCCAGCCGCGAGCGATACCTCGACTGTGCGACTTCGTCAATTTTGGGAAATGCCGTCAACCAAATCAGACATGGGTCTTCTTTCGAGCGACTGTCCATGCTGACGGTACCTGGGCCGGATTGGCAGTTCGAGTCGAGTCTGCAAAAGGTCAACTGCTGTGGACACAGTGTCAGGACCTTCGAGCCACGGTAGCGGAAGGTATTCTTTCCTAGTCTCGAATGTCTTGGCTGTCGCTAATTTGTTCATCAGATAGTATCTTAAGCCCACATGTGAGATATCGACCTCCAGAGTGGGTTGGCTTGAATGACAAGTCAAGTCTAGCTTTGCGGAAATTGCTGAAGGATTGTGAGGAACACCATAGCAACTGTCAGCCATCCGGATCAAGGCCTTTTCCGACTCGCCTTTTGCGGTTCGCTAAAGGCGGCCAATTCGTACAACTGCACGTATCGCAACCAAGACAGGAAGGCCGCTATGCTGCCCTGAGCTATTGCTGGGGTGGTCCGCAAGGAAAGAGGCTGCTGAGGAGTAATCTTCAGAGCTTATGTGTGGATCCGATCGACTGCAGTCAGTTACCAAACACCTTGCAAGACGCCATTGCTGTATGTCGGAGCCTCGATCTCGATCATTTATGGGTCGATGCACTGTGCATCATCCAGGATGACGAGGTCGATAAAGAGCGCGAAATCAGTCGGATGTGCTCCATCTACGAGAATTCCTCGGTGACGATTGTGGCGGCAACAGCAGCTTCCGTGAAAGATGGCTTTCTCAAACCTGCCACGAAAATCAACAAGGCGTACCCATTCTGCTCTATAAATCTCACCTTGAGTCATAACGAAAAGAGTCAGGAATGCGCTTTGACATTTGTCGCGACACACGCTCACCACATGGAAAACTTCGCTATCACCAAACGTGGCTGGACATTTCAAGAATCCTACATACCACCCAGGCTGCTGATCTTCGGCGACCAGGAACCATTTCTGCGATGCAGAACGAAAGACGCTATGCCAATTGCAATCACCGCCATCGATTACCAACGCTCACGCATCGAACCACGGCGCAACATAGACCATGCGCTTCCACCACATATCCGCGAACAGGAGCACCTTCCCTACAATCTTCGTCACATATGGATGAATGTCGTGGTAGATTACACGAGACGGCAGTTCAGCTTCGAAGGAGATCGTCCTCTTGCAATCAGAGGCATCGTCGACTTCCTTGAGAAGAGAGGCAATGGTAAGTGCTACTTCGGTATCTGGAGTTCCATATCTGTGGGATGCCTTTTGTGGACGGTTCAATTCCAGCAGCAGAATGCACCGCGTTATACAGGCCTACCTACTTGGTCTTGGTTATCTACTCCAAACGAAATAGCTATGTCTTCCCTGGAACTTCTCGGAGACTATCGAGGCGACGCTGTCGTAGAGTTTAGTGAACGAGACCCCTTCCGACTCGCTCTCGAGTGTCCTGTGATATCCTTTGATGATGTGGAGGAAGAAGACCAGATCGAGTATTGGCAAGATCATGAAGACGAGGACAAAGCGGATGGGCTTGCGGGGGCGGAGTGTTATGTTCTAGTGCTGTCCAAGATGTCGAACGACACCGTTCTGGGGCTAGCTACGACGCAGCTTCGTGACCTGACGCATGTGCGCCGTGGTGTCATTGAACTGCGGGACGCGGAAAAGTGGCTCTCGAAGCCCAAGGGCAAGGTTATTGTCATGTGAATTTCAGTGGAATGAGTTCAATCGCGTCCCAAAAAGTGAATCCCTATTGAAGCTTGAGATAGCCTAAAGTCAGGACGCGGTAGGAGCAATATGCACGACGTCATTTTTAGCCACGTTACATCGTTATACTAAAAGTGCTTCCATATCAGCAACGCGTTCCTCCCAGTCATGCTACTGGCACCCTGCCAAAATAAATTGCATCCAGCCCACAGGTCACAGCTCGGGTTGTGGATAGAAGGATTTCAACCAAAGATATCGCGCTAGTGTTGTCAATAAGTAGCTACAGTACTTATTTGTTCCGCATTGGGAAATAACCTTATGCTTTCAGGCTTGCCATATTCATCGAAATCTCCACTCCAAGGTTTGCCTTAGATCCGGCTGCTAATGGTCGACTCGACGACAATTCAGAAAACATAACCCGCAAGGTCGATCTCGGCCGGTGACCTATTACTAGGTTCAGCTGGCCACTTGGTAGATGGCCGCATATCTTCCACTTCGTCTTGTCAGGTCCGCCATCCCCGTCTATTGGCTGCCAGATGTCGGCGTTTTCGCCGTCGGTCTTCCTAGACTGCAGCACAGGAGCGCCGCGCGTGTCTTAATGTCGGATGCAACGAGATAGCGGGTACTCTGAGGGCATTGAAGGAATGACGGCAGGTTACGATTTGTTTGCAGGTGACGGGCGATTAGGTCTTACGGGACTCTAAGCCGCTTTACGTAGAGCGTTGAAGATCCTCCTCTTGTTGGTGAAAGGATTGGGATTGGTGTTGTCCACCATCTTGGTGAACTTCGAAGTACATACATTGCCCGGCTCCAGGCTCTGGCCTGTGAACTCGCCCGACAGCTTGGTGCGATCCACCATCGCCATGAGTCCTGGTAGGGACCGGAAGATCTGATTGTTCACCTGCCGCCCAGTAAATGCTGAATACAATAGGTCGGGAGAGGTAGATCAGTGAGTGTTGTGGCGGTGAAATAAAATGGATCACCAGGCCTAACAGTTGAATGAGGTGGAGTCTCACAGTGCCCGTCTAGCGTGCAACATGTGGAAGTGTTCCGGAGGCTCCAAGGCACTTTACAAGATCGATGTGATCTCCGCCGTGGTTGTTTTCTTGAAGGGCGATAGGCGGAAATCTTGTAATTCCCGGCATGGAGAAACGAGGCAGAAGGGCGGTTCTTTAAAATTTTGAAGTCTGCGCAAACGTCAATAATTGAGGCCATAATAAGGGAAGCGAAACGGTTCATTTAATGAGCGAAAATGCGGTCCATCTTACTCTACTATCCAATGCTTCCCATACATTTCTTGCTTGCTGGATCCTGTGTCGCACTGGGTCCAACGCAAAGCGTGCCGTGATCTTCGAGTAGAGAAGACCATTGCTAAATATTAATGTGAAGGAATGAGTGGGGCCAGGAGGGATCTGTAATTCTCAACAAGAAGGACAAGAGGGACAATTCGCTCGGCTGATCCCAGTCTTAAGCTTTTGCTCTTCAGTTGGTCCAGTTGCTGTTGTTGCTCGCTGCTGTACTTGCTGTTGTTGTGGCTGCTGTTGCGTCTATCAATGTTTATGTCCCACGCGCAGAGAGACTGAGCACGGAACCGTTCGCACAGACAACGACTAAAATGCGAGTCGGCCAAAACATATGGAACTGCCAAGTGATCCTTCTGGGATCACTCTTCTTAAGTCCATCTCTTTCTTCTCTCAGTACTCTGCATTCTGTTCGTCTCTGCGTTGATTTGGGAAATGGACGAAATCCCGCAGCCATATCTCTGATTGTGGAATTGAGGCATACTAGGTGCGGTGGTAGATGTCGGTGCTGGTGATCATAGATAATTTGGCGATCTATTGTGAACATCTTGTCACAAAAGAAGCAGCTTCTGACAGAGATATGCAAGCGCATTATAACCTCGGTCATATGTCGGATGAGGCTGCCGCATTGCTCGAACGCAGCTTGGTAGCGTGGTGCTGTAAAGCAAACAAGCTCATCATCGTGGACTGTCGATCTGCAGGCTGAACAAAGACTGATGCTGTGCTTTCAAGAGACCCGCTCCAAGATTGGCTAAGACGGGGCGGTACCCGGGGATATATGTCCTGGCAATTGCATCTTACTTGAGGAGCACATCAACGTCTCCTTCCAGGTTTCTGTTGTATAGCAGTGCGCGGCGGTCAAGTGTAGCACAATATCGAGATCGTGTATAAAGCAAGAAAGAAGCTCGAAAAAATCATGTATGAAGCAAAAAAGAAGCCTATCCCGATCATGGTGTTCGAGCCACGCATCTCTTGTATCTGCCAGATCCTTGACAGGCTGTCGGACGATGCGACGTCGTTCTCAAGCCGTCTTGGCCCTGTCAACCATAGCATTTTGGCCAATCTCAGTGTGCAAACAGCTGTCGTGGCACAATTTCCTCGCGTCCGCAAAATCCAACCGCTTCTTGACTATTGAGTTCCTCGGGTATCTCAACTGTATCCATGCTCGAACTTCTAGCAAAGAAACTAGTTGTCACCGTGCGGTATCCAGCGTGAAGGGTGACACTAGTACTAGAGCTGTATTCCGCGAGGATGTCTAGCGACATAGCTGAGAGGACTCTGTAGATTACAATCTCAACAGTTTCGATGCTAGGACTCGTCGTGAAGGAACTTGTCGAGAGAGTGCGATACCCAGCGTGAGCGGAAATGCTGTTGATGGTGCCGTGCTCGGTGATGATTTCGATCGAAATGGCGGAGAGCACTCGAATGGAAGGCATTGTCAACTAACTGCAGTCTACGTGTGCTTTCTTACACTGCTGGATGACCCAGGTATTTGATCGACGTGGTCTTTTGGCAAGGCCACCGTTCTTGAACTTCCAGGTATCGGTCAAGGATCCTACGACGAGCCTGGTCTCCTCCTCGGTATTGATCTTGAGGCAGTGCGGAGCTGCTGTACCCTACTTTGTTGCAGTAGCTGCACGGCACGGTCTGCAAGCAATCGGCTGTGTTATGCCCGCTCTTGTTGCGGGGGGTGCACATGAGGTTGAGGAAATTTTGTGGGTTGAACGCTCAAGGTACCAGTGCTGCCAGTGCTGTTGGAGCAGGATCAAGGCCATCAAGAAATCCCAACGGAAGTATATATGAGTTCTCTGGAGCTGTTGGCTTCGAGTCAATGCAATCGATGGTTGCTTCCATGTGGACTACGTCGTTGTCTACGTTGATGATCCTAGATTGACCGCATCGGTGGGGCCGGACAGTGTCTGAGTAAGGCTGCTTTCTTTTTCGCTGCTGTCTAGGATCTGATCGTGAGGCATTCGCCAAAGCTAACATCACGCGAAACTGCTTGGGCTTAGCATATGCTCCACACGTACACGAAGATGCAGAAACTCACCTGGACGTGTCGTACGTTGACCACCCATTTTCCTGCGAAGAACCGCTTGATTGGTCCTCTGTGATGGCTGTACATCGCACGGATGGGTTTGAATAATTGAACATCGTCGCATCTGTCTGGTATGGCGACGTGTGTGACGAGTCTTGCATGTGTGAAGACGGATGTGCACACTCGGAGCCATCATCGGTGCAATTTTGTTTGTCTGCGTACCGCTGAGTAGAGGAAGAACGTGCTTGAACATGCTGAAGCCCAGTAGTGTTGTGGTTTGCGCGTATTGATTTGGTGTAGACGTATTTGTTATACACTATGTTACTTTTGTTGTTGTTCGTTGTGTTCTTTTCAGAACATGCTGTGTTATACATCTTGCGTGTCTCTGTTCTTATATTCCGTGTTGTTTCTCCATAAAAGGTGTAACACGCTGCTCATGTGCCTGTGTTGTTACAGCCCATGTTAGTTGGAGCGTAACAGCTTGTGAAAGGTAAGGAAGGATGGAGTCCTGGCGGATTTTATGGCTGGGGGCCAGTCTAACAAGGTCTGGCTTCCAGCCACCCGGATTTACAAAGTTCAAAGATGCCGAGTCATGGGGCGTATGATACCGATGGCACCCAGTGATAACCGGGGATGCGACCATCTGAGTCCTGAGGTCGGCCAGTCGGCAAGCCACCTAGTGATGTTTCTGGTTGTCTGATAGAGAAACGGTTGCTATACCCGTACCAGTCACGGTTGAAGTTGAAGGCAATGCCTGAGAAGGTGAGAGGACTTCTTGCTAGCGGTATAGGCATCTTTGTGCGAGGTAATAGTCTGGCAACTAGCTTGGATCCTGAGAGCACTCTGTAAAATATTGAGGTTAAGCAGAGAGAGTCGACAGTGTCCCTTTCTATCGAGCTTGTGAGCCTATCAGCCAGTTTTCCCAGAAGCACCGGAAGATTCTAGAGCTTGATGGCATCCGTAAGTCCTTCACAGCGCAGGCGGGCTGCTGTGTTGAGCTAAAGCCGCACGTTTCTCTCTATGCATTCTACGGAGCTCAGTACGGTCGTCCTTTCATTTCTATGTACAAACCTAGGCCGCTGCTGTCAGCCATGAGAGCTTTACCGCAGTGATAACCTCGAGCTACATCAATACGTGCCCGACTGCATGGACATACCTTCCATATGCAATGCATTTCCGCCCGATCTCAAGCTTCTTCGCATCTACGCCCGAACAGCCACCCACCGGATTCATTCTCCATCCCTAATACAACACCCCTTTCGTACTCGGCACCTCCCCCTCTCTCCCCACCACCCTCGTGGTAGCCTGCCTCAGCGCAACCGCAAGCGCCTTAAACGCGCTCTCCGCCCTATGATGATCATTCTCGCCCCTCACGCAATCCACATGCATCGTAATCGCGGCGCCCTGCGCAAAGCTCTGCAGACAATGCGGCAGCATCTCTGTGCTGAGATCTCCAATCTTCTCACGGCGCAGACCCAGATTTATGACGCTGAAGGGACGGTTTGAGAGGTCGACGACGGCGCGCGAGAGGGCTTCGTCCAGCGGGCAGTAGGCGGAGCCGAAGCGCGCGAGGCCAGTTATGCTGCCTAGTGCGGACTTGAAGGCGGTGCCGAGGGCGATGAAGGTGTCTTCTGCGGTGTGGTGGTCGTCGACTGGGGAGGGTATGTTCCGTCAGTTGTGGAAGTCTCTCTGCGTGTAGTACCGCGTGCGTGTACTAGAAATCGGAGTAGCGAATACGTACTGTGCAGGTCGCCGCGACACCTTATGCGCAACGACCAGCCGGCGTGCTTCGCCAGCGCGTGGATCATATGGTCCAGGAACCCGATTCCAGAGTCCACGTCGATGGTCTGAGATTTCGAGGTTTGTGCCGCATGGCTCTTTGCCTCACCGTTCGCAGAGCTCTCGGAGGCGTCCTCTAGCACTCCACCGTCGAGGTTCAGGCTCAATTGGATTTTTGTTTCATTGGTGTCGCGGTTGATGGTTGCGCTGCGTACTCGGTCTGCCATCCTGAAGTGTAGGGCTGTCTAACTGGAGTAGACTGCAATGGATTGGAGTGACTATTTTTGGTGTGAGACTCGGAGCTGCAAGCTGCAGAAGATGGGGGTCTGATTGCTGGTGTTGTGAGTCAGGAATACCCAAGCATCCAAATCATTGGTAGGCTAGAATATCATCAGTCTTGGCAAGGTGTTGAGAGATCTGCCGGACTTAGCGCGGAGATGCGATAAGATAATAATTCCTCGAGATCAAACTCTCGTCTTTGCGTGAGGCAAGTCAGTGTCGCGGAGCGAACAACTTCCACCAGAATGCCTTCACAGACACGAGAACAAGACCAAGACATGGCAGACGCCTCTCCGACCGATCACACCCAACAAGATGGCCCCGAGCCGGTAGAAGCACCCTCGCCCGCAGGATCACCGGGATCAGAAGCATACGAGACCGAGAAACCGCGCATACGAGTCGTACGTCCTAGGTTTCGCCACAAGCATGGTTAGGGTCTCTGCTCACGCAGATCACAGCTACCAGGTGCGGAAGATACGGCAGCTTCATTCGAGTTTGAGAAGGAGGACCATACATTGGGCAACGCGCTACGGTACATCATCATGAAGAAGTAGGCTCAGTACCAGCACAGTGTTTGGAGCGTTATGCTAAAAAGCGCAAAGCCCCTCCGTCGAATTCTGCGGCTACTCCATCCCTCACCCCTCCGAAGAACGCATGAATCTGCGCATACAAACATACGGTACGGACCTTCGAGAAGGCATGTAAAGCGAGATGCTGATGGGCGGGGGCAGACAACGTCAGCGTATATGACGTGCTAGAGAAAGGTCTGGACGACCTCATGGACCTCTGCGACGTGGTCATGGAGAAGTTCACAGTTGCGCGTGACGATTTCAACGCCGCAAAAGCAGGGACGAGCTAGGTCTCGATGGTGGCATGCGATTGCATTGCAGGCGTTGAGTGCGCCTCTGGGGACAGGAAAAGTAAGATGGTATTGGCGTGTTTACAGAGTGCGACGCGGGGATACGTTTGCTTAGTTTCGTCCCTGGCGCAAGGAGGATCAGTACGGCGGTGCGCAGGCGTTGGCCCAGGCAGGGGAGCTTACCTCCAAGAACCCGTTGATGAAGTTCTGCGGCAGTCTCGCTTTTGGATCCTCCTCTGCGCGGAAGTACTTCAAGATATGTGTAAGCTGCTTCCAGTAGTTGAGGGTTTCCTACGGAGTGCTCGTCAGCCCTCATAATCTGCCTGCCTGTGTGCCCTATGCGCCTTGTAATGCGTCCTACCTGGTACTCCACGTGCGATTGAAACAGCAGCACATCGATTACGGGAAGCTGTGCTACATATCGGTGCCTCTCGAATTCTTGTCGTGTCTTGGTGCGGATTCGTGAGACGGGTATGTTGAGAGAGTACATGGACTGGATTTCCGGTGCCTGGGGGCTTTCGGTTAGCGTCGATCGGGCTGACACCGACTTCGAAATCTTCTGCTGCGACGTATGCGACGGACGGAGGTGCGTACAGCGCGAAGCCAGTCCCGGTATGAACTGAGGACCCGCCGTTTGGCATCGTTCCAATTGGCCGCTAGGGGTGTGTAAGCTGCTGTGGATTTCTGGCACGGAAGGGGAACGTACAGGACCGCGTCCTCTGAGCGAGGTATGTCGGATTGATCATTGTTTTGGTGTCCTGGCTCGCGTCCGAGCTGCCCGCACCTGCGATGTCGTTGGAGCTCCCATCCGCGAGGGCTGGCGCCAAGACCGGCCCGCTTACGTCAGGCTTTCTACGGACCTCGAGAAAGCTGTCAGGCGCAAACGCTCAGCACCACTCCACTTCGCACAAACAATTGCAACCACTCCCCCTCGAGCAACTCACACCTCTGAGGCGATATAGAGCAGCCTCACCCAGCTCCAGTCTTCCGCCTCCAATCACAAACCCTCGACAACCCTCGCGCAACCATGCCACCCATCCGCTCCGCGCGCACTCGCAAGCCGCCTCCCGACGGCTTCGACGATATCGAAGACACGCTCCTCGAGTTCGCCAACGCGATGAAAGACGCCGAGAACGCCTCGCACGAAGGGAAGCGGCGCGCCGAGGTCCTGTGGCCCATATTCCAGATCAGTCATCAGCGTATGTATGCCCGCTGTGTTAGCTGAGCGCTGCAACTTCTGTTACCGAACTTCCGAGGTGCGTTTTCGGCTCTTTTGGACCACGGACAGCTGTCGAGCGCTGTTGCTGGAACGGGAAACTGACCTGTGCGTTGTTGAATAGGGTCGCGATACATCTATGATCTGTATTATGAGAAGGAAGCTATCAGCAAGCAGCTGTATGACTGGCTGCTCAAGAACGGGTACGCGGACGCGAATCTGATCGCGAAGTGGAAGAAGCAGGGGTATGAGAAGGTAGCTGCCACCTCCCTCTCCGCTCCCAATTCCGGACAGGACCCAGAGCTAACGAAGTGTGTTCACAGCTTTGCTGCCTCCGCTGCATTCAGACCAAAGAGACGAACTTCAACTCGACATGCATCTGCCGCGTGCCCCGAGACAAGCTGGCCGAGAACCAGACGATTGAGTGTGTCAGCTGTGGGTGTCACGGCTGCGCGTCTAGCGACTAGCGCGCGGAGATTTGCGGCAACACCGGTCAGCATATCAGCGCGGGATGGCTAGAGAAACGACGATGCTGCAAGCGAATGGATTGGGTTACTGTTATGAAAATCTGGCACGAAGTAAGAGGCTAGAGGTTGAGAGGCCTGGTTAAGGGTGGTATCCCCTATCATTATCTGGTTTGACATTTCCAGGCGTTTCGGGGCAGGGAGTATCAACAACAGTCGGGCATCATGTATGAAAGCCAAAAGCCGAGGGCTGAAATCTGGATACCTCCAAATATATCTCAACATTGCTATCCTTCAAGGGTGTTTTCGGCGGCCTTGAGTTTTTCGTGAACACGGATTCTGGCAGCGAGAGGGCCCCAAAGCTCAAGAAAATCCTTCAGCGGAAACTCGAGGTGCCCTTCCACTAACAGAGATGACTTGTAACAAAGCAGTCGCGAGTGGCTGTTAGCGGCCATGGAGGCTCAAATGCAGTGACTGTCTGTGATCACGAGGACGAAAATACGGAGACTTTATATTTGGTTGTAATGCAAAGGATAAGCCAGCTACTTAGCACATGACAGCTACAAATAGCCGACACGAGTATGACAGCCGATGCCGGTATGACAGTCGCGTCTCCTAGAATTAGTGCTCTTGATGTCATTAGTCCAGCAGCAGAAGATGCTCAAATAGAGATGCACGAGCAATACACAGCAATTCCGCCATGCCTTAAATCAGCCGCAGACGCTTTGGGGGTAGCGCTGAATCGCCATTGAACGAGGCTCTGCTTCCAGCCTCCCTCTGTGTTTCACACTCGGCCATACTGTCATCAGGTGAACGCCGCTTCGGTAGAGGAGGCGGCGTTTCCTGCACAGCCTCAGGCATGGGCTCTTCGGCCGAGTCTGGGCTCAGAGATGACGTCTGATCCATAGGATATGGAACTTCATCGTAGAAATCACCGTGAGTGTGTTCTGCATCCCCTTCCATGAAGCATGGTTGTAGATCTGGGGTAAGGTCGCCAGCCTTGCGGAAGTCTTCCTCTTGGTCGGACAACTCAATCTGACTTATCTTCTGCCGCATGGAAATGTCCGACTCCTGTCTTGAAGGAGCGCTACGAACATCAGTTAAAGCCGATGAGTCAACCATTCCCGGTTCCATGTTTCCAGCGACGACTGTGGCATCTTCTTCCTCAGCGATTGTCGGCAGCGGCGTGTGCGGGACATTTCGAGGTGAGCCGAGGACGATAGCATGTTCAGGAGAAGAATGCGGCGCTGAAAAGTATCGCGACTTGGTCTTTGGAGATAGAGCAATCGGTGCGAATATAGACGGGTATGGCTCCGGCAGGTTGCTGATCTTGAGTGGCTCCACGATGTTAAAGATCTTCCGTCGCGGCCGCCAGTCATTTATTGCACGCTGGTAGATTATCTCAAGCTTGTCGGCATGGCTCTTCTTTGTGAACCACTTGTGGGCCAAGGCCTGCTTGACCGTCATTCGGGCCGTCTCGTTGAGCACTAGTAGCCTGCGAATGAAGTCTTTTGGTCTCTCACCAACAGATTTCCACGTCCCGACGTTGGTATTCATGGCTGACAGGTCGCAAGCTGCCGCCATACTTAAAATGACCCGTGCCGGCTCCTTCTGGTACAGTGGGTCGTCGCGGTTAGTGAAGATCACGTCGCCCGTGATAAGAGCAGCCGTTATGGCTCCAATTGACCACATATCGACGGCTTTCGAATACCCCTCGTTCGACGGCATTGTCCTGTTGATCTTGTAGATCTCGCTGGCGGCCGGCGGTTAGTGTAGCTGAGGGAAGAAGAAAACAGACACTTACGGCGCGGCGTATTCAAGCGTCCCGACTACTGTGAACATTCGCCGCTTTGCCTGATCGGTCCGGTGAACCTGCTGGGAGACGTTTGGGAGGTGCCTCGCGTTGCCGAAGTCTGTCAATATGACGCGTGCACCGGCAGACAGAGAGGTCATCAAGACATTGTCCGGCTTGAGATCTCTGTGTACGATGTCGCGGTCGTGGAGGTACTCGACGGCCTTGAGTATTTGTCGGATCATCATGGCGGCTTCTGCAGCCTCCAAGCGTCCGCCTCTGTACTCGAGATATGAGAAGAGGTCACCACCAGTAATAAGTTCTTGGAAGATGTAGCTGTTCCCTTGTCAGTAGTTGGTCTCAAGGACCCAAGGATGCAGCTTACATGGTGTTGGGGCTGTAAAAAACTTTCTCCAGCGTGATGATGTTGGGCTGTCGAATCGTTAGCAGGGCTCGGTCCTTTGAATGAAGTGACTGACATGGCTAAGATTTTTGAGGATGTCAAACTCCCTGAACCTCATACGTAAATGTTGACGCCACTTCTCCGCCTGATACAGCTGAGACTGGAGCGGAGTGTTCGTATCAACAGGCCGTGAGCCGGTTCCCAAAGGGTCAATATCCTTTCTCAGGTCGACAACTTTGCATGCCAACTGACGCTGGGACCTCCGGTGAAGTGCAGCAAAGACGCTGCCGTTGCCACCAACACCGAGCCTTCTGTTGGTGATTCTGTAACGCCCCTCGAACAACTATTTGTTCATTTAGCGAAGCGAAGATGGAGCGGCAAGGTGGTACGATAACATACTGCTTTCTCTCGTGCCTGAACAACATCAAGCTTCGCTTCGGCGGCAAGAGACTGATGGAAAGAGTTATAAACCAGCACCAAGCTGGGTGTCACACGAAGCTGATCTTCGTGGCCAAGCAGTACGGCACCACTCTTGGCGCCCATGAGCATACCATAGGGCTGGCCATCTTGCTCCGTCACATCACCAGCTCTTCTCAAGTAGGTCCCGTTGCTTGAAAGATCCTCGGCATACACAAGAGGTGGAACATCTGCCGTCGAATCCTCTTCGTACACGATACAGTGGATCCTCAGATGTCGGTTCGAGATGGTAGGATCCGGCCAGTGCCAGTAACTGTAAATGTTAGTCTGCGCTGGTACGGCATGCACTTCACTCCTCGTACCTTGTCTTCTCATCTCGACCAATGTAGAACTCGTCGTTTGCCTGTATGGTTATAGAACCGAAATATTCTGATTGCTGTTAGCTGGGAGTAGTCTTAGAAGCAACGGGCTTGATGAACCATCGTCCATCCAGACCTCGAGAGACGCCACATCAGACGCGCCCGGACTACATCCGGACTCGTCCATCATACCCCCTCCCCCAACAGACATCCTCTTTCTTTCTCCCTCCTGATACAACGTCTCGAATTGACATACGCATGAGGTTTGTAGTTGAAGATCCAAGCTCGTGATTGGATGTCTGGAGTCGCAAGGCGCTTGTCCGTAAGCGGCTAAAGTAAGCTAAGCAAGCGAGTTTCTCGCACAAGACCATCCGAGTCGGCCTTCTTCTGAGCTTCCTCCTCTCTACACCAGCTTCACTCATCTCGAAAACGATGTAAGAAACTCCCTTCCGTTCCACATAGCTCTCAATGGCTTCTGTAGAGCACGGCCAATCATTCAATGGCTTTCTTCATGCCATTGACGCCGCCCCGCTCACTTCCACGCACACCCGCTAACCTCAGCCTCATTCAGTTCACCTAGTGATCGACGATGAGAGCCAAGTGGAGGAAGAAGCGCGTACGACGCCTCAAGCGTAAGAGGAGAAAGACGAGAGCCCGCAGGTATGTGGCACTGGTTCCACCTCCCTCCCTCTTCATATTCTAACCTCTCTGCAGCAAGTAAACGCCTCGCACCTCAACCACGGCCGACTTAAACGCCATCTGTCACTCTCTTCTCCGTCCCGTTTCTTTCCGACAATCGACAACCGCAAAGCTCCTCACTCAACCCCCTTCCGGACGCAACGACACCATTCTCGAAATCGGTCAACGGCTTCTTGCAACGACGTCATCGCACGATGGTGGTGGGGTGTGCGCACGGGTTCTTGGTTTACGGTTCCAGTCTGCGTTGGAGAGAATTTTGCAAATCACGGACTACGATGGATGGCTTCTAGGAGGCTGGTCAAGACTCGTTGAGGACTTCTAGGGTTGCTTGCATACGACGTAGTAGACGGTTCTCTAACACCGGCTTGCTTTTGGGCCTTTGAGACTGTTGATGCTGCTTTCTAGGGATTGGGCGAGCTGAATGCCAAAGTCTTTTCCCAAACTCTTCGTCCATGGCGTGTCACGTGCGTCAGATATGACGACTTGTGTGCAAAATGCAATGACTTGCGTGCGTACCTAAGATGCAATGGTTTATCCGCGCGGAGCTTCAAGCCTGCTTGAGCTTGCGGTTCGTCAATCTCCCATGTCCTCGTTTACCCAAATGCTTGCCCTCCCATGCCCTACCACGCCGAACCATTTTCCCATTCAAATACCGCTTCGCCCGAAGCCTAAGCTGCAAACCCCTCTTATCCTAGATCACGCCTAAACTCTCACCCTCATTCACCGCCTCTCCTTCCCCACCCGCACCTTCGCCCCATTAACGCCCCCATTCTCCCCCTTCACCTCTCCCTTCCTCCGCTTAACAACCTTCGTGCCCCCAAAAACCCACAACCTGATCCTTACCAGCACCTCGACTGCCGCCCTGAGCGGCAACACAGAAACCCCCCACATGACTCCCAGCGGGACGCTGAACGCCCGCCCCGCCCATTCAAGCCCCAGCGCCACGACCCCAGGCTTCTGGCTGCTGCGGGCCGCGGCCCCGGCCAAGGCCAGCGCATCTTCGAGCCGAGCTTCTAGGTCCCGGAAACGCCCGTCGGTCTGCAGGCTGCGTGCGCGGTCGCGTTTCTCGTAGGTCCTGATGGCGCGGGTCAGGGAGTCGAGATCCGAGGAGAGGCGGGAGAGCTTGGCGAGTTGTTGGTCTGTGAGTGTGGGGGCGGTGGCGGAGGCGGCAAGGGCGGTGGATGAGAGGTCGGAAATGCGGGATTCGAGGAACTGGAGGCGGTCGAGGACGTCGGTGGGGAGGGCGCCGGGGGGTTGGAAGATCGGGTCGGAGCGCACGACGCGTTGCAGGTGCGCGACGCGGTCGTATTGCAGGTTTATGAGGTGCGAGAAGGGGCGCAGCTCGGCGGCCAGGATGAAGATTGTCAGGTTGAAGTTGGAGACAAGACCTTCGGAGGGGCGGGAGAGTTGGCTGCGAATCGTGTGCAGGAGGTAGGCGCCTACGAGGGGGCCGAGGAAGCAGAGGGTTAGGGCTGTGAGCTCGTTGCGGCGGAGCTCTTCGGCTGCCTCCGTCTGTGCGTGCTCCTTTTCATGGGTTGAATGCTTTGAACGCGCGTCTTCATAGATGGAGCCGTCGCTGGGCTTGGTCGCGTTGTCTGTAATAGCGGACTCGTCGGCGGGCTCTTCGGTGATATCTTCCATGGGTGAGGTAAAGTGGACTGGGTGGTGGGCGTCTGCGTCCTGCACACGGAGGGTTACGGAGGAGTAGTACCATGTCCTACATCACTGTCAGTGCTGCTGAACAATGTCATGTTCTCTGGCTAGACAACCCACCAAGGCGCCCTGACACACCAATTCAAGAACATGGCAGCCAGGCATAACAGCATCACATCCGTGACAACTGTACCACCTTCTTTGAACAACACACCCGCTATAGCGGGTAATATCGCCAATGCCAACGGGGCTGAATGCCAATGCGAGAACTCAACGTCCGCCCCATCGTCCATCGCTTCCCTCCTGGTCGTAGTCCGTAACAGATTGTCCGTCGAAGACCTCATCGATCCGCGGCCGTCGTCCGTCGAGAAATCGGAGAACACCGACCCTCGACGCTTCCCCAGCGAGGGCGAAGGCAGCGGGCCGCCTTCGACGAAGCTCGGCTTCCGTCCGCTGAGACTGCGGTTCAGCATTGGTGGCAGTTGTGCGCCCGTGGCATAGCTGTTCGACTTTGGACGAGGCGGCACGGGGGGCGCGCTTTCTTTCTCAGCACGCGTGCTCATGTTGGCGGCTGTTGCGTGGGGGTTACGTCAAGGCCTGTAGGCGGCATCGGTTCTGTAGATGCAACGTCTGACAGGACGGAACCCCTTTCGAACGGATCACTTTTCAACAGGAATACCTAGAGAAGCATTGGTGGATGCTGGCTGCCATGGTTCCCGAGTGTCCCGTCCCGCCCGTCGCGTGCTTGATTTCTCTGCCGACAGCTCAGCCTTGTTGCTGCATGCATGGCGACGATCCCGTTTGCCGTTCGCCGCTTGCCCCGAATGGGCCAACTGTAGAGAGTGTTAACTCAACCTCAACTTCAGACGATCCGACATCATGACAAGCTGGTTGACAGCCAGGAACATCATCAACGTAATGGCGGCTGCTAGTGTACGGCCAGGAACAATGCGGCAAGCAGCGAACGCAAATTGGAGATATAGGTAGAGTCCTAAGTCGCCTCGTCACCTGCTCTTGATTTCTCGTACCTGGGCAGAGAGACCCAGACAGAGAGGAACCTGTAATGATGTCGGATCCTCATTTGGGACGCAGTCAAGTCTACCAGCGAGTGCTGCGTTCTGGGTTGTTCTCATAATGTTTCATGCCGTTCGCGCTTCGCTTCCGTACATTTCTTATTGACACCCGAAAGGGGTAATCGCCAAAAGTGCATCCAATCTCAGACTCTTGAATAGCTGTGACGCGTCAGGACAAAGGCATCAACTTCCGCGATGAAGCTGTAAGCATCGTTCGTGTTTCGATATGTCTGCTTATATGCTTAAAAACTTTTCTTCAAGCAGTCGGCCTTCCAGCTGCCAGCAGCTGTCAATAACCATTTGAGTTATACGGTGTTATTGACCTAATCTGTTATTGAGCCCGAAACACTTCAAGCATCTTTCCGTCTTCCCACCCTTCGTCCACCATCTAGCAATTTGCTTCCCTTTCTTGCTCTACAAACCGCCTCATCTGTGCAATTCAAGTCTTTCTACCTCAACTGCGAGGAGCAGATCCCGTGGGAAGTATAAGCAGTGCGTACCGATTTCGCCCACCTGCTGCAATCTGCAGCTTCCTTGGGGCCTAAAACACTTCTCTGGAAGGGTGTCGTTCGATCCTAAAAACACCTTGCGGTCGCATCGAGAATTCAAGAAAAACTCATCCCAAGGCCGCACAGCTCTTGTCCCTCTCCGCCATGGGAGGCATAGAGGATAGCAATGGTGAGGCCGGAGTCTACCCAGCCGCAATCTACGTACCGATCTTTGCCGCCATTGCCGTCCTACTCAACATCCCGCCCTTCTACTGGCATTTCCGGCATCGGAACGTCGCGGCATCCAGTCTCATACTGTGGCTCGTACTCCTCAATATCTGCAATGTCATCAACCCCATCATCTGGCCGAACGACAACATATCCAAATGGTGGAACGGGAAAGTCCTCTGCGACATCCAAGCGAGACTATTCGTGGGAGCAACAGTAGGCTTGACAGGCGCTCTCGCATGCATCATGCAGGGATTGGCGAGAGTTATGGATACAAACCGCGCTGTCATCGTACCGAGCAAAGCACAGCGCCGCAGGCAGTGCGTCCTGGATCTGCTATTCTGCTGGGGCTGCCCCGTTTATCTCATGCTGGTCTACTACATCGTCCAGCCGGCTCGCTACTGCATCTGGGGTATCTCGGGCTGCAACTTCGTCGTGGACAACAGCTGGCCAAGCACCTGGCTCATCTTCATTTGGCCGCCTGTTTTCTCTCTGATCGACGCCTACTACTCCGGTATGCGTCCCATCCACTCCTTCTTTGTCTGTGTTTCATCTGCTGATAAACTCCTGGGCCTCGTGGTCTACCGCCTCCACCGCCACCGCCGCCAATTCTCCCGCCTGCTCCAAACAGCCGACACGACGAAATCGCGCTTCCTGCGCCTCTTCCTCATGACGCTCGTCTTGGTCTTCGGTACCTTACCCATCCAGTTCTACCTCTTCGCCCTCAGCCTCAAGGTTCCACGGGTCCCGTACTCGTGGGCTGCAGTGCACGCGGACTGGGACCTTGTCGTCATGATCCCCAACGGAGGGATCTTGCTCCTCGATCACTGGGTCCGCATCGTGTGTGGGTACTTTGTGTTCTTTTTCTTTGGGATGGGGGCCGATGCTACGGAGATGTATCGCGGGTGGCTTGTGAAGATGGGGTGCGCGAGGGTGTTGCCGCGGCTGGATAGGAGGAAGAGCAGCTTTGGGGGTCGGGCGCCGTTTGGTGGTGGTGGCTCTTGGGGGAGTAGAGTCGGGAAGGTGTTTGTGAGGAAGAGTTGGCTTACTGCTACGACGAGCAGCTTGACGTAGGCTCGCTACCCCTATTGGCATTGACCCATGCTGACCACTTTTGCAGCACCTGCGCCCCTAGCTCTGACACCCCAACTGTCCCACAACCACCAACACCCAAGCGCACTCTGTTCTCTTTCCTCTCCTTCCGGTCGAAGTCGCAGAGCATGGCTCTTCCGATGACGCAAACCTCGACCGCGCAGACGACCCTACCGTCGATTCGGCGTAGCTCAACTTTCTCGGATTTTCATCCGAGCAATCACCGCAGTGTGCATTCCTCGATTCCCACGCCGGAAGATCCACCCGCTAAGGAGATAGCTGTGCCGGAGACAGTGAAGTCTTCTCCGTCTGCGGATGCTGGTAGCGGAGGGCATGATGTGATTGCTGCGGGTGGGCAGGTGGGATGAATAGGGTGGTCTGCGGTTTGACGCTCATCTCCGAGGATAGCAGCAGGAAAGGAACATGGCAAGGAGGAGCCTCGTGGCTTGAGCACTCGCTCTAACGTGCTGGCGCTGCATTTACACTGATCAGCTGATATCTAGGCGGCTGATGGTTTTAATGTATCTTGGTGGGTGTCGGCATAGCTATTTCCATAAGCATGTTTTCATGTCTGTCCAGCCGGAGTTTGATGGTGTAAACCGCACGCAATGCGGTTTTCAAAATTCATGCTCCTCTCACATCCTCCCGAAGTTTGATCTCGTCTATTCGTCTACCCGCTGCAACCACCCTCCACTCACAGCCACCGCACCCGCTCCTCAGAAGCACAAACCCCCAACAAACTTCTGCCACCACTAATCCTTCGCAGCGCCCTCGCACCCTCACAATCTCGCCCCACCCCTCCCTATCACCTCCGTCATAAATTCCCTCGTCGCCTCCAACCCCTCCCCAGCCGCCGGACTCGCGCTAGGCGGAAACATGATGAACCCATGCGGGGCCCCCGGATAAATCCTCACCGTGGCCTCCGCACCAGCCATCATCCACTTACTCGCCATGACGACCGTATCATCGAGCAAACAATCCTCGGTGCCACACGTGAAGAGCGCAGGCGGCAGTCTGCTCCCGCCGCTCTCGATCCGGAAGAGGCTGAGGTCTTGGTAGAAGGGGCTGATGGAGGGGTCAAGCCGGGAGGCAGGGGTGGTGTTGGGCAGGAAGGCAGAGACGAAGTGGTTCATGATATTGTGGTCGAGGATTAGGGGTTTAGTGAAGTGGTGCGCTTGCGGGAGGAAGTGGGTTAGGTCGTAGGCTCCGAAGTGGAGGAGGAGGCCGCGTAGGGTTGGGGAGGAGGTGTAGGGGGTGTGGGAGAGGAGGTGGAATGCTGTCAGGACCGCGAGATGGGCGCCTGCGGACTGGAAGGGGTGTCAGCGCTGGAACTCATGTTGGTAGAAAGAGCCGTGGGAGGGGATAAGTGGAATGCCTACCTCGCCGCCCATAAATGCGAGATCGCCACCGTATTTTGACTTCCCGTTCTGGACGAGGTACTCGGCCACGTCGTAGCAGTCCTCTGGACCCTGTGGAAAAGGATGCTCAGGCGCGAGGCGGTAGCCAACGGAGATGACAACCATGTCTGCGTTGTCGGCCATGAACTTGAGGTAGTAATCCTGGCTGGAATCCATCAGACCCTGCCTTACAGTTCATAGCTGCATTCTTAGACGAGATCTCAGACGTACAATTTCTCATCGTTGAGAACCCATCCGCCACCGTGGATGTGCATGACCACACCCTTAACGTCCTTCCCTTGGGCAGGCTTGAACATCCGGCAGGGGATCTCTCGTCCGGCCTCTCGTGACGGCAGGGTCATGTCGATACCGGAGTCGAGCACGACCGGCTTAGGAAAAGGCGTCTCGCCTGCCCAGCGCATCTGGCGGTACTTGGCTGCACCGACCTATCATTGAGAGTATTAGTATGAAGAATTCTGAGCCCAGGCTGGACGACGAGAGCAGGCAAACAGGACAGAAGTTCCAAACTCATAGCTCTCCCGGAGGGCGACGACTGAGAGACAGAGAGCTCTATATTGATAGGACAGACACCACAGTGGTGACCGGTCACTGCGGGAATAGTATGCAGGGCACAGAACCATGGTAGGAAGGGAGGGAGCAGGAGAAGAAATACCTCATACCATCTCGGTCCATTTTTCGTGACTTCGATGAGGTGCTCATTGAGCTTTTTAGTTTTCTCATCTATTGCCTCTGGTGCAAACTTTGAGGCTTCTAGCGTCAGATCACTGCGGAGAGGCATCTTGCGTGAAATTGGAAAGTCTCGATACGAGTGGAGTTGGATTGGGCTGATTGAGTGTGGGGAAATGGTTTGAGAGACTCTTCAGGAGATGGAAACGTTGTGGACGGCTACTGTTTACTTGGGATCTGGAAGACAGACCGAGGCATAAAACGGGATGTCGCGGGGTTCAGGACATGCGGAAGGCGGATTGCCGAAAGAGGCAGTCCGCAACATCTGGTAGTCACGTGATGTCAAAGGAATGCTTTCTCTCACCACCATGCCAAGAACCGTGATACTGTATCCTTGCCGCGCCTCGCGTATCTCGCCGACCCCCGGATAGCAGACGCTCCTACGCTACCAGGCTGCGAAATAAGCATCCCCTTTGGGTATTTGAGAACACAGTACAAGCCGATGGTAGCATACTCCGAACTTGTGCGGCAAAACTGACGGCAGGTTCTCTATGTTTCAGCTTACTCCATGGTATATCCTCTCTCAGCTAAGCCCATCCTTCAGCTTTCCACATTTTCGGCTGTACTCCAACATAGTCCCATCCAATGGAAACGTTGCTCAAGCTAACTTTGTGTCCTGCAACTCCTCAGATCAGATAATCAACTGCACATCATGCAGGATGCCGCCCCGCTGACCAAAATAATCCGAAGACAAATTGCACATCATGCTGTGCTGGAGATTAGTCGGTCAGGTTTCCTATCGAACTATTCAATTTCCCCCCTCGCGATGTCTCCTCGTTTAGTCCGTTTCTCGCTCTGTGGACGCTAATTATGCCCTGAAGAGCACGGTATTGAGGTTGAGTAGCACATGAGATATGAGACTCTAAGATGTCACCATCGCATGCCGACACGGACTTTGCATCCGACCCTTGGCAATCATGGTATTGGAAAAATACTTACTTTCCTCCAACACCTCTCCGGCCATACATCTTCCATCGGACTCTTCAGACTCGATTGCTTGCTAGATTTGCTCATTGCGTAGAAACCCTGGACACAAGAGTCCGATTCGTTGGCGTCGTCTTACGTTCATGTATAGAAGGCTGCAATAGAAGATGGGATGCCAAAATGGGGGGTAAGAGTTTACGGATACAAGATTGCGCGAACGCCGGCAAGCATTGGTCAACGCTCCCCCGAGCACTTCCTCCGCTCAATCTTGGAGATTCACTCGTCCTGTGGTATGCAGGAAGAAAGCATGGCGGCAGGCTCGCAACGACAATACATGTTCGTTGCACAGTTCTCTATAGCTTATACCCCGTCTTCTCCACCGCCCTCCGATACCCCTCCGTAGCCTCACAAACCCGCAACCACTCCCTCGTCTTCGGCCACCTGTCCCCACATCCCTTCGTCCCCAGGCCCCTCGCCAATATGAAGTCCACCGAAAACATCATCATCACGTCCGCAGCTGTGACCTCATCCCCAACGAGGAACCTCCCCTCGCCCTTTTCCAGCTCCGCCTCCAGCCAGTTCAGGTCATTCTGCACATTGATGGACAGGCCCTTCTCCATAATCTCGACATCGCCAGATTCGTGGACATTTTTGGGCGCCTTCCAGCGCACGTAGGTTATTGCGAGGGCGTGCAACAGGAAGGTCGCTTCTGCTGCGTGGAGCCATTGCTGGACACGGATGCGGGAGGGTTGGGAGGTGGGGAGGAGGCGGTGGGATGAGTCGTACTTTTCGCAGAGGTATCTGTTCAGTTCCACGAAATCAGTACGCGCTAAGTAGAGATGCGACTGGGTGGTGCGGAGGCTGGGAAGGCATACTCGGTGATTGCGCCGCTCTCGTAGATTGTCAGATCGCCGTCTTTGATCGTCGGGAACTTGCCGAGCGGATTGCCCGACGCATCTTTGGCTTCCTGCGGCGCTCTGTTGTTTTCTCGGTTCCAAAATTTGACATTGTAGTCGAGCCCGAGTTCTTCGAGGAGCCAGGCGGTACGGATGCAGCGTGAGGCTTGGAGGAAATATAGGGTAATGTCCGGCATCGCGATTCAGAGCAATGGTACTGAAACCGCCGGGAGAATGTTGTAAGTACTATTAGGATGCTCACTGTCTTTGTCGCAGCCAGTTTTCCGAATTGTTTATCAAGCCAGAGTGCCGAAACCCACCCGCGTCATCCTGGATAGGTCTGGCCCGGCCATGCGGAACTGATGTGGAGAAACGTTGCGCTAGCGCAGGCGGGCCGCGGATCGCTCATGCAGCCCCTCATCTGGCCCGGGATCCGCACTGATGCCGGAGAAACTGATGATGGGCGAGGTGAACTTCCGCTAAGTCGATTAGCCTTCGCTCTTGTGGAAAGTTTGATTGTACGCGTATCGTCGCTAAGTCGTTGAGTTCTTGGGCTTTGGTCGATACCCCTTGTGTCTGGTATCGGGGTCCCATCAGATCTGATCGGGTGAGAAGTTCCGAGCTCCGCATCTCTTCCGCAGGAGCTGTATCGATTCGACGCCGACAGCATCGAGCAAAGCTTCGACCCCTAGAAAAACGTCTGTGGGTTGCCCGAGTAATCCGGAAGATAGAAGTCTAGAGAGGCCTGGTCCAATTAGCCGGTATCATAAGCGCAAGCAACTTCAAGATAGACCTACCCAGTCGAATTCCTCAGAGATGTACGAAGTATTCTTGGCTCCGGAGGCTGTTGTAGAGCCGAAAGTATCAAATGTCAAGGTCGTATCCGTGTACTCGCAGCTCGCAGCCCTGTGTACGGATCCAGTGGCGGCGCCGGTTGCAAAACCTGTTCCTGAGTAAGGCTGCGCTACGATAGGGTCGTTGTAGTTGATGGGATCTGGCCCCGGCCCAGAAAGGATTTCAGGCGTAGTTACTGATGGCATGAGCGACGTGACTGGAGTAACACTAAGAGAGGCGCGAGGAGGATCCGCACAGAGCTTGTCAATCATCCTCTCCATGACCAGCCAGGCATGAACGTCGAGGAACTTCTTCACTTGCATGATGTCCCGGAGCGCGGCGAGTGCCCGGTCGCGAAGCGGCGCTCGCTCTAATGTTTGAAACGGTGGACTCCGTAGCTCCGAGATCAGATGCATCATGGGGTGGAACATGATATAGCTGCCTGCGTTCCACTGAAAGCGCTGGACATCATTGTCCATTGCGAACTTTGGGATGTTTTCAACGACACACACACACAGAACAAAGACCCTGAGACCTATTAGTTGCTGATTGTGACGTGTCTTTGCGTGTCATGTACGCACATCATGCGAATATCGAATAATGGTTCAGCATCCCGATAGTTCCGCGGTATCCGATACCAAAAGACTAGCCAGATCCTCCACTGAACCATCATGCCCAGTCCTAGAGACAGCCGCTGCAATGTGAAGGCCGGATCGCAATGCCGCAGGTAAATTCTTTGGTGCCGGTCGTCCATGCTCTGGAGCATCGATCGTGTTTCTTCGTAGACCTCCAGGAGCTCTGGCAAAGGGTCATGATTAGCGTCTTTACCCGGATTCGACAATGTTCGGCGCTCCCAGTGATAGGTTTTCGCGATCACCTCACTGATACATTGCATAGCGCTGGCGCGGAGGAGGGTCAAGGTCATGTCGGTGAAACCTTCAACATCGATGGTGCCTATCGATGAACTAAGACCCTCGTGTAAGTCGACATCATTGATGTTTCGGGGAAGCCAAGTGGTGAAATCTCCTATCCTTATGGAGGGCTCTTGACCCTTGCTTCCTGCAGTGCGGAGGTCAAGGCTAACAATCTGGTACCACAGTCGTCGGCGGAGTTCGATTGTGATTGCGTCCATGGAAGTTGAAGGGAACAGAGTAGGCTCCTTGTGCAGCCCTTGTGCTGTGGCAATTCTGATAACAACGCCGACAAGCGTATACGGTTTTCCACTGCTGTCCTCCCTGCAATCGCACGTCTGAAAAATCCACAGTCAGCCCCTCTCTATAGGACAGGAAAAGCTCAGGGACTATCAGCGTGAGGCTCACCAGCAGCATCACGAAGGCTTGGAGAACCTCGATGCTCGAAGTGGTCAAGAAGTTAGCCCTTTCCAACGCGAGCTCAAGGCCTTGTCTGTATTTTTGAAGCAAGGGCTCCTTCTCGGTAAAGAACTCCAACACAGTCTCAGACGGTTGCAAGCTATTAACAGCGGCATAAAACACCATAAAAGCAAGCGGCTCGAATGCTCGTAGGGTTGCATCATCCATCGTACCACTGCCGGTGGCGTAACATTGTCCAGGCATCCTCCTCTGTAGATACTGCGCATAACGGCGGGTGAACGTTGGCCGATGTAGCAGCTTCATGACCGGGTCCACGTTTGCGAAGTAGTATTCCAGCAATCTGTAGCAATCTTGTATAGACTCTGGAAGGAAGCGAGAGATGTCAAGAGAGAACATGCCGCTACCAAATACTAAAGATGATCTCACGTCCAGGCCTGTGGCATCCGGGTCTAGTAGGTAGCTCGCATGCTGCTGTTTGGATTGATCGGTAAGGAGATCCTTAACGTCTTGCATCTATATCGCAACAGTAAACTGCTGTTCTCTAAGACGACCAAATGTCTGGCTGGTCCACAATGAGACTTACTTCTTCCGCTAACAACGCCCAATGCATACTCGTTACAAACTGAGATTGGCCGTCACCCAGGAACAGCATTCCCCCACTGTCTTCAGGCGGCAGGGTATCCTGTTGTACCTTGCTGGCCGCCGCGGTAGCGGAAGTATCTTCCCAGCCAACGGATGCGCTCTCCGAAGAGACGGTACCTGGTCTGGCCGGTTCGGTGTTGGGTGTCGCAGCGATTGCAGACATCGCACGCTTCACGCCCGGATTCGACGCTGCTAGAGCCATCTCTAAAAGATTCTCTAATCGGGAGAGACGCGCATCCAAGGTTGCGGGTCCAGCTCCATGTTTCTGGTCTGCTGGTGGTTTGTTTACTCGTCCTCCTACTGACGGCTTCTTCGCATGACTAGCCGATGGAGTAGTAGCGTAGGTGCAGAAATGCCCACCACGCATGCAGGTGGAACATGTTGGCTGTTTCTGATCGCATCGCACTTTCCGCCGCCGGCAGCTCAGACAGGAGTTAATTGCCCTCTGTCGAGATGCTGTGGGAGCGCTGCTTTCGTCAACGTTCATCGTGTCCAAGCAAGCGGACAGGTGCCAGAATCACATTGTTCCTTGAGGGGGCTCCTCGATGGCAGTCAGCTTTAAAAGACATGATGACACACACATGTGATGGATGCAGTTCAGCTTACGCCTTATCTCAGCTGCCTGGACACCTCATCCCGTTTGGGGCGCCGAGACGGGCTGGTCCGCGACTGGGGTGAGCCGCAACGGGAGTCCGATGCACCTCACCACCTGCATCCGCCGGCAGGCCATGCGGGGCTCTTCCTTTGTTGCCGACGTGCTTAGTTCCGCAGGCTAGTAGGTAGTAGTTGATGCCGCATTTGCATTATCTCTATTCAATATCTCGTACATATAAACCCACCTTCGTAGTCGATTTCAACCCTAGAGTGCTCTCCCTGTTCTGCGCCCTAAACTCCAGCCATGGACGCCTCCTCTCCATACCTCTCCAACGGCGACCCCCCACCCCAAACCGATGCAATCGTAGAAATAGACCTCTTAATAATCGGCACCGGCCCAGCCGGCGCTTCCCTCGCCTGCTTTCTCGCCTCCCACGGTCTGCACGGTCTCCTAATCTCCTCCGCCCCCGGCCCCTCCCCCACGCCCCGCGCACACATCACGAACCCCGCCGCCCTCGAATGCCTGCGCGACATCGGGCTCGAGGACGAGTGCCTAGCTCTCGCAACCAAGGGGGACTGCATGACGCACACGCGGTGGTGCCGCAGCATGGCAGGCGAGGAGTTTGCGCGGATCCACTCCTGGGGCAACGATCCGGCGCGGGTTGGAGACTATGCGGCCGCGAGTCCGTGCCGGCATGTTGATTTGCCGCAGACGCTGCTGGAGCCGTTGTTACTGCGGTGGGCTGGGGTAAGGGGCTGGAAGTGTCGGTTTGATACTGAGTTTGTGGGGTTTGAGCGGGAGGAAGGAGCGACCATTGTGAGTAGGCTGAAGGATACGGTTACGGGGTTGACGTATAGGGTGAGATCCAAGTATCTGTTTGGGTGCGATGGCGTGAGAAGTCAGGTTTTGAGGCAGCTCGAGATTCCGCTTGTTAAGAAACCGGGACAGGGGTTGGCGATTAATGTGCTGGTTAAGGTTGATATGTCACATTTGATGAAGCACCGTGTAGGGAATCTACACTGGGTTATGACGCCTGATGAGGAGACGCCGGACTGGGCTTGGGTGAGTATTGTGAGGATGGTCAAGCCGTGGCATGAGTGGATGTTCATTCTGTTTCCCAAACCAGGGACTGGTGTCGAGTTTAGCCCGTCTCCGGAAGAGTACTTAGCAGTCGTTAACAAGATTATCGGTGACGAAACATTACCAGTCGAGATCCTGGACATATCAAGATGGTACATCAACGAGATTGTAGCCGAGTACTATTCCAAGGATAACGTCTTCTGTCTCGGGGACGCAGTCCATCGCCATCCTCCCATCAACGGCCTGGGCTCCAACACCTGCATCCAAGACGCCTACAACCTTGCCTGGAAAATTGCATGCACCATGGCGGGCAAAGCGAGCCCAAGACTCTTAGACACGTATAGCAAAGAACGCCAGCCAGTCGGCCACAGCGTCATTACGCGCGCGAACCAAGGGCTCCGAGACCATGTGCCTGTATGGGACGCCCTCGGCATGATGGACCCGTCCCTCTCAGTCCGCAAGCAGCAGTTCGCGGAGCTGTCCTCAGCTACACCTGAAGGCAGAAAGCGCCGCGCAAGGCTGCAGGCCGCGATTGAGGTCACCGCACACGAGTTCCACGGTCTCGGCATCGAGATGAACCAGCGGTACGAGTCTTCCGCCGTCTATCTGGCTGATGAAGGCCCGAGGCTGCCTCTGCCTGCCGATCCGGTACTGGAGCATCAGATCACAACATATCCGGGTAGCAGACTACCGCACGCGTGGCTGAACACCAGAATTCCTGGGAAGCGGATCTCGACGATCGACTTAGCTGGCCACGGAGCGTTCTGCCTGTTGACGGGAATTGGAGGGGGTGCTTGGAAGGAAGCTGCGTTGCGTGTTGGGAGGGTGCTGGATGTGCGGATACTCTGCTATTCGATAGGGTGGTGCCAGGATTACGAGGACGTCTACGGCGACTGGGCTCAGAGGAGGGAAGTCGATGAGACTGGCTGCATCCTGATCAGGCCGGACAGATTTGTGGCTTGGCGGTCCGCTGATATCGTTGAGGGATGCGGAGGAAAACTGCTGCATGTAATGAGGAGTGTACTCACACGGTGAGCATGTCTCTCTGAGGTCTCCGGGGGTTTATTCAGTCTGGGGAACTCGAGTAAATTTTTCGCAATGCTGAGCGGGCTGGTCACCTCGTCGCCGTCGGCGGAGACGAAAACGCCAGGCACCTCTACCGAGGGCGGGAACATGAGCCAATATTTCGCCCCTGTTAGGACTGCGTCCCATGCGCTTGTCGCGTTAAGGTCCTTGTGGAAGGTGCTGCCGCTGCGTGCGAGCCCGATGTTGGGCCAGCGGCTGTCGGGGCGCTGGGCCCTTAAAACACTGAAATGGTCGTCGCGGAATCAGGAAGGGGGCCAGTGAGAGGCGTTGGGCGTGTCGGAGCCGGTGGTTTTGGGACGTTTTGGAGGCGAAGGAGCGGTCGAAGATGTAGAGGAGGTCTGTTCAAAAAACGGATCGTTTCGTAGGTGAGTGCGTTGTATGCTCCATCAAGCTGGTCACTACAAGGGTCTTCCTCAGAGGAATGGATAGATGCACAGAGAAGAGCCAGAACACCAGTCATGGACAAATCTATTCATGCCTACTGCTGCCATATTCGGCCTTCGACATTCCGGTTGGGGTAATGGAACCTTCTCGGCTCCACAGGCTTAAGCTCCGCGCTGCTGCGCCCCGACGAAGCGTCGCCATCCACGTCCATGTCTCTTATCTCGTAGATGACATCCACCTCACGCGCCACCTTGATGTTCGCTAGCTCCACGTCACGTGTCCAGCTATTCTTGAGTCTAGGCATCTCGTTCGACCCTCCTCTGCTCGCGGAAGCATTGTAGCCGATGCTCGGGTCATCTTTGGTATTCTGAGATGGCGATGTGTTCCCACCATAGCCTTTACTACGGCTGTGACCTCTCGCGCGTTTGAGTGAGCCGCTGAGATGTGAGCCAAGCCCGCTGGCATTAAGTATCTTCTTGAAGAAGACTTTCAGCGCAGGCGCCGAGGCACAGACGATGGCCATGTGCGATTCGACCACGGCCCAGATCCAGATATCATGAGCGGTCCAGGTGCCGTCACCGGTCAGGTAGAAGTAGTGGTAGACATAATATAGGCGGAGAATGCCGGCGACGCATAGGCTGCGAGTTGAAGAGTTAAATCAGCAAGCCGTCGGTCTGACAAAGCTTCCTCTAGTCACACATGAATGGGCCATGGGAGTACTCACAATGCTCCGACCCCAAAAATAATGCCTAACGCAATCTTCTGCCGTCGAGGCATTTGTAGTTTCCAGAAAAGCATGATGGGCAGGCCACATGCGATGAAATCCTGTACTATGCTGATACTTCCTGCGATGATAACGCCAACCGGTTCATTGATGCATTTGTACTTGTGTGTCGTTGCCCAGACGGGATTAAGCCGCAGCCAGTATGCTTCCACGGGTAGGCATTGCGCAACAGCAAGGATGACGAAGGTTATCAGGAAGGCGACAATGAATGCGATCGAAATCCATACGGTTGTTCTGAATTTTTTCGACACCGTCCCAGCGGTCATGCGTCTGTAGAAACATAGAATGGAAATCTTCGTCAAGCATGTCGAGAATAGATAGAATTCCTGGATGACCATCGATATCTAAGGCGCTTTCATCAATAACAACCCAGGAATCAAAGCAATTTCGTGCCTTACCTGGCGCGTCTGGAGCTGTACAGCTGGAGGAATGTCCCATACATGGAGATCGAACCCGTAAACCTGGTAAGCATGAGCTCCGCAGACCAAACTCTGGCAGGAGGGGCCTTACCTTACTTGCCAGACAAGTGCTTATAGCAACACCAAGAGTAGGGACCTTCAAAAGTAAGCATGAGCTCCGCGGACCAAGCTTGTCACCAGGAGGGGCCTTACTATCGCCGCAATGATGAGGGTATCGTCTAGACCATAATTTCGCTGAATACGAATCCTAGCATATAATCTAACGATAACGATGCCCAGTGCAAGAACGAAAAGGGCAATACACAGCGCCACCAGGCCCCAACCTCTTCTCGTTGGATTATGGTAGTTAGGTTTCGGCCAGCTTGCGATCTCTTCGGGAGTATATTGGTGGCCTCCCATGATGGATGCGGTTATCTGTCGCAGTTGAGGCGCAAGAGGAAGAAGTTGACAATCGAAGGAGATTCTCAATCTGCAAAGAGGGTGGAGCAGCGCGTCCGGAAATAGTGCACAGGGCTGATGCTATATGAGATCGGCATTTCAATTGCGGGAGGCCGCCACGTGCGCGTGTGGGATGACCCCAACAGCGACCCCAACAGCCCCTGCAGATCAACGGCCGTGAAAGGTACCCTAAAGCGTGTCAGTATGGGACTTGTTCCATGGCGGTTTCCAGATGTTGTACCATGGCGGTTTCCAGATCTTGTACCATTTCTCCAGACCAGACATTTTAGCCTGGGTGCACAGAGACCCGGACCAAGTGGGGGAGTGCTTGGGACATACGCTCTTCGTTTACGGTTGCGAGTGTTGCCCGATGAAGAGGTACCCCCGGCATTACAACGTTGGTGGCTTGAGAGGGAATACCTCGGGGGGTTTTGGATATGGCTTAACGACTGTTACGCCCAGATTATCCGCAAAGCTGCCTAGGCAAAGCTCATGCGGGCGTCAGCTCGGCTAGAGGGCCAAGTCCGAAAAGAGACAGCCTGTTGACCGTACGAGTAGCTGGCGCATCTGCAGCGGAGGGGCGTGGCTTTCCCAAGCTCAAGGATAATCCCATGGGAATCGTAACAATCAGCAATCGAAGTGGGGTGGGTGCTTGCACTAAGAACCTCCAGTGGAAGATGCGAGGCGCGCTTCACGCGTTACACGCTCTTCTAGGCGGCGTCTCGGTTGCGGGAACTCGCTGAGGGGCTGTCCGTTATGCAGGACAGATAGCGATTCGGATTAGCGAAAACGGCGCTCGTGGCATGATAAGACTAGTTCCGGGATTGAGCTCCAACGTCGCGGTTTCATGACTTGGACTATGGCCGGAGAGTCTTTACCGCAGGGGCACGGTTACTAGCGCTTTCCATATGTAGAACTTTCGCCGTGTCAGTGACGACCAGGTAATAAGTGATGATAGATTGGAGATCTACGTACCTTGATTAGCCAAAGCCGTTGCTGAGATACACGGCCATGGTAAAGAAGAGCATTTGCCCTCTTCCGCGCTGTGCGTTCAGTCCTTGTTGGTATTCAACCACGTTGAAATGGTGCAAGGACGTTGACAGAAGGTGCAGCAGGGTTACCAGGCTAACTGCTACCGACGCCAGGGATCAGGGGGTGGACTGCGCGCTAACTTTTGCGTCTCAAAGCGTTGTGGCGCGAAGTGCCGAGGTTCCGTTTTTCTCACGTGAAGCGCACCAGCAACAGAGGGGCTGAGAGATCAAGCGAGAAGATCACCAGCCAGACAGACATGCATCCAAGAAGGCTAAGGTAGGTACAAGCACCTCTACTAACCGGACATATCAAATTCACGGCGCTGCAGGAGTCTGAAACGAGAAGAGGCGCTGGTCAGATATAGATTCCCCTCGGCTAGGCCAATTTGCTGACTACAGTCGGCTGATGAATCCACTCTTGTCCACCTTGACGAGGTAGTCTTTGTTGATGTCCTCCACCTTGATCGTCCCCGCCAATCCCATGCACAGCCTGAACTCATCAGCCAACAGCTTCAAGCACAGCTCAACCCCCTGCTGCCCTTTGTATGCAAGCCCCCACAATACAGGACGCCCAATCCAGACAAAATCTGCTCCAAGCGCCAATGCTTTGAAGATGTCGGTCCCATGTCTGACTCCACCGTCGACGTGCACAGGAATCTTGCCTCCTACAGCCGCGGCGACTTCCGGAAGTGCATCGAGGGTCGCCAATGCCCCGTTGAGCTGTCTCCCACCGTGATTGGAGACGACAATACCGTCCACGCTGTGATGTACGGCCAGCAAAGCGTCCTCTGCGGTAGCAATGCCCTTGACCCATACCTCCATAGGTGCAGCTTCCTTCTTTAACCACGCGATGTCTCGCTCCCAGGAGAGCGTCGGATTTGCGGCATGCGTGTGGAAGGTTATAGGACCCGATGGTGGATGCCTCTTCTCGCCGTCGTGGTAGCCCACGCTGCTTTGCCTGCGCGTACTAGAGGCGGCCTCGCTTTTCTTCTGTCCCTGTGGCTCCGACGAGCTCCCTGTGCCGTCCATGACCGTGGCACTCGCATCGGAGTTGATGTCCTCATCGAAGTTGGCGATCTTGAGATGCCTAGGTAGCTTGAACTGGTTGCGTATCTCTAGGTTCCGTCGGCCAAGCATAGGCGTGTCTACGGTCAGGAAGACAGCCTTGTAGCCTGCCTTCTTCGCTCGAGCGATCAGTTTTCGGCTGTGGTCGCGCTCTTCGAAGAGATACAGCTGGAGGACGTTCGGGATGTCGCCACTGGCCTCGGCCACGGCTTCGAGTGTCGAGGTCGCGAAGGAGGAAAGGCCCATGATCACACGCATCTCTTTGCACGCGCGTGCCGTAGCTATCTCTCCATCTTGATGCGCCAGGCATTGCATGGCAGTGGGCGCAACGCCGAGTGGTAAACTGTTACGGAAGCCGAAGATAGAGGCAGAAGTGTCGATTTGAGAGATATCACGCAACACCCGAGGTCGTATGCGATATTTCGCGTAAGCCTCTATGTTCTCGAGGAGGGTGGAGCCTGAGTCCGCGCCCTCGTTGTAGTAATCCCGGGTCTGCTTGTCCATCATGACAGCGGCATGTTTCTCGAGCTCCTTGATTGTGAGGCAATTGAGATCCAGGGTCTGCTTCTGGCCTTTTGACGGACTGACCATTTTGCTGGTGATATCTGACGTGAATCAACTGAAGATTCCTACTACGGCAGCTCAGGAGGCCTATGTGGGCTCGAGTGGACACAGAGGCTGCGGCGATGTCTGCTCAGAGGTTGGAAAGGAGCGGGAGCCGCCATCGCTCTGGATATGGACTTCATGAATCCGATAATGACGCAGCGTCGGCAGCCACACCTGCTATTCGATGAGGACTACGGTGAGAGACGATCCCTTGATCGGCGAAGAGGAAGAGAGCCAAGACTGGATAGCCGAGGCCTAACAGGGATCCCATCTATCCCATTCCGGCATGGCATCATGAGTTTACTCCAGCTTCCGGATGATGGGCAAGCTGCAGAATGCCTAGAACTCCTATCCATGGCGGCTGATGATGATTTAGGAAATAATGTTCTACCAATACCGCTGCAGCGGCAGACCGCCTGTCACGTCCGAGTCTCCGTTGAAAGCACCTACACATTTCATAGAGTTAGCATCCGGCAGAGGAGAGACAAGCAGGGCAACCTGTGCCATTGGAGACTGCGGTCGAGGATGCAGGACAAAAGTATGAAGCACAGATACACAATTCCGTATACTAATCATCTCATCATCCAACAATTCGTAAAAGCTCTCCTCAAACGTCGAGCTCGCGAGCCTATGTCTACCATGCTTCAAAAAACATGGTTGGCGGCCAGAATAGTTATGTGTGACAGAACAGCGGCAGCTCTATGCAATGAGCTAAGTGGCTCCCTCGTGCGGTTGTACTTTTATATAACCGTTGCTGGTTCATGCGCTGCGAGTGACTGGAGGGCATCATGACAAATCTAGTTGTTGCATGGTTTTTGCGATCAGGACTAGGTATCTTGATACTAGGACTTGAGCAAAGCCTTACATCATACAAGGAGGCAGAGTCTTACCCGCAGCACTGTCAGCTCCGGGAAACGTTTCAGTTGAAGCCTTTCACCTCCAGAAGCGCAAAGGAGTGCCACCGGATTCTGATCATATCTCAGACGTAAACCGATATCTTTAGCATACGAGCACCATCACGCCGCCTGACAACTTACCTGAAAAGCAAAATATCCAGCTGTCATTTCAGTTGCATTCGGCGAGCGAATATTTCAGATCATTAAGATTGCAGAATCAGCTGCATTATATAATGATCCTGTTCTGATCCTAGATGTGCTGACGCGGATTCGGTACCTCTTTCACCAATTGGAGCGACCTGCTGCGAAACAGAATTGACTGGAGACTAGCAATACGAAATCTGTGGTAGTGTGCAGAGCGAAATTACGAAGGCACAGGGCTTCTGGCCTTTTCAGTGTTGCCATCATTTACTGACATGATGCAAGAGTGAACAGGAGGACTGGCATACAGTTTTATGTACATAGTTCCCAAGGAGAGGCGTCCATCACCTCATTCTGTACTAACTCGTGGCCTATCAAGGCAGGCTGATATTGACTGTTTATCCCCTAAGCAGCCATTGCTATAGGATGCATCTCAGTTCCTCAGAGGTGAGGCAACGGAACAAGAATACTTGAGAGGAATACATCGAAGGGTTTGTCAATTTGTGATGCAGTGTCTGTGAGGTCCGAGTGGCTTAACTTAGCTATTTATCGATGATCGTTGGCGCACATGGCGTGTGTGGAACGTACCACAGAGCTTAAACCAACGGCTTCGAGGGTACAGAAACGCAAAAGACTCCTCACTAATGATTGATCACTATATCAGGCGCGGAGATTGTAACTGTTGCGTGAACCTCAAGCAAATCTCCTCCAACACTGCCAGCACCTCCGTATTCCGTTCATCACCCTACATTGTTGATAGGCCCCTTCACAGAGCCTAGTCTTGCAAGGCCGGTTTTCTTGAATACTGCTTCCTGCATCATGATCGCCAGAGCGATCTTGGAAGGCAGAAATGCCCAGAAACTTACCTCTCTCCGCAGGACATGGGTCCGTCCGTATGTATCGGGATACTGGTTGAAATCTCGAATCTCGGAGTCAGTTAGGCGACTGTATTTGCTAGCAAGTAATGACGTGAGTACCGCAAGCTTGGTAAAGCATACGGGGAAGCTTGTCTGGCTATCAGGTGACAGGTGGTCGTTCTGCGGTATGCTGCTTGCCCCCAGCGCTTGAATATATAAGGCGCCTGAGATAGCTTCTGGTCCGCTGACATCTAACTGAAAAGAACCAGACAGTGCTCCAGAGTTCTGGATACTTTGACTGAACCAGAGATTGGTTTTACTTTAGGGCTCCAGTGAACCTGATCCGCTGAAAGCGCTGGTCAAAATGTGTAATGTTGCTGCAACTGCGGCAACCACCAGTTTGGAATTCGTTGTTCTTTCTTTGAGCATTGATTATTGAGCAAGGCTTTGTTCCTCAGCCTCTACGTCTTTGTCGTCCTCGCGTGAAAGAGAGCGCTTTGAACTTCAGTACAATCCACGTTGTAGTATCCGCTCAGTGTCACTTTCAGCTTTCGGCATTGCCTTGATTGCATCTCTCGATTTGCTGCTGAAGCTGTAGTTTTGTTGCATCAAGCGGATCAGGCATACTTTTGGATAGGCCCCTCAACCGTATGGAAGCGTGTAAGCACACCACATTGACGCAAAGCCAAGATGCTCGCAGTAACGGGGAGCCCGCTGAGCTTGAACAACAAATGCCCGAGAACGCGCACCTGTGTCCAAAGAAACAGCCACTAGTATGATTCTCAGCACCGGCTCCCAATCGCTACTCTCAAAGTTCTTACCCGTCCGGACAATGCGTATATCATCAAATCAAAACCACAACACAATATAAGAGGCGTTGGGAATGGGTCACAGTCGAGAATCTGAGCAATGGTCGTTCTGTGCTGCAGGCGCGAGAGCGTGTCATAATGGAGGACCTATTCCTTGACCTCGGGGCTGCTTTTCGCTTCGGAGACCTTCGAGTGAAGTTGCTAGCCCCGCGCGTTGCTTGTTCCCATGTGAAGAGATTGCGTGCTAAGGCTGGGAGGGCTGCCCGATATCACAACAAGGCAGACGAGAGAGACCACCCGTGCACAGAACCGATTTCTGACTCGATAGTCACATTGACCACTCATCGCTGGTATTTGGAAGATATCTAGATCAAACATTCAGCATCAGTGCGCGCCTTTGGAGATCCGGAAATGGCCTCTCAGGCTCTAGCGTTCGCAACGGCTGGTCCCTCAGCACAACCATGGCAGTTGATGGTCCCCCCAGCGGCAGCTCCACAAGTCCGTACAATTCCGTCTTCCAGCACTGCTCAGATATACGGGTCCTACGTTGAGCACGATCTCCCCTGGGCAATACATTACGTTGAACAGCCCACACTCCCGTTCCTGACAAGCTCAGGACCACTCGCAATTAACGGCGCTGTCAAGTTCAGCCAACGAGGAGATCAAGTCAACCGTGACGTGTTGCAGCACTATCCTGTCAACCCTATCGGCTTCATCAATCCCGAGATCCAAGGCTGGGAGTTGGCGGTGCTAGTTGCCCAAGGGTTCGACATGGACATCATTGTGAGCCACACCAGGCCAAACAATGTCAGTGATGAGCTCATGAAGAAACGGTTCTGGATGCGGGAACTACGATTTCGTGAGAAACATGGGATCCTCAAACGACTAGGAGAGCGGAGACTACCCACAAGTCTTGAGGAATCAGTTCTGTGCGAGCACAACAACTTCGTCTACAACACGTGGTTCGTTGTTGACCTTGCTACTGGCACAATGTATCAGCCTCAGCCAGAAGGTGCTGTTCCGCGAACACGATACCCCCTGCCTCGCCCTCGTAATCCAAGCGTGCGGATGGCAGACATCTGGATACGGAAGAGACCAGACGATCCTGTTCCGTCGGTAGTCGTGGTCCAGCACCCCCCAGCAAACCAAGCACATCCGGCTGTTGTAATAAACCAACTACCAGATCACGCCGCAGGATCAAGCGTTGTTGCTCGAGTGGTTTCTACGCATCCTACGCTTCCAGTAGCTACACCAGTATCAAGCTCAGGAGCGCCCGCGGACTCGAGCCGTGCAACTACACCCATGAGCGGTCGCCATGGGCAATGGACTGCAACCACGGAGAGTCCACAGGATGGCAGCCTAAGAAGCCGACCGGCTGTTCTTGGTATCGATGCAGATGAACATCAGAGCGGCTACGACAATTCACAACAAGATCCAACGCATGTGCAAGCCGCTATTGCAAGTCTATCAAGCCGAAAGCGGGTTAGAGACGATGACGAAGATACAGACAGCAGCTCGCCGCAGGGGGTGAGCGCCATCACCCAATGTGCAAACGTAGACATCGCTAACTCTTTCAAGCCGCGAAAGCGTTTCCAACTAGACGTAGATAATACTGCGCCGGCGCAATACCACTTTCAGCATCAACAAGCGCCGCCACACCCATTGTCCGTTACACGAAGATCTGCAGGGGAGACTGGTACTCCAACTCGCCCTCATCACTCCCAAGTCGAGCCAGAGATTCAGGACCATAGGTCATCCATCGTCGTGTTCCCGCCCGGTTCTACGAATCGCTACGACATGCCTGAGGAGGATACGTGGGTGCCGTCGTATCCGACTCTGCGATACGTGACGGCTCTTATGGAAGAAGAAGCAAGCAGAAGACGGGAACCAACTGAAGAAGAGCAGGCGGCGTATTCCCATGCCGTGTTGAACGATTTGTGGGGCGGACTCGACTTGTGGAAGTGAGGCTCATGTAAATGCATGAGAGAAACGCAGTTTCTTCAGCCAGGAGAATCCTTAGAAGTTAGGAGTCCAGCTCCCGCCCAGAACGCAGAAGGAGCGTTTGAAAAATCTCTCAGTGCTGCAAACGCATCGTATGCTTCAGTGTTCCATTGATTTGGCGCGAATCATGTTTGGGCACGATGTGTCAGGTTGAGGTGGTAACATCTTGCTTCTTTATCACATAGATTGAGCTTCCCTGCGGCACCGACATTGTATAAGATTAAGATAAATGCGAGGCATTTTCATTGTCAACCTCAACCGGTCAATTTGCTCCATTCGTTGATAGCAACCTTGCAGAAGAGAAGTCATGGGTATGGAAATTGAAGATTTGGTGCTTGTGTGACATATGTGGTGTATGACACCTGGCAATCGCTAAATAGGCCGACGCGTCAAAGTGTTCTCCCGGGCTCTGCCCGAATTTCGCCGGTCTTTCGGTCGTCGAGACATTGTTCGGATGTAAGAAAGACGCTGTAGAGCTTGTACGATCCCAATTGATGCCATGCTCGTCCGCTAGTTTGCTGCCGCTCCTAGAGACGATACCTCCCGTCAACGTGGAGAATAAACTAGTGCGAGACTGTTCCTAAATACTCGTTGCTGAGCTTGTGTTTCGATGTGTCTTGTATGGACTGTACCTCTACAGCACAGGACTGGTCGGAGAGAAATTAGCCTGGACGGAAGATGTCGCCTAGAAATTTCGCTGTTCGGTTCAGTGTGTGCGGTTCCCCCTGATGCACTTCGCGGCCACCTCGTGAAGTACTCAGCCCTACCAATTCTCACGCTGCGGTTTCCGGGGCATCCAACGTGCCCGCTCTTAACCGCGTCACCAGCACACTGAAGTCGTCTTGCCATAGCGGGATTCCAACGCGAATCAGTGATATCAGACTGTTCATCGAATTGCATTCCCGAGTCTTCATTTCAAAGCTGCTCTCAAGCGGTAGTTTGTCCGAATTGCCAGCAAGGATTGCGTTCGAATTCGCGTCCTGGTCTTTCTACACGCAGCAACTGTCTTACAGCCTGGACCGCAAGCGCTCAGCCAGCATATAGCAATAACTACAACGGTTGTAAGTTGATTCCCACTTCAGAATTGCACCTCTTTTGTCGTACTTCCAGCTTAGCATGACACCTTTTCGCCAACATTGCTCTACGGCGGCTAATATAACTGTAGAAATATGTCGAACGTACCGACAGCCTCAATGCAGTCCATAGCGCAAGCACCGGTTCCCAGGGCGACACATAGGAACCACGTCCCTGCATATGGCAAGGGTTTCAATCTGAGCGCTGAGCCGGTCTGCTAACCATATGATATTGAAGTGTATCCTCGTAAAGCAGATTCAAGGCTTGCCGGCGATCAAACAACCTACTGTACTGAGTACCGGGATTTTGCTCCGTACAATCTGCCGCTCAGGGTGTATCAGCTTGAGCTCGAGCACGTCACGCTCCTGAGACCCATCGAGCCTCTTCAAGATGCCTACGGGAATTTGATCCGGGATAGGCAAGGCGACCCAATGCAGCGCTACGAGCGTGACCTGCCCATCCAGATAAGTACCCTGATCGAGGGCTGGGAGATCGCTTTGTTCACGTCCCTGGGATTCAACACGGAAATGCTTGCTAGGCGTACCATGCTTGTGCCAGGCCACACACTAGAGATGGTCATGAGTGCGCTTTCATCCAGGCTGGCCCGTTACCGCGAGGATCTCGGCACGATCCCGGCTAAAGGTCAACGAAAGACCGTAACCGGCGCTGACAAGCGGAAGGTCCAGCGGCTTGATGATATCCAGATACTATGCGGGAGTACTTGCGATGTGGAGTTGTATAACGGCCAATGGTTCCTGGCACAGGCTAGGGTACCCGAGACCCCGCCAGACTACTATCGCCGGGCATGTCCACTGCCCCCGCCTAAGGACCCCAGTGAGAGGGTGTCGGAAATCCTTAGGGCGCTGGGAAGGCCTGTACCGAGAACGAGTGACTTCAATCGTCTTCTGGCCGAGCGTGCGGCGGCACTGCAAGCAAGTGGTGCGCCACGACCGCGGCTGGTGTTTCCAATACACCTGGTTCAAGTACCTCAGCCATTGTCAAACCCGCCACCACCAGTGATGCCACACGCCCTCTATCCGGCGGCTCTAACTCAACACCACACTGCTACAACTCCACGAGCACCGACTGGTCATCAAAGCCCCTTACTGTTCGTTGGGCAAGAGTCTGCTGCCAACCCGTTCCCTACATATCCAGCAGGTCCAGGACAAGCCACCGTTTTCAACACAAGGGCTAGACCATCGCAGCGTCACACAAACCCGTATTCAGAAGTTGCCGGTCGCCAGCCCCCATCTACGCTTGGCTATACAGGCAGAACGCAACCGGATAACAGCAGAGTTTGTATCTTCAGCGGCAATGCCTACCATGATCCAGCGTCGTGTGTCTATTGCTACAATCAGCAGGCAGATGCTAGACACAACAGCCTGTACCAAACCACTGGCCCCACTCACTCGCCGCTTGCTGGAGCAGGGAGCAGCAGCTTAAGAGTTCTAACGGCCAACATGGAACAGGTTCATACTCAAAGCTTAGCGGGCACGCCGACTGCCGAGAGTTTTCAGCAGCCGAGCTCGTTTCCGAGTAATAGGGATCGATACGACGGCGCCGGATACGGTTCGACTCCGTACATGAGCTTCGCTCAGCTTCCAGCTCACCAGACTGGTCACTTGCCGGCGCCCCTATCAGCCGCACGCGAGCTTCTTGCCCATAACGACCGACAAAGCTCGGCAACGGCCTCCAGATCACAAAGGCGTCGTCAGCAAGGCGGCCAACAGAGACTACAACCGCCAGCTATGGTGGATAGGGCCCTGCCTATAGACCCCGTCCTGCTCGCAAGCGACGAACAGAGGCAACCCAGTGCTACCAATCTGACCGCTGATAAGGCCCGCCTTTACGAGAGCGGCAGCACAGCTGGAGACGGCATAAATGTTGATCCGGGCGCTGGTCAAGTTCTGCAGCCACCTAGTTTCCCTCCCACGACTGGCTTGTTATCTTCACTTCACTCAACATCTACACTCAGCGCCGATCCTTCTACACATCTCGCCTCAGAAATGGCAGGATCAAGGCGCAAGCGGTCTAGAGCTGAGGAAGATGATGACGATGAATATCTTCCGGAGAATGAAGGTTTGCGTCGCGCAAAGAGAGCTCGTCGTTTTTCGGAGGAAGAAGCTGGAAGTGAAGCGAGGGTCAACATTCCTTCCGCCGCACAGAGCCAGGAGCAGCGTGTCCCAAACCAGCCTTCTCTCGTTCCTCAGGAGCCACGCGATGTTGCCATGGGCGTCAATCCCCGCGTCATTGATCCGCTGTGGCTTTTGCATCTTCCAGACCGAGGAGAGTTCCTACCACCAGACGCTGTTCATCCCGCTAGCCAAGGTCAAGCTCCTCCAGTGGCTCCACCTGCAGAAGACGAGGATATCGCGGCAGAGCTGAACCTGGACTCTCTCGACCTTCCCGAGGCAGCCGCGGAGATCATCGAAGCCTCCAACCGCATGACGTCGCAGCAGTTGGACGACATTCTGCAGATGCAGATGGGCCTGAGTGGATACGACGGGCCGCTCTACGCACGAGTTCGAGATAGCTGCGACTGGCGCTGCAGCATGCTCACCGGCCATGTAGAGTGGTGTCCTCTCCGGGGTAAGTCTCTTAAGTCTTCTGCGCATGTAACGTCGATCATGGCTATGGTAATTGACGGATTAGCTGTAGGCATCTTGTTAGCCGACGACAACTAAAGACTTTGGGGAAAGTCTAGTTAGGGAAGCGGGCTGAGGCAAACGGACAAAGATGGGCTTGGAACAATGGGCGTTGGATTGACTTCGATTGGGATTCTTTCTTGATTTGGCTGTTTCATTTTCAAGCATCGGCATAGCTGCTCGTTTCACCTCTCATCCCGCGAGATACCCATGAAGATTTTGGGATGGAACAACCGACGCAGGCACATTAGATGGGTCTCGAGGATTTTGCGTTTTGTGGCTAGCTGGAAGGATCTCTCTACAACCGTGATCGTGCGAGTTGGCTTTGTTTCTTTGTCGGAGAGAAGATTAGACAATCGGGCACACAAGTGTCGGCCTCAAGGGTTCTTAATGCGTTGTCCGACTCCCAAGGACAAAAGACTCTCTTTGTCTTCCAACAATCGAGTCTCAACAGTCTCATACTATCTGTGACTGTATCGTTCCGCTGATGCACTTCTCCCGTACTTCTAGAATAGCACGGTAGTCACTCCGAAGACTTAGACGTTATCTCATCACTGAGGGAGGGCTCTTGCACAAGATCGTGAAAATCCCCGGGTAAACTCTGCATATCACTATCTTCTGCATTGTTGTGGGCACCGGCCCGTAACACCACTCCACATACTCCGGTAGACAGCTTCGATTTCCGCCGCTGGATAGATCTTGATTCGGAGTAAGTGGTTCCAACTCTGCCCGTTTGAAGCTGGACTTATAATTGTCCTAAGACCCGGTGCGGCACTTCGCAATCGTCCGAACTGGCTGAAAGTTTTCCAGTGGTCAGTCGGTCTCGTCTTTGGGAGCACCGTCTCGCTGTATCTTCGCCAGGATCGAGTCCAGAGTTTGGCCAAACAACAGAGATACGGGTGGTCACTCCCAGGTGAAGTCGCTTGGAAGATCGACTTCTCGGAGTCTTTTCGACCTTCCAGCAACTCCAGCGCCGGCTAATCACTCTCCAACTTCAACAGGGCACATCTCTCTTGAAGCACCATAGCCTCACTCTCTCTTCTGCACGCGCGCATCTTTCTTGCCAGTCTCCGCGTCCATGTCTTGAACGATCGTAAGCCTTCGAAGCAGATACGACCACCGTCCACAACAAACCCGACTCTTTCTGCGCCGACAATCAACATCACGACCCGTTAACATTCCCATTCTTTCTCTCTTTAAGAATCCAAACACAGCTCAGATCGGATCCGCCTTTCCCAATCTTCTTCTTCTCCTCTCACACCGGTTGGGATCCAGATCCAACTATTGCAGCAGCCATGGCGGGAATAAAGCGCGGCCACGACGTCCTCGAAGACGGCGAAGGTATCGAATTCCGTAAGTCGCCTCTACCCCAGAATGACCTCGCGGCCAAGCGTCGGCGAACACATCAGCTCCCAATTCCTCAAAGCGTATCAAGTGCTGACCATCAAATAGCAGCTCCGAAGATCCAGAGGGTCGCAATACGCCTCCAGGTAGTCAAAGGCACTAGCCTCCGCTTCGGCAAGCTACCAGACGGCACCAAGATCTTGAGAGGCATCTCCACATTGGATCAGAAGATGTGGGACGTGCTGTGTCCCCCAACTGGCGACCGGCTGGATCCAGACATAAACGTACACTTTGAGAAGGGCATACTCAAAGGATGGGGCACCCCGATGGAAGAAGCTGCCTTTCAGCAGCTTCGTACGTACCACCTTAGCTCAGCTCAAGCGGCCCGGTCCTAAAGTATACAAGCCGAAAAGGCCTCTCGGGAGGCAGACGATGATGCCGTTGTTAAGGATCCGGCACCTCCGAAACAGCACACCACAATTGATCTGACGGGAGACGACGATGACGACGCAGAAAGCGCGAAGTGGGCAGCCGTAGTCTGGCAAAAGCCATCATTCCCCCCTGCGCTGAAGGAAGAGCCGCCGACACCACAATCTCTAGGTTTCGACCAGCCCGTACCAGCCCCGTTCTCACACAACGTAACACAACTGCCGATTCAGCCGTCGAACGTCTCAATACCTCAGCCCACCTCTCATGTTTCTCGGCCTGCCTCTTACAACCCTTTTCCCCCTCACAACAACATCCCCAGCCTGATAGGAGCACCCTGGGTCCCCGCCGACCCCACAAACCCCTGGCTGCGGCAAGACGGACGCTATCTCTGCAAGCACATGACGCCCATGACGCCCTCGACCTTCGAGCCCTCCTGCGCCCAAGGATACTGTGCAGGCCACGAAGAGTCACCCTGGAACAACGATTTGAGCCTCCAAACCGTTTTCTGCTGCCGAGAAGGGCGAAGAGAAGCGCAAGTGGGGCTACCGCCAGACCCTCACGACCCTTCCAGAAGAATCGACGGCCGGTACAGGTGCGGCCACCAGACCTCAACTGCTCGAGGCGGTCCGGCGGCGGCGTGCTTGAGGGCCTCATGCGCACACAGGAGCTGTTGCTGGTACGGGAATGATACCAAACCGGTTAAACGTAAGCCCAGAAAGAGGTCCGTTGCTTCGCAGGCACAGTCCGCGGCACCGGTTCCGGCACCTGGTGCTAGTCAAGGTCCTCTTGGAGGCGGTTACACGTTCACGGATGCCGAGTTCGACGCTATGTTGAACGTGGCGATTACCTCCACCGCTCCCGCGCCCAGCGCAAGGGGTCCCCAGAGCCTTGTTGACGATGCTCTGCAAGCCCAGATAGACGCGGATCTGGCGTTCCTGGAAGAGCCGCTGTAGTAGGAGCTTGGTGCTGGGGAACCATGACGGCGTTCGAGACCATAGAGCAGGTGGAGCTTTGTGGTCGTTACGTTTATCAAGCCGCCGTTAATGTCTTCCTGAGGAGCGTTCGCATTGCAGGCTGGAGTGCTGGTTTCCTTTTCTACATCTTGGAGTGGTTTTTGCTGGTTGTAGCTTTGGAGTCAAAAGTCCTTGAGCGAGATAGGAAAGCGCGGCGACGCAAGGGGTGGCGGGCTTGGTATATGAATGAGAGCATCATGATTCGGTCTCCGTTTCCCTGCCCTGCGCGCTTGAACGACTACCTATATACCTGACAGCATCGAGCAGCATAGCCTGCAAAGCTCACGCTATGCTTTCCGTATGCTCCTTCTCTTACGACCCACTTTGCGAGATTCTGCTATGGGATCTTGCGTCGTACCTTTCTCACCCAATCTCTTTGCCATCCCATATCAACAGCATGCTATACATCCGTCCAACAGATGGTCCCAGAGCTCCATTGGCAGTGTGTTCCAATCTGGTTCGAGGAGTACTTGCTAGCCGGGACTGGTTGTGGGAGTATCGACCGGTACCCGAAGTCCATAGCAAGCTCAACTGCCCCTCCTCAGGCACATGGTACGGCTTGAGCTGCTATGAGTAGCTCTCACGCTGCTCGCTTTCAGCAGGTGAGGTCATCCTGGTGCCAGTCGTTCCTTCGCCATACGTCGGCGATGTGGAGCGGGCCGGAGAGCAAGTGTTCGGTCATGACGTTACGGGCTCTTCAAGAGGCTTCCGGTGGTGTTTCTGAAGAGAAGGCACCCAGGACAAAGCCCGGACTCTTCACTCATCATGGTGCGCGACGAATGTATTTCGTGTTGGCCTTCGTGAGCTGACTGGTCGGCAGTACGATCAAGGTCTCCATGGTGCTGAGAGATGGAGTTGAAGCTTCCGAGAATTGTCCGGGCGACCTCCGCCTCCACGCCCAGAAAATACCTCTGGACAAGAACTGCAGGCCCGTCTTGCACAGGTATCGCAATAAGAAAAATCCCATTCGAGGCTTCGTCATGAAAGGTAGCCGTAATATTGCGGCGGTTCGTTGCATTTGAAACTTCAGAAACAGCAGGGCGTCAGAACATTGCGGTCGAGCAACCAGCAGAATCAGCCAGTGATATCACGGCGGCAGCAAAGAGTCAACTAGCACTTTCAGCACGGGATCAATATGCCCCTTGTGCCTTCTCCTGGCGGGCAGGCTCTATCAGAGTTCTACGCCTTTCTACAAGCCCCAAGAAACCATCGCAGCGCCGTTCAGAAGTGTCCAAATTACGACCATATCACGAAAGCCCTGTCAACACTCAGAACTGCTTTAAGATGGCATGAGCAGCAAGCTACAGTCTCTGTTCAGAATCTAAAGATCGAACCGGACAGTGCGCTGCGCCTTCCCATGTCTCCTAGTATGTTCCCTATCAATGGCCATCCCCACAGCCCCCTGATACGCGCTCCCGTCCGCCTCACCCAGTTCCTCAACTTCGCCTTTCAACCTGGCGATCAAGCGTCTGGCGTCCTCATAGTCTGTCGCCTGGTCATAATATTTCGCTTTATACCGCTCAAGCTCACCGACAAGAAATTCCTTGCTCTTTTCAAGTTGCGGAACACGTTCAGCATCAGCACGGTACTTCTCAGCCAATCTCCAAAGGCGTATAATCTCGCGATCCTTGCAGCCAATGAGCACGTCGTACTTCTCGCTGGGTGGCAGGGAGCCTCTTGCCAGCCGGTATAGCTCGGCCTTCTCCTTTCGAAGGCTATCGTTGATCTTGGTGAGCGGCTCAAGCTCCTGCACGCGTGCCATGAGTGTGCTGCACTCCATCTCCTCGACGAGCAGCTTGTCGTCTAGTGCTCGGAGCTTGGCGTCCTTTTCTTCGATTTGGGCTTCGAGGTCGGCCATGCGCTTTTCGGCGGCTTTTTTTTCCGTGCGGGCGGTCGCGTAGTGTTTCTTCAGGTAGCGGTTGGAGGCTAGGGCTGCCTCCAGTGGGTCGGTAAGGTCGTGGGCGGAGTCATCAGACGCGGCATCGCTGCTGGTGTTTGACCGCTTCAGCTTGTCGCACGCCACGGTGGTCTGCTTGTGGAGCGCTTGCTGCAGATGGCGGTTCAGTACCGTCTCCGATGCGAGCTGCTCTTTGAGGTCGGCATTTTCTTCCGCTAAGTGTCTATCGACGCGATGGCAGCGCCAAAGCTCCGCCCGTAACGTGTCGTTGTTACTTCTCATGGCGGTGATGTGACTGGATAGCGACTTGATCTCTGCCTGACTGTTCTCGGCTTTTACCAAACAGTCCTTTCGTAGTTCCATAAGCTCGCGTTCCATGGAAGTCATTACTTTGAATTTGACATCGGTATCCATCCGCAGCTTGACGATGGTCATCTGCTGCGAAGCCGTTTCCTCCGCCATAGCACGCTCTCGCTCCGTTGACGAATCGAGCTGCTGCTGAAGAGAGGCGACCCGCTTCTCGGCGTCCTCGAGCTTACTCTCCAACAGTTTGAATTGGCCCCTGTTAGAGCGTTGCAGACGGTCATTATGCCGATCTTGAGCCTGCTTTACGGCCTGAGAGGCTTCCATGAACTGGCAGATCATTGCGAACTTCTCGAGCAGGCTGGGCTCATCCATCTTAACGGCGCTCTTGGAGTCGGTCATGATTCTATGTATCGCGGCGGAAAGGACGAAGGGGATGATATGATATTGATGAAAAATTTGAGGAGTAATGATGGTGAGCGATGGCTGATTGAGGCAAGGATGCTGTGTAAAGGGTGTGATGATGAGTAGTACAGACTATCTTGAGGCTTGAGTTTGACTGAGAAACTGTAAGGTGAGAGGATAAGGAAGAAGCAGGAGATTTGGCGGCGACCATCATATGGCAGTAAAGTGCGCTCTCGTCACGCCTTTGTACCCTCGGACATGCATCTACGATTCGAAAGTGATAACCCATGGTTGTTGTATTTGACTCAATAGCGACTGTGCGAAGCGGTACTGTATCGCGCACCAGTTCTCCTTCCGGACACTGACGGCGCTTGAGAAGGTGTGTGGGTTTAGAACCGAGGTGGGGCTCGTCATCAGTTGCAGATAAGCCAGATGTCTGCCTGGATTGTCAGCAGGAACACCGTAAACAAAGCTTGGAAGGGACGAGATACTGAGGTTTCTAGCTGGTGGGGAGGTTTGGTTTAAGGTTACCTGTTGCGGTAACCACGGTACGCAACCTCGCTACCACAGGCTTAAACCACCTCCTCAGCCTCAACAAGACCTCGACCAACCTAATGGGTTTCCACCCCCACAGTGCGTAACGGTGGGCCGGAAGCGAGTAGACCCACACTGACGAAGAGTTCGCAAGGGGATTTCGAGGACATCGGCGAACCAAGACACGCTCATTCGTGAAGCACGACTTTTACGAAAGAGTCATGGTGAAGAGTGATGTAATTATGTTGGAGTAGCACACGACCTATGCACTCTACACCTACTGTTATCACTATCACCGAATGCCGGCCTCAAATGACTCCCAGCTCTCCAGCCCGATACATAAGCCAACGCCATAAAAGTAGTGCTGATCATGAGCAAGTCACCCTCTAGTAATGACAGCAAATCCTAGCAACACCGTCTGCGAATAAAGCAAAGGGAAGTGACCGTCTCGCGTAACCTATGTGCTATCATCGTCTCCGTGCAAACCGTAATTCGTGAAGCCACTGGGGCTCATGCCTCGCCGAACAGCCTCGCGGTGATGTCGCCCATGTACGCTTCCTCCAGTTCATAGTCTTCCCCACCCATCTTGTCGATACCCACAAATTCAAAGGCAGCAACTACAGCGGGGACATCGAAGCCCATGGCGACGAATCGGTCGATGAGGTCCTTGTTGTAGCCGTGATAGCTGTTCAAAGAGATTAGCAGATGAGAAACTGTACGAGACGGAGAAGCTGTACGCAGCAAGCTTGGCCTTCTCCTCGCTCTCCTTCGCCTTTTGCGCCTTCTTCTTGATTGACTCTGGCGTGGCCCCACCGCTGCCCTCCGCTCGGTCTTTCTCAGGTGCTCCTGCATACTTGACCGCCCACTGGCGGGCCACATGCTCAAACTCCGCAGGGTTGCTTATGAGCATACCCGCCACCTCCGCGTCTTGTGGGTCCTTTGGCTCCGGCGAGCTGAGTAGAGATTGTAGTGATATGAGGGCGGACTTGATTGTGAGGACGGGGGACCATTGTGTAGAAAGCGTGTCGAGGCAGATGGCGCCCTGAAGAGCAGTGTCAGCATAAAATAGTACCACTGGAACCCCCCGGACTTGACGTATGCTTACAGTTTGACTGCTAACGTTGGGGTGCCATATCTTCGTCTCGAACTTCATGATTGGTGGTCGAAACGGATATTCGTTAGGTATCCGAATGTCTACAGTGTATTTGCCGCCCTCATAAGGAGTGTCGGGTGGCCCATGGAACTTCCCTCGCAGATGTGTCAAGTCATCGCCCGACCCGAATGTCTCCACCTCGACCTTCGAAAGAGTGTCTGCGTGGATGTCGGCGACTTCCTTCGCAATGCGGCGGGTCCGGTTGGAGCTCATTGTGTTTGGAGGAATAGTATGTGTGTGTTGGAAGGCTGTGTGGGTTTTGTCTGAGCCGAGCTATATTGGTAGAAAGAGCGGATTTGGCTGTAGATATAGCCTCGAACTCCTGTCCAGCGGTGGATGGGTCTGTGATGCCTCGCTTGTGAAGGATGACTACCAAGCGATAGTGATACGGGGTTTGGTGAAGAAGGTCGGAGTGAGAAGACTTGTTGAGTAGAGGGGTAAGAGGGTAAGAGTCAACGCCCTCAAAGAGGCAGGCAGCCTTGAGTGGCAGGGTTGGCTGGTGAAGCGGTTCACTTGATTCTTGATTCTTGATTTTAGCGTCACGTACAGCGGGTATCAGAGAGAGGAAAGATGTGGGAAGCTGAAGACTGTATACAAGTCACTACAGGCGAAGTTATGGACAAAGATCCAGTAGCTTTGACGTGTCAAACTGTGTACGGCTGCCTTCGACCGGAGAGCTCTCGCCAGGCTGATAGTCAGTCACGATCACGTGCGCCCCGACGTCGACTCGCGTCCGCGCTGGAAAGCTCCGGCATCTCCGTCCACCTGCAGCTTCACAGCAACACCATCACCTTGTCACGACACAACACATCCCGCTCCTCATCAACCAGTGCTCATCCCTTTCGAACAGCAGTCCGCCACCTTCCGCGGACCAAAGCATCATCGAAGAGTCCTTTAACAGCTTTCCATCTGAACAGCCGCCACCATGGTGAGCTCCTGCCGTTGCAACGAGCTCAGGAAATGAGATCGCTGACGATTATCTAGGGTGCTAACCAGTCAAACATGGGCGGCGCTCCGCCTGGCGGAGATGGCAAGGACAAGAAAGACCAGAAGGTATGTCACAAACAGCAGGAGCTCTTACCAGCCATGAGACTTGCTCCTATCTCTGCTTCACGGCGGCAAAGACGGTTTGCCTCAGAAACTGACAAGACCGCCATCTACAGAAGGAAAAGCCAAAGTACGAGCCTCCACCACAACCCACCACCCGCATCGGACGCAAGAAGCGCAAGGCGGCCGGTCCCAGCGCCGCGGCTAAGCTCCCGACCGTCTACCCAACGGCGCGATGCAAGCTACGATATCTGCGGATGCAACGGATCCACGACCATCTTCTGCTCGAAGAGGAGTATGTCGAGAACCAGGAGCGAATCCGGAAGGCGAAGGCCGTAAGCACCGCAGCGCCTGCCGCAGCCGGCGGCGATCTGGAGGCAGCGGATCGAAACGCGGATGAGAGGTCGCGGGTTGATGACATGCGTGGAAGCCCTATGGGCGTCGGCAATCTGGAGGAGATGATCGACGATGACCATGCCATCGTGTCGAGCGCCACCGGACCCGAGTACTACGTCTCCATCATGTCCTTTGTCGACAAGGACCTCCTCGAGCCAGGCGCAAGCATCCTTCTACACCACAAGTCAGTCTCGGTGGTTGGTGTCTTGACTGATGATGCCGATCCACTTGTTTCGGTCATGAAGCTGGACAAGGCGCCGACAGAGTCATACGCAGACATCGGTGGGCTAGAAGCACAAATACAGGAGGTTCGGGAGGCCGTCGAGCTACCGTTGCTGCACCCCGAACTGTACGAGGAGATGGGCATCAAGCCGCCGAAAGGTGTTATCCTGTACGGCGCACCAGGCACGGGCAAGACATTGCTGGCGAAGGCTGTGGCGAACCAGACGAGTGCGACGTTCCTGCGTATCGTAGGAAGCGAACTGATCCAGAAGTATCTTGGTGATGGTCCCAGGCTTGTGAGGCAGCTCTTCCAGGTTGCCGCCGAGCATTCTCCGTCCATCGTCTTTATCGACGAGATTGACGCCATCGGTACGAAGCGCTACGAGTCGACGTCCGGTGGCGAGCGCGAAATTCAACGTACCATGTTGGAGCTTCTCAACCAGCTTGACGGATTCGACGACAGAGGAGATGTCAAGGTCATCATGGCTACCAACAAGATTGATACGCTCGACCCAGCTTTGATCCGACCTGGCCGTATCGACCGAAAGATTCTCTTCGAGACCCCAGATCGTAAGCCTTTCATCCTCTCCACGCAATGCCAAATGCTAACATGTCACTTCAGAAAACACCAAGAAGAAGATCTTTACACTGCACACCTCAAAGATGTCTCTCGCTGAAGACGTCGACCTCGAAGAGTTCATCAACCAGAAGGACGATCTGTCTGGCGCCGATATTAAGGCCATCTGCTCCGAAGCCGGTCTCATGGCGCTCAGGGAGCGGAGGATGAGGGTGCAAATGGAGGATTTCAGGACGGCGAGGGAGCGGGTGATGAAGACGAAGAGCGAAGGCGAGCCGGAGGGATTGTACTTGTAAACGGCCTGGCTAGGGGTAGATGCCACTTCTGGCTTTGCATCAGAGCGGAGTTACTAGACTGAGTCTGTTGGTTGTACTAATAAAACGTATCATCATAGCTGGCATGTGCTCTAGCCACAACGCCTCCGTTACTTTCCAACAGAGCCCATGACTTACGTGCTGCATCGATGCTCAAGTGTTGCTTATCTCATAGCTTGGATTGGGTTGCATCGCAGCCTTCATTCCACCAAATGTTCACACAAGCATAAGCAAGACAAGCTTTTCAGTCAAGAACGCCGAAAGCTTAGCCCGCTCGGCAAAGCTTCCCCGGACGCCCGCCGCTACATCCTCAACACCACAAGTCTATTGCCATGTCCGAAGACGACCTCTATCGCACTTCTACCCAGTACAAATTCTGGTCCTTCACTCCAGAGTCGCTCGCAGCACTACGCGTAGATACCAATGTTGCCGCCGCCGAGCGCGTCAAGGCCGCCATAGCGCGCCATAGAGCAGCTCGACGTGCAGAGGGTCATGGAGCTGGGAGCAATGGCGCAGACACCAGCGCGTCCGCGTCGGACACCGACACTGATGTTGACTGTCTCACTCCGGAAGAAGAGCTGAGACTGGTTCAATACTACTCCTACTCCACCCTCCAGTCTTCCGCTGCCATCGCCTCGAAAGGCTTCAACATCCCGATCCGCGTCCAAGTAGGTGCTTTGCGGCTCCGCCGTCATGCGTGCTCCCAGTGCACCAAGCCGCGTCGATGTTCTGTCGAAGTTGAGATACGATCACATCTAACGGTACTATTTAGGCCACAGCAGTCCAATACCTCAAACGCTTCTACCTCACCAACTCCCCCATGACATACCATCCTAAACACATCGTCCCCACCGCCCTCTACTTCGCCACCAAAACCGAAAACCACTCCATTTCCGTCTCAGCATTCGCAGAACTGGCTGGCCAGTCCGAGGAAAAGATCCTAGCCTCCGAATGTCTCATGTTCCAGGTCCTGCGCTTCAACCTCGACGTCAGACATCCGCACCGCGGTCTGCGCGGCGCGTACATAGAACTGCTGGCTCTAGCGGCTGGCGAGGGTGCCGTGGTGCCTGGAACCGGGAAGACGCGTCAGGAGCTGCAGGAGGAGCTGAGGAGGCTGCCGCTCAAAGCCCATGAGCCGCCGGCGGAGCAGTCGGATGACGCGGTGCAGAAACGTATCGGCAACGCGTATGCCCTGGCAAGCAACATCCTGAAGGACTCGGCACTGCTCACGGACGCGTACTTCCACTACACGCCCTCACAAGTCATGTTCGCCTCGCTCTACCTCGCCGACTCGGTCCTCTTCTCCTGGTACCTCGACTCAAAGTTTCCCTCGGGCACGGCGGTGCCCGATCCCAAGTTCCTGAAGATCACAGTGACGATCAAGCGGTGTGCGGAGCTGCTGCGAGATGGGGCCAAGGCGGCGGACTTCCAGACGGATGCGAGCAGGCAGGAATTGAAGCGCATAGGGAAGAAGTTGCATTTCTGCCAGAACCCGGAGAAGAAGGATCTGGAGGGCTTGAACAGGGCTGCGAAGCGGGATGGGCAGGTCGAAGGCGCGCTGGATGAGAGGGAGAGGAAGAGGAGGAAGTTGGAGAGGGAGAGGAATGAGCAGGAGGGGCATGAGTTGTTTGGGGGCACGCTGAAAAAGGAGTGAAGGTGTGGCCGCGCGGATGCTATGCGCAGAGGGGTATCGGTGTCCACGACCCTCGGAGGAAACGTGGCGTTCGGCGTTACAAGGTCTCTAGGGTGAAGACCATTTTCAAGGCACACCATGCGGAAGGTGCTAAGTTGTGGGCGTGTTTCGATTGTCTTAGTCAGAATTAGCTACATTAAGCTTCCAGTACCGCTTGCCGATGTGCCCGATACTTTGTCATACAGAAGAGTTATGTCATGACTTGCAAAAGCGTCTGACGATTCTGTCGCATCCTGAGAAAGGACTACCGTCATTCTCCACTTCCATTATCTCCTCTCAGGCCAGCTCATCACAGTTTTTCGAAGTCTAATAGAGCTTCTCAAAGGCTTTCCTGTCGCTCCCCAGGAGCTGTTCAGAACTTATGTGCACCTTCACAGTCACGTCCTGTAGGCTTGATCGGCGTCGTTGCTGAAGAAAAACACGCATCCCCAGGTGGAAAGCTGGAAGACCTGTACCTGTGCTTCTGCTCACCGGCTCAGTTCAAAATCGTGCTGCCATGCTACAATTCAGACCATAGAGCCCAAGCCTCCGCAACGTCCAAACATTGACGACGGCGGCGTTCCACGTCAGAGGGCAGACGCAAAAAGCTGTGTAACAGCTGGAGAAGGTGCGGTAGAGTACCATAGTCTTCGGGTGCTATTGACGACCCTCAGCCTGCATTGATGATGGGGAGCAGTACTGGTAAGCAGCACTCCTCCGCGGCAGTTCCGATTGATTTTTGTTCATTATCAAGGTACCATGTGGCTTGCATGCTGCAAAGCGTCAGAGGTGTTCAACATCTGAAGGAAGCTCGCAGTATTCTCCACTCACATCTTACGGAACCACTGATCGATTGTGGTTTAAAGCCGTCCCACGAATCTGATCTCAATCGACGTCGAGGGCGCTAAAGAATTCCTCGATGCTATCTCGCTAGGGTTATCCTCTGAGATAGTGACGATAAAAGACCGCTGCCGGTGGCTACAACTCTCAGGTCGGCGTCGCTCTGCAACTGCTTAGCCGGCGTCGAGCGAAGTCGGATGAGAGTACTTACATAGGATGACAGAGGCTGAAAGAAGCTCAGCACACCCCAGTACGTGACTGCGCCGCCCTGCTGCACAGAGGCGCAGCAGACTATTAGCCAGCGAACGAGGTGATGCTGGGCCGTGTCCATACTCGACGATGGATGCGTGTCAGAGACGTATCTTGCGGTTTATTAACGGCTACAAAAACATCCTCGTTCTCATCAACGTCCTCGCCGCGCATGCGTCGAATCGTGCAGCCTCTTACATTGATTGTCAGCAGTTAATGTCAGCCTAGCCATTTCCACCACTCCTGCTTTCCCGACATTAGGAAAAGGAATGCATCATCGTTAACCCTTCCCTTAAGGATCTCGTTATATATGCTTGCTGCAAACTCGGTCTGGTGCATTTCGTCTACGTAGACGAACGACCAGGATGCAAAGGGCCGTGGGAGTTCCTCCATCACCGCCTTGGTCTTCCTTCCGGCTGGCGTTAATCGGATTGTCTTTCTAACGACCCGCCTGTTGATCTTACAGATATACGAGAAGTAGCATCCTAGTAGGGTGATAACAATGCCGCGTGCCTGCGCGTAGAGAGGATCGCTTTCTTTATCTACTTGAACGCAAGTAGGGTCCTTTGAGATCGATAAAGCTATAGCGGCCTTGTGGTGCGCCTTAAATAGGCGCATAGGAACGATCCCGGGATGAATACCGTCGAAGAACTTATCGAACTCATCCTGCCAGTTCTGGAGGAGTCCGGCTGGTACGATCGCTAGCACAGAGCCGGGTGTGTAGTCCACCTTCGCAAGCAGGCTGTCTGCCTTACCTAGCTTTGCATCAAGACCGACTGGGCACTCATCATACTTGGGCATATCCTATAGAAAGATAGTGAATGCTAGAACAGTCTGAAGTGCTTGTTGTCATACCTACGAGTATCCGCAAGATCTTTCTACAGCTAGCTCATGCTCTTCCCAAAGCTCGAAGTCTCTCTGAAGCTCTCTATAACTTTCTTAAACTATTTATTGGGAGCTTTTATCACCTCCGTGATCTACTTTATAGCCATAGCGCCCTCGTCATTGATGAGGGAATGGAACTTCCCCGAGAATCTTACGAACAGGCGGCGCAGGCGGCACAGGCGTGTTATCGGAGTTGAACTCTATCTCAACCAACGCTGAGTGATCAGCTCAAATTTCTGAAGTTCTAATGGCGATCCGCAGGAGGCATTGTTTTGACCTTTGTACCTCCCCTACACGGCGCTTCTTGGCTGCCTACTACGGCAGGGCAAATGGCAGGATGGGGTAACGTGGGGTACCCGCGATGCATATAGTTCTATGTCCTCTAGGTCTGTGATAAGGCGACCCTTATATTCTCAGTAGCGTCGCTGTCCTCCGTGGCTAGCGGTCCGACAATTCGACGAACCCAGTGTTGATAATCGTGCCCTCGGATGATAGAGTTTTTGTGATGTGCTCTCGCTGGCCGATTACCGTCTTCGAACTGACAGATAAAGTGTATCGCCCCGGTATTGCTGTCGGAAAATTTAGTACCAGCACCCTTCGCACCAAATTGTAGTTGTGCGTCGGCTCCTCCTGGGGCAATGGTTAGCAGCTCTTCTGCGTTCTGCAACCTCCGCCCCACCTGCTGCATCTGCTGTTGATGAGTTTGCACCATTTGGTGCGTTGCTTGGAGATGCCCTTGCATCAGCTCTTGCCATAGCTGGTCTTGGGCGAATGCGTTCTTAGTTGGCGACTCTGAAGTCCGGCAGTTTGCCTCACCTACATAGTATTAGTGGCGAAGAAGAGTTCCGTAACGCAGATCTGTCAAGCTCCCTGCGCTCTACGATTTGACGCGTCTTGAGTAAAGTCGGTTGATAACTACACGTGAAGCACTTTCAGTGATCGCTTCCGTCACACGTTCAGCATCAAAACAGAGCGCTGTCTTAGTAACGGAGGAAAAGAAACCGACTGAAAACATGCCTAAACGTTCTTCGAACCACTTACGCAGAGCTTGTGTCAATCAAAAGGACGGATTGAAAAGAATGGCATCACACTGACTCGGAGTAAAAAAGATTAACCTGACGAGGAATCTTCAGGAATATTGGTATCGCACTTGAGCTTGTGTAGACCGAACTGGAATGTACGTATCCCCAATCCGATGTCAGACTGAACCTACGTAGGGCGATGTTGAGAAAGTTTGTGGAAGCAATCACAGACAGTAGGTAAGCCGTGCCCTGTTCTTCCATCCACAAGCCCCCTAAAACCAAAAAACGAGAGCTATTTGTATAGCTACGTTACATAGCAAGTAAAAGTATCCAAAAAGACAAAATTATGAGTGATGGACTCGCGGGGAATCGAACCCCGGACCACCCCCAATTTGAGATCAGGCTGAATTTGATCCAATTGCTAAGGGGGTATTATACCACTCTTTATGGACAAGTCAGCGGCAGATCAAACGGATAGCTGAAAACAGGATAACTCACAAACCACAAGCCCATTGATGCAGGGCTGCGATGAGGTTCAATGCTCATATAACTGATACATGCCTGGACCCGATAGCGTTGAGACTCGATTTAGATTTTTGTCACTTTCTGTGGTATCTTGAACAGTGGCGGCAAAGAAGCCAACTTACGCTCCAGCCCGTCGGTGCGGCACATCGGCACGATTGGCTACAAAATATGGATTGTCGGACCCGCCTCTACTTCAAGAAGCGTACCCGCCCAGCAATCGATAAGCTTCATCGATAAATTTCATCATTTCCCGCCAAAATTTAAGAGCAAACACCAACGAGAGCATCAACCATGGAGTACGATACCAAGACACGTAAGTAGAGCAGCGAGACCCAATGTTTAATTCAGTGACTGACTTGGCAAAGCACAGTACAACACCGGCGACAAGACCTCCTTCGCGTATGTCTCTGCGCGGGATCGGTGGCCGGTTATCATAGTCGGTTAGCCCGTAACAAAGCCTCCGGATAAAGCTCATGGCTTGCAGACCGGCGGCATTGACGATGTCCACCGTGCTACTAGTGTGGCACATGATCTTGAGACACAGCGAGAGGGCAAGAAGATCGTTGAGGGGCTTGCGAAGCTCAAGTACGAGTTGCAACATGACCGCCACATGAGGTGAGATCGTAACGAAGATAAGAAACCTTCAGTTGACCAGGTACAGCCCGATGCCAGACGATGGCGAGCCTGATATCGCCGGCTATAACAAGGAGCTTAAGCAGCTAGGCAACCCTAATTGGTTCAATGTTCCGTGGCTGTATTCCGAGTGCTACCTCTACCGGTACGTCTGACCCCGTACTGCTGGGAAAGCTAAACTAATGATGCACACAAGATAGACGCATGAGCACGCTCTTCTCCCTATCCTCGAAATGGAAAAACTACGACATCTTCGCCCGCCAGAAAATGTCTACCTTCAGGTCCTCCCGCCCTGCAGTCCTCGAGCTCGCCGCACGCTACAAAGACCTCGTCACGCAGCTGGAATCAGGCACATCGGAAACGCAGTCGCCCGAAGAGCGGGAAGCGGCAGAAAAGCTGCTCTTTACAGAGATGTGCGAGATCTGCCTATGGGGCAATGCTACAGATCTATCCCTTCTTACGAATCTATCCTACGAGGACATCCAGAAGCTGCAAGGCTCGGAAGCTCGCAAAGCGTCGGAGAAGAACATCATCGTAAACGACCTGGCGCAGGCATTCGAGGTTCTCAACAAAGCGAAAAAGGCCGGAAAGAAGGAGCGGAGGGTCGACATTATCCTAGACAACGCCGGCTTCGAGCTCTTTGTCGACTTGATCCTAGCTGGGTATCTTCTCTCCGCCGATTTAGCAACAGAAATTGTGCTACACCCCAAATCGATCCCCTGGTTCGTTTCGGACGTGGTACCGAAAGACTTCGGCGACCTGCTTAATGCACTAGCGAACCCGCAGACATTTTACACGACGCCATCGGACGACGACAAGCACGCGGGCAAGACTCCGGAACCGCTATCGGACAAGGAGGCCGACGAGCTGAGTTTCTTGTTCCAGCGGTGGGCGGGCTTCCACGCAGAGGGCCAGCTTGCCATCAGGCCGAACCGCTTCTGGACCGAGGGAGGCAGCTACTGGCGACTGCCGAAGACGGCGCCAGAGCTTTACGAAGATCTCAAGGAGAGCGAGTTGGTCATCTTCAAGGGTGACTTGAATTACCGGAAATTGACTGCTGATGTGAGTCAGATCCGCTCTCTTATCGCTATTGAATCTTCTGAGTTAACTGACATGCGGCACAGGCAATGTGGGATCCCACGACCCCTTTCGCCGAGGCCATAGGACCTCTTGGTGGGAAGTCCGGCATCCGTACGCTCGCTTTGCGGACAAGTAAAGCGGATGTCATCGTCGGCTTGCCTGCAGGAAAAGACGAGGAGCTGAGGGCCACAGAAGGTGGCGGTGGAGATAGCGGATGTAGGAAGTGGACTTGGAGTGGCAAGTGGGCTGTTATCCAGTTCTGGGACGGCAAGTGCTGAATTTATGTTTCGTTGGACGCGGTCGCAACGGCACTCTCATATAAACACTCGGTCAATCGGAAATCCTCATGGAGTAGACAAGGAGATCGGGAATCATTGTGGCGTCCGTGCCTTTGGCTTGCTTTGACAAGTGCGTTCCGCAGCGGAACCTTGAACTCCATGTATTGGTTGCGGACGCGCCTTCGCTAGGCAGTAGCAATGATTTGTATTATGCAGCGAGGCGTGATTGAGTTCGCTGTGTGTTGAGAAGCTTATTATCCTCACCTCCCATTACGTATGGCCGGCTTGCAATGGGGTTCACTAGCTTTCCACAGCCGAGCGCAGCGTTCGCTACATTCGTGAATAGAAGCATCCCGGACCCAAGTGTCCTGTCCAAGCCTAACCCCCTTCAAGTCTGCAACCCTATGGAAACACAGTTCATGTATTTATGTGCTGATACGGTTGCTGCGGCCTGCATGTAACACTAAAGCACCAGGTAACAGCTCCTCCTTCGGCGAGATATGTCATCTTCTTATGATATGCCTGAGTAGGGCTCCGCGCTGTTTCTGATGCTCTTGTATCTCTTGGACTAACAAAGTTTACTCTTTCTTCGCGGCTGGCAATCTGAGAGTAATCGTATGTTCGTGAAAAAATCACATCGGAGCCGGCGCTTCAGTCATTTCGGCGCTTACTAACACGATCGCAAAATGCTGAAGTCCATACTTAACAGCAGCATGGAAGCAAGATGATTAACGAGATGATATAATACTCTGTGGCGTATGAGTCACCCAGGAACACCATATAGGAATTTAGAGCTTCAGATTTGGACGGATAGCTGCGTTGATGTTACTTTGTCGGTGTTCCTCGGCAAGTGATTCTTTTCACGAGTACTGTCGTTTTCGATAACATAGGAAATCGCCACCGGAGCTTCCCCCCCACCAACGGGTATATATCCATCGTTCAATGAGGTTTTCAACACCACAACCGTCCCATTTGATGCCATAATGGTTCGCAAACTGGCTAATAATACTGTTGATGCTATTGTCCATCTTTTGAATTATGGTGCGCCGGTCAAGGAAGTCAGACGGCTTACTAGAGTCTCGAATGCTACAATTTATCGAATGCGATTAAGCCTGGAGGTATTTGGTCAACCTTATCCTCTATCGTTCGTGGCTCGAGGCCGTCCAAAGCTACTCACGGTGGCACAAGAAGATGTGAATAACCTCTTACTCCTAAACGACCGCAATGGATGCTGACTGCGGTGGAGTAGGCGCTCCTTGAATAGCTCCGGTTGAACCCTACCGCGTTCCTTGAAGAGATAGCTACCTGGCTAGACCAGCAGTTCGGTATTCGACCATCGATCCCTACCGTCTATTGAACAGGACGTAGTTCACCTAGACTAAGCTAAAAGCTCGGCTAACCAACTAGTTAGTCACCTAACTAACTAATGAGTCATTCGACTAACTCTATAAATCTCACTCTACTAAGTAACTACTAAGTAACTACTAACCACTAAGCTTTAACTATTAATAAACTATTAATAACGCTTTAAAATAGCTTGTAATATACTTAAAAATAATAGTAAAATTACTATAAGGCTTTATAAGGAGTTTCTAGCACGTTTAAAAGCTCCGCTAATATTATATAGGCTAACTATAATAACTATATAAAGTTAAAGATAATACTAATAGACCTCTAAGTTTTTATACTAGTAAAAACCTTCTACTTTATTTTAATTATATTATACTTTATAAAAGTAACTTATTAGAAACTTATTCTAAATATATTTCTAGCTATAAAAGGTGGCAGATATCTAACTTAGTAAGCTCTTCTACTACGTTAATATTAGAGAAGATATATTTAATAGAGTAAGTTACTTTATTCTAAATATATTTTAAGTATTTTACTAACTCTATATAGAAGAAGATAGGTGCCTATAGCGCCCTTATTACCTATATTAAAAAGACTAGTTACTCTAATATAGGCCTAAAGTTATATAGTTATAAACTTATTTAGAACTTATTTCTACTAATTTGCTTTAAAGGTTACTAAATAGTAAAATATTAAGACTAGAGCACTATCTAATAAGAAGTAAAATATAGTGAAGAGTATATTACTTCTATCTTATTTATAGCTTATTTTAACCTTCTTTTAGCCTTCTATACTAATATTATCAATATTAATATATTTAATAAAACTTGACTTTCCACTATGCGCTACCTTAGCGAAAACTACAACCGCCTCGAAAATTTCTACAGTAAAAACACCTATAGCGCTATAATAAATACTGCGTATTAAAATTGTAAAAAGTAGTTCTATAGTTTCTTAGTTTAGCCTTACGCTTTTAATGCATCCACTTTATAGTATCCTGCAACCGCTGCTATAAAAGCCTTAGAGTTTTAAAATTTTAGCTAAGGCTTAAGTCTTGCACTAGCTACGCACTAGCTTTAGGGGTTAAAATTATTACTATAGACCTTCTATCCTTACTATTACTATTCTTACCTACTACTGCAATACTATACCTAGATAAAAGAAAGGTAAATAAGCTTATCTACTATAATATTGCTAGCACTATTAGAAGTAATAGAACCTACTATAGTAAGAGCAATTATATATATAGGCTATTTAACTATAGTAGTAATACTAGAATAATGTCTTTATTATAGGGAACTTATTCTTAAGTATTAGTCCTTATACTCTTTTACAATCTTTTAATATCTATATAGGCTTATAGTAGGTAAGAGTAAGCTATATATAAACTCCCTATTCTTCTCCTCTACTTTAGCCTTTTATAAGCTAGCTTCCTCCCTTACACGCCTGCAATTAAACCGCACTACCTATTATTACCTATATAGCTTTTATAGAGAGCTTATCTTTAAATATTAACCCTTATATTCTTTTATAATTATTTAACACCCGCACTAGTTTATAGTAGATATACGTAGAGTCTCCTCTCGCTATTATATCCTATAGGTATTATACTAGACGTGCCTTTTCTTCTATATTTTCTACTACTACTTATATATATTCTTATGTACGCTCTGCTCTTTTTCCTTTACTATCTATAGATTCTAGTAACCGCGCTACTCCTTCTAACCTACCTCTCTATATACTATACTTATAGCAAAGGAGCGTAAGCTAATTAGCTATAGAAAATACTAAGGTGACTTCTATATAGTGGGGTATACTATCCTCTAACTAGTAGATATACGCGACGCCTAAGCCGGTTCTAAAAATAGACTTCTACTATATATAGAATTATAGAGGAACTATCTATAAGCTACATAATAATATTGCTAGAGAATCCTTATAGTAGAGGGTTAATTACTACTTTACGCTATAGCGCGCGCGCTACACTTACCGTCACTATAGGGTACTATATTAGATTAAGAAGAGAAGAGTAAATTTAATAAAAAAGAACCTATAGTTTAGCTACTACGTGGATAGCGCGGTGCGTGTACTCCTATAAGAGTAATACTCGTAGAAGCTATAGCAATTAATTATAGAGACGGAGGGTATAAACTAGTAGATATAACGCACACCTCTAACGAAGAAGTTCTATAAGTATATTTACTATTATAATAATACCTTTATATTCTACTCCCTCGGTGTAGATATTAATAAGAGGCTCATGTAGTAGCTATATAGCGCCTATATATTCCGCGCGTATAGCTAGCTCTACTATTATATTAGTGCGCTATAAGCTCCTACGGATTAGGCTTCTAGCTTTATATAACTATATATCTTTAATAGTAAGAAGAAGTAACTATAGTAGCGCGGCTAGGCGTTTTAACATCTAAGTATAAGAACCCTATATACTATTTAGCGCGTGCTATATACTACTAACCTATTTATATAGGTGTTTTATATTAATATAGAGAGACTCTATAATAATTATAGCATTACTATCTCTATTAGTATTATTAAGGCTACTATAACTAATTCACGTAAATATAACCGGCTAACTATAAGCGAGATTATAGTTCTTATATCTACCTCTATAGAAATAAATAATAGGACGCGTTAGATTATACGAGAGAATAAAACTAATAGTATACTATAGTTTATTAGTAAATAACATGTAGAGTATCTACCTATATAGTATCTACTACTTTATTTAAACAGCGAGCTAGGCTAGTAGTATAATTACCCGCTTATAAATAGACTATAGGTGCTATAAAAAGAAGGTATAGGTAAGATAGGTACGGCTATAAAAGGTAGAAAGGGTACTATAGAGATTATAGAGGGAGAGAGTCCCGCTTTAAGTAGTAAAAAAAAGAATAAGTAGAAGAAGAATAGTAATAGTGGTATAGATATATAGCGCGGCTATAATAGTTCCACGCGGGTCTTATAGTAGTAGTAGTAGAAATACTACCTATAGCTATACTACCTACTACCTACTTAGCTACTCGCGAGAAGACTATTCTATAAAGTAGCTATAGATACGTACGCCTTAATTACCGGCTTCTACTTATAGTAGTATAAATATAACTAAAAGACTCTATATATAGTATAGTATAGTAGTATACTTAATATACTACACGCGAATAACTAGATTACTAGCTAGAATATTAGCCGTAATATTATTCTTTCTATATTATATATTAGATCCCCGCGGTAGATATATAACCTTTAACTTAATACTATAGCTTTTACGCGCTACTTTAGCTCCTTTAATTTCTTTATTACCTTTACCTATAATCTATAGTAGTAAAAGATCTAGTATAAGCTTATAGCTAGCTAGACTACTATAAACCGCCTAGACTTAGTAAACTATATTTTCTATCTAAAGCTAAAATAGCTATAGCGTGAGACTCTAAAGGGCGAGGTACTTAGCTATATAGTAATTATTTACTAGATAATTAAGTTCTAGAAGCGTAGGCTTCTATATATCTATATACTACTAATTCTAGATCCCGCATTCTACTATAGCACTATGAAGAATATTAATATAGTTATCCGCGCAGATCTTTTTAATCTAGTAATAGAGCCTCTACTTTACAATATAGTTACCTATAATA